TGTAGCAATTGCTTAGATTTTTTCCACTGTGCAAGTGGTTGCATCTCGTGTGGCCGATCAACTGGCTGCGGAAATGAGACGCAATGAAATGGATGCCAAGAGATTGGACCAGATTGGCAGATAAGGTAGTAATAGGACACAGAGACGCCCATCTCCGATGCTTGTCAGTCAACAGAACGAACGAATGGACGCCCCTTGGCTGTGAGAGATGTGTGATGGAAGCGGAGGAAGTGGAAGTGGAAGTGGAAGTGGAAGTGGAAGTAGATGTGGAAATGGAAATCGAATCGGGCGTCTGGCGGAAGTTGGCTACATTGGAGCCGCACCACCACCATACATTTCAGTTGCTAAACGCTCTGTTTCGAGTTTCTGCCTGCCTAGGGCCTCTCCATCTTTCCATTTCCATTTCCATTTCCATGCCACCCATCCTTTAAAGCCATTCGCAGCACGCGCTAGCTAAAACTCACATACATATCTACATACAGCTCACAATCACATTATATCGCACACCATCGCATTTCTGATTGCACAATTACTAACAATGGCACTCCAAGTGCCTTAGTGTGTGTGTATGTATGTGTCTCTAATATTTTGTTTGTTAATTGTATGGGCGTGCCTTTTGCGCCACGCCCCTCCCCCCCACCACTACCCCTCTTACCCAGCTGTTGTCGCCCCTTTTTAGTCGCTGTCTGCAGAGCAACAATTCCATAGTCACACACACACACACACACAGCGGTTAAGTTACATAAGCTCAAAGGGAAAAATGCGAGCAGGTCGGGTGTATTAGTTGGAGAGTTAGGTCAGGATGTGGAAATGTTCCTTGCTGCCCACGTTATTAGACTGAATGTTATGTTAATTTCGAGCAGGTGTCACCTAGACGTATACGTAATATAATTTACATGCATTACTATATCTTTTGGTTGCTATAAGTTGAGCCAGTTTCTTTTATTGTATATATAATTGTTAATTTATTTAAGTGGACTTGTATCACAATAAACCTTATGTTAGATTTTCAGTGAACAAGGGTCTTCATGGCGTATACGTAATGCAATTGTTCTCAGCTTTTAAAAGTTTCCAAGGTTCGTTTGTTTTGAAGTTAACTAGGTAATTAATTAATAATAATTACCGGAAGATAATATTTTGTTACATAGTTAGTTCAGTTTATGTTCAATATGGCAACATACTCACGAAATCTTTACAAATCTAATTTCTATGTAATAATATGATAGCCATATAAAATAAATAAAAGAATAATCTAAAAGAAAATTATTTGTAAAGGGTATAGGCAAATCCGCACACTTTATGCTCCAACTACATCGCTTTGATGTCTAGTAAGCTGAGTGTAGTTAAGTGCTCGTGCGTATACTTAATGTTGTTGCTTGGCGAACGCATGAAAGTATGCTATAGAACGCGAATTGATCCAATTTGCTTTACGAATGCGTTGGATGGAGGGGAAATAATGTCTCTGGTCCTGTTCCAACCCAGGGAACACCACAACTGTCACCTGCCATGTCACTGAGACTATGCTGCAGAAAACTAATTAAATGCTTCGCCATAATTTATGTGTGCAGACAAATGAGGATGTAACCGGCGAGGGGCCATAAATTTAAATTATGCCCGGCCAAAAGTGAATACGTAATAAATAGGGCCAAGTGCGGGCAGAAATTGTTGCCTACAGTTGCCTACAAATTCTACAAATAGCGCAGCAGCGGCGGACTCAGATGCTCGGCACACACGTTGCCTGAATTTTTTCCTTTTCGTCCTGACCAGGATGTCCTTGTAATGAAATTCCAAGAACTGCGTCTCAGACCTGAGGCTCTGGGGCAAGAATGCCAAGGCTGGAATTTGAATTCGCCTCAACCCACACAATTATATGCGTTAGGTATATGGTATAAAAATATATGTATATACTATACACCTAATCTGTCGTACCCAAATCATGTGGCTGATTGGCTGGGAGCTGACCGAGCAGGAGGATGTCCGCCAGACATTCGGTAATTGGCCCGAGCCTTGTACAACTACAGCCTCATGTGGTGTCCTTTTAATGATTTCCTTTTGGTTCCTTACAGCTTATGCAAGATGGATTATGTCCTAGCCCTTTTTTTCTCTTCTCTTACGCCCGGGGGAAGATCCCAAAACTGTTGCTCAACTGTGTTGTGCAAGAATTTGCGTAATCCGGAGAGATTCCTCCAGATTGAGTGCGAATTGAAGGAGTAACCACTTTTTCTGTGGAATGTGCCGAGAATCTGCACTCGTTTCATTGACTACCCAAACTGACTCAAATTGACTCTGCTAATCCGGCAAACAGCCAAGGGGCACTACGTCTTCGAGTCCGAGTCCAAGTTCGAGTTTCTGTCCGAGAGCGGCGAAACAATTTCGCAAGCTGATTAACTCTAAATGCCAGTGCCATTTCCATACGCAAAATGTAATTTTGTTCGCCAACTTTGAGCAAATATTTTCGCATAGCTGGGCTGGAAGGGGGACCACTAGACGTATACTTAATAATGTTTACTAAAGCAATCAGGCGCACACGGGAACAATTGCTGGAGCGGAGGCTGGCCTGTATTGGAATTTCAACCTTTCAGCCTTTTTCTGGCAGGGCCGAGATTTCTGATTTGTGATTGGAATTTGAGCGCCTGACACTTGGCAAATGCGCCAACAATTTGGGTAATAACCTTAAAGGTCGGCGATAAATTCAAATGCTGTTGCCGGGGACTACTTGCCGGTCGCCTTCGACTTAATACAATTTAAAAGGACCCCCTCGAGTCCCGTCCCGATATGCCTGAGTGGTTCTGCTTTTGCATTGCAAATTCGCTGGGAAAACTGCCGGCGTGGGAGTGGTTACAGGATGCGGGATAGGGAATGGAAGGGGACCGGGCCCAAAAGCAAACAATTTATGGTTCATATGAGTTTGGAATTGGTGTTCAGCATACAAATGCCGAGTAAATAGAATTTGTGTGTTTATCCTGTCCCCCTGCCTGCCCGCCTCCGCGGCTTCATCCAATCTGGGATCCGGCCTCGGATGTGGACTCGCATGAGGATTTTGTGTGTGGTAATAGGAAAATTCTATGCATAGCCATGTGCGGCTGCATATTTGCCCAGTTCAAGTGGTGGAAGGTTAAATATTTGATAGCAAGTAGTACGGCCTAGAAATCGTAATTGCCATAAATGCTAATTATCCAATCAATAGTTGAATATAACTTGGAGATCTTGATTGGATTTTTATTACATTTATGAAGTGCCTCCAAAGATAGATTATGTTATGCGAATAATAACGAGCCTAATCTTTTACGGATTAATGTAGAAAATATAAATATAGTTAAGAGTTTTATATTATAACATTATCTTTATCCACTTATTGCTTATTGATGTTTATTTACACTTCGTAGCATAGCATAGTTAGTTTGTTCAGCCAACAAAATCTCTTTCAACCTTCAAATACAAAAGTTTTGGCCAACTTTATGTGAGGACCTTAATTGGTCATCTGAGAACTTGCGGCAAATGTGCTTAATTGAGTCTATAATTGGAATTGCTCTTTATTGACATATGCTATGGACTCACTTGACATCTCACCTGTCCAGGGGTTGATTGCATCGGTCAGGTGTCAATACTCGTCCTTGACACATTGCGAACTCTGTGGCCTCAACCTGCCTCCCCCAACGCCCACATGCGGTTGAGCAGGGGGTGTGTATGTGTGTGTGTATGTATATGTTTTGGCTTTTGGCTCAGACATTTTCCGCATTTTCACGCTGCTATAACTCACCTGTTGACTGCCGTCTCGCTCTCGCTCTCGCCCCCCGAAACCTGATGCCCGCTCGCACTCATGCAGCCGATTTAAGTAGGTCAGAGCTGCAAACACAGTCCAATTTGCCCCATATGGTCAGTTCACGTTACCTGTAGCTCGGGGATTAAGGATTGACTTCAGCACAAACCGTTCAGGACTCATTGACGCCGCATCGATGTTTAAATTCGTTCGGGAATCGGTTATTGATTGAAAATTAATGAGGAAATACTAAAGGTTTATTCCTAAATATTTGCAATGTGAATACAAAGAAAACTTCTTTAAATCTTTACAAAAATGATTTAATATTCAACTGTGAAGTATACAAATTTATGAAAAACAGAGCTATTGTCTCTATTTAAAGTTGCTTGAAAAATTCTGTTGGAGTGTATTGATAAGCTACACTATGACTTCAATTACAACTCCATGATAAAAGGCATGAGAGTTTATATAAAATCCATATAAATAGACATCATACGATTACCAATTATAAAACGCGCAGTTACCTAATTACTCTCACTCTGATCTATACAATATTTTTGCACTGGCCAGAAGCACTGGCTCAATTAACCTAAACGTTGATGTGCTGCAGAATGGACTTTGTGGCGAACTCAATTCGAATGGCTGAACACATTCACATACAATGCCAAAACGCGGAGCAGGTCCCGGGGAGGTCCTTTGTGTTGTGCCGTGAGCCGACTAATGGCATCCATTAGACACAAAAGGCCAAATTGCCTGGCCCGAATCCGATGGCATCGATACACACTCGTTCCATACTCACACACAAGCACACCCACAGAGGCTGCATTTATTTTACGATGGACTTTTCGTGCGATCTATTGTCACGTGTCCGTCCGAATGTGGCTGAATGTAGTCTATTGTGTAATTGATTTCGATTCGGCAGCTATTTGCATGACTGGCGCATTTTGCTTGCTTTTCTTTTATTTTACTTCATGTGTGTGTGGGTTCCGGAACGTGAGCAAGTGATTCGGGATTCCGTATTCCGTATTCCATTTTCCGCAGACGCAGTAGTCCGTAGTCAGGCGTTGATATGCACGGCATGCACAGCGTCCTGGGTCCCATAAACACATAAACAGTGCGGCATAAAACAAAGAGCTCATCACATTCGCATGCGGATCACACATGTTTTATATACATATATATTTTTTTAGATGGCCAGCAACCTGACCAATCCAATCCGATTTCGCTCTCGCCCTTGCAGATTGATTCCGCCAAAATCACCTCGATTAAGTCATGAACGCACTCGATATGAATAAACAATTTCTGAGCGTCTCGCAGGACCATCAGCATCAGCTTCAGACCTCGGCGACGGATCAGCGAAGTCGCTCAAGGTGAGTTTATCCTTGGACACGCACTCCCTTCTCCCTTTACTTAGTCTTAATTGTCTCTTTACAGATCGGAGCGTGCCTCGAGCCTGGCCCTGCCCCTTAACTCCCTGCTGGACTTCTATGACAAGCAGCAGGAGCAATGCAAGTCGGTCACCCTGCTGCCACTGCCCAGCAACAGCAGCAGCAGCAGCAACATCGTGCGACGCCACTCATCCCACTATTATCCCATGCTCGAGGACAAGCAGAAGCCGTCGCAGTTGCCACCGGCAGCCACCGAAATGCTTGTAAGTAGCAAAGTCCTTTGGAATGGATTATGTTAACTAATTGGTGACAAGTCAGGTATGCCTTTCTAGGGAAGCTTTTAGATGGGATATCTTTATTCCATTGAGTTTGTTAAATTCAAGGAATATTAAGAAATACTTAGAGTGGTAAATACGTTAGGGTCCTAGACAAGCAATATTTAATAATATTAGAAGCTTTAAATACCACCGAGATTTAATGATTTTGATTTGTAAAATGAAAAGAATTTAGAAATATAAGATTAACTATAGGAAAGTATTAAGTAAGAGTAAATTCTGTAAAGATCCTTGGTATTCTTATGGGATTATGCTGAGAGGCTGTTACTCCTTTAAGTTACACACTTAAAGGTTTAGTCATTCATCTAAAGCAAAGAATTTGTTTTATTATTTATTTAACCTAATTTAACCACAAAAGCTTAGGCCTTCTAATAGCGGTTTAAATTGGTTTATGGGTTTGATATAAAGCTATGTAGATATTTACAATGATTTCGCATACACAAAAAAAGGTAATAAATTGAAATATTTTCCATAGAAAAATGAAATATAAACTTGGTTAGTAGACCATAATTTGAGGGGATTTAAGTATATCCAAGAAATATTTGAATAAAAGCCCTTCTCTTGAAGAGCTTGTAAAAAAAGAGTGTTTGTGTAAAGTGCATTCACCAAGGGAGCTTACTTGGAAAATACCTCTATACCATCTTATATATGCATATATTATTCGGAAATTTTAAGGCATTTCAAGTAAAGAGACTACATTAAATTTTCCATTTTCCGCTAAACAAACAGGAAACTATTTATAACATATAATATAATATTTTATTAAGTGGAACCGTAAAAACTGCAGCGCCACTAACGTTCCTTGACGGCATAAATATTATTATTATTCTTTATGGCAAGGAAGCCAGCAGATGACAGCTTTCCCATCTTTGGATTCATTTGGCTGCAGACGAGAGGCGGCAGACAACAGAGTTTCCAGTGGAGGAAGCTGGAAAAGATTTGCTTCGTGGGTGGGATTTCCGTAAAGTTTTGCTGGCTTTGCATGATTCGGAAGATCGATGCAGGGGCAACCACGCCCACAAATCCCCAGGCACACAGATACACAAACACATAGAGAGAGAGTTCTTTTTTTGTATTTTGCCTTTTCGGGGCCGCGTCAGGTTTTTATGCACTCGGCTTAGCGATGGCTTAGTCCTTGGTCCTTCCCGCCATCCTCGCCACCTGCCAGGAGCTTATACTGCAGAATATTGCTGCCGGATAATATGGCCACAGTGGGCAATCGAGAGAGTAAACAGTCCATGGGGAAAGGGAGTTCATTTAGTGCATCCTTCTAAAATCTTTAGCAATTTCGTGGCCTTAGCTGTGAGGTCTCTTCAGATTTAATTTATATTTTTGTAACCGTTTTTTTTAACAGACTTCTTGATCTTTGTTCCCGAGTCCCTTTAAAAATTAAAATGAATGTTTCCCTGTTCATTATATCGTCAGGTTACGGCAACTACTGTAGTTGCCAATCATATATGTGAGCTGCTTTCCCTCCATGTCCTCAATCCGCTTTACTTATTCCGCCGGCAGGTAAACATGACGGAGCAGAAATATGGCAAGTCAGCGCCTCTGGGGGCAGGCGTCGGCATCGGGAACCGGCAGTATCCACAGCAGCAGCAGCAACAGCAGCTGGTGCGGGTGGACACACCAGTGACGCCACCGCCACCCATTCCCCGGCGCCTGCTGCGAGGCAAATCCGCCTGGCAGACGAATAGTCCCAATCCCAGCTCGGTGGGGAGTGGCGGCGGGCAGGAGGGCATTGGTGCCCACGGCATTGGCACGGTGTTTGTTTATCCGCAGCCAACAAACGTGACCACCACCGAGGCAGTGGCGCCACTCGGTTCGGCCGCAGGAGCGGGACAGGGAGCAGCCGGTCTGCAATCAGCGCTGCTTGTTGACATTGCCTCACGTCCGGCGCAAGGCTATGCGGATGCCGATGGCATTTCCGATGACGACCGCATGAGTCTGGAGAACTCCGTGTTCGACGAGTCGCTAACCTCTACGCCGGTCAAGGTTGCCGGCTACCATGCCGGCCGCTACTCCGCCATGGGCCACATGGCCAAGCGGGCGCAGCGCTCCTCCAGCAGCACAGTGGACTCTGCCTATGGCTCCTCGCTGGGCGGGCACAGTGAGCGCTTTGCCAGCAGCTCGACGAGCGTGGACTTCCGCAGTCGCTTCTCCTCAGTGGACACTCAATCCTCGCTGGACGAGAAGCCTCTCTCCGGCTCCATTGATTCCCCCTTGGCAAGGGACCCCAGAGATGCCTACCGAGAGCGAGGGGCGCTTAACGATGCCATGCACAAGCTGAACAATAACAACAACAGCCTCGGATTGGCCCTATACCCGGCCAGCAACAACAACAACAGCAGCAGCAGCATCAGCGGATCAGCGGAGGGTGTCAAGCTGCCGGTGGTGCCCGCCAGGAAGCAACCACCGCCATCCGCCAAAGGGAATTCCAACAGCAACAATTCGGTGGGGGAAAGTCAGTCACAGACGCAGTCACAATCCTCCAAGGAGACCGGCAGCGTCTCGGCCTCGGCCTCCACCTCGTCCGCCGCCTCGGCAGGATCTAGCACCATATCCAGCGGCACCATGTCCTCCATGTCGGGGCCATCGCCGATTGTGCCCTCTGCCGATGCCGCCAATCCCAAACGTCCAGGGCCACCGGAACCACCGTTGCGGCAGGCCAATGTCTTTGATCCCATGGAGATGAGTGCGCGGGGTCATCCGCCGCCTCCGTTGACCGTTAGGAATAAACTGGGACGCACCAAGCCGCCTCCCATTGCGTATCCCCGGATGCAGCAGCGCCAGGACTCCACTCTGTCCAGCGATAGCTACTCGATCAGCTCCAGTCCGGGTTACAACTCTAAGCTGATGGAGGCACCGCTGCTGGGCTCCACATCGCAGGTGGGACGGAAGCCTAATGCGCCTGGCACCGCTCAGCGGCAGACGCCACTGATGGACTTGGCGCCAACGCGCTTCCTGAACGGAGGCGGGAAGCCGGCGCCCGCTATGCCACCGCCAAGGGGAAAGATCAACTACCGTCAGGACTCGACCATCTCCAGCGACAGTTTCAGTCAGTCGTCCAGTCCGGGTTACAATCCCAAGCTCATGGAGGCACCGCTCCTGCCATCTCTATCCGCCAAGCGACTGTGCAGCAGTAAGTTCCTGTTTCACCTGCTTTCTAGCCATCTCAAGTGACACTCCAACATCTTATCCTTAGCTCCAGCTCCAATTGTCTGCCGACAGCATGAACCCATTGAGGAACTGGAGCCGCCGCAGACCATCTCGCCGCTGCACAAGGCTGGTGGTCCGCCCAGCAGCCTCCAAACCATTGTCCGCTTTCAGAACGGAGCTCCGCACACCATGTCCTTGCAGCATCAGGTAAGGGAGAGCACTCCCTTAGAGCCAACATGAAACTCACATGATCCTAATCCCATTGCAGATCATAAACCGACGCAAGAGCTCCAATCCGTACATCACCAACGGCCGCCTGAAGTTCCGCCTCTTCCAGATCCTGATCAACGCCTTCGCCCTGCTGGCCATTGCCGGTGGCCTTGCCGCCTACTTCAATGCCTATCCAACGATCAAGTTCGTGAACAAGACGATCATCAATACCATCCATGTGGAGGACACGACCAGTTTCGGCAAGAACCCGGCTCCCGGCACCTGTCTACCCATCATTGTGCGCTTCTGTCAGGGTCCCCAGATCCCGTATAACTACACCGTGTTCCCGAACTACATAGGGCACTTTGGACAGCTGGAGACCCAAACGGTGAGTAGATAGTTCCATCCTGGAGGCAGGAGTGGCTAACTCGAATAATTCGCAGGATCTGGACTCCTACGAGGCATTGGTGGATGTGAGATGCTACGAGCTGGTGTCCTTGTTCCTATGCACACTGTTCGTTCCCAAGTGCGGTCAGAGCGGGTAGGTCAAAAGTATCCTGGTTAAGATATATCCATTAAAGATATTTCTTTCACCGCACAGAGCCACAGTGCCACCCTGTAAGACTCTCTGCACGGAGACCATGCGCCGCTGCGGCTTCTTCTTCGATGTCTTTGGACTCAGTTTGCCTGAATATCTGAATTGCAAGCTCTTCAAGGATTTCCCCAGTTCGGAGGACTGTGTGGGCCTGGAGGAGGTACGCGACGTCATGATAGCCGCCTCGAATCCCAAGTGTGAGGGCTTCCAGTGCGATCAGAACCGCTGCCTGCCGCAGGAGTATGTTTGCGATGGCCACCTCGACTGCATGGATCAAGCGGATGAGGCCAGCTGCGAGCGTTGCGGTCCGGATGAGATCTACTGTGGGGACAGCCAGTGCATTGGAACCAAACACATTTGTGATGGCATCATCGATTGTCCCTATGGCCAGGATGAGCGCAATTGCTGTGAGTTATTCTTCTAGATCTTTATCTGTATATGTTTCTATATATATTTTTCCTTGACAGTGAGACTAAGTGAACGGAATGGCGATGTCGGCACTGGGGTCTTGGAGGTCTACCGTATTGGTCAGCGTCAATGGATGCCCGCTTGTGTGAAGAACTGGGATCGGGCAGTCTCCCCCAGTGCCGTGTGCTCCATACTGGGCTACTCCGCAGTCAATGCCACTAGTGTGCTGACACAACGCACCCATCGACCGTTGCTGGCCTCGGTGAACGTCTCCACCGATATTTGGAAGATGTATGCCAAGAGGCGCTCCACCCTGATGCAGGAATTTGCCAACTGCAAGAAGACCGAGGACTATCCCATGGCTGAGCTCACTTGTTCCAATTACGGTAAGGAATTCGAATTTAAGGGTATCCCAACTTTAGTGCTGAACATTCCATATATATTAGAATGCGGTCGCGTTAAGCGGGGCAGGCACAAGCCCTCCAGACGCATCATTGGCGGCACCCAGGCTAATCCCGGTAACTGGCCCTTCCTGGCCGCCATTCTGGGCGGTCCGGAAAAGGTTTTCTACTGCGCTGGGGTCCTTATATCGGATCAATGGGTACTCACAGCTTCCCATTGCGTTGGCAAGTAAGTTTTGCTTCGGAATTTAAAATCCATTAGGAAACTAACTCTCATATATCCTTGACAGCTATACGGTCATAGATCTAGAGGACTGGACAATTCAGCTGGGCGTAACGCGTCGCAACTCTTTTACTTACACAGGTCAAAAGGTTAAGGTCAAGGCGGTGATTCCCCATCCACAGTACAACATGGCCATTGCCCACGACAACGACATAGCCCTGTTCCAGGTGAGTCCAAGACACTGTCTACTATATCTTCCATTTATTTTCTAATGTTTTTGATCGTCCTTGCAGCTGGCAACGCGTGTGGCTTTCCACGAACACCTGTTGCCTGTGTGCCTGCCGCCTCCAAATGTGAGGAGTCTGCATCCCGGCACCCTGTGCACGGTTATTGGTTGGGGAAAACGGGAGGACAAGGATCGTGAGTGTGATCTAAGGGTTTAAGGTATTGTTTTATTGTAACGTTATTCTATAACCCACAACAGCCAAGTCCACGTACGAGTTTATAGTGAATGAGGTGCAGGTGCCCATCATTACACGCAACCAGTGCGACGAGTGGCTGGACAACCTGACCGTTTCCGAGGGCATGGTTTGCGCAGGCTTTGATGACGGGGGCAAGGATGCATGCCAGGTGAGCTTTACAACTTCATAGGAGCTGGGGAATAGGCTTGAAAATTATAATAATAATCCTTTTTAAACCCAGGGCGACTCGGGTGGCCCACTCCTGTGTCCTTATCCGGGGGAGAAGGATCGCTGGTTTGTCGGGGGCATCGTGTCCTGGGGCATAATGTGTGCGCATCCACGGCTGCCCGGTGTGTATGCCAATGTGGTGCAGTACGTGCCCTGGATACAGGAGCAGATGGCGAAGCATACACGTCCCATAAACGAGGATCGGGTGAACAAGTATGATCTGCATCCTGGAGGACCTGACATGCTGTCGAAAATATCAACGGATCCGATGCGAGTGGGTAAACCCTATTATTACTCACACAAGAACTAGGCCTGACTATGGCCACCAGGAGGAAGAGACAACTAGCATATCCATGGAACGAATGCACAAAACAAACACACACAGAACCGATGAATCCTGTAGGATACATACATATATTTTGCTACTGAACTTAGGGTATTAGCGCCATGCCGCTAACACCGATTTTGGGCAACATAATCATGTGTCAATTTGCCGAATTTATTTGTCAATTTTTTTACAAAGAGATTTCTATGAACCCCTAAAGGAGACCCAAGGAAGACCCGTCAAGGGTGCCCCTAAATGTCAATACATATTGCATACGCGATTTACGTATATATATATACACCTAAAACGAAGATAACCGATATACATATACCCGATATATAACCCATTGGTAATTGTGTCTAAATATTCCCAACCCGAAACCCTGGACAATAATTCCATTTTGTAGATGAATTTTGTGTTGAGATGAAACCTATTTTAAGCTAAGGGAAATTACTATAAAGAAACTATGTTTGCCGATAAACAAAATCAAAAAAGATAAATATCTAAGAAGATATATAGTAGGATCACAGCTATTGAGTGTTGACAAATACTAAACAGGAAATAATCAAGTAAATCGTAGGAAATACATATGTAACTATAACTAAACTAAAGACAAACCAAAAAGAAAAACAAGGAAAAATTGCTGATCTTGGCATTTGATGGACGTAGTAGCAGTGTTAGCTCTTCTCCAACTATGACAAAATAGAAATCTATCCAACAGAACTAGGTGCAGTTGACAATAATGGGAAATGCACAATATGCTAGTAAAGGCATTTAGCGATTAAGTAATGAAAATACTAACTACAATGCGTGGGTTTCAGCTTTAAAGAACACTAAAACGAAGAGGGAGAGTACAGGAGCATTAGGAGAAGGAGGAGGCATACTTATATACATATAGCTTACGATGAGAACTACAGAAGGTATACACGCTTCGATAGTGAATATGTCAATGTAACTTAATATTTAGAACTATTTACACGCCAACGCCAGCCCCAAGCCCCCTTCCTCACTTAGACTGGATGCTTTAGCCGAAGCTCGAAGTTATAGTTGTCCCGATTTCGATCCCCAATCATCCGCAATGCGATCCCCATCCCTTGGAGCAAATGTCACAGCAAATACAGAAGGGAATCGCAGGGTTATATATGTAAAATACGCGTAACTAAAGACTCAAAATTGGTTGTTTCAGCACAAAGAACACACACTCACTCACACATTATATTGAGCTTTGCAACGTGTATAGCTTGGATATTGTTTGTTCAAACTGAAGGAGGAGCAGCTCGAGCTCGACTTATCATTTTTGTAGCTAAAACCTGTTGTTGAGATGCTTTAGACACGAGATTGCAAAATGTATAACCGATCAGTACTAAATGTAGTTGGACATATTATGCCTACCTACATATATACATATATGTATATAAAATATACATATGTATATATACATATATGCATGTTTTGTACAATCAGTTTACAAGTGGAAAACGAAAACGAAAAAGATAAAGATATAGATAAAGTATTACTAGTCTTAATCGGGGGTCAAATGAAGCGCATATTACACAAGGCACACGATGTTTTGGGCGAAAAAGGGGACATGAACACAAATCAATATGTAACTGAAATATATATACAAGAAATATACATATAACGGATACATACATATATTCTATATATATATTGTAGCGATAGCTTGTAAGCAGATGTGATGGTGTCTAAATTTATACATGCATATATATATATATTACCAAAGCCACAGGAGGGAAAGCCTAGTTTATACGCCAGGACAATACATAATTACATATATAGAGAGACATATATACCCATATCAGAGACATTATGCTTACTTCGATATTGTGCATTGCATGTAACAGTGTGGCCTGGGAATCCCCAAGAATCCCACGGCCAAATCTTGAGTAACTCGATATCTTTTGTGTTCTTGAACTCTGGCAGAGAATCCTTAGCTGTTGCCTTGGCCAGTAAGCCGCACTTACTCCCCTTCATCCTTTCAGTTTTCTGGAGCTCACGCTCCTCCTTGTGCATTTACGATCACAAACGGATCACGGATCACGGCGAGCTATTTTTATACACCCAAGCTCCAGGCTACTATCAAAACGCTTAGCTTTATGTACATTTAGTCTAAAAATCGAACACAACCCATATATATATATACATATACTATATACCATATATTATACATGTACATTGTAGATGTAAAATGCTTAGCATTGGCGAGTGGAGTGAGTGAAATAATTTACACGTGGCATGGATAGCAGAATAGATAAATACTAGGTACTAAACCGCATACGCATACAATCAGCACGCTCCATCCTAGTTGAATTGCAGAAGGATTAGGATTCGATTCAGTTCCGCATGCTCCATGTGCTTGGGAGGACACAACATACATACATATGTATATGTATGTACGTACACACGATCTAAACCAAAACTACGGCGCAACCAAAGAAACTAAGAAATCGTAGCGAAACGTTATGTGTAAATGTAGCAAATCCAAAAAAAAACATAAAACAAAAAACGCTAAACCAAAAGCTGATTAAAAAACTAGTTGAATTTTCATTTGTGTGTCGAGACCACAATGATGTATCAGAAATACAAACATATATATAAATGTTTAAAGATGACCTACGCGATGAGAAAGCACTTGTTATTTATGCACAGACGGGGAACTTTGTGAAGAATTTACAAGATACAAGATACCAGATCAAACCTTTGACAATAAAATAACTGAATTTTTTCCAGTGAGCTGGACAAGCGCATCGGAGGCATTGAGAATTTATGAGAAGTTTTACATTCAGATTTTGACACGAGTCAGAGACAATTGTTGAACATTTATTTTGGCAAAAAAAACAAAGAGAATATAACTATAACTATGACAATAAAAATAAGGCGGACATTTGGTCGCTCGCCGCAGCAGTATCCTAAATAGGCGACACACAGACGACACACGCAAATATAACCGAAACTAAATGCTAAAAGCAACATGTCATACAATACATGATATATACCTACACACATATATTATATAAATGTTGGAAAATAAATGTATAAAAAAATTAGCCATGTGTAAATGTCTTTTAATAATGCTTTTCCCTGGAATATTCAGCGTTTTCCTAAACTTATAAATTCTCTTTTCTTACTTGGTGTATTTTTGCACTACGTCACGCATCTCCCTGATGACCTGAGCCTGATCGGCTGCTCCCACAACGGCTGTGCCCGAGACTATCATGTTGGCACCTGCCTTCGCGCAGCATTCGATGGTCTTGGGTCCCACTCCGCCGTCGACCTCAATGTCCAGGCCGGGGTAGTTCTTACGCAGCCATTCCACCTTGGGCATCATCTCCTCCATGAAGGATTGACCTCCAAATCCGGGCTCCACTGTCATTACGAGCACCACATCGGCAATGGACACATACTTTTCCAAGTCCTGAACCTGCAAGTTGAATTGATGATGTGTTTTTGTGAGTAGTTTTACTAAAGTGGGACTATAAAGGTTTTATTCTTATGCAAATTCAAATGCATTAAGGATTTCTTAGATCATTTTTAAATATCGTTTAAACCACAACTTACCTTTGTGCCAGGCTTTATGGCCAGGCCCACTTTCATGCCTGCCTCTTGAACCAACCGGCTGACCTTGGTCACGTCCTCCACGGGCTCAATGTGGAATGTGTACAGGTTGACGCCCGCATCGGCCATGGGCTCTATCCACTGCTGCGGCTTCTGCACCATCATGTGCGTCTCAAAGAACGCCGTCTAGATCGGATTACACAGTAAGTATGTACGTAAACACCCGGCTCTAGGGGTCACCTTGATCTTGTTCCGCAAGCTCTTCACCATAGGATGACCGAAGGTGAGATTGGGCACGAAGGTACCATCCATGACGTCCAGGTGCAGGTAGTCGGCTCCATTGTCCAGGAGTTTCTGGGACTCAGCGGCCAAATTGGATAGATCCGCATTGAGAATGCTGGGACCGATCTTGGCTTTGACGGACATGTTTGGAAAGAGGCGACTGAGTGGTGCAAGTTTTTAAATTAAATTATTTTGATTTCTTAAAGGGCCTAACTAACAAAAACACTTACTTTTCCTAAATATTGTGTTTAACTTATTCTTAATGGAAATTCCAATTTCTTATTGGACCGGTATATCGATAAATTATGCCATGCTTTAAAAAATATATTCGATACAGTCGATGCTTTCAACGTGGGTTATTTACGTCCAATGCAGCTGGTCACTCTGAAATCGCCATCAGAAACTTTTGAACAATAAACAAACAATAGGGGAAGTCTTTACAAATGAATTTTTTTTAATTTGATCAACTTTGCGCTTAAAAATACTTGATTGAGAATGCTTTGATTTGAATAAGTCTACAGTTCGTCCTTCTGGGCATTGACGCCCGGGTACTCCTTGTTTTCAATTGTGACTCCCTTGCAGCGCTCTTGCTCAATGAGGAAGTCCTTGGCCTCCCACGCTTGGGCGCCGTCCTTGAAGAGGAATATAGCACGGTCGTCGTCGACCATGTAGCGCTCTGCCTGGATATGGTTGTTCCACAGGCTGGTCTGCCACAGTTTGGTAATGGTCTCAGCCTCGTCCCTTGTCGGCTTGCCGGTAACCGTAACGAATGTCATCAGTGTGCGTCCCTTTTTCGACACTTTAAGAAGGTCCTCGGGGTTCTTGCTGTCGAGGTTGGAAAGGTCCAGCTTTGGCTGTGGGCGCAGGTGCTCGGGCAGTTCGTCCGCCTCCAAGGGCTCCTCGTCCTCCTGAAAATACGCAATGTTATGCGGGCTCTCTACACTGTCATCTTTAGGCACTCGCCTCCCACTGGTCCAGGAGACGCTCCAAGTCCGCCTCACTGTAGTCGCGTATGTCCTTCTTGGCCCACGCCGGTTTCTCTTCGTCCTTGAACTTCTTGGCCAGAACCAGCGGCGCCAGGGCCAGGATAAACACAATATACCGGGTTTGCATATTTTTTTTGCCAAGTTCGCCACACGTCAGCCTTCAGTGTGCCCAGCTGCCGCGATAGCGGCAGTTTACGCGTTTTTAAAATATGCTAGATATGACCTGAAGCAATCTAAGTTGGTCACACTGCCCTAACAGCTGATTCAAAGTTGAAAGTGATTAGAGGCGCGACGTATTATTGTTATTGCGTGGAAATGCGGCTGGTAAACGGGTCTTATAAATGCAGATAAGCAAGTCGATGCACATGGCATGGTGTTGTGAAACGAATACGCCATATCGCAGCTTGCTCAGTATAGTTTTTTGGAAGTTTAATGAATTAGGCCTGGCGAATTGTGTTAAAATTTGTCTTGTTACGATGACATCATCCACGCCGTGTTTTTAATTCGTTCCTCTCCGTTCCATCTGTTTTGTTTTGGTGCTTGCGTACATTTAGAAATATCTTGGCCCACACAACGACGGCGACTACAAGTATCTCTGAAAAAACAAGCTCTCGAGCGATTGGAATACACCGAAGAAAAATCAATAGGAGAACCGAATCTCACCGCTAGGACAAGATGGTCTTTGAGGCGGTGGTGACGGATGTGCTGAACAAGGTCCTGGGCGACTACATCGAGAACTTGGATCGGAAGCAGCTGAAAATCGGCATTTGGGGAGGTGAGTTTCCTGTCGCCTCCCCCGGGGAGATGACACAACTATGCTTAGAGTGCGAACACGCAAAACCATCATTTCACCCCATGTTTATTGCTCTATCTGCACGAAATACAAGCAACAACAGCGACGACCTTATCCTTGGCAAAATTACGATTAGTGACCTAATTCTACTTAAAAGTTGATGAGAAATGAGGGGCTTTAGCACTGGCATGCGAGAATCGCCAGCAAAAGCACATTCTCCAACGGGCTCCCAAGAGAGCGGGCGAGAGGATGCGGATGGGTGGCCACAGATGTATGGGCGCTGGTTGGCCAACTGTTGCATCTCTGTGATGCCATGCCTGTGCGGTCACTGTTTATTTTATTTCTCCGCTTTCCGTCCGCGTATTTATCTTTATATGTACATATGTATATATTTACTTGTATCGGGTGTCTGTGTGAAAACGTAAACAACGCCCGGCCTTTTATCTTAGAGTTCTTGCTCGTAATTCTCTAAACTACCAATGCGTTGGTATTCCATTACCAATTGCCTCAGGCAAATGGAGCTCGCTCAGAGTCTTAATATAGGCCTAACCTCAACCCCAAGGGTCGCATGGCCACGAACATACATATCATGTAAATGAGTTTAAAAATACAAGACGAGACAAACAATCGGGTTTGTTTCTGATTTGTGGCGCAGGTCGGGAGTTGACAGACGACAATCCGAACCAAGCCTGTTTTATTTCGGCTGAGCTTGAACTTGATGACATAATGCTGGCTCAGCGGCTTCGTAAATTGGTCTCAAACTCACACTGTTTTAAATATAATTTGCATTTTGTAAAATGATTATTTGGCACTTCCACTATAAATTTCCTTTCTTTACATACAAAGATTTATTATGGTAAAAAGGTATTCAGGGTAACTAAATGTTTATGTATTTTTTCATTGTGAAACATTTGTTTTTAATATTCTTAACGCTTTACTGCTTTAGTCCGCTGTACAAATGAACTGTCAATGTGTCGGTCATTCCGATTTTCACTTTCAAGATTTTAAATTTTATTATAATATTCATATGTAGTCTTAATAGAATATTACAAAATATTTAAGATGATTTTCACATATCCAGCATGATTCTAACTTATACAAAAGCATCTAAACCTATAAATATACTGCTGGCTTATCATCTAGACTATAAAATATATTACATGAAATGAAAATAAATTTTAATTTTCTTTATTTTAATATATTTTCAAATTAAACCCGAATTGGTCGTCTCCGCTCATTGTGCTTTTTTTTCCTTTCGTGTGTACATATTTATAATGATTCATGCATGCAGTCAATAAGCAAAAAAGGCGCTCTATTTCTTAAGCATTTTATTTATTATCTTATTAAATATTATTTACTTTATCAAGAACATTACTCCAATTGCAACAAAGTATTTACTCAAAATCCTTTGATTTCTAAGAAGCAATTGAAGAATTAGTTTGCTTTCCAGTAATCATGTCTTTGCATTTCTTATCGTACAAATTCCATGAGGTCACCTGGTCGTTAAACTATTGACCCACATGCGTTAATTCAATATAAATTCACTATATTCAGCCCCTCATTTGGTATGCCAAGCACAACAAACACTTAACAAATAAAAGACGGCATGCCCAAAATGCTAGTCGCTGGTAAATAAGTAGTATTGATATATTGGCGCGGCTGTGGGTATTTACTCCGCCCTCTGGATATCGCACACCGCGTCGCTTACACCATAAAGCCGGCATACATATGTATATGTACATGGCTGTTGACCTTCGTATGAAATTTACCCATTGTGCGCTCCCTTCGCAATTAATCAGCAATTAGTCAATGGGCATTTGCTCCTACAGGCACGATTGACTGATTACCGAATGTGATAAGACTAATGGAATCAATTCTATCTTTGTTTTGGCAGGCGATGTGGTCTTGCAGAACCTCAAGATACGCGAGAATGCCCTGGACGAGATGGACCTGCCCGTGCAGCTTATCTACGGCTACCTGGGTGAGTGGGGGAATATAACACCTTTTTATTAAATCAAATTCATTGGTCATTTAATTCGAATTACAGGAAAACTTGTGCTCAAGATCCCGTGGAAGAATCTGTACAGCCAACCGGTAATTGTCAACATAGAAGACCTCTACGTCCTGGTATCACCCAACAACAATGTTCGGTACAATGCCGAGAAGGAGGCCAAGTATGAGATGGATCTCAAGAAGGCGGCAATGGCTGCTCTGGAGGCAGCTCGCAAAAAGGAGCTGGAAAAGGGTAAGCAAATATATCCTGTCATCCAAAGCTTTTTAATTGATAAGTCGTTATATTTTAGATCTGCCCAAGCCCGATGCTGGCTTTACCGAGAAGCTAACGGCCCAGATCGTGAACAATCTGCAGGTGCAGATCACCAACGTACACTTGCGGTACGAGGACACCACCACGACGGGAAGTCCCTTCTCCTTTGGCATATCGCTGCACGAGCTGGAGCTCTATACAACAGATTGCGATTGGGAGAAGACCTATATGGCTCAGCAGGCGTTGCAGGTCTTCAAAATGGCGAATCTCTCCTGCCTATCCGCCTACATGAACTGCGGTGGACAACTTTACGCCAAGGATAAGACCCAGCTTACCGAATATTTCCAGGAAAACATTGCTCGGAAGGATTCAAAGCCAGCCGACTACCACTACGGTTAGCTCTGCATAATTCTATACTATACACTTTTATTTATCATTTCAATTCCAGTCCTGGGTCCCATCTCTTGCAATGCCAAGCTGAAGCTAAACATGAATCCTGAGCTGGATGAGCCCGCTTTCGATAAACCAAAAATCGATCTAACCCTTGAGATGGAAAAGTTGAACGTGGGCCTGACTAACACACAGTTTGATAATATCATAAAGCTGGGAGACGCAATGAATCGTCAACAGTTGGGCCTACCCTACCGCAAATATCGCCCGCATAACCTACGTAAATATCTCGGCTATCCCTTTATTCAAGCAATTTAGTTTAATTTCATTTTTACAGCCGTCAAGGGACATGCCAAGGAATGGTGGAAATTTGCAATAACAGCTGTTCTGGAAGAGGATATTAGGAGGCCCAATAGGAGTTGGACTTGGAAACACATCAAGGAGCATCGCGATCGCTGTCGCAGTTATGCGCAGGTTTGTCTTTGACTCAGAATCTATTATATACGTTATACATTGTTATTCAATTTAATATTTGAAAAAATAACTGATTTACCTTTCAGAAATACAAAGAACACTCCTTGAGCAAAAAACCGCCTGCAGTGCTGGTTGAAACCTGCAATTTGCTGGAGCAGGAACTGGACATAGTCAACCTGCTGCTGATACGGCAGCGAGTCAACATCGAGATTGAGAAGCAGCGTGAGGCAGTACCCGAGCAGAAGGCGGGATGGTTCAGCGGCTGGGGCTGGGGTGGCGGAGCCAAGAAGGAGGATCAGACGGAAGGACAGAAGTTGGGCAAGTAACTGAATTTGATTTCTGGGGTCTTTAAATTAAATCCCATTTATATTGCAGTGGAAAAGTTCGAAGCAGCCATGACGAGCGAGGAGAAGGCGAAAATGTACAGGGCAATTGGTTACCAAGAGAACGTGAAGCCCACGGATCTTCCTGAGAGTTACGAGGCCATCAAGATGAACTTTAAACTGATCGCTCTGGAAGTGGGCCTGTACAAAGAGGAGAACAGGGGAAATGAGAAGATTAGAGACTACCAAGAGCTGCCATCGCTGGTCCTTCTAAAGTTCTCGATGGCCACAGCATCGCTCTCCCAGCGACCGGCTGCGGAAGCCGTTAGCATTACCGCCGGCATGAGGGAGCTTAAGGTGACGGGACTCAAGTCCGAAGAGAACACTCCCCTGTTAATAGAGTCCAAGATCACCGACGAGTTCAACTTGTTGGATGTGTTCTTTGAGACAAATCCCCTTGACAAGAAGTGCGACCAGCGTGTGAAGATGGTGGCACGTCCGCTACAGATCGTATACGATGCCCCACCGTAATGGCCCTAATCGCCGCCTTCAAAAGGCCGGAAGATGTGACCCTCTCCCGCTTTGAGGATGCGGCCAGCATACACATTTCCAGCTTCAAGGAGCGATCGGCCACAGGGATGCAGTATATGATTGACAAGAAATCGGTGCTGGACGTGGACATCTTGCTCATGCCAAATATTCTGATCGTGCCCCACAACGGAGTATACAAAGAGGGCGAGACTTCGCTTCTGGTTGTGAGCATGGGCCAGGTGCAGCTGTCCAGCACCCCGCGCAACGACACATCAAATCTCAACCACTTGCTTTCGGCCGGCGGAGAGAAGGTCGACATTCTAAAGGCGGTGATGGCCAACGCCTATGACAGGTTCACTGTTAAGGTGGCAGATGTTCAGATGCTAGTTGTCCAGGCTGGAGAGCCGTGGCAGACGGTTCTAAAACAAGCCGAATCCACGGATATGCATGTACTGCGACCTGTCTCTTTAAAAATAACTGCCGCACTTTGTGTGATCGATAACGATCCGCGGCTGCCTAAGATCAAGGTGGACATTGATCTACCGTCGGTGCTGGTAAACGTCTCGGAGGATCGCGTAATTCTTGCCATTAAAGTGGCCATGAGCATACCTTTGCCGGATCAACAACAACCCCAGTCAGGGTTGGGGAACACTCGGACTGGTTCACGCAGCTCGATGTCTATATCAACCTTTTTAAACAAGGAGGTGAAAAAGATAAACGCCGGGCAGTCAGGCACTCCTGCGGTGCCCTATCATGAGATCACACAGTACACAAATTTGGACGTTAACTTCTCCCTGGGAGAGATAAATTTCGTTCTCTTCCAGTCTAGCAGGTGGAGCGAGACCAGCGCCCATTTTTCAGTCCAGTATGTCGATCCCTCCGGCACGCGCTCTCCTGCCGTAATGGCACATCAACCGCAGATCCTCGAAGAAGAGCGTCTGCCGACATCGCCAGCACAGCAGATTCTCTCCATTGACCTTCGGCGACTCGAGGCCCATTTCGCAGCGAGAACCTATGAGTCTGTGGCGGCCATCAAGTAAGTAAATTCAGCCACGTTTCAAACCTAGGAAATTCAATTCTTATTCTTTTCAGGCTGGGAGATATCAACCTGCGCCAGTACGGCTGCCCGGACATAGATACGTTGGATGTGATTTTCACGCCCAAATTAGTGAATAGCTCAAACTATCTGTTCACCGTCTCCTGTACACTGGCAGACAAGACGTCCCCGGAGTTCAGCACCAAGTATAATTCCACAGAACAGCTGATCGTGGCCAACTTCGAGATACTGCAGATTGTGCTGCACCAAGAGTGTCTGCGGAAGCTCATGGAAGTTGCGAATAATTTCCAAAACAACCTGGATTTCGTGCTGTCCAGCAACACGCAAAAGGATAGGGCCAGTTTTGCTGGGGGCGGCGATGGCATCCGGCACAAGCTGAACGTTATCCTGGAGGACACTGAGCAGGCAATGACCACCAATCAGATGAAGCGCCGTAAGAAACAGCGATATGGCGTCGTGGAGAGTGTAAAGGTTCGCATGATAGCGAATCTGGACCAAGTGGGATTAAAGCTCACAGCTCAGAATCGAGACTTGACCGAGTTGAACGTGAGTAAATTCGTATGCAGTCTGATCATGAAGAGTTCCTACACAGAGGTCAACATTGGCCTCAAGGATATAACGGTTGTGGACCTAAATCCGAATACCATACACAGGAATGTAAGTGCTCCCCTCCAACGTCATAAAGGCATGAATAATAAGCTATTATAACCCCTCAGATCCTCACTATTGTGGGCACGGACGCCTTCAATTGCCAAGTCGTGCTCTTCAACAAGTTGGAGACCCTCGACTATAACTCGGACGATATGAAAATCACTGTGGACATTGGATGCTTGAGAATTATCTACCTTAATTGGTTCGTTGCAGGTGTCTTGGTGAGTTACTTTTCCTGAATACCATATATCTTATTAATCTACTGTGACTCTTGCAGGATTTCCTAAACCACTTTTCAGCAGCGCAGGCGACCATATCGCAGGCCAGCGCTGCTGCGGCAGAAACTGCCCGCCAGAAGGCCATGAATGCCTACGAAACGGCCACGCGCATGAAGCTTAATGTTCGCATTAAGGCGCCCATTATTATAGTACCTACAAGTTCTCGGTCCTTGAATGCACTGGCGCTCGACTTGGGATTGCTGGAGCTAACAAACAATACAGTGGAGATAGCGGTGGCCAACGAAGAAAGACTGGCAGTCATCGATGAAATTAAGCTGCTCATATGTGATGTAAAGTTATCCAAGGTGACCATAATTGATGGCCATGAAAGCATGGTCGATGGTGAGTGAAATGAAATATAAGTAATCGGACCCCCAAACTGATAGCTTATTTTTCAGAAATTGACTCTGTGGTAGGCTATATGTCTAAATCAAACATGATGAATCCCATGAACTGCACCCTATTGGTCACACGAAATCTGTCCTTCTCCTGGTACAAAGATGTGCCCGAGCTTAGTCTCTCGGGTCGTCTCAAGTCCATTGAGGTGAGTTTCATTTAGGTTTATGATGTGGAGAATTTATATCTATAACCACTACAACCACAGCTCACTCTGATGGCGGATGATTTTGCCTTGGTGATGCTGGTTATGAATCACAATCTAACCGAGGGCTTGGATGAGTTTCCCCCCAGTGAAGATGCTCCGCCCGAGGCGAAACCCAAGACACCGGAAAGACGGCTATCACGTGTGGATCGCCAAGCTCGCTCCTCGCTTTATCCAACCAAAGAAAAGATTGTCGAGGCCATCAAGTTTAACTTCCAGTTTGATGGCGTGGTCATAGACCTAATGGAGAGTAAGTACCCGGAAATTGTTCGAGTAAGCAGTGTGTCTCAAATGTGTTGTATTCGGGTTTCCCAGGTGAGGACGAAGGACTGGCTCGGTTCGGTATTTTTTTCCTAGCGATCAAGGGCACCAAGCTGGACAATGGAACCCTGAGTACCTCTGTGGTCCTGTGTAATATTCAGGTGGACGATACGCGCAAGAACTCAAAAACTCAGATCCGGCAGTATCTAAGCCGCAAGGATTGGGTTGAACCACGGCTGGGAACGGAACAGATTATTGACTCCTGCTACACAGAACGCAACTTCATGGTCGATATGACGGCCATTATCAAGGAGAACGACACCTTTGGTAGGTTTTGACGAGAACTTCTTCTTCCTTTATAGTGTCAATTTCATCTTTGTAGCTGAGATCCGTGTGCGCGGCTTTGACTTGATCGTCTGCATCGACTTTCTGCTCAGACTTTCAGCCTTCTTTACTTTGCCTGTCGACGATCCACCGCCTGCAACAAGCGACAAAAAACCTCAATCAATGACGGCAACGGTGCAAGAGGCCCACAAATCCATACGCCAATCCACCGCAGATGTAGCAAAAAATGAGTCTATTGGTAATTACAAGAGTAGGACCTTATGCACAAGTCTTCTCTTAATGTAAAAAATTTGTATTCCAGTTTTTCCAAATGTGGCCAAGAAAGTCAACCTTATTCTCCATATTGACGAGCCTGACATCATATTGGTGGAGAATCTGGAGTATCTAAACACCAGTTGCATAATTTTTAATGTAAGCCGGACCATTGCATAAATATTTTCAGGACTAAATTTTTCACCGACCTTTGCAGGCTCAAGCTCATCTGAATTTCCGCGCCATAAACGAGAAGCAGATCATCAACGGACAAATCGACGCTCTCAAAATGTACATGTGCGCCTTTCTGCCAGAGCGTCGCGAGATGACACGCCACTACATTCTCCATCCGTGCGTGATTAGCCTGCAGGGCTCCACACCCGAGGAGGAGGGCATGCACATCAGCCTGAAGCTGAGCGACATCATCATCAATGTGTCTCCGGCCACCATTGAGCTGCTCAACAAGGCGATGGTAAGCATAACCACTGGGAAAGTGGTCAGCCAAGCCGTTGCCGAGGACGCGCGCGACCATTCGAATCTGTGGAAGCAGCATCGCTTCAGCAGCCGCAATTTCTGGTTTACACGGGTAGAGCAGGGTGTCGAGGCCCTGGAGTACCAAAGGAATGTTGCTCAAGCGACAAAAACTGAGAAATGCGTGATCGAAATGCCCAGTATTACGCTTGTCATCGAGTCCGGCGTTGGCTACTATACCAAGCCCCTTATTTCGCTTGATACCCGCATTACGGCCGTATTTAACAATTGGAGCCGCAATCTCACTGCCCAGGGCTCCCTGACTGTGAACATGGTAAGTAGTTTTGAATACGGATAATATCTACATATATAGCACATAAATCTGTAACGTTCTCTAGAACTATTACAACCAAACCCTGGCCGAGTGGGAGCCGATCATCGAGCTGAACGAGGTGGTGGGCCGCAATGGAGTTCGCGAGTATACGCCGTGGGAACTGAAGTTTGAAATGGGCATGGAGAAGGTGGTGAATGAAGCGGATGAAGACGACGAGCAGCAGGCCATGTACATGAATATTAACTCGAAAGAGACGCTTGAGATAACGCTGAGCAAGACCTGTCTGGGCCTGCTTAGCGAACTAGCTGAAGCCTTCTCGCAGGCCATCGATGAGAAGGGTCTGACCAAGCCGACTATCGTGGCGCCTTACGTGCTGGAGAACGATACAGGCTTTGACGTCAACCTGGACCTGAGTAAGGGCATCTTTACGCTGCACGAGGTACATTGCAATGTTACCTCGATGCGCAGTAGCACCCTTCTCTTATCGAACTGTACTGCCGACGTTGACCCCATTGCAATAAAGAACTGCACCATTTCGGCGGGCGGGCGAGCCTACCTACAGACCAAGGATCTGAGCACGTTGTCCGACGAGGATGCTGAGGACTATACCCTTTATGTGACGGTATGTTGTCATAACCCAGCGTATTAGTGAGGTTAAAGAGCTCACAAATGGGTATGGGCTTTGGATTTCTTTTTGCAGATTGGGGACATAGGCAAGGAGATCGCACTGCCGGTGTCAAAATCAGATACCAGATACTTTAATCTAATGCATAGCTCGACGCACGAACCGTGGGGAATTGTTTCCGAGGTGAAGCAGGAGTACGGCACCACTAAAATCAACATCCATGGTATCGTCAGTGTAAGTACCAACAGGATAGTGTTAGCATTTAGTTATTAAACCTATTCTTAACTCTTTCAGGTACACAATCATTTCACGTGTAACATAAACATCTTTCGACGCAACACGAATCCCACCGCGACGAACTTTGACGACATCTTTGTAGGACGAGCTAAGATGGGAGAAGTGTTCCATGTACCGCTGCACGCTATATATGCAGACTCCAAGGAATTGTATTTCTGCATGCGCGGCTACAGGACCTCGGTGCAGGGCATTGCCTGGAACTCGAATCCATCGGACTTTAATTATCACCATCAGCTACACTGCAATCCGATCAAGACGTTCGAGCCCCTATACATCAACGCTCGGCGAAAAAAGACGGAAATCTACAACGAGTACTCAAACAAATATACGATGCTAAGCGCTTTCTATACGATTCACCTGCGCCCACCGCTCTACTTGCGCAACTGCCTGCCTATTGATATAATGGTATCTGTGGCCGGATGCTCTGTGATGAAGGAGGGTCTGGATAAACAATCCTCCGTGCAATTCAACAAGGAAAGCTCCATTAGAGAGGACTTCCTGGACTACGGCGAGAAGGAAGTTAAGTCCGGTAATGTCCTCCACCTGCCTACCGTTCGATTGACCACCAAGGAAATGGAATCGAAGAGTTTTCTTGTCGTTAGGGTAAGTTAACACCTTTACAAGGAAGGTTATAAAAAGTAACCAATCGTCCCACTTAGCTCCTTCAATACTTGGAGAAGGACTGGTCCTGTGCCACCGAAATTTCGGATTACTCTGGCGACATTGCCATCTGGAAGTTTTCATCTTACGATTCGGAGATGAAGGTGGACATGGATCTATATGTTAAGTGAGTAGCTACTAGCTGGTATGGCGGTGCTGCGGGAAGTATTCATTTCCTTCTTCTTTCGCAGGGCGGAAAACCGGCACGACAGCTTGATGCTCACGCTATACAGCCCCTTCTGGATGATCAATAAGACGGGAATGATGCTGACGTACAAGACGGACTCGACCTCAATGGACGTTCTGTACCATCCGCCCGAATATTCCGGACCCATTCTGTTGACCTTCCGTGATAAGGTCTTCTTTGACAAGAAGAAGGCATCCATACGTTGCGACAACGGCACCTGGAGCCAGAAGATCCCGCTGGATATAGCTGGGGCGATCGGCGAGGTGTCTTGCCAAGCCAACAACATGACTTACCACATCGGCGTCCACAACCATTTGACGCAGAACTCGTTGACCAAGCAGATCACCTTTATCCCATTTTACATCGTGTGCAACCGCTGTCGCTTCCCCATTGAACTGCAGGAGCAGAGTCGCCCGGGGGATCCCTGGCTGCTTCTCGAGACAAATCAGTTCGAACCGCTTTGGCCGAAGACTGAGAGCATGCACAACCTGGTGGTGCGAGTCAAAGGCAAGGTAACGCCGGCCTTCGACTACACGGAAGTTATCTGCACGCTGCTCAAGCTGGAGGATAGCAAATACGGTGGCATCAATGTGGACGTTCAGACGACGGAGGGCGGTGTCTACATCACGTTCACAGAATACAAGACGGCCGATGCCCCCGGCCTGCTGGTCAACCACACCAACAACCAGATCATGTACCATGAGAAGGGGACGAAACATGAACACATCCTGAATGCCAAAAGCGCCACCATGTACGCCTGGGATGACCCAACGGGACCCAAGGTGCTCGTGTTTGGCACCAACAAGCAGGAGACGGACCTCAAGCGCGATAACATCGGCGAAGTTCTGTATGATCATATAATTAATACCAGTGATTTATTTTCCCTGTTAATCCTTGTTACCTTTGTATTGACAGGACAGAAAATGGCCGTAAGGCACTATGGGTATCATTCCTGGATGGCCTGCAGCGGGTGCTGCTCTTCACCGAAAACGAAAATATCGCCCATCGCACTGAGAGCACCGCTGCTCTGCAGTCTATCACACAGAGCATCGATCTGCGCATCCATGGCATCGGTTTATCGGTAATAAACAACGAGTCGGGTCTGGATATTCTCTATCTGGGTATCACCAGCTCTGGCATCATCTGGGAGTCTAAGAAACAAAACAAAAAGCGCTTCAAGGAGATGACTATCAACGAGAATTCGGTCATCGAGGCCGAGTACCAACGGTACCTCACGCACAAGAAAGTCAACAACGTCCAGACCTACACACTGGACAACAAGTTCCCGGTAATTATTGCGTATTTCTTTTTTTTTATTTTTACTTGCAAGATGCGAAACTAACTGGCGCTCTCCTTCAGATCGACTTTGATCATATGGTTTTGAAAAAGTCGGTGAATCGTGATATACGACGCAGCTTCTATCCGGCTATTTGGGTGTCCCGCAAGTCGTCGCCATTCCAGAACCAGCTGCATATGAAAATCAATCGCATCCAAGTGGACAATCAGATCATGGATCCCATTTTCGCCATTGTGTTGGCCCCGATACCGCCGCCAAAGAGTGTTGCCAACACAACGGCCCTCAAGCCGTTCATTGAGTGCAGCATGGTCCAACGTATTATGCCCAACTCTTCGGTGCGACAGTTCAAATACGCCAAGATCCTGATCCAGGAGTTCCTCTTTAAGGTGGATCTGAACTTCCTTACGGCCATCTCCGATTTGTTTGCTAAGGAAGTCAGCGACGAGATGGCGGCCAAACAGTTCATTCAGGATGTCATCTCTATCGAGCTGCCACTCTCCGCCTTCTTCGAGGATCATTCGTTGCAAGAGCAGAAGAGCTTTTACGACAATCTGCATTTGGGCCCGCTCAAGATCCACGTTAGTTTCTCTTTGGGCGGCTCGGACACAAAGGCCCTGCCTGGCGTCATCGGTTCAGTGGTGCAGGGTGTGGGCGTTACCCTGACCGATGTCAACGATGTGGTCTTCCGACTTGCCTTCTTCGAACGGGAATACCAGTTCTTCACCCAGCAGCAGTTAATCAACGAAATCACATCGCATTACACGGGTCAGGCGTTGAAGCAGCTATACGTGCTTGTCCTGGGCCTGGATGTTCTGGGCAATCCATATGGGCTAGTGGTGGGACTCAAGAAAGGTGTCGAGGACTTGTTTTACGAACCGTTCCAGGTAAACTAATCCATTCAAATCGATCCCATATGACCCGTAACTACTCGGTTTTTTTAGGGTGCCATCCAAGGACCAGGAGAGTTCGCCGAAGGCCTTGTTCTGGGCGTGAAGTCTCTCTTTGGGCACACTGTAGGCGGTGCTGCGGGAGCCATGTCCAAGTATGATGCAACCTTTGTAGAATACTTAATGGAATTTCAAAACAAAACCCCTTTCTTTTAACAGAATAACTGGAGCCATGGGCAAGGGTCTGGCCGCTCTGACCTTCGACCATGAATACCAGAAAAAGAGGCGCCGAGGAATACACAACAAACCAAGGAACTTCCACGAGGGACTAGCTCGCAGCAGCAAGGGTCTAGTGATGGTTGGTTTTGCTTCAAATCTTTCGTTTTCCGTTTTAATTAAAAAAAATCTGTTTCAGGGATTTGTGGATGGTGTGACTGGCGTTGTAACCAAACCAGTAAGTGGAGCTCGCGAACAGGGCGTTGAAGGCTTCTTCAAGGGCCTGGGTAAGGGAGCAATTGGCCTGGTAGCTCGCCCCACCGCTGGTATGGTTGACTTCGCCAGTGGCAGCTTCGATGCTGTGAAACGCGCGGCGGAGGCGGGTGAGGATGTTAAGCGTATGCGTCCGCCACGCTTCCAGCACTACGACTTTGTTCTAAGGCCGTACTGTTACATGGAGGCTACGGGCAACAAAATACTTAAGTAAGTCTGTGTTAAGAAAAATCACACAGCAAACTGAATATAATTTTCATATTTTTATTTTAAAGGGAGACCGATAAAAGTAAATATGCAACGACAGACAACTTTATCCACTGCGAGGAGATTATCCCGAAGTCCGAGTACATGATAGTGACCAACTACCGCCTGCTGTACGTCCAGCGCAACGATATGTTCGGCATCTGGACGGTAAGTTAAACGAATTACCAGGAATTTTTAATATATCATCTGCATCCTTAGTCTCTCTGGTCTTACCTGTGGAGTGAGATTAACTATGTAACCTCGGAGTCGCGGGGTGTACAGATCACAGTTAAGACCGAGAACAAGAAGATGCTCGGTCTCTTCAGCCCCAAGGAGTCGAACCGCAAGCTGATCCTGCTGGCCGATGAAAGGAAGCGTCTTGCCTTGGTGGACATTATCGAATCTCAGCTCGCCGACCCCAATCCCCACAGGGTCGTGACCTCCTATCCGGGGAGTAATCAATAATGGACTTGAATTTATTTTCCCAACTGTATTATAATCCAAGCACACATACCCATGGCACCAGCAACGACATGGAAATCTACCTCGAGCCTGCAAGATTCTGTCAGTCCAAGCACCTGCACCCGGCACCCTGCAACCCATTGGTAAACGTGTCGTGCTTTTACATATGTTAACAACCATTATGTTTTGATATTACAATTTTATGTCAAAGTTGATGTGACATCCGGAGAGTGACTTTCACTAGCCTAGGGACTAAATCTACAATACGGAGACGAACGGGGTCTCTCCGAGATGTCGGATATCAGATGTCAGATGATGGAACTACGGCTACACCTTCTTCAAGTAGCTGCTGGGTGGTGTGGCCAGCGGCATGATGGGTTCGTAGTTGTTGCAACCATCGCTTTCGCAGAAGGATGTCAGTGACGCCAGCGCATTGGCGGCTAGGGCCTCTACGCTGAACATGGTGCTCAGATGGCCGCTGCTCTCGAACTGGTTGATGATCATGTTTACCTTGCTCTTGGCCTCTGCCTTCAGACATGGCGATGTGGCTAGGCCGCCCAGACAAGGTAGACCGGGATCTCGTTCCCCGGGACTGCCATCAAAGCCCTCGCCCAGTTCCGAGTCCGTCAGCAGATTCTCTTTCTCGCTTTGCTTGCACTTTCCATTGCTCGGTGTCGACCCAGGTGAGCCCGTGACTGTGGCCTTAGTTCCAATGCCCTTGTTGAGGCGACTTAGGAACCAGTTGCGGGCCAACTTATCACAATCCTTGCTCGCCGGACTTGTCTGCGCCGTGGTCTGGGACTTTCGTTGCTTCTTCTGCTCCTTGGTGGGCGTAAGGCCGGGACTGGTCAAGGAAGACAGTATTTCTGACTCGCCGCCATTCGAGTAGCTCTTCTTTACAGCTTTCTTAAGCCGGTCAGGGCTAGGACCGCCCGGTGATAGCTGATTGGAGAGTTCGCTGTGCACGGTCTTGACACGAGCCTGGAAATCTAGCGACATGCTGCCATGCAGGCTTGATGGCAGGGGCTGAACCTGGATATCGCTCTCAGTGTTGAGCAGGCCAAGAGCTTCTACCTCACCGTCGGTTGCGACTGCAGGCAGTGCTTCCTGCAGCGGTTGAGCCGGACACTTGGGCACATCGTACTCGAAGCGACGCGCCAGGGAACTGGGACTGTTGGTCTTCTCGGGCAGCTTCGGCAGCACCGTCGTGGTAGAGTCTATGAGCCCATAGACGGGCGAGGGCTCCTCGTAGATGATATCCGCTGATGTGTAGGTGGACTTCTTTTGGACCGGCGGCGTAGGCAGTTTGCGAGGCGTCGGGATTTTTAGGGGCTGATGGACCCCGGCATCTCCGCGGATGGCCGCCTCAATGGCGTGAATCCACTCTTTGGCATCGACCTCATTGTTGGCCTGGTACACGAACTTCTTGTTGGGGTCATCGGTGGTGATTTGGAAGCAGATGTCGCGCCGCTTGCCCTCCCCGAAGTGCTCGATCTCGATGGAGGAGCTCTTCAGGTAAAGGCTGCTGCTCGGCCGGCACGCCGTGGGTCCGTCCGCATAGCACAGCATCCAGTCGTTGAGGATGCCACAGTAGCACTTTCGGGTCTGGTCGAAGAACAGTCGCTTTGGCACGATCCGCTGCAGCTGGCCGTACTTGGTGGATCTCTGCAGGGACAGGTGGCCAGCTGGCAGATCTGCGTAGGGACAGTCAATGATCAGTTCGTGGGTGAAGGTTATCACCTGCTGGGACTCATCCTCCTCCTGTCCCACACCCTGTACACCCTGACAGATCTCGTATAGCTCCTGTTGGTGCTCCTTCTCCGCTGATCCCGTAACCGGTTGCTGGTTCGCAGAGCACCGATCCAGGGACCCGCTGCTGCCCAGATCAATGTATTCCCGCGAGGCGGACACTGCAATTAGGGGTAATTAGTGGTAGTTGGTGAAGTGGCAGTATGAGTACAGTCAAGCTTGTGCTACTTAAAACGATCTGGAAACAAGAATTTCCATAAACACTTAATGAGTACTCTTTAGTTTTACAAAGAATCTAAACTGTATTCTCCATATATAATTTTTACTTATTAAATTGAAACGAAATGTCTGGGATTAATTCGGTTCTCTTAAAGCAAGGATTTCTATAAAAACTTAATTTACTCTTTACTTTATCAAGAAACTAAATTATAATCTGGGAATCTTATTTTAGATATTTGAATATGATAAAAATTTTAATAATTAAAAAATGGATTAAATTCGAGTAATATCAATAGATTTTACGGCATTATAAGTAGTTTTTAAATATATTTTTCTCTGTGTAATAATTAAGATCACTTCTGTTCCATCTTAATGGTTTATGTAATAGAAGTTTGACTGTAAACATTTAGTTGTCGCGGAATCACTCACGCGAGTTCTTTGACGAGGATGGGGATGTGAGCATCTCCAGATAGCCGTTGGGACCGGTCTCCGCGCCCATCTTGCTGTCGACACAGTCGACCAGGCTGCTCCGATGGTTAACTGCCGTCGCCTGCTCGTCTGCGCATCCCAGTCCAGATCCGGATCCAGCCAACAAAACCTCGCAGCGGGCGAGAAGAGCAGCGGTCTGCTCCGCGGCCGTCATGTGGAAGAGATTCGAGGCGTTCTCGTACTCCGATGTCTCCAGCGAGGCTCGGAAGTGGGCGCGCACATCTGCAAGACAGAGAAGAAGTGGATGATGGGATGGTTAGTTCTAATGCTCGGCTTCAGCTCTTCAGTTGGCTAAATAAGGCGACGGCGGCCCCATTAGCTATTAATTTTGAAACGCATCATTGGCCCTAATGGCGGAGCGGTTGTGCAAGCCTGTAGTTGCCGAGGGGCAATTAGTCGGTCGCTGGAGCGACTCTGATGGTGTCGCTTCTACCGCCCAGTGACTCATTGAGCACGGGAAGTTGAGTACTCCGATTCAAAGCTATCATACCACATACACACAGCACCGCACAAGTGACCTCATAAAGCGCTCGCTCAAGAGTCAACTGCGAATTGACCGCAGCAATTAAAAATAATTTCACTGGCCAAGAAAGTTAACTCTGGTGTCTGTGTCTCTGGCCCCTCGCCTCCCGCTCAGAAGTATACATTTTTTAACGGTAAACAACAACAAGAAAAAAAAGAACACTTAAATTTGCAAGAAATCTTGTTAAAATTTGAGCACGCAAAGCTCTGGAGAGCTCTTTAAACGTAATAAGTCCGAATATGGGAATAAGAAATAAATACGAAAAACAGGCATGCTTGTCAGCTCCGAGAATTGGAGACTCCCTTAAAGAAGCCACTTGGCTTCAGTTTTGGGAACACAAAGTCGTTTTATGATACCCTTAAAGATGTTCAAGCAAATAGTATAAAGTTGTTTTAAAATGGGTTTATTATTAACAAGAAAATATCCTCATAAAAAAACACCCCATTAATATTTCAGCCTTTGATGCTGATCAAGAATATACATACATAAATGATTTATAGTGTCGGAAATGAAACCTTCACAGCCTTACAAGCTTCTGACTGAAACTATAGTACCATTCTTTGAGTCAATATTATTTAAATTTTATAAGACAATTTGTTCAACAAATCAAAGTTTAAAATACTCATAACTAAGCCAAAAGAGCAGTAATTTTAAATCTGAAAGCTGCGCTATGTTAGTTTTTGTTAGCCTAATAAATCTGCATACTCAGATTAAAATATTAGAAAATCAACATTTTTGACAATTTTAACGATGTAACCCCTTATAAAATTTTCAAATTTTGAAAAAAATTCGAAAAATTATATTTTGTCTGGAAATGGCTAGATCGACTCAGCTTTTGATGCTGATCAAGAATATATATAATTTATAGGGTCGGAAATGCCTCCTTCACAGCGTTTCAAGCTTCTGACTGAACTATAATACCATTCTTTGAGTCAATATTATTTATATTTTTGTAAGACTATTTGTTCAACAAATCAAAATTTAAAATACTCATAACTAAGCCAAAAGAGCAGTAATTTTAAATCGGAAAGCTGCGCTATGTCAGTTTTTGTTAGCCTAATAAATCTGCATACTCAGATTAAAATATTAGAAAATCAACATTTTTGACAATTTTAACGATGTAACCCCTTATAAAATTTTCAAATTTTGAAAAAAATTCGAAAAATTATATTTTGTCTGGAAATGGCTAGATCGACTCAGCTTTTGATGCTGATCAAGAATATATATAATTTATAGGGTCGGAAATGCCTCCTTCACAGCGTTTCAAGCTTCTGACTGAACTATAATACCATTCTTTGAGTCAATATTATTTATATTTTTGTAAGACTATTTGTTCAACAAATCAAAATTTAAAATACTCATAACTAAGCCAAAAGAGCAGTAATTTTAAATCGGAAAGCTGCGCTATGTCAGTTTTTGTTAGCCTAATAAATCTGCATACTCAGATTAAAATATTAGAAAAGCAACATTTTTGACAATTTTAACGATGTAACCCCTTATAAAATTTTCAAATTTTGAAAAAAATTCGAAAAATTATATTTTGTTCGGAGATGGCTAGATCGACTCAGCTTTTGATGCTGATCAAGAATATATATAGTTTATAGGGTCGGAAATGACTCCTTCATAGCGTTACAATCTTCTGATTAAAATTATAATGCCCCTCAGGGGTATAAAATTATATTAATATGTTCAGTTATCGTTTCATTTTAATAAAATAAATACAAAAAAATACCTGATAAGAGAGTGTAAGAGGATCCAAATACATTTCCCTCTGACTTCCTTTTCGATATTTAAATATCAACACAAAGATACCCCCATCGGCTGTGATTTCCCAAAACAATGATAAATGAAAGCAACAGTCATCGGAGGAGGGTTTAATATGCTTCCTATGCCCTGCAGAGCCAGTGAACCGAGACTTGAGAAAATTAAACTGACTAAAGAAGACGATGCCAAGGGGACGGAGGCCAAAACAAGCGCCTGGGGCATAGTTCTGCGGCATGTCCAATCCTCTGTTTATTGTCTGCCTTTTGGATACAGAAACACATGTACGCTGGACACAGTATACAGGTATATACATATGTATATATATTTAAACGATCCGGGGAGGAGACCGAGTCCCCCGCGATAAAAATGAACGAAATATACACAAAGCCAAAAGGAAAAGAACGCGAAGAGCCAGAGTCCGATGATCATAAAGCCAGAACCAGAACAAAAGCGTATTAAAGTTGGACGCCTGCGGAATGAGTCAATAATACTCTGGCACTGGGTTATTGTTAATGCTCGTGTGTCGGAGTTAGCTCTCAACTCCTCCTCCCCCCAGTTTTGAGGCGGTTTTGTAATTTTAACAAACAAAGTTAGCTGTACCCTAACAGGGTATTATAATTTGAATTGAATTTATTTAAAGTTTATTATATTTATTTTGTCATAAATATATGATGAGTGCCGCATTTCCAAATAAAATATATACATATATACTAGTTTATTTGTTTGTTTTGTAATTAAATAAGTGCCAAAACCATAACTGATTAGTATGCTTTTTTACACAGAGAGAGAGAAATGCTTAGATAAATAGATTAGAGATTAGATTTTATTAAGGTGTCAACTATTCCCACTACAATATTTGAGCCAAGGCAGTAAGAATCACAAGGTTAAGGAAGGAACATCTAATTCATGTTTGGTAGTGTAAATTACGAACTATTTGGTATAAATTAAAAGAGTTCAAGTTAAGAACTTCTTTTCGTGTAATAAAAAAATGTAAACTTACCCAACAAAAACTGTTCGATTTCGACCCGCTTAGTGGCTGCCTTTGTATCCATGGCTTGTGTTTTGTTTTGTAATTTATTTTCTCACTGCTTTTGTAGTTGTTGTATTTAAAGCTCAGTGTTAATTTGAGGCGCTTTGCCTTTCGCTTCTAATGTGCGTTGAGTGCTTGTTGTGCTGCTGATCGTTTGATTTCTCGCCCGGGCTTTATTGTGGCTTCTCTCCGATCTGAATTCGTATCTGAATCTGTATCTGTATCTGGCATATCCACCAACTGCACACACAATGTTTTGCCTTAGAAATTAACAGTTTGCTGTGAAAAGCGGATAACACATTTTTATAAGATCACATGCACAATCCAGGGGCTGCAGTAGTATTCCTCGATTCGGAGACACACGCGCTACTGAAGGTGTTCCTGCTGCACCGCCGCAGGGAAACACCTCCCCCGCTGCGAACCCGCTGTGGAGCTATCCTATTAATAGCCGGACTATCGATGCACCACTTGATGCCGCGCATCCAGCAGATATCCGTGCAAACGAACGCGTACGCTTCGAAATACAATACAATTTGTATTGCGCCTGCAGCTCGCAGCTCCGCTTTATTCGTATTATTTTTTATTCTTTATTATTGCCTACTATTTTCGCTTTTTTCGGTTGCACGCTTCGTTTGGCGCCTCATGGAAAATCAACCGATGACGTTATGTGCGCGAGTATCTGGGTATCTGAGTATCTACAGTATCTAGATTCGTTTGTGGGGAAAACGGTGCCTGTGCGCCTGCCATTAAATGCCATTACGAAATCTCTCTTTCGAACGCCCAACGCCCCTCGGCACTTGTCTGGGTGTCTCCGTTTTTGTTTAATTTTTCCCCCTTTTGTCTTTCCGAGTGTCTTCTGTCTGTCATTTGCGGTTTCCACTGTTTTGCGGCCAAGAATTGAATACAAATACGGGGTGCCCGCACGCAGAGGGAGCCCTCCGACTCGGGGACCAAGCCTTTTTAATTGTGAGTCATCTGCAGGGCGACGCGTGTCGCCACAAAGAAGCGACACCTCTGTCCAGTAAAATGCAAATACGGTCGAACTTGCCGTCACACAAAAGCACTATTTACCACTAAGAAAAAGCTTGGGAGGATGATAATTTTTAAAACAAATCCCAGAGATACATTTAGGCATAGCATCGACAAACCCAATTTAAAGTTCATACTTTAATAGATATTAAAGATACTACTGATCTTTTCTAAATACATACTTGTTTTGAGGCTAAGCTTAGTAGTTTAAATTTCTCGTAAATATAAGCTAATAAGCTGAAATAACAATTCTAGTTGCCAAGTTCAACTGTGTAAGCAAAATGCTGACCATTTCTCTGGGAGACACACCACCCGTACGTACACCTGCTACAAGTACGTGTCTAGACCCAGCTTTTACTTTTCTTCTTTTTTTATTGTGCCCATAAAACAGAAAATTATTTCGCTAGCTCTGTGACTGAACGTCTGGCCCTATGTATTTATTTCGTTTGTGCCAAACGCTAAAATTATTTATTGATTCAGAACATTTGCAATGCGACACCTTTGTTTTGTTATTGATAAACGCTCGGGCGAATTCCCAACGGCCAGTGTCGTCGTCGTTCTGCGGAAAAGTCAAAACAAACTGTTCGCCAGCTGTCTGGGCACAACAAATCTCGGTGGTAGCCTGTGCGCAGGCGTGTCCGTCTGTGTCCCCCCATCACCACTTCCGGTCATTTTCGTTGACGGCTTCCTGCCGACACGAACCCCCAATTACGAAATTACGAAATGCATCCACGCACAGAGTTTGATTTTGCATCCGGTTTTCCACGGCGTTCTGACAACGTTGACACCTTTTTCGCTCTCGGGCGAACTTTTCCTCGCCGGAGCCAAGAAGCGAGCGCGACTTTCCGGCTGTTGCGCCACCATGAATCACTCGAGCTTAACTAACTTGGAGCTTCGGTGTAGGCCTCTCTGGCAGCCGAATGGTAGTCCGAGCACAGACGAAGTGCCCTCGGTTCTGGCTCCCTCTGCACGCAGAGAAATTATAGAGATATTTCTGACTCTACACATTAAGCATGAATTGTGGGTCTTCCTTTTAAAGCTTTACTTAATGGAGGTCGAGGGTAATAAGTGTATTTTTCAACCATTTCCGTTTTTATCTTGTTTTTCCGCGTGTATAATCCAAACTGCCAAAGTGTGGTTTTGCTTGATTTTGCATTGCTTTTTCGGGGGAAATGACAGCCGGCCGGCACAGCTAAAGTTAAAGGCCCACGCCCAGCCCTCCTTTCGCAGTTTCCAATCCTCCACTAGGCAGCCCAAACTTCTAACGTTTTTGCCACATTTAGAGAGCCGATCCCGCCGCTGATATCATATTTTAGAGAACATCTTGCCCATTTTGGCAAAAGCAAAACAGGCTGACCAACTACAGTGCGACTTCCGTAACTAGAATATAACCATATTATTATTATTTTAACAATGAGTAGTTTTGTTCATTATTTGTATAAGCTATTAATTTAATTCTCTCTTAATTTAATTAAAATAATACAGAACCTGATACATTCCTGAACTTTATTTGTTTTAAGTGCTTTGAGCTGGAGAAGTCAGACTGTAAAACCAGAAATCTAATGTGGCGGGCAGATGTTGTTGCGGCAGCTGCTGAGAAATCCGAGTTTGAGCCTTCGCAGAAAGAAGGAACCCCAAGCCCAAGCTCCAGTCGCTACCAAGACAATCTTGGACCTGAAGCCCTCCGCCTTCCCTTCCCTTGTGCGTGTCCTCTTTGCTGTGCGGCAGATAAAGCGAGCTGTCCGAGACCCTGCTCGGCTGCCCTTTTTGGGAGCTGTCTCTGAAGGACGCGTCCATGGGACGCCGTGGCAAACAACTCAATTTTAATTAAACGTTGCGCTCTGAGAAATAAATTAAGTACGCTGGCCGGGTTGGCTGCGCAATATCTGGACAGCCTTGGGTTGAGTCGAGCTGCAGTGATAAGTGCATAGCCGTTGCGTGACTCGACCCAGAAGACTGTTCGGCTGGATAACAGGTTCCCACCTGGGCTGGCCGCCTGGCTGACTAGCTGGCTTTATCAACCGGCACAAAGAGCCTGATTCTAGTATTGTGCTAACTCTTAATTATGTGCCATAACAAGTATTTTCATTCAACTAAACCACAATCTTTGTACTTAAATGCATTGACGGCGCGACTTTATACGCTACTTGAGGAACGCTTGCAGGCGGTTTTCCTGCGACTTGCTGGCGTCTTTAAACGCGTGCGACTTCAGCTGGGCGGCGAGTTGCAGCAGTGCGTTTTGTTTTTTCGTCTTTGACTGAGGCTTTTGAACGGGGGGCGCCGACGGCTTGGCTGCTTTCTTTTTCTTCTTGCCCGGCGTCTGACTTGTATTCTGCGAAGCTCCTCCAGCCGGTTGGGAAGGTTTTTTGGATGGCTGCTGGGCGGTTTTTTGCTGCTGCTGAGGAATCTTCAGGCCTGCATTGATATCTGTATTTTGGACCAGTGTCTTCTTCATCTTCTTGGTCTTCTTTTTGTTGTGGGCTGTTGCTGTTGCTGCTGCTGTTGTCGGCTGAATAGTTGCTATTGTTTCCTCCTTGGCTTTAAGTTTGGCCCGCTTCCGACCCTTCTCCAGGGGCAGCATTGTCTTGTGCTGGCAAACATCGCAGGCGACTGCCTGTAAAAGGGCAGAAGGTTAAATATGAAATGCTATTATTAAATATTTAGTACTGTTCCTTGGCAGGTATAATTGAATATATATTATAAACTTAAGCTAATGGTATTAATACTATTTTTAAAAGGCGTGTATTTTGTCTTTTCTAGTTTTATTCAGAACTCTCTTTGCCTCCCGACACTCACCATTTGACTGGCCATGCGCTTTTTCAGCCACTTGGCCCGTTTCCTAGCCCCGCTGCTCATCTCGCCCTTTATTTGTTTGGCTTGCACTCTTTCCAGCTGGGCCACGAGCCTTCGGTTCTTGGCGCTTTGCTTCAGCCTCTGGGGTTGCAGGTGGAGCTGATATCGACCGTCGGCCCATTGGTTCCCACAGCGGGAGCACATCCGTGCCGATCCAAAGCTGTCCTCGGGCAGTTGGACATTGTGCCGTGCCAGCTTTCGACATGTGGTTCTGCGGATGAGATACATTATATTTTGGGGGCATTTCAGGGCAAGTAGTCTGTGAAACTCACATGTAATAAGACTTTAGAATCCGTTCCGTGTGAGATTGGGCGGTAAGTTGGGCAGCACAGTTCCACAGCAAGTCCATGACGGCAGCATGAAATTTACTTGTTTTCAATGTAGTTTACTTTGTCGTGAAAATGGAAATTCTTAAGACTTTTTTGAGTCTTCTCCGTTTATCTAGTTTGGTAAGATAATGTGCCCGTTGGTTTTTACCACAAAAAGATTTCTCTCTTTCTGGAACTGGCCACACTTATAGCGCCATTGAGCCAGCTTTGCCAGATATAAAAAAAAATCAGGAAAACGGGGTGTTCCGGAATACGCCTGTTTAAAATTATAAATCAAAGACTATTTGTAGTATTGATACTTAAACTAGTAATTTAAAATTTGAATTCTTAAGACCAGTACTCAAAGGCAGCTCGAAACTATTATTTACATTTTTCTGAACCTTGGATCTTGGGCAACTGACCCCGTGACAAATTCGCCTGCATCCGGCCGTACCAAGTGTGAGCCGGCAGTGGCACAACGACCGGGATGGTGAACAGCTCACCGTGGGCAAATCGCAATGTGTACGTATAGCGTCCTTGCCAGTGAGTGCTCTTTACCACAACCGGTGGTCCGGTATAGTTCTGCCATTGCTGCGGCTCCCCCTTGGAGACGCAATGTTTGAAAATGCCCAATACCTGCCCCAGTTCTTTCACCCGCTTGGCAAGGCAGTGAGAAGAACGTGAGATTTCCTCGTGTACGTCCGAAATTTCCCTAAGGACCTGCTTCTTCAACACCACGAATTGGCCACGTGTTTGAGTTATCTCCAGGATCTTATCGTACGCCTCATGTGCCTTGCGACCCATGTGGTGGAGCTCGCGCCAGCTGCAGTACACCTCCTGGCAATGGCGATACCGCATCAGACACCGTCCCGCCTCCAATTGATGAGCCAAGTGATAGGATTGGACGCTCTCATACTGCTTGCGGTAAGCCCGCAGATGATTTGAATGCCGGATAGTTTGGCGGTTCATGGCCACTAGACGAGTGGCTCCCAGCTCCGAACAGCGCACCAAATCAGTTAGTTGGCAACGAAGGCGCCGGGAATTGACCTGGAGGGCACGAATTACCGGATCCTTGCTGCCGTGCAAGATCAGCCAGCGCGTATCCTCCGGCTCAAGGCCCATCTCTTCCTCTATGCTGTTAATCAACTTGGCAATCTCTTCGAAGGCATCAATGGAGAGGCGGGCTTGCATACGGTCCAGCGTTGCGTTCATCTGTCTTATTTCCTCGGCCATATCCTGGAATGGAATTTCCTCGAACTGATGTTCTATCTGCTCTTCCTCCGCTTCGTTGGGAAGGAGTTTCTCCGGCTCCGAGTTTAAATCATCATCAAATCCAATGCAATTTTCACGTATTACAAGTTTTCCCTGATAATCCTCCGGGGTGCGAGGCGACTTCGCAGCCTCCCTAAAACCACCGGCAGAGATACGAGACTGTATACAGTCCAGCATTTCGTTCATCCCATTTATTTCCTCGGCCATCTCCTGGCGTGGGATCTCTTCGATCAAATTGAGCTTGTATTCTTCCGAAGTCGCCTGTGAGTCATCGTCCTCATCGAATCGAACACAAAATTTACTCATTGCTCGTTTAGTGTTCGGGTTTTCTTTGTATTTCGTCCTTTTCTCCATATTTGTAACAAGAAATTCGAATGTTGTTTACTGCTTTTTCAGAAACAATAAAATTAGCGTAACTGTCTAGAGATTTCCAATGTCTACTTAAATAGTAAATCCAATACAATAAATTAGGTGTAATATAACATAATGCATGGTGAAAGAGTCCTTTGTGGAACTATATAGGATTGTCAGATTGAAGATTATATAGAATTTAAAATTGCCGCTCGCATAAGTGCAGTATGACCGTGACACCATAAGTGGCCGAAAAATGTGCGGATTTCGTCCTACCCGGCAACTGGCCACACTGATAACGACAAAAAGTGAAAAACAAAGACTTTTATTATTTACCTGCAGACGCAAACAATTGTGTTGTGCGAACAAATTTACGTGTTAACCGATAGTGCAAGCCGTCTCGCAAAGTGGAAAACCCAAAAGAAAAAAAGAGAAAACTCGATTGTGAAGGCGAAGATTTGTCAACGCAAACGCGGAAAAACTCGGGCGAGAGCGTAACATTCGTTAATAATAGTAGGCAGCAGCTGCTGCTGAAGCAACAAAAACATTGCGGAAGCAGAATCCGCCTTATCGTGTCGCTGGTTTCCGTCGCAGAGCTAAAAATAGAACCTCCCCCACTCCGACCCCGCGCCCGAACCCGCAGCACACCACCGCCCCACTCCACCCACGCCCACACATACAAGCGCAGGAATTTGGCAACAGCAGTGGCGAGGTGAACTTGTGTTGACTTTTCCAGCGCGCGGACTTCTACGGAAGAAAATGCAGAAATGAGAAATCACAGAATCGGCACACACATCTCGGAATTTGCGTAAGTGTTTAGCGCAGCGCTGGACCAGCGACTGCAGGGTATCCAAATGTCGAGTTGTGCTCCCCGTACCTTTCGCCTTCCGCCTTCTGCCTTTGGATGAGCGCCGGGTGAGCTTTCATTTGCTAAATTTAGTACGGCACTGCTGAAAATAAGAATTGGAACACCCTGCCATCGGTTGCCGGTAAGCAGACAGTATAGAGTCGCACACCGTGGCCAGTATATGGCAGACATCTCGACAGTTGAGGAGGATCTGAATGCGAATGCGAGACTGTTGCACGCGCCCCCGCCTCCCAATCGATAGATGCTGTAAACATAGCCACTTTGGGCTCTTGCCTAAATCAATAAAGCCCTCAAATCCCTGCCATATTGCGTCCGTCCATTGTAATTGGTCCATTGTAAGGACAACACACACATTCATCACGGCAGGCCTCAAAGGCAATTGCACTGCGCTGCAGCTGGTTGTCGTCCGCCCGGCGACAGCAATAAATATTGGAATTCAATTACCCGGCAGTGGACTGGCTCCATAAAATTATTATGCACGATGGTTGAATTTCGGGGCCTCCAATCCCAGGCCCATGCAAAAGCTCTATAGGTTCTCGGTGGCTTAAAGTAAATAAATAAACACTTCCTGGCCACAGTTTTACTCGGTTTTACATACAGCAGCTTATTGATTTTAAGCTCTTCGCCTCGTTATATTTCAGATTGCGTTGTTTTCATTTGGTCAACGATTTTATAAACTTCTCACATGTTCTTAAACATTCCTAAGGCCCTCCTTGCTTCATCCCTTCGCACCGCACTTTTTATGATGGAAGAAGTCTTTTTCCCTTGAGCTATTGTTAGTTAAATGTGATTTCATTGACTTGCAGTTCAATTTAATCATTTCCCTTTATTATTTGGTCAAAAAATGCTTTGGCTTCTTGAAAAATGTGGAATGAAATAACAATAACTAGCTTTCAATTAACCCCAGATGGGCAAACTTATTAAATAAGTACGAATTTTTATACACAATTCATTCATTATGTTTATAAAAACCTATAACATTTTGATAAAACCTTTTTTTTTTTTTTTGATTTTTTGCCACTTTCATTTAGTAACCCCAGACAAAAGTGTCAGTTTAAAACAGAGTTAAAATTAATATTGTGTTAAGAACGTGTATTTAAATTATAAGCAAGTTAATGTCCTGGCTTTATTTCTAAAAACTTGGCTTATACGAGAGGCGCGGCAAGAATCTTCTCTTTGTAAATATGTATTAAGATAATGAGTAATTAGCTGGTTGTCGGGAATTAGTTCTTATCACTTACTTGGCGCTCGTCGCAGGGTCTCCCTTTCGCCCACACTCACGCCCTGATTTATTCATTTCTCTGTCTCAGTTGCAATTACACTTGTCGCGCTTTTGTCGTTTGCTTTAGCTTTATCACGCCCTGCTTTGGGCCTCGTTCGCATTCTGATTGTGGAGCGAGCGCGCTCACCGCAAAATGAGTCACTGCCCAAGGTTATTCAACGTAACCCGGCGCTGGGACCTTGTTTTGCTCTCCCCATATATTTATATCTTCAGTTTCTCGCGACTTGTTTCGCCCGCTAAAGGCCAATGGCCAATGGACGATCGTTGTTGGTTCATCCGATAGCCGATATCAAGATACCCACCCGGCCGGCTGGCTCTTCTTCATCATGTTTGCGCGGAGAGATAAAGGCGAAAGCCCAATCGTTGTTGTCGCGGGGCTTCTGGTGTTTCGATAGAGCATTTGTGGGCTTTCCTTTGGGTCAGCCAGAGAGTGTTTCCCCCTTTCTATTTGAGAGGAAGTCGGGAGTTAATTAATACCAAAAAGAATCTACATATTTAAGAGAATGCTGAGGTGAACACTGAATATTTACGTGCAGCCTAATAAATCTGCATACTCAGAATAAAATATTAGAAAATCAACATTTTTGACAATTTTAACGATGTAACCCCTTAAAAAAATGTCAAATTTTGAAAAAAATTCCGAAAATTTATTTTGTAACCGAAGATGGCTAGACCGACTCAGCTTTTGATGCTGATCAAGAATATATATAATTTATAGGGTCGGCTCCTTCACGGCGTTTCAAGCTTCTGACTGAACTATAACACCATTCTTTGAGTCAATATTATTTAAATTTTATAAGATAATTTGTTCAACAAATCAAAATTTAAAATGCTCATAACTAAGCCAAAAGATCAGGAATTTTAATCCCGGAAGCTGTCCTATGCAAAATCAAGAATTTATAAGATTTATATCACAATGTTACAAGCTTCTAACTGAAACTATAATACCATTCTTTGACTCGATATTATTTATATTTTTATGAGACAATTTGTTCAACAAATCAAAGTTTAAAATACTCATAACTAAGCCAAATGGGCATTTATTTTAATTCGGAAAGCTGCGCTATGTTAGTTTTTGTTAGCCTAATAAATCTGCATACTCATATTAAAATATTAGAAAATCAACATTTTTGACAATTTTAACGATGTAACCCCTTATAAAAATGTCAAATTTTGAAAAAAATTCGAAAAATTATATTTTGTCCGGAGATGGCTCGATCGACTCAGCTTTTGATGCTGATCAAGAATATATATAATTTATAGGGTCGGAAATGACTCCTTCATAGCGTTTCAAGCTTCTGACTGAACTATAATACCATACTTTGAGTCAGTATAATGTATATTTTTTTAAAACAATTTGTTCAACAAATTAAAGTTTCAAAAACTCAGAACTAAGCAAATAAAGCATAAATGTTCTCTATTTTCTGCGGCATACGTTGCCGTTGTTATTTTTAGGGGAATCTCCTTAATTGGTTAATTCACTCGAAAGTCTAAGTGACTCATTCCCTTACTGTATAAGTACATACAAATATGCGAATGGGAACTTAAATGTTGTTTACTATTGTTCGATCTAAAAAGAACATAGTCACAGGTGCTGCTGCTGGTTCTAATATATCTTTTGTTACCAACTGTTTTCTTTTTTATCGCTGTGGGGGGTCAGTTAGTTACTGGCTGTTAGGAAAAAAACAGCAACTGATATCAAAACAAACTGAGGACTTCGGGAACGCCACTATCGATGACGATGTGGCCACAATGGAACCGCAAAGCTCTCTCATTGTTTGCTCTTATCAGCCATTTACTATTGTTACTTCACTCGTCCAGCGGGAATGAGTATTTATTATTTATTTGGTGCATGTTTCGATGGCGTGCGTCATGCAGAGAAAAGATGATGATGACTCTGGTGATTCATGCTAGCAAGTGCAGCGGGGAGGAATCTCTGCCTCATCCATTGACATCCTCTTAGCTGTAGAAAATCAATAGCTATAGAGAAGCACGCTCAAGGCTTCTTGACGAGATGTTTGCCGTAGTGTAACCTTGGCCCGTCTTTGGGCGGTTTTGTTTTCCAGGAGCCGGAGGCGCCTTGAATGAGAGCCCTTAGCCCGTCGCCGACATGTCAGATTTCGTGCCGCGCGACCTCCTCCCCGATCTGTGGGAGGAGATACTGCGTCGTCACTGGTCCTTTCTCGAAACCGAGGAGAACATCCAGAAGCTCGAGGAGCGGAAGAAGCTCGAGGGTAAGTGTATCCCAGGTGTATACTCCGCCATGAATTAATTAATTAATTTTGCTAAATCCCCAAAACCGAAGGCTGTCTGAAAGAGTTTCTATCCGTGGTGCCGCACGATCGCAAGTTCTTTTTGCCGGAGACAGGGCGTGTCCTGCGTAGATCGGTGCGCGACCACGGCGCCTTTACGGCCCAGAACGCCTATGTGGCCTTCGAGACCATCAGCCAGTATGCCAATAATCTGTTTACAAAGCCGTGGCGAAAGGAGTATCGTACGCTTAAGGTATGCTCTTTGTTTGTTTTGTAATATGTAGTCTCAAATGATCTCTCTGCTTTCAGACCTATTCAGGATGCTTCCAGCACGATATACAATCACGGCTCGTTGATGCCGAGCAGCTGTTTTTGGCGATGGGCTACCGCCGCGTCTCGGACGACACGTTCGTGCTCGAGGGTCCCATTTGCCCGGATCAGGTGACGAACGTATCGCGCGATGCCATGGCCGCCTACGTCGAGTGCCAGATCATGAAACACATCTATGCAGGCGTAACGGCAGCGGGCTATAGCTGCAGCTGGAAGGACATTTTGCAACATCGAGAGACCCATGTCGGCGGCACCACGCAGACCATCAAGGAGATGGTTTACCGGCTAAGCGAGAAGAGGATGCGTAAAGAGCAGCCGGTGCAGGAGAACACCTACAGCAATGTGGCGACATTAGCCTCAGGCGCTTGTGCTTTGCACGGTAACAGCACTCCGGCGCATCCCGGCAGCAGCTGCGCCCTGCATCCGAATGGCATAAGCATGGTGGGCAACGAGGCGGGCAAGTACCTTCCGCCATATCCGGCGCCACCGTCGCAGCAGCAGCCACATTTGCCTCCTGGCCCGTTGATGACGCACTCTCGGAGTCTGGAGCACTACCAAGAGCCGCACGCGCATCTAACGCATCGCCACTCCTTTGACCAGCATCTGCAGCAGCCGCAGTGCCAACTGCCCCATGTCTACGAGGCGCCCTACGACTGCCTTGATGGACTAAGCATGGGCAGCAGTGCTTCCTATGCGGCCGTTGCTGGGGCTTACAATGCTCCGGGCAATCGTTATCCGCTGCCGTACAACATCTCCAGCCAACTGAATGCTCCGTATGCATCGCCCGCCGACGTTTACGCCAGTGGGGAGCATCCCAACATGTATGCTACTCTCGGTAAGACTGGCCCCACAGGACACAGCTGCGACTTTCATCGTCGCCAGCCAGCCGCCGCCGCTTTGGCTGCCATGCAACATCGGCAAAGCACTTATCCGCCAGACCATCATCTAATAGATTTTGACGAGCGGGCGCAACTGACGCAGCACGACTTCGGGACTCACGACTACGATCCGCAGTATGCGGAGCTGGTGCGGGGTCAAGTGCAGCCAAGCATTCGCGCGAATCCCGCTGCACGTTATGCAACCTACGGGGGCTATGACCTGCCGACCACGTTGCCACAGGCACCGCCGCCAACGGCTCAGGACATGTATATCTATGCCCAACCTGTGCCCAAGAGCAGCCGGATGCGGGCGCTGGCAGAGGCAGGGGGCAGCAATCCGACTGACAAGCATCGTTCGGCGGATAAGCAGGTGAGCTTCACATTGATTCTATTAACGACTCTATAAATGCGATTTAAATGACCTTCTTCCCCACCCAGAATCCCATGGACAATAATCGCAAGATGCACAAGGAATTGAAGGAGCGTATCAGCCGGACGGCTCCTGCGAAGAGATCGGGCAATGAACGTGATATTCCCACCACCATTTCAGACATGACCAGCTACGAGTCGGCCAGCCTAGACGACTTCGTTACACTGGACAACCCTTCACCGCCGCTGATGCCAAAGGTAAAGGAGGGTGTGGGCAGCTTCGAGTCCTGGAACTATGTGTTCAAGAACCTTGAGCGCTCTGGCTACAACAAGGACTTGGGTGACCGTGAAGACTTGCTGGTGCAGAGCTTGGACCTTGACTCGCTGGCCATAACGAATGGCGGTGGGCCCGCCCCACCGACGGAGAAGCGACGCGATCCCTCGAAGTCAACGACACGTACTGGCGGAGAACCTAATGGCCACGAAAGGGCACGCACGTTAGAAAAGAAACCTGGTACAAGCCGAAGGGGAGAGGCAAAGGTAGTGCAGGCTCCAGCGCCAAGTCCGCTGCCTAACAGCAGCAGTGCCGGCGTGAAGAAGGTAAAGTCCGCCTTGAAAACGGCCAATGTAGACGGCAATCGGGGCACGGCCGGCACGCGCAATCGCACGGGCGCTGTGCCCAAGCAACCTCTGGCCGTTTCTCCACAGCTGATTGTGACGAGTCCGAACGAGTGGAGCTGCCGATTTTGCACGTTCCTCAATCCGGACACCAAGCGCATCTGCGAGATGTGCTGCCGCAGTAAGGACTTCAATCTAGAGGCCGCCACGGCCGCATCATCGTCGGCAGCTGCTGCTGCTGCGGCGGCAGCGTCGGCCAGCGTGTCGCACGCATCCTCGACCTGCGTTTAGGCTATCTTGGCCTTTAGGCCGCACTCGCCCCCGTTAGTGATACAAACACAGTGTATAGCTTGATATATTTTTTATACGATACAATGTAAAAGCCTGTGCGTGTCTCCAAGATCTAGTCTCGTAGTCGTTCTACGATGGCACCGCCGCTTTGTTATTCGGATCAGAGCGGATCGTCTGTAAATAGGAAGTATTCTTACTTAGTTACCCCTTATACCTGTAAACACACACGCTTTAATTAGTTATAGATTGTTTCCCCATTGTTAAGGGCGCTGTTCTGTTTCAAATTACGTGCCTCCCCGTGTAAGTCATCTATAAGTATATATACAACTAATCATCTTGACAATTATATATGCGATAGAACGAGAGAGTGAAATTCGAACTTGGAAATTTTCTAGGAAATCAACTGATAATTATATACCTTATATACTTAATAGTTCCATTCACAATACGTATTTCCAAGGAGTAAATCAGAGTACATAGCTGAGTTCTTGGGGCAGCAGCCAAGCCTATATACCGAAAATTGCATAGTTAATATCTACACCTATAGCCGTAACATAAGCGATTTCAATTCACTGAACCGAGCTAAGCATTAACGCCTAACACAGAGCAGAAGCAGACCATAAATGAGTCGAAACAGAACTGGTACGGGTTGTAAACTTACAATTTTTTATTAACATTTATCGGAAAGGATATACAGCAGGAACCTCACTTACAAACTCCACCCCGAAATAAATGGACAGAAAGGTAATCCACGATTCGAAAGGACATCCCACCCACCCAAGCTACGCCCCCGCCTAGTCCCAAAGCTTATTTGTTTGTTGAGATGTTACTATTGATTACGCCACTGTTTTTAGCAGATCCCGGTAGAAACGAAAAGCACTCGAGATATTTTTATAAATAAGAGAACGGAACCACGTACCTATTGCTCTATGTTAATTAGTTTATTCAATTTTTTTGTTCAATCCAATTTTGTTAAAATATCAAGTCCCCAAATATTGTTCGCTGTATAGCAATTTGCAAACGAATAATAATGGAAATTCAACTTTACTAAAGCCATTCAGGCACCCAACCTTCGCTCAAGCCATTTTATTACATAACTTTGCATACTGTTACCAAATGAATTTAGAGCCAGCTCTTCCTAAAAAAAAGAACACAAAACAAAAAATTACAACCCCTCAACAAAAAAGAAAACAATAAAAAGAATTTTGACAAAACTTAAGATATCTTTTATGGGTGTTTACAAAATCGAGTATGCTTTTATTGTAACATACCTAGTTACACATGCATTAAAACTCTCCGAGTGTCAAGCCATTCCGTAGAGCGATTTAAATTGAATTCTCAAATTTGTAGTAATTGGCAAATATGACTTTCGACCGTGTTCTGCCAATGGCATTGCTCTTTGCGCTAGTTTCCTGCTACAACTACTGCAACAATAAAACGCATGTCTGCAATCTGGGAGGCTTAAAACACTTCATGTGTCAGCTGGACGAGGAACTGGCTGCATTTGAAGGCACCAAATTTTTAGAAATCGTCCCGGACACCCAGTATTTCCAAACGGAAGTGCTCTTATTGCTAAATAATTTCCGGAACAATCTGTCGGCCGGCCAGGTCGTGAACAATGTGAACATGACATTTCCGAGTGCCAAGCGGATGCGGCGACTTATCTGGGACAGTGAGCTGGCCTACCTGGCCCGCGTTCATGCGTCCACGGTATCCTTTAAGCACACCGAGTGCCGCTCCACGCTGCGGTTTCCGTTTGTCGGAGAGATCATGTCAATGATGGAGGCTCCTGTTGATCGCAAGTTGACCGTAGTGAACGTGCTAATGAATGCGTTTAGACCCATGTGGAAGCAGCACTGGATGGTGTTGGATCCCGAGAGTCTTAGCCAAGGGTTCGATCCCGTCAGGTGAGCCGAAACCAAAGCAAAGCGCGTTGAGTCCGATATAATCTCCCCCTTAGGGATTTTCTGGTCGGAGACTTTGCCCTCTTCATCAACGATCGTATCTCACGCGTCGGTTGCTCCATTGCCACGGGTGCCAACTGTCCTTACAAGGGCTCTATCGGGTGGGTAACTGGGAGTGCTCACCTTTCTGCACCACATCCTTAATGCACATCCCTCTCCCAGGTATTGCCACTTTCTGACCTGCTATTTTGACTACAATAACATTGTCAACTCCTCTGTCTACAAGGCTGGTCAGCCGACAAGTGGTTGCGGTGACTGGAAGACGACTGGCAACGCTGATTGGATCAATCTGTGCAAGAACGAAGCCGAGTTGTCCGAGTTGTAGATTAACCAGAATAATTTTTATAAACGTATACGAAGATTTTATTGGGAGACCTACCTAGGTACCCGCTAAAAAGAATTATATCCGTAAGTTAAAACCACACAGGGTCAGGCAGCGAATGTCGAGCTCGGAGCCTGCTGTTACGGAAACCAATCAGACTTGTGTCATTACGTAAAATGTTTAAAACATCGAGTATGCTTTTTTTGTAACATCAAGGTACATATATAAATATTTTAACTTTCCAGTGTAGTCATTTGGTAGATCGCCTTAAATTATTTCCTCAAATTTGTAAATTTATAGTAAGTAATTGGCAAATATGATTTTCGTCCGTGTACTGCCAATTGCAATGCTCTTGGGGCTAGTATCCAGCTACAACTACTGTGAAAATGACACACATGTCTGCAACCTAAACGGGTTAAAACACTTCATGTGTCAGCTGGACAAGGAACTGCCTGCATACAAAGGCACCAAATTTGTAGAACTCATTCCGGAAACCCGGTATTTCCAAACGGAAGTGCTGGTATTGCTAAATAATTTCCGGGACATGCTGTCGAGCGGGCAGGTCATGAACAATATGAACATCACATTTCCAAGTGCCAAGCGGATGCGGCGACTTATCTGGGACAGTGAGCTGGGGTACCTGGCCCGCGTCCATGTCTCCACGGTGTCCCTTAAGCAAACCGAGTGCCGGTCCACGCTGCGGTTTCCGTTTGTCGGCGAAATCATGTCAATGATGGCGGCGCCCGTTAAAAAGAAGTCCACCGTGGTGAATGTGCTGAGGCAAGCGTTTAGACCAATGTGGAGGTCAAACCGTAAAGTGGAGGACCCAAAGAAGTTTATTGAAAGCTTTCAGCCCGTTGGGTAAGCCTAAACCAAAGCAAAGAACGCCGAGTCCAATATAATCCAGGTCTCCCTTAGCAATTTGCTGACCGAAGCCTTTGCCATCATCATCAGCGATCGTGTCTCACGCGTCGGCTGCTCTATTGCCATGGCTTCCGATTGTCCGTACAAGGGCGCCATCGGGTGGGTAACGAGTAGCGCTCACCTTATTCCAGCACATACTTAATGCTCATCCGTGTCCCAGCTATTGCCATTTTCTGACCTGTTATTTTGACAACAACAACATAGTCAACTCCTCTGTCTATAAGGCTGGTCTGCCGACCAGCGGTTGCGATGACTGGAAGACGGTTGGCAGCGGTAAATGGGCCTATCTGTGCAAGAATCTTGGCGGAATCTTCTAGAATGTAAGTGACCTGGATCTACACATGGCGCCAATTTAATTTTCCTCCCCGCAGAATTTAAATTGTAAGCCGTGGAAGTCAGAGACCAGAGTTTGAGGGTTTAACATATACTCGTACATTTATTTTTATCTTTTGTGTATGCTCTTGCCTAGTATGGGTTCCGAAGCGAAGGAGACCAACTTGGAATCCCTCTTCCCGATCCCGAAATACACTCCTAACAATTCCTACGATCCTTTCAAATTTAGATTTCTATGCTGATGCAAGTTTCGGGCTCTCTGACCTTACAGAACTACGTGGAATATCTAATACCATTTAACAGCTAACAGACTTAGTCGGGTTTCGCTCTCTATATGTTATCGCCTGTGGTTTGATTTCTAATCAACTTTAGTTGCGTATCGATGCTGTCTGATTGGAGTGATATTTCCAAGATTAAACCGAGGAGATTTGTCAGGGGAAACCAGTTTCGTCTTAACATTCAACGACTCGCACCTTATAAACCTTCAGACTAAGATTGCGCACTTTCGTTCGTTCGCGTATTTAACTAAGATAAGTACGCCCATTTCGATTGAGTTAACTCTTGCCCGTTTATGGCTTCTTCTTTGCTCTAGCCGAACCGTTCGTCTCTCGATTTGGCTAGCAAAAGAGGCACAAAAGTGCCGACCTGCTTAAACTATGTGGTTTGTTTATGCGGATAACATTGACTAGTAGCGTGTACTCCGCCTAGAACCCTAGCAAGTTGTTTTGGAAACGCCTAGAGCTCCGGCCGCGGCTCCTCCACTTATACAAAAGCGTTGCTTGGAAAGATTCCGTTTGCGTATGGCACAGGAATGCCGTTCGTCGTGCTCATTGACCTCTACAATTCTTCTGTACAGTTAGAAAAATATATAAATATTTAGGGAGGAGAGGGACAAGCCATTTGGGGGGTGTAATTTGGAAAAAACCGAGAGGTCAAGCCAAAAAAATGTCTAATATTCACTGTTCAAGCGATCAAAGGCCCTAGAAAAAGAACACACTCAAGGATATTTAGATGTTCATCTGCAAGGTGGGTAATTGCCTATCAGTAATTATCATTATTCGTTCGTCTTCAAGTTAAAAATGTCGGCTCCGCGATTTCTTTTAACACCAAAAATATACCTTTGACATAAATTCCCCACTTTTAAAGCCCTAAGGCGGCATTACACAAATGTTCCTTCCCGATTCCTTATAATAAACAAATATCAGTGCAGCATTACCTTAAAATAATGTGCAAACATTCAGTGCTAATAACGTGAAATGGCTCCTGCCCCTAACCGGTCGCCCGTATAGACTTATGCGATATACAAAGAAATAATTGTAGATGTTCAGCAAATCCTTGTTTGGAATTCCGGGAATCCCCCTACAATATGTTGCAGCCGGAGCCGTGCATCACCTCGCTAATGAACATGGGCGTGCCAGCGCCCAGTCCTCCATCCGTCTTTTGGTGCTCGTTCTGAAAGGTTTAAAGGGATTTAAAAGCTTTTCACTCGCAGACTCGCAGATATAATCCACTTACGTCATCGTAGTCGCAATCGAAGTAATGACTCTGACAGTCCATGCACCGACAGCTCTCCGACATTTTGCAGGTGATGCCCCACTGCTTGGCCAGGTCCTTGTAGATCTCCTTGCTCGTCTTGTTGCTCATCATTTCGGGCGTGAGGAGGTTGTTCTGCCGACTGGACGACTGCTGACCCTGGCCCCGCCGTCCACTGCGAGAGGCAGTCGATCCTGAGGCGGACCCGGTGCAGCATGCGTCCTGGCACAGTTGGCCTTGAAGGTTGCCGGAACTAGAACTCGCATTCCCACCTACGATGAAAAGCTTTTGAGTCTGCATCCAACCCACAAATCGGTGTGGATCTCACCTTCGTTGTAGTTGGCATAGCTGCCTCGATTCAGGAGGGGATCGTAAAAGTTGTGTCCACCACCCACTGCAGCAGCCGATGCCGCCTGGCTGCTGGTACTGGCCGCATCCCCGTCGTAGGCGGACTCACACGCACCCTCGCCATCCCGCTCCTCGCTACACTGTGCACACTGGTCATCCGAGCACTGACTTTGCCCCTGGCCCTCCGCCGATGCGCCATACCGCTCATCCGTGCAGCGCGAAGGTGACGCCGCCATCTCCGTTTCGAGGAGAAATTCGTTAATGCTCAGCTGCTCCTCGTTGTCGCTGCGCAGCTCCAGCTCGGTGACTCCTTCGATGATCTCCTCCCCGTCGTTGTTATTGTTGTGGTTGCTGCCGCTGTGGCTGCTAGTAATGTTGCCGTTGCCGTTGCTTATATTGCTGCAGTGACTGGCGCTGCAGCTGGCGTAGTTCTGGTTTAGGTTCTGCCTGCAGTCCGGGTCGTTGCAGATGCTGCCGCCCCCATTCCCGGCCAGCTGCTCCAAGGCGGCACCTAGCTGGGCGGCGCTGTGTCGCGAGCTGTTGGCCGAGCTTCGTCGGCTGTTCTGGTTGGGCGTAGCGCTATCCAGGGATAACTGCCGCTGATGCTGGGACAGCCGAGTGTTCTGAAAAGGTGTGTATATTCATTGACCTCTAAAATATCTCTATGGAAATGGCTGCTTAAAATCCTGGGGAAAAACTTACCTCTTCTAGCACATGCTCATAGGAAGGCGGTGGGGTGGTGGGCACGTTGTCAGCATCCGCATCCGTCAGTGATTCGTTGATGCACGGAGTGCGGCTTTGGTTAAGGTATCCTGCAATAAATTGATCAATATTATATGTCACAGTCGCAAGTTTGGCATAAGTAATTGCAATTACTCCAGTTTAACTCGGTTTCTATTTGGGAGTTGTGTGCAACAAAGGAAAAATAGGTGCGTGGCAAAGAAGTTATTTAGGAAAAATGAGGATTTCTAGCTACATGTTTGTATACCTTGTGTGAACATGCTTTTTATTACACAAAGATATAGAAAATCAGGCCAGAGCATCTTCCACCGAATAGTATTTTATTTAAGTCTAATTTTGATTGCATGCACATTTCCGAGTCGCAAATATATAAAATGAAAGTCTGATATATTAAAGTCTAAATAATATAAACCATATTGATGGTTCGGGAGGAAATACCAATAATAATGGCATTATTCTCTGAGTAAAATGTATAGGTCAGGCTACCAAAGACAGTACAAAATCAAAACTATGTCTTGCATTATTACGCATCTTGTTCTTTATATTGTCTTTGGTGGTACTGTGTCGTCCTTACCCAAACGCATGCTGTTGCTGGTGGGCGGCAGCAGCAACTTGCGCTCGCTGCTCATCTGGCCGAGACTACTGCAATCCGCCAGATCGAGACTGGAGCTGCTGCTGGCCTCCACCGCCTCCTGCAGGGGCTGCGGCTGATTCTGCTGCTGCTGGGTGCCCAGGAGCGCCTCGTTCACCTGCGGGTCTGGATCGTGCTCCTGCGAGGTGCTGCGCGAGCTCCCCATCCGGAACTTCAGCTTGAAGGGCGCCATTTCGAACGGTCTGTGGGGCCACCGGACTTTGCTCCTCCGCCGACTTATGGTTGGTTACTTTTCTAATTCGGTGTCTTTGCTATTGGAACAGGCATTGGACGTTGCTGCATTGCATCACAACATCGACGTGAATGGAAAAATTACGGAAGAATGTACAGAAAGAGAGAGCAAGAGAGACAGTAAGAGGGATAGCAATAGTTTCACAATAATATTCTAGACCAGAAGTGATTTGGTTACAAAACAAAAGGTTAGTAAAGTAATAAACACAGATATATTCGATCGAATTTACACCGATATTGATGGGAATTGGTTTAACGAACATTTTGGTTTTCAGCTTTTCGGGCTCTTTGATTAGTAGCATGCAACGGGTTTGATTTGGCTTAAACTAGCGACTTTCAGTTTACAGCGCAATTTTACCTGGTTGGTTGTCCGAAAGCAGTGAACTGTAATTAAATAATAGCGAAAGGGAATAAGTGAGTGACACAATGGCATAATTAATGAAGCAAATTGTCTGAATATAAGTTTAACAGTAAAGCGTCAATCAACTCTGCACTTAAATCCTAGATATATAGTTTTGATATGTTATACCCTTGCATGGATTTATACTTTTAGTTAGAAGCATCCAGCGCAATGAAGTAGTCATATCCGACCCTATAAATCATACATATTATTGATCAGCATTAACAGCTGAATCGATCTAGCCATCTCCGGTTAAAAAATAAATTTTCTGAATTTTTATCAAAATTTGATAATTTTATAAGGGGTTACATCGTTAAAATTGTCAAAAATGTCGATTTTTTTATATTTTAATCTGAGTATGCAGATTTATTAGGCTAACAAAAACTAGCATAGCGCAGCTTTCCGAATTAAAATAAATGCCCATTTGGCTTAGTTATGAGTATTTTAAACTTTGATTTGTTGAACAAATTGTCTCATAAAAATATAAATAAATCGACTTGAAGAATGGTACTATCGTTTTAGTCAGAAGATTGTAACGCTGTGAAGGAGTCAGGACCCTTTAAATATAAAATATCAATTCCTAAAGTTTTAAAATCAATATGCCGATTTGTTTACCTAATAAAATCTATCTCAGAATTGCTTTCCGAAGTGAAATTTATGGATTTTTGGTTTAGCTATGATCGATTTCCCATGCGATCTAATTATCCTATAGCAAACTAAAAGGTTAAACAATCTTCGGCTTCGTAAAGTTAGCTTCTAATCTCGTTGTATTTAAGTTACTGAATATTTTGAAATTAAGAATAAAGTCAAGCCGTCCAAGTCTTCAGTCTAAGTTCTATTTTTACCACGGTAACCACTTTCAGCTACTTATAGTTTTTGGTGGCTCGACAAGTTGTTGAAAATTCGGGCAACCCCCAGTCACGCCTCCATCCGTCCTTCCGCCCTCCAGCCTACTTTCTGATTATTATGCAGATTGCACAAAAACCACTCAAGCAAAGATCTGAGATGCACAAAGTGAGCTTGTATATATGTGAGAGCAGGCAAGCTATTATTATGCTTATTGCGCCAAGGAAGCTCATTACCTTCCGGACCAACCGCCCACACGTCCTTGGAGGTGGCGCCTTGGGTGTATGCATCCCAATTAAGGCAGCCATGTGTGCGCGAGATGGTTTCGTGTATTTGCATACCGATACCCATCAACTTTTGATTGATAACCCAGGAGCAGGAGTAGGAGCCGGCCACATCTCTTTTCTGGTGCATGTTAATTCCGCGGCAAACATTTATCTTTGCATATTTGCCGACAATAAACTGCCAATTGGCGGTGTTGACTCGGCAAGCAGTTTCGTTCGCAATGCCTGCTGATTGGATGCAGGCAATCCCCCACAGCCAGGTTGGGGACTACTACAAGAAACCCCCAAAAAGACGCCCATCCAGCAGAATCTCCCGCACAAGCAGAATCTTGACGGTGTTTGCGATTCATTCCAGTGCCTGGCAATTGTTCGACTTCCTGGGAGCGAAAATTTCCTGGAGCCCCGAATCTGTGTGAACAATGCTGCGAAACCCTTAAGCAAAGCTTTCTGAATGCAGTCAAGCTTCGTAATGTTGATTATTTGGAACCGAGTTCGACATACACTCTTGAAAACCTTGATTAGGGGATCCATAGGAATCACAAGGTAATTGATTTCAATTCAAAAGGTGACCAAAAGAGCGTGAGGGGTCCAGCAACAGTTGGCTTTCAGGATTGTCCTTCCTATACCCCCGCCGCATTAATTATACATTTTGAATAAACTACGGGATATAGGGCAATTCAGCTTCAAAATGGACGCGGCAGCTAAATCTTTAATAGAAACTTTTGACTTTGAGGAATGGCAGGGCGCCTTTGACATTCTCATTAATTTCACAGCAGACAGCTAACAAGGTGGGTCCGGGATTGGGACTCGGTCCCCTACTTTTACGGCCCGAACGGACAGTTGGTTACGTGGCTGTCACAGGCTGCAGTAAATTGTTTTTCCCTGCTGCTGTCGTAAACAGAGACATTAAAAACTTGACTTGGCCGTGAGATTGAAGCGCTGTGCATTTATTTGCTGCAGCTTCTCCACCATATTCGGGCAGTGATGTCTATAAATAGTCGGGTTGACCCAGATAATAAAGGCAGACACCATTGTTAGTTCGACCCCATGATCTTCCACCCGCTGGCAGGACCAGAGGTCCTGTCAGCAACAAAAGGAAAACAGCTTAACCAAATGCAGCCTGTTTGCATCGGAATTGACGCGAGCAAGGTCACTGCTTATCCCAGGCTTAGCCTGCCGCCACTTTCTGGCGGTTTCTTTTGCGAGTATCTCCACTTTGGATAATGGTTACGGTATTTAAATGTCCTCCCCTCCTGCCATGCCTCCAGGTTCACTCTGATTAAAACGATACCCACTTTGTAGCCATCAGCATAAATAAGCACTGCGGATACAGTCTGAGTTCAATGATATTTCTAGAGGATTATTCTCGATTTTTTTTAAAATTATAAACAAATACATTCTTTATAATGCAGAATTCATAAAGCTCAGAATAATGAACAATGAAGGTATACCTTTCCTGTTAATATAATTTTAATATTATTTCTAATCTAATTTCTAATAAGTGAGACTTCTTTCAGGGACAAATTTATTTCCTTCTCATATTTTGATCTTAAGCTTTACTTCACTGAACCTTCCGGAATATACAATCGAAATGTCATTTCTGTCCTCAATTTCTTGCGCTGTGTACCAAAGTCGAATTGCTGGTCATAAAATCACTCGGCAAGTGAGCTCTTTGTGATTATCGAGAGGCGTTTGCCGCCAAGCGAAATGAATATTTTAGCTGCGTTTTTTACGCTCAAGTGCTTATGCAAAGTGCTTTGTGGATTTTTGTGCTATCCAACGGCCGACACGGGTGCGGCACAATTACACAAATTGGATATTAATTGGCTGCTCCCGTCGACACTCGGCCCGCAATTAGTGGACATCGAAGGGTGCCTGGGTAAACAGGTAAACAAACAAACACAGGACCAACTGGAATGAGAGGGCCAGGGATAGCAAGGATATCGATATCTAGGAGACAGCACCTCCCTCGGGTGGTGATGGAGCACCATGCCATGCCATGGCATCATCACCATACGGACAGATATCGCTGGCCAATGGAAATGGAAATGGAAATGAAGACGAGTGCACGGCATACTACTGCGTTACTGATACCGGAGGTCTGGGATAATGCGCAAGAAGGGCCATCCATTGTGGCGTCTGTCTCTGGAAAACTGATACCTAATTGAGCAAACAGCTTGCGGCTAGGGTCGGGTCGCATGATTCGGACTGGGTGGGTCCTGGGTCAGTCGTTGTCGTTCCTCCTACATGTTTTCCCCCATTCTTCGCGTTTTTTTCTCTTTGTGTCCGTCCTGCTGCCGACGACAGGACGAAAAATCGAAAACACAGCGAATAGGACTCCTCGCGCAGCCTTGGAACAACGTTTTCCCCAAGGCAAAAGGATGTAGGGCTTACCTGGTCGCTGGATTTATAACCGGATCGAGATTTTAGCTGCCCAGCACCTGAAGGGCAGCGATAACGACAACTCTGGTGCCTTCCCGTTGTTCCCGAAAATACTGTGGCGCAGATGATGACAATAACTATTCCTCATTGCGCGCAGAGTTCGATTCCACACACAATATTTCGCTGGGCCTTTGGTCTGCCACTGACTGCGGAAAGCTGGCCGAAGGACCGAGCTTTTATTTGTCCTGCGATGGCGTTCCAAGCTTTCCGAGGAAACGGCGGCAGCTTGCGCAAGCCCAGCGCCTGCGCTCCATCTCTTCCGGTATTTGGCCTCCATTGTTTTGCTTCGCGCGGACCATCCTCGACATCTCCGTCTTGCCTCCACATTCGCGTGAAAGCGAGATAAAAGGATACCCACCAACTCTTTCCAAAGCCGTACATTAGATTATTGGGCCAAGTAGGAACGTCTAAATCTATTAAGGTTTATTAGATCCATGTTTGCAACTATAATTTCAGTTAGTTGAGTTCAGTTCCAAAACCAGCGGATCTCAAGTTCAAATCAAGACATTTAAGCTTTAAACAAGCATTTAATCCTGACACAAATATTAAGTTTAGCTTAGAAATCGTAATACCCTTGCAGAGTATTTTAATATTAGTCAGAAGCTTGTAACACAGTGAAGAAGTCATTTCCGACCCTATAAATCATATATAGTATTGATCAGCATTAACAGCTGAATCGATCTAGCCATCTCCGGTTAAAAAATAAATTTTCGGAATTTTTATCAAAATTTGATAATTTTATAAGGGGTTACATCGTTAAAATTGTCAAAAATGTCGATTTTTTTATATTTTAATCTGAGTATGCAGATTTATTAGGCTAACAAAAACTAACATAGCGCAGCTTTCCGATTTAAAATTACTGTTCTTTTGGCTTAGTTATGAGTATTTTAAATTTTGATTTGTTGAACAAATTGTCTCATAAAAATATAAATAAATAGACTTGAAGAATGGTATTATCGTTTTAGTCAGAAGCTTGTAACACAGTGAAGAAGTCATTTCCGACCCTATAAATCATATATATTATTGATCAGCATTAACAGCTGAATCGATCTAGCCATCTCCGGTTAAAAAATAAATTTTCGGAATTTTTCCAAAATTTGAAAATTTTATAAGGGGTTACATCGTTAAAATTGTCAAAAATGTCGATTTTTTCATATTTTAATCTGAGTATGCAGATTTACTAGGCTAACAAAAACTAGCATAGCGCAGCATTCCGATTTGAAATTAATGCTCTTTTGGCTTAGTTATGAGTATTTTAAAATTGGATTTGTTAAACAAATTGTCTTATAAAAATATAAGTAATATCGACTCAAAGAATGGTATTATACTTTCAGTCAGAAGCTTGTAACGCTGTGAAGGAGTCATTTCCGACCCTATAAATCATATATATTATTGATCAGCATCAAAAAGCTGAGTCAATCTAGCCATCTTCGGTTAAAAAATACATTTTCGAGACTGGTGGGCATCTGTGGTACTTACTCTGACACCGAGCAAGACGAAGACCAATATTAAAAGATTTAATTATACATTCCTAAACGTTCATAATTAAAGCGATTAAAAGTTAATACTTTTTTGCACTGAAATTAAATTATATTACATACCATACAATATTCAATTCTAGCCATATATTGCAATTTTATTTCACTATAATTTGATTTTTCTTCGCCTTCAGTAGCTGGCGTGGATCATTTTTGTATCGCACAAATATTTCGCTCTTGAAAACATCAAACTTTCTGCGATTAGCATTATTTTGCTGCTCTCGCCAAGCCGGTCTCGCCTGCTTCCTTTGCAGACCCCAGTGACCAGTGAAAACGGGGGACAGAACGTAAAACTGGTATCCCGCTATATGCATCTCGTACACCTGGGAATTCCTGGTAAATCCGTAGCCAAGAAATCTTTCGTCATGCGCAGGAGCATTATCCACCGCTATGTAGAACGGTTCGTATAGGAATTCAAAGTTTGTTACGATATGGCTAACAGAGACCTCTGTGTCATTTGTGCTTGTCGACAGCCATCTAAAGTAAAAAATTGGATATTAAAACTAATTGGATTTTAGTTTTGTAGGACATACTTTGAGAAATTGGTGGCATATTGGTTGTAGATAAAGACCTTCTCGTGAAACGGCCTGGCCAAACCTTTTCTAATCAAACGCAGCAGCCCGTTCTTCGAGCGCGGAAACGTAGCCCGCACATCTATCTCGAACGTGGGTATAACGTAAGCGCAGCTTTTTGAGCAATTTGCCGTTCTGAAGAACTGGTTGAGCTGAGGGACACTGTTTGTGCTGGGAACAATGTCGATGTCGGTCAGAAAGACGTACTTCGTCTGACAGCCCTTACGAGCCAGGTTCCGCATGTGGTTCTGGGGATATATGTTTCTTTGCCGCCACTGCAGCGTTCTCAACGACCGAAACTTGAGCAATGCCTTTAGCGTCCTATCCGGATACTGGCAATCAAATTTGCCCTTCATATTTAAAGGAATGGCAGCCACTCTAGGCAGCCTGTCGTAATCCCGCGGTGTCAGCAAGTGAAAGGTGGCATTCTCCCGAATGTTGGCGAAGCAAAGTCGCATATATGTAACGAAGTACTGCAGCACAACGAACTCTTCATGTCCAGCGGCAAACACGGCCACTGACATTTTACCCTGCCAATTGGTAGCCACCTGCGGCAGCGAGTTGAGACGCTCCACCGAGGTCTGCGTGGCCAGGCAGACCAGATTGGCCTCCGGCGAGTCCATGAACTGCTCACCCACTAGGGCAAAGTCCTTGACCCGATACAGCTGCTGATTGTCCCAGCGCCCGTAGCTCAGATCGACGTTCTCGAACGCCAGTGTCGCAGTGCTATTCGGAGTCAACAAGTTGTTCAAGTGGGTAAGCGGTTGTAGCAGCGCGTAAGCGATATCTGGATGCTAGGGGCATTCGGCAGCAGTGGGCGGTCGGAAAGTTGGCTCCGGTAATTGGCATTTTGTGGGTGGAGCCGGTGGATACACCTTGAAGAGCCAAAAAATGTTGACCGATAGGAAAACCAGGACTATTTTCATGGTACTACAGTTTGATATGTGGCACTGGAACAGAAATTAACTGCTTTTCAAGATATTTTTGAAAATAAATGAACACTCACCATCATTCGAGCAGGAAAATATCACAAAACAATTATTTATGAGGAAAAACACAACCTTAGGAACAAATATCCTTGCAGTATTTTGGTTAGTGGGACCACATACTATATTTCCATTTAATACCAACAAAAAGATAAAAACGGGAAGTCAAACTACACTTTTTTCGATTTTTTATATATCGAATATTAAAGTTTTAAACAAATAAAATTAAAAATTTTAATAATTCGAATAATTGATCTCTGGTACCTTAGTAAAGACGGAGTGGATTTTCTTTTTATACCCTTGCATATAGCTCCCATAGGAACGATCCGGAAATTAATACAATTTAAAATTATAACTTTTTCAGTTTCCAACAGATTTTCAGTTCTGTTCTATCTGCGAGGGTATATAAACTTCGGCGTGCCAAAGTATGCTTCCTTTCTTGCTGTTGTTGTTGCGTCATCGGAAAAGTATCGTATGCATACATATCGATAAACGTCTCCTCGCTTGTGTAAAATGAACAACAATTTTTAGCGATAAATTTTTTGCCAGAGACGTCTGCAAAGGTATTTATATTTTTATACTTTTCTTCCGAATTGATGGAATAAGGTAAATCCATACAAAACTTTTTACAATCCTGTTGCACCATGACAAGTAGAAAGTGGTCTCATCAGCAGCCGTTTTCTTTGTTTTTCAGTCCATTAATTTTCAGCGTGTGCTCTCTTGTTGTCGTTTCTCTATTAACACTTATGTGTACAAGAGAAAAATGACATATTGCATGTATTGCCGAAAAAACGTATCAGGTGTGAAGTTCATAAAAGCACCGAAATGCTTAGTAAGGAGATCTTTGTGGGAGAAAACTCTTGGGTGCAGCCTTGGAGAACATTCAAAAATTTGCGAAACGCATTTTGGTGCATCACAGTGGAAGTCCACTGACAGAAGAGGGCAAGCTGTGAAAAGGAGGCGACTAAACAACGATGCTGTTCCGCAGATTGGCTTGGAGCCTGAATCAAAGATTGCCAAATCAGGTTACGCTAATGGCAGCACGCAAACAGAGTAAGTTTACATCTATTAAATAAATAAGCTCGTGTTAAAAATAATATAACTTTTGCCTAGAGAAAAAATGATTGATCGTACAACATTTATTGAAAAAGAGATCATGAGAAAGAAAATAGTATCTATGGAGAAGGAAATGCGTTCCCTACGCAAACAGCTCGAGGTGTTTCAGGAGTTGGAAAAATCACTACGCTACATTTTCACTGAGACCCAAATCAAAATACTGAAGAGCGGAGGAAAAAGATCCACATTTAATGCAACTGACATGTCTGCTGCTATTTGCCTTCACTCCGTTGGACCTCGATCATACAAGCACCTATATGAAAAAGGATTTCCCTTGCCGAGTAGGGCAACGATATTTAGATGGTTAGCAGATGTTAAAATTAATGCTGGTACCCTTGATGTCGTGTTAGACCTAATGGAAAATGAAGAAAGGTGTCAAGTGGATAAATTATGCGTTTTGTCCATTGATAAAATGCAGCTTGCAGCTGCTTCCGAGTTTAGCGCCTCAGAGGATGTTGCAAATGAGCCAACTAGCTACGTACAAGTGGCCACCGTTCGAGGCTTGAAAAAATCCTGGAAGCAGCCCGTATACTTCGGTTTTAACGCCCGAATGGACACAGAGACTCTAAATGCAATAATAATGAAATTACACAAGATAAATTATCCGGTGGTAGCAATTGTCTCTGATTTAAGCGCCGAAAATCAGAGTCTATGGAGAGAGCTTGGTATATCGGAAAGTAAGTTTGTTATACGAACTAATACAAAAGAGAAAACTAAATTGTTTCTTCGTTTCAGCAAACAGGTCGTGGTTTAGCCATCCAGCGGATGATCAATTGAAAATATTCGTTTTTTCGGATACTACACATCTATTAAAGTTGGTTCATAACCACTATATTGACTTTGGATTAGACATCAACGGTCATAAATTGACAAAGACGACAATTCAACAGACAATTAGACACTGTGCTATGTCGGATGTTTCCATAAAATTAAGGATTAATGAGAATCATATAAATGTTTCCTCGCTGACTAAACAAAACGACAATTTGGCAACGGAACTATTATCTAGTGCAACAGCCAGTTCCATTAGACATTGTTTTGAGTATGGATATGCTATAGAAAACGCATGCGAAACCGCAGATTTTTTTGTACTTATCAATGAGTGGTTCGATGTCTTTAACTCAAAGATGTCTAGAATTCATTCCACCGACTCGCCACAGGCTTATGGTAAACAAATCGAAAGTCAACAAGGTACGTTAGCTAAAATGTCAGAAATTATGCGTACAGAGATGACTGAATCAGCGGATAAACTGACCTTCCAAATGGGTATTTTGGTCAACAATGCATCCCTTGATGGTTTGTATTATTATTTGTCGGAAAAGTACGAAAGGATTCCCATACTAACAAGTCGTCTTAACCAACACAATGTGGAGAACTTTTTTGGATCAATGAGGTCAATTGGCCATGGCGGACAGTATGATCATCCGACTCCTCTTCAATTTAGAGATCAGATAAGAAAATATATAAAGGGTATGATCAAATTAGATTAATAAATTCTAATGTACGCCGAAGATATACATATGTAAATAAACCCAATTTTACTTTTGAAGTAAAAATATAAAATGTAAGAATAAAAATAAATAAGAATAAAATAAATTGCACTCATGTTTTTATTATAAGACGTAAATTGAATACCCTCGCACCTTATAAAGGTTAAGCGAAACACATATTGTTTCTTTCACTCACAATTAATGATGATATAGTCAATCTGGCCACACTGGCGCACATCATGCAGCTTGACCGTTTAACAGGGCAGGACTTTTGTTCATATCTATGTAGAAAACATTAATGAAAACAGCGAGAAAATAATCGAGAATAACATTTAAAATTTATATAAAAACAAATCGAAGAGCTTAGCCCTGGAGAAGCGAGTGTCGGTCGCGATAAACCGAGAATCTCAAACGCGAACACCAATCAAAAGAACCTACTGAAAGTGCATATAGAAAAATATCCATATGTATGAAATAACAATAATTAAGAACCTGTGTTGTTAATTCGGTCGCTTACAAATCCAATTCCCCGGCTTTATGTAAATGTACGTACGAAAACACAAAATGTACGTAAATACGTGAATACTAACTATACGATGCAACTGTAGAGAAAAAAAATCGGCTCAGCTAGTTTGTGTGCATATATACATAATTAAATTAGTTTTGCCGATTATAACTCTGTCCATCCGATTTGTTTTGATGAATCCTTACTATGTTGAACGGTGAGGTGTGGAGGAGGGAGGGGAACACATCAAAGCAATATTTCCGGCCCGGTTACGAGTTCTGTATGTACTTGCATATATTGGTATGTAACGTACCTACCTATGTAAATATGTCTGATAAGTGTCAACAGCCAAGCGTTTATCCAAACCGACGTACATAATCGGTGATGATCCCTTGGAATCTGTGACAGAGGCCGAATTATATGCCAGCTTATGTACTCGTGTATGTATAATTGGTACCAAGAAATCACCAGATCCAGTTTTTTTACAACGCCCCTAGCGATGGGCTTAAAGATTTGTTAATTGCTTAGGTGACCTTTGTTAGCGATGTGAGATAAATCGTGTTGGCGTTGTGAAAACCTAATTTGTCCATATTTTCGCAGGGATTCGTCACAGGCAAATATGGAGGAATCACCAAACCCGAACAACTATGGTGTTAACCAAAGACTACAGAAGCCAGAGGGATGGCTGCCCAACGTGGGCGAGTATCATCCATCGCTGTTGTTCCCGGAGGACCCGCGGAGGTATTTCCACAACCCCCCGCCTCCGCATCCGCCACCGCACCCGCTACCGCTACCGCCTGCAGAGCCGATCGATGGAGGAGCCGCCCACATACCCGCTAAACTGCCAGAATACGGCACAGAGATCAACCATCCGGTCGAACCCGATCGAGTCACAGCCGTCACAGTGCCGCCGCCCCCGCTGCAGTTGGCGCTGCCATTGCAACCGCCACCGGTGGCCGATGTGGCCACCAAGAACACAGTACCTTACGGACACAAGCGAAAGAATTCGGTGGCCGACGAACAGGCGGCGGCAAGCAAGAAGATTAGCCTGGCGGCCGCCGCTGCCGAGGCCGAGAAGAAAAACAGCCACCTTCGCAAGAACATCCGCGACGTGATGAACGAGAACAATCTGGACACCACAACGCTGGCGGCTCAGAGGGAGGAGTCAGAACGCTTGGCTCGCGTTGCTGGTCAACAAAAGTCAATGCGCGAGATCCAGAAGCAGGTGGTGCACAAGCAAATCTTCCGCATCCTGCAGCTGGACGAGAGCGAGGGCATCGAGAGCTGTTCGGTGTCAAACCACGCCGAGCACCACCCGCCCGTCGATTTCCCCGAGGACGAAATCGCCTCGGACACGTTCGACGAATCGAACAGCAGTAGCCTCAGCGGCGGCAGCCTCGGGGACGTAATACAAAAAGAGGCCAGCGTCGAGCAGCCCAGCGAGGTGGTCACGATCGACGACAGCTCCTCCGACGACGACTGCATACTTCTCTCCGAGGAGGAGATGGAGGAGGATGACGAGGACCTGAACGAGTCGGACGACGCCACCAACAGCGGCATGCACGTCAAAGATCTGTACAATGTTCCTGACGAAAACGGGCAGGTGGTGGTCAACATGGCGCACCCGGAAGGCGAAGAGACCCTGTACCTGGCCCCCCAAATAGCCAAGGTAATAAAACCGCACCAGATCGGCGGGGTGCGCTTCCTGTACGACAACATCATCGAGTCCACACGAAGATTCAACAAATCGAGCGGTTTCGGGTGCATTCTCGCCCACTCCATGGGTCTGGGCAAGACGCTGCAAGTTGTCTCCTTCTGTGATATCTTTCTGAGACACACCTCAGCGCGGACAGTGCTGTGTGTGATGCCCATCAACACGCTGCAAAACTGGCTGAGTGAGTTCAACATGTGGATTCCGCGCTACTCCGCGGACGGCAATGTGCGTGCCCGCAACTTCGATATATACGTCCTGAACGATCAGCAGAAGACGCTGACAGCGCGGGCAAAGGTTATCCTCAACTGGGTCCACGAGGGCGGAGTCCTGCTGATCGGCTACGAGCTGTTCCGCCTCCTGGCCCTCAAGCTGGTGAAGACGCGCAAGCGAAAAGGCAGTGTTATGCGGCCCGACGGTATGGACTCCAGCAGCGATCTCATGAACTTGGTGTTCGAGGCGTTGGTGAAGCCAGGCCCAGACCTGGTCATCTGCGATGAGGGACACCGGATCAAGAACTCGCACGCCGGCATCTCGCTGGCTCTAAAACAGATCCGGACACGACGCCGCATTGTGCTCACTGGTTACCCCTTGCAGAACAACCTGCTCGAGTACTGGTGCATGGTGGACTTCGTAAGGCCCAACTATCTGGGCACACGCACCGAGTTCTGCAACATGTTTGAGCGTCCCATTCAAAACGGTCAGTGCGTGGACTCCACTCCGGATGACATCAAACTTATGAGATACAGGGCGCACGTTCTGCACTCCTTGCTGCTTGGATTCGTCCAGCGGCGCTCGCACACGGTGCTGCAAGCCACCCTGCCGCAGAAATACGAGTATGTTATCCTGGCGCGAATGACTCCATTCCAGCGAAAGCTCTACGACACGTTCATGACGGATGTGGTGCGCACCAAGGCGTTCCCCAATCCTCTGAAGGCCTTTGCCGTCTGTTGTAAAATCTGGAATCATCCAGATGTTCTGTATAACTTTCTAAAGAAATGTGAGACTGATTTAGATTTAGAAATCGACGAAGATCTTTCCAAGAGTGTCGTCCCCTCCACACCAACACCAACAGTTGTCGAGTCGCCCCATAATGATCCAGCCGTGAATGTAGCCTCGCCCCTGAGCGAAAGGAGGAATAATGGATCCAGCGAGCCCATCAATAACATTACTAATATTGAGCCCCTGCCCAAGGCTGATAATCAAACGTTATACAATATGCCAACCTCCTCTGATCTAAACGCAAAGTATTTAAATAAAAGGTAAGCATCGTGTAGTAATCAGCCTATACATCATTTCTACTTAAAAAAAAAACTTTCCAGCCCCAGCTTCTATGAGGAGAAATCAGAGCCCCTTAGCTATGGGGCCTTTGGTGGCGAGACAAAGAACAACTATTGGATGGACTCCAGTATTCTGCCCAAACCGGGATGCGTTGAGGTCATTAAGCAGACAGATACCAACATGTCTAACAATTTTGAGAGTATTACGACATCGTCGGAAATCGTGGATCTGGACACGAACGAGATTAAGACCGTGGAAACGACCATACAATCCTCGTCCTGTACAAATAATCAAGTAGACAATGATTGCAATTCAAATAGACCCAGTGAATGGAGTTCCCCGGGCATTAAAAACGCTGCCGGTATTGCCGCCGCAGAGCCTTTTAAGAAGTTGCTGAAGAGCAAGCGGAATGATGAGTTTTCCTGCTCCTGGGCTGTCGAGCTGATGCGGAACTATGTGCCTGGCCTTATCTCAAATTCGCCAAAAATGGAGATTTTCTTTTGTATACTGGAAGAGAGTATGCACTTGGGGGACCGCATATTGTTATTTAGCCAAAGTCTGTTGACCCTAAACCTACTCGAGGTCTATCTAAAGTCTAGTTATGTTCCTGGAAGCAATCAGCTTTGGACTAAAAACACTTCCTACTTCCGTAAGTATATCAGTTAAATTTATTAATAAGTATAATGATAACTAATTGGAAATACGATGTTTAGGCTTGGATGGCTCCACTTCCTCGCAGGAACGGGAAAGGCTAGTCAACGAATTCAACTCAAATAGTAGTGTTAAGCTTTTTCTGATATCAACAAGAGCCGGCTCGCTGGGTATCAACCTTACCGGCGCGAATCGCGTAATAATATTTGATGCCAGTTGGAACCCTTGCCACGATACGCAAGCTGTATATAGGATTTACAGGTAAGGCTTGAGTTATTCTGCATGACATATGAAGTCCAACTCAAAACGATTCATTTCAGATATGGACAGACAAAACCGTGTTTTGTGTACAGAATCGTCATGGATAAGTGTCTGGAGAAAAAGATATACGACAGGCAGATCAAAAAGCAAGGCATGTCAGACCGCATTGTTGACGAGTGCAATCCCGAGGCACACCTTTCGATGAAGGATATCACGAATCTGTGTCATGACTACGACTCCGATGAAGAAGTGATCGAGGAGGTAAGCAAGCCAGCGACGGTGGAGTCGCCTAGCAAGCCGAGCTCGCCAACGGTTGAGGCTAGTAAACTATCCCCCGACGCGGCAGATGAGCCTAGCAAGGCAGCAGATGAATCAAATAAGTCACCACTATCATCGGATGAGTCGAAAAAGCCACCAGAAGACGACAAAAGTGCGTCAATGGATGTGGATGAGACCAAGGCACAAAACGGCACCGGTATAGAAGTGCCAGTTAAAAACGAAAAGGATGAGGAGGTCCCGACACCCAAGGTTCATGCTGACTCTATAATAAACACCATTCTCGAGCTGCATAAACATTGTGTGACAAAAGAACCGTTTTTGCACGAAAGCCTTCTGGTAGATCAAAAGGACCGAAAGCTGTCCCAAGCCGAAAAAAGGCAGGCTCATCGCAGTTATGAGCTGGAGAAAAAGGCTGCCGTCAATCAGCGTTTTACCTATACTCCTGCAAAAATGCACTACAAGATCGTTAACAACGATGGAACCGTAATCACTAAACCCATGACACCGGTAAGTAGTTAGTGCATTACTCAGTCGAAATATATTAAGAGTCGTATTCTTCACGCCCACACAGCAAATGAAGACACATACGTCAACCTCAACAGGAGGTGGACGCACAACACGCTGGATTCCCGCTGACGTGTGGCAGAGACAGGGCATGACCGCCCAAGAAATGACCCTGCCACTTGGTATATCCCATGTTGAATTACAGCTTAAGTCGTCCGCTAATTGATGTGCCTTTTACAGATGTTGTCATTCCCACAAATTCGGCTGATAAAGCCAATATAATTCTAAAGGCTGGACAGCGTGTAATGGTCCTGAAGTCGGCGAAGGGTATCTACATGCAGCTGGACAGCGGAAAGATCATAGCCATAAGGACTACGGCAAAAACAGAAGCGGAGAAACCAAATAATAAAGACGATGTCATCGACATAACATCCGACTGTGACACTGACACCGCCAAGCCACAAACACCAGAAAAAGGTAAGCAGAGTAGGGTATTAAACTATAAGATACAATGTTAATTGTTTTGTTACAGATGTGAAAGATCTGACTGCCGATGACGAGCCACAACATATCGCAAAGAACAAGGAGTCCATTGCGCCAGCAACTACTGCAAGCCGGCCAGAAATGTCGGCTAGCGAAAAGCGAAAGCCCACAGAAAGCACGCAGCAACAACACTTTAAGCCGCAATCACAACCAAACAATAGTTTGGCCTCCACATCAAATCCACATCAGATGCCTTGTGACTTGAACTATGCACAGCCGTCACAACACTCTCAGCAGCAGACACAGTCACAACAACAGCCGCAGCAACAACAACCGCAGCCACAGGCGCAACAATCGCAACAGCAGCAGCAGCAACCGTTGCCGCAAACGTATAAGCATCCGAATCACCTGCCGCCGGCTGTTAGCGAAGGTTACAACAATGCAAGTAGTAGTAGTATTCAGCCCAATGTGCCACTTCCGCCGCACCCAAGCGATACGACGGACAGTTCGTATTTCCAGACGGTACCCAAACCAAACCCCTTCCACCAGCCTTCCTATCCACCCCAATATTACGACTATTACGACAATAAGCATAAGGCCGCCCCACCTGCCTCCAGCTACCACCTCAATAACTACACTTCGTATGGCAATTTGAACTTCGCGCCGTATCATTCCAATCTGCACCCACCCGCAGGCTATATCAGTGCTCCGTCATCGTACGCCAACTCGAATGTGTTTCCCAGACAGCACTGGAGCTCTGCTGTGAATGCGCCAGCGTCCAGCGAACCTATACGGCAGCCCTCGTACATCGGCAGCACCACTTATCCCATAAACGAGTGGTCGTCGCAATAGCAACTGTAAATAGAGACTTTGATGGTCCCATATCTCCGGTGTCCAGTTGAGGGCGGAGCGCCACTCTAACGAGCTCAAATATACTCAGACTCCAACTTGTGACTAATTTATATGATTTATTATTAGCTATATTTATATTCGACTTGAGTATTTAATGCCTTTCTGTGTAGAAAGTATTCCGTTTTATTATTTGTCCCTTAACATTTTATTCAATGTACTCCGTCTGAGAAGTAGAATGTCTAATAATAATAGTAGGCAATTCAAGCGATCATCTGTTGATCAATAAACCACACACACAATGCTTCCTATACTTATAAAATTTAAATTTTATCTCAATGTTAGTGTTCTTGTGGAAGTACAATTTTTAAGTCGTTTGTATGATTTATCCAATGAAATACTTACTTGTCGCTTATGTGTTACCCTGACTGGACTAACAGAGCTCGGCCTTTGATTCCCTACCATTATTTCTCTAATTAATTTATTATAATATTATAGTAAAATGCATGACTAATTAATTAACTACAAATAAGTTATTAGTTTTCATTCTGGAGTAAAAACAGACGAAATCTAAATAGATATTCATAGAGCGTAACCTACTGTTTAAGCCAATCGTTCTACCCAAACTGTATTTTATTTAGAAGCCCATGAATAGAAAAAGAAAAACTCATACGAAATATCATTAAAAAATTGGTCTCTCTTTTGGTAACGGGCAGCAAAACCCGAAAATAAACGAAAAGAAAACTAATAAAAAAAAAGGAAAAACATTGACATTAGTCTAGATAATATCACACATTCGAAATAATTAACAAGCTTTGATTAAACATTGTTAGATCTAAGCAATAAAGAAAAAGTATTAAACATCACAACACTATAACATTTCATTTTTGAGCTTCGTTCACAACATAAGATCACATTCGACTGTTCCTCTTATTTCACGCAACTTGGGGTAAATTCAACTTATTAATTGACATTATATATAGATTATTTATTTACAGCACACATTTATATATACAAATCATACTCAATACAATAACATATAAAATGTGCGCATCTATTATCTGCGAATAGAACCATTGAGAGGCAAATAGGGGGAATACGTGGGATACATCGGATTGGAGGGAGTGCCTCGCTGCAGCACGCACGCATCCTGGTACTGAGATTGCATATTCATCATTTGCATCGGTATCTGCGAATTGGGATAGTCGCTTCCCGAGCTGTAGCTTCCAGTGGGTGGCGATTGCTGCGGTGACATTCGATAGCTATTGATGGCCCCATATGGCGCCATCAGGTTCGGACTGATGTGCACGTTGGTGGTGGTGCGATTGTTGCTGCCGCCGCTGCCCATGGGCGCCGAGGTGTGCTGCACGGGAGCGGATGGGGTGTTTCGTGCCGTATTCCTGCTCGTGTTCTGAGCAGACGTAATGGGCGTTATGTTCATGTTGCCCGGATAATATTTGTGGTACTGCAGCGGGGCCACCTGTGTCTGCAGCATGTTGGCATGCGGCGGCGTGGAGATGTTCCTGTTCTGCATGAGCAGGTGGGGCGGCGGCGTCATAGAGTTGGGTGGAATGGGATGATGCGGTGAAGGGGCCAGATTAACTTGCGCTCCCGGCGACGTGTTGCACGGCTGGCTCTCCAGGCAATTTGTCAGCTGTTGCAGCTTGGACAGGCTGCACAGAGAGGCGGTGGTGCCCGTGCTGTTGACGGCCGCCGATATTGAGTCCTGTCCCCCGTTTGCCGTTGTTGGTCATTGCCGGATGAAGGTGGGCCGCCCAGGGAACTGGATACTGGCACCCGCGGCGCATTCTCTGTGGCGGCAGGCATGTTGTTTTGCAAATAGAAATTGTTGACGGCGCACGCTGACGACGGCTGCTCGATGCGCTGATGGGTGTTGGGGAGCGAGTGCATTCGCTGCTGGATAACCGCCGGCATGCTCACGATGTCATAGTTCGTGGGATTGGCCGAGAAGTTCTGGCTGAGCTGCGGAATCGGCACATAGTCGATTGTCTGCATATTTTGCTGGTGGCCACCGTGCTGCGAAAACTGCAGGTTGTGCAACGACTCTTGGTGGGACTTGGAAATATTTGCAGTGGCTCCTCCGCCCCCCTGTGGAATCTGATGATGAGTATTCGATGTGGTTGTAGGCGGTGCTGCGTTCTTCGTATCCCGCTGCTGCTGGGCAGTATTTCCGCTCCGAATTTGCTTGGGCGTGGTGGCCCTGTGTGAGGGAGTCGTCGGTGAACTGACCGCAATGTCCGCCTTTGGGATAATGAAAATGATTTAGTTAAATAAAAGTTAAGGAAGTTTACACAAACTGTTACCTGAGCATTCAATTTCCTGGCTTGATGTTGTTGATGCTGCGGATTGTTAAGTAGATTAATGTTAGTCGGGGACTCTGCCGACAGATTCATATTCAGGCTGTTTTGCTGCTGTTGCTGCATATGGGAGTTCTGGATGGACATGTGCATGGGCGTGGTGACTGGCTGGTTTTGCATGGAGCAATCTGAAAACTGCCGGTGTGGCTGATGCATATGCACGTTGGCAGTGGCAGCGATCTCTTGGGAGCCGTGCGAAATGGCACTGCCGATATTGGCCGGCGACTCCATGTTGATCTGCGCATTAATACCGCAATCGTAGTGCTGCTGCATGGTTGCATTCGCCGACGGCTCTGTGTTGTACACCAAATTCGGATTGACATCGCTTTGGCCACCGCCCCCGGTAACCTGCAGGTTGGTATGCTGACTCGGAGGAGCATGCTGTATGTTGGGATGTTGCCCAATCTTATTAAGCTTTGCGTCGCGCGAAATAACAGTCGTCGGGTTCACGCCATGCTCGGATTTTTGCTTAGCAGGCACAGTCCCTGGGTTGGGCATCAGGACTGTCGTTTCAGCCGGATTGGCATTACTTTGGCGCGGCACTGAGTTCTGGGAATTTGCCAGGGATTTCATCTGCTGCGCCTGCGCCTGCTTCTGCTGGGTAGCAGCAGCACATTTCTGATTGTAAATTGCCGCCGCCTGGTTGTTGGCCGCATACTCATTGCAGTGCTGGACATGGGCATCTTCGCGAGAGGCGCTGACCACGTTCGCGCCGCTGGACACCACTTTGGACTGGTGCTCCTCTTTCTTGCCGCTGCTCTTGCGCTCCACCTTGTGCTTCTCCTTGGTCTGGTGCATCTGATGATGGTGCGCATGCTGCATGGCCAAGTTGGCGGACTGGTAAAGGTTCTGCGTAAAGTTGTGCGTGTACGCCATGGTCGTGGCCAGATCCTTGTGGAACTGCTTCTGGCCCTTCTGCGAAGCGGGGTCCAGGTGCGAAAGGTTGTAGCTATAGTAGTCCCACTGCCAGTACTGCGAAGAGTGGTAGTTGGGCATTTGGTTGATGGGAAACTGGGAGGGAATCGAGTTCTGCAGCTGGGCGGCGGCGGCGTGATCGTTGCTGCCTTTTAGCTGCATCTTCTCTCGGATGGGATGCACTGCCGCGGGCATGCGTGCACTCGACTTGACCTCCTCCTCCTTGACTTGCACCAGCTGATGGTCTGTCTTGATAACTTCTTTCTCGGGAACAGCGATTTTCATCTTGCTGGCATCGTACTTCTTGTCACCGCTGTTGACCTCGGGCTTCACAACCGGAGGATCCGACAGCGTCATAGCCTTTTTGATTGCCTTCTCCTTGATGTCGGCCAATGGCGGAGGCTGCTGATCTGTCTTTTCCGGTGTTATCTTGTCCTGCGACTTTGGCTGCACCTTAGGAAGCTCCACTGTCGATGGGGCTTCCGCACGATGATTGGCAGGCGGATTGATGGTAGCGGCTTCTGCTTTCTTTGCCTTTTCCACTTCCACCGGCTTCTGTTGAACTTGAGCCACGAGGGGCTGAGCGGGAAGCACAGTCTCAATGGGTTTTTCGAGCTGGACTGGGACACTTGGACAAGGAGCATCGGGCATAGGTACCACTGGTGGCGTAGCCGATGAATCTGGCGACGACTTAAGGTAGTTTAGATTAATCTCAACTTTTTGTTCACCCGGTGACTTCTTGATATTTTCCGTGTTTACAAGAATCGGATTCTGTTCGGGAGCAGGTTGTGCAACGACCATGACGGCGGGTTCCGTTTTTTCGGGACTCTTAGGCTTAGGCTTGCTTTCTGGTAGTTCGGGCACTTTGACTTCCTTGATGTCTTTTACAGACTCCACCACTTCTTGGGAGGTAACTTCTGGCCTGTCCAGGGCATTATACTTGACCTCTTCCGCGTTGTATGACGTTTTGGCGTCGGAGAAGACAGTCTTCTTGGTTTTCTTCGCCACAGCATCGAGCACTTGCTCGGTGATGCTGCTGGCTTCAACCGGAATCTCTATTTTGGCTGAAGTTTGGTTCTTAGATGGACTCTCAACTGTCGCCGCTTTGATAGATTCTCTTGGTGGTTCCTTCGCAGGAGTACTGATCAAATTTTCGGTGTTTTCCGCAGCGGTATTCCCGTTGAATTGCAAGTCCTCGCTGGAACGCTTGCCGTTCGATTGTTTTCCCCTAAGTTTGGGCACAATATTGACTTTTTTATCGACGTGGGACGACGCCGTCTTGCTGACCTCCCGTGCAGCAGCAGATTCTTCCGATGATTTGGCCTCAGTTTCCTCGGCGTCTGCTGCTGCCTCCGACTGCCTCTGCATTGGCGCCGGATTTTGATCGGATGCAGTGGCACTGGTCTCCAGAGTTCGATCAAAATGTTTTCGCTTGTTGGTGTGCGGAATGACGTCGTTGCGCTTGGCCAATCGCTGGGCTCGTTTGGTCAAGTGTTCAGAGAGTTCCTTTGCGGACTTGCCATCGGATGAGTCGGAGGAGTGCTCACCAAACGACTGCTCCTCCTGCGCCGGCTGCGCTGGAGTCATCATCTTGCATTTCTTTGACTCGCTCACAGCGGACTTCAGAAATTCTTCGGGACAGGCGCGTTTTCGCTGGCCCTCGCGCTCCTCAACTAGTTTTTCGGAGCTCGGCACACGATTCTTTGCAGGAGCAGCCTCGCCGCTCTCTTGCTGGCTCACCTTTGGAATGGCCGCCAGGATAGGCTGCTTGTTCTCTTCGGTGTTCTTCTTGTGGTCGGACTTTCGCTCAATTTGATTGTTCAAATATTCGCGATTCGAGATTGGTTTGATTATGTTGGGTAGCTTAGACACGGACAGCAATGGACTCCATCGCAAGCAGTCGGCTTCGATGATTATTCGAGACTTGCTATTAGCCATTTTGTTGTGATGACCCACCACCTTTTTCCAGTCAATTTTCACATTGATCTGATACCGGATGTCCCCGTCATTCTTCCTTAGCTTGATGAAGTTGAGCAACTCAAAGGCCAGGGCAATATCGGAGATGGCCAGGCCGGTCTTGATGGCGATGTCCTTGAAGGTGATCTTCGACTGATTGCGGTACTTGTACAAGTACTCCAGCACGACGGATTTCCAGTAGGAGAAGTAGGATAGCCGTCCTAAATCGGAGAGCGGCTTCTCCGGCGTTCCCAGCTGTCCCTCCTCACGACTTAGAAGGTAACTGAAGTCGATCAGAAACCGTCCGTAGCCTTGGCGTTGGTACTGTGGCATTGTCAGGATGCAAGACACATTGTACTTTTGCGTACAGTGCTTCTCCTTGGAAAAGTAGCCCACGAGATGGCAGCCGCTTTGGTCGTTCTTTGTCAGGATGTAGAACAGAAAGGGCTCCACGTCGTAGTAGAGCGTTTTGTGGTCGAGAAAGAATTTGGCCAGCAGGCACAAGTTCTGGCAATAAATCTTGTTCACATTGCCATCCACCTCGAACACAGATATATTTCCCTGTCGAAATATTTCAGTGCCTGGCGGCTGCTTCCAAATACATTTGTTCTGATGCCTGTCCAGCACCGAGCGACTCTTGGTATACTTCAAGCAGAACTCACACAAAAACAGCTTCATGAGCCGGGCGTACTCCTGGGGAAAGGGGCTGGAATACCAGGTCTCAATGTCCCATTTACCAATTTGAATTGACTTGGGACTTTGCGTATTCTGTCCTGCCTTTCGGCCTACATCGTCAGCCAGTTTCTCTATGTGATTGTTGGACATCTGAACGACTGCTTTGTGAAGAACCTCTTGGTATAGTTCCACGTCCGTTGCAGTCACGCCCGGCGGCAGGGGTTGATTTTCAAATGGATTGGCTCGCTTTGCAATTAAATCATCATCGTTATGGCTTTCCGGCTTTTCAGCGTCGGCCTCACTCTTAGACTCCCTACTCCGTTCGATCTCCTCGAGGAGTTGTACCTTCATTACCGTCTCTTCGGTAAGATATGGAATGTCATCTTCATCGCCCTTTTCGTACGACTTTCCCGCCTCCAACGGCATGCTCTTCAGAGGAACAATCTTCTTCTTTGGCCCATTGCTGGCACCTTGTTTTTGTTTTATGGTCATGACACTGGCTGCGGCTGTGGACGTTGAATTAGGGGCCACTGCTGGCGTGCCTCTTTGAGTGCGATTATGTGCTGGTGAGGTGGCAAAGCCAATGCCCTTCGCACTGGTGCTGTTGTTTTTAGATTTCACAAATATGTCAATCGGATTCTTAGCCACCGCCGCAAAGCCCCAGTTGTTCTCACCGCCGGCCGTCGCATCATTGCTGTCCGGCGAACTTAGTCCTGCGTTGGTGGCATTCAGTTTCGCGCAGCTCTGCTTCTCGTTCTCGAACATTTTCCCCTTCAGCGTGCTGCGGTCGGTGTCGTAGTCCTCCTCGTCGTTCTCGTCGTCGCACTCCGAGCTGTCACTGGAACTCTCGCTGGAGTCCGAGTCAGAGCTGGACGATGTGCACGAATCGGAGGATGTGCTCTCGTCCTGATCGTTGTCATCGCAGCCCCTATTGTTATGCTCGTCGTCCTCGTCCTCATCGTCTTCGCTATCACTAGACGAACTCGAGGATGACAGATCGGAAAAGGTACGCTTTCGAGTCTCCTGGCTGGCCAAGTAGCCTCCCTGTACAATTTGCGACCTCCTCTGCTTACCCGGAAATTCAAACTGATCTTCGCTGTGATTTAGCTTCCTCGAGTTCAAGCCCGTGCCCATTTTTCTTCTCTGTCCATTGCCGCCGTCATTGTAAACGCATAATTTTGAAGTCGACGGACTATCAGAGTTGCCTTCCTTCTTTATTATTTGCCGCTTATTATGGGAATACCTATCGGAGGAAGCTGTCATCCTGAAATATCCAATTTTAGTTTAAAAAATAACTTACTTTTAGTGTATAAAGAAAACGTACCTCTCGTTGGCAACCTCCATTTTTATCCTTGAATTGTCTCTTTTAAGCAACTTTGGATTGTCTATACTTTGTTTGGAGCAAGTTTTACACCTGAAAGGGCCAACGTAGTTATAATTGTGAAGAGAAAGAGGATGGATATAAGGACTTTACCTGTATGGATGCTTCGGCTTCTTGTCCGGTATTGTGTCGAGGCACGTCAAGTGAAAGTGGTCCTTGCAAACGAAACACTGCAGCAGGCAGGGTCCCCGGTTGCGCATTTTGCAGACGGCGCAATCGGCGCAGTTCTGGCAATCCCAGTTCGTGCCCTTGGTGACGAGCATGTAGAGCAGCACATAGGACTGGGACTTGCACCGGCCCGCGATATTGGCGCAAGTGGTGTGCAGCGATATCCCGCACTGTTTGCAAGAGCTCAGCGGCTCGGGAATGCCGTTCAGGTTTTTCTGCGCATTTCCGGAGCAGTGGGTGCAGCTCTCCTCGCCCTTTATGACCACGTCCGAGGGAGGCGCACATTTCCGCGGCGTTGTCAGTGACTTGCCCTTTTTGTAGAGCTTTCCCTCCTGGATCAGAAAACCGGCGTCCACGGCCTTTTTGATAGACGCCTTGATCACTGCCTTGAAGTCGACATTGGGCGATAGGTCGATGCAGTTGAACTTCTGTATATAGTTCTCAATACTCTTAATGGTGGATCCCTCGCACTCGCCCAGATCGTGCACTGCCTTAGCCACCAGCTTGTACAGGTTGGTGTTCTTGTCCACCTTGACGCGTCGCTTGGCCATCGGCGCCTTGTACGAATGCAAGCCCTTATTATACACCTTAATCACAGCTCCCGACTCGACAGCCTTCTCCAGCTTCTCGGCCACAATATCCTCGTGAAACTTGTGGTGCGTGCCGATCGCCTGGCAAATCCGCTGCACGGAGGGCCTCTGCTTTTGCGACCTGATTTTCGAGATGGCCTCTAGGATCCATTGCTTCCACGTGTCCATGTTTATTTCATGAGCCGACTCCCTCATCATGGCTTACTAAAAGTCACATATAAACAGGGTTACTTGATATATAAAAGGTTTTTCGTTACATTAGCATAAACAAATACTAGCAATTAATTGTTGCTCCAATTGGTGACACTAGGTGTCAGAATCCTTCAGATATAATAAGCAAATAATAACTTTTTCAAGCTGCACAAGTTCATTCGTCACGCATCCTACAGATGCATCTCAATCTCGATGAATGTATATTGTATCTAGACCCGGTTGACACTATTCATCTGAGAAATACACTTCGTTAATCGGCTTTAATAACAAGGCATTTAGTAGATGATGAAAATTTGCTCACGCTACATTTTAGTTTTCACTGTTGACGCGAATTTCACTCCGGTCCGACGCGCAACTTAGCTGCAACCAAAATTTCATTTCGTACGCGCCGCAAAATAGGAGAAAACACCGAAATACATCAAATGCCGACACAAAATCACTCGATTTCATCAATCCGGGACATTTCCGCACAACTATCGTCCATTTTTATGTACCAAACTATTCTGCTAACACTGCGCATACACACATATTTAGATACATAGCGAGCGTATGCACGCTTGGATGTACATACATTTATTTAGGTAGTCGTGAAAGTAAGAGCCAATATATTCCAAATAGCGAATATAAATCCACTCCTCATCAGCAGTTCCACGCTGCGCGCGTATGCAGACACTTAATATCTCGAAAACAATAACAAATGTTAATTTTGCAATGAAGTTTGATCGCTATTGAGTATTAGATGGCTTTGCGATAGAGCTTGTCGATACATCGATGTTCCGGAAAAAAATAAACATCGATACGATAGCTTGAACAGCAAATGCATAATCGATATATCGATATTTTTACCAACATCATTTTATTACAATCTCTAAGAGTACACACAAAAAAGGAGGCAAAATATTAAGTTCAACTGTTTTCTTTTTAATTAAATATAAAGTCTTTTAACTATAGATTATACTCGGAAAGTATGGCAACGCTTCCCGATTAAACAACAGTATCGATCTATCGTTTTTCGATGAATTTTGTTAAGCATCGATTGCCCTGATGCCATCACTAACTTCGGCGTTTTGTGTGTTTCTTGGATAAAAATGATTTAATACGAATATAATAACAAATAATACAATGGAATACGAATCTTCCGAATTCAGTGGTAATTTCTAAAGTTCGTTGTCATCGCGTTCCGGCCATCGCAGGGGCCGTTTATAGTTTGTTGACGCATTTGTTTTTTTTTGCACACTTGTCAAGAAACATACGTACATATCTCATATAAACAATTATTTATTTATATCTGTGCGGAAGAACCAACAAACATACATATAAGTACATACGCTTAGACGTGTTTTGTAGATACTTATATTTAATATACTCCTGCACGGGGGGTCGGCGGCGCCGTGCATGTGTATGTAATACCCCGCATACATATTTGAAAAATCGAAATTGGTCTGATTTGGCCGAATATGAATTGTAAATACAGATCTCCAATAAGAAACGGTGTTTGTGTGTGTGGGTGTACATATATGAATACGTTTCCGTGTTTAAAATTGAAAACTATTACAATAAGGGCTTCGTTTTTAGCCTTTTATGCCTTTTAAGGCCAGTCAGTTGGTTTGTAGCCATTCACACTTGCATTATAAAGCACAAAGACACTGTGGGGCGACGACGGCGGCGGTGTTTCCACACGTTTCGGTCCGGTCCCCATGATAACCTCCCCGTTTAAGCTGAATTTTTACCCCCCGAGCCACATTTTGAGTTGGAAGTGGAAGGAGCCAGGTGATTACGACGACGGCGTTGGGTGCGGCATTGTTTTGGGGCTTGTGTGCAGTTTTATCGCCAACATTTGCGTTGAATATGCCATTCTGTTGGTGTGGAAAAGCCATTAACTAGGTTTTTAGTCCAAGGAGGACATGGCCTTATCAAATATGGGTTAAGTTTGAGTTTGCATTACATATTTTTAGCTATTTTCTATTAAATGTTGTGATATAGGATGCATTACATAAATATCCTCTTTAAATAGTACTAGTGTCCGAAGTCACTCTTTCTGGTATGTCACCTAATAATGGTTATTCATACTTTTCCATGTACTTGCAGAAATAACTACGGGAAGCTGCAAAAAAAGGCTCACATTTCTAAAGTATATCCTAAGCGACACATCGAGCGATCAGAAATGGGCATCCGAATTCGGCGAGGACACGGAAGGGCATCAGTTTTCGTTGGATTATTTGTTGGACACCTTCATCGTCCTCTATGACGAATGCAGTAACTCTTCCCTGCGAAGAGAAAAGGGAGTCTCGGATTTTCTCAAACTGTGTACGTAATTACCAAACCTTTTTTGTTTTTTTTATTTACCTATCATTTATTACGTATCAGCCAAGCCTTTTGTGCATATTGTACGAAAACTTCGACTTAGCCGCGATGATTTTGATATACTCAAAATCATCGGGCGTGGTGCCTTTGGGGAAGTGTGCGTGGTGCAGATGATATCCACGGAGAAGGTGTATGCCATGAAGATTCTGAACAAATGGGAGATGCTGAAGCGGGCTGAGACCGCCTGCTTTCGCGAGGAGCGGGATGTGTTGGTCTTCGGGGATCGCCAGTGGATTACGAATCTACACTATGCCTTTCAGGACAATATAAACTTGGTAAGGAGAATAATAACTTGATAAGCTGCGTTTATACATGATCAATTTGTTTTCCCTTCTTTTCAGTATCTCGTAATGGATTATTACTGCGGCGGAGATCTTCTGACGCTGCTCAGTAAGTTCGAGGATAAACTGCCTGAAGATATGGCCAAGTTCTACATCACAGAGATGATTCTGGCCATCAACAGTATTCATCAGATCAAGTACGTTCACCGGGACATCAAGCCAGACAACGTTCTGCTCGATAAACGGGGCCATGTGCGACTGGCGGACTTCGGCTCCTGTCTCCGGCTGGACAAAGATGGCACCGTCCAGTCTAACGTGGCGGTGGGCACGCCCGACTACATTTCCCCGGAAATACTGCGGGCCATGGAGGACGGCAAGGGACGCTATGGAACTGAGTGCGATTGGTGGTCGCTGGGCGTGTGCATGTATGAAATGTTGTACGGCGAAACACCGTTCTACGCGGAAAGCCTGGTGGAGACATATGGCAAGATAATGAATCACCAGAACTGCTTCAACTTGCCGTCACAAGAGACTATAAATTACAAGATATCCGAGACGTCACAGGATTTGCTGAGCAAACTGATTTGCATACCCGAGAATCGTCTTGGTCAGAATGGAATCCAGGACTTTATGGATCACCCGTGGTTCGTGGGGATCGACTGGAAGAACATAAGGCTTGGGCCAGCGCCATATGTGCCGGAAGTGTCGAGTCCTACGGATACTTCCAACTTTGATGTGGACGACAACGATGTCCGGTTAACGGACTCGATGCCTCCCTCTGCTAATCCCGCCTTCTCTGGCTTCCACTTGCCCTTCATCGGCTTTACATTTTCTCTGAGCGGCAGCAGCAGTTCCTCAGTGGACTCGACGAAGAAGAATCAGCAAAGCTCGGGCTTCGGGGATGATACCTTGGACACCATAAGTAGTCCGCAACAGATAGCTGCAGAGGCGTCAGTGGTCGATCTTGCAGTGCAGGAGAAACAGGTCAAGGCCCTCAACGAGCAGCTGGCGGCCTTCAAGCAGGAAAAGATCGAATTGACGAAGCAACACGGTGAGATTTTCGAACGCCTCAAGACTCAAGAAGCGGAGCTGCAGGATGCCATTTCTCAGCGAAATATCGCCATGATGGAGTACTCGGAGGTCACAGAGAAACTCTCCGAGTTGCGTAATCAGAAGCAGAAACTCTCGCGCCAAGTCAGGGACAAGGAGGAGGAGCTGGATGGAGCTATGCAGAAAAATGACAGCCTACGAAACGAACTGCGCAAGTCGGACAAGACGCGACGGGAGCTGGAGCTGCACATCGAGGATGCCGTCATCGAGGCGTCCAAGGAAAAGAAGCTGCGGGAGCATGCAGAGGAATGCTGTCGACAATTGCAGCAGGAACTGCGCAAGGGCTCTTCTAGCGTGGACACGACGAACCTTCCCCTGAGCATTTCCTCAGACATGTCGTCTTACGAGATCGAAAGACTGGAACTTCAGTTCTCGGAGAAGCTAAGTCACCAGCAGACGCGTCACAATATGGAAATGGAAGCGATGCGCGAACAGCTTGGCGAGATTGAGAACTCGAACTTGGAATTGGCCAAGGAGTTGCAGCAGACTCAAGACAGGCTTAAGTATACTCAAATGGAGTCAATTACCGACTCAGCCGAAACGCTGTTGGAATTAAAGAAGCAGCACGACCTCGAGAAGTCGTCGTGGTTCGAGGAGAAGCAACGACTAAGCTCGGAAGTCAACCTAAAGGCGAAGAGCCTGAAGGAGCTGCAAGCCGAGGACGACGAAATTTTCAAGGAGCTGCGCATGAAGCGAGAAGCGATCAATCAGTGGGAGCGCCAGATGGCAGAGATCATTCAATGGGTGTCTGATGAGAAGGATGCTCGTGGCTACTTGCAGGCGCTCGCCACAAAGATGACCGAAGAGTTGGAGTATCTAAAGCATGTGGGCACCTTCAACAACAACGGTGTGGACAATAAGAACTGGCGCAATCGACGCTCCCAGAAGCTAGACAAGATGGAGTTGCTCAACCTGCAGAGCGCCCTTCAGCGGGAGATCCAGGCGAAGGCAATGATATCGGACGAGCTAAGCAAAACCAGATCCGATTTGATATCAACGCAAAAGGAGGTGCGCGACTACAAGAAGCGTTACGATTCCATTCTTCACGACTTTCAGAAAAAGGAGACCGAGCTGCGCGACTTGCAGAAGGGTGGCCTAGAGTACTCAGAGTCCTTCCTTAACAAGTCCACGCACCACGGCCTCAGCAGCGCCTTCTTTCGGGATATGTCGAAAACCTCCTCGGAGATAATCCTTGATTCTGGCGAGAGCTTTGGCAACGAATCCAGTGGCGACAATTTTATCTTCCAGTCCGGCGGAAATTCGTCAGGCATGCTCTTCAACTACGAGCCCAAGTATGCTGGCAAAAACCACAAGGACACGTCCTCCTCAATGAAGGATGTGGTATCAGTAAGCGATTTGTCGAGAGAAGAGAGCGATCTAATGGTGAAGGAGTCCCAGAAGAAGGCTATTCACCAGTTCCTGGTGCGCACGTTCAGCAGCCCCACCAAATGCAATCACTGCACCTCCCTGATGGTGGGACTGACGCGCCAGGGAGTTGTCTGCGAGATTTGCGGCTTTGCCTGCCACACGATCTGTTGCCAGAAAGTCCCCACCACCTGTCCCGTTCCCATGGACCAGACTAAGCGGCCGCTGGGCATTGATCCCACCAGGGGCATTGGCACGGCGTACGAGGGATATGTGAAGGTGCCGAAATCGGGAGTGATAAAGCGCGGCTGGATACGCCAGTTTGTGGTCGTGTGCGACTTCAAGTTGTTCCTCTACGACATATCCCCGGATCGGTGCGCCTTGCCTAGTGTGAGTGTGTCGCAGGTGTTGGATATGCGGGACCCTGAGTTCTCCGTGGGCAGTGTGCGGGAGAGTGATGTTATTCATGCCGCCAAAAAAGATGTGCCATGTATTTTCAAAGTAAGTTTATAAATAGCTTTGCAGTTTTGAGATTTTGATAAATCCTTTTTAAATTTTAGATAAAAACCGCCCTTATCGACGGCGGCCTCTCGCTCAACACTCTTATGCTGGCCGACAACGAATCTGAAAAGTCCAAGTGGGTCATTGCCCTGGGCGAATTACATCGAATATTGAAACGTAACAGCTTACCAAATACAGCTATATTTAAAGTAAACGAGATTCTGGACAATACCCTGTCCCTTATACGAAACGCATTGTGTTCTGTCATTATATATCCAAATCAAATACTACTGGGAACGGAAGACGGCCTGTTTTACATTAATTTAGATCAGTACGGTATGTAGTCTGTTTTAAAACTAATTTAATTATCAAATCTAATTTTAGGAATATGTGTATATTTCACAGAAATCGCTCGTATTGGCGAGAGTAAAAAGATTTTGCAGCTATGGTACATTGAGGAAGAGCAGATTCTGGTTATTCTTTGCGGCAAACAGCGCAACTTGCGACTATTGCCCATAAGAGCATTAGAGGCTAGTGATGTCGAGTGGATCAAAGTGATTGAATCGAAGAACTGCATATCGGCTTGTACTGGAATAATTCGTCGCTTCCCTAACATCGTCTATTCATTCATCATTGCGCTGAAGCGCCCGAATAATCACACACAGATCGTTGTTTACGAAATCAATCGAACGCGCACAAGACACCAAAAGACTTGCGAATTCACCATCGGCTACATGGCCCAGCATCTGCAGATATTGTCCGATATGCGACTAGTTGTGGCTCACCAGAGTGGATTCACTGCCTATTTTCTGCGTGGAGAGGCCACTGCCATGTGTAAGAGTTAATCAAACAATCAAATAGAATCTTTCTTAATATCTCTTGATGATTTAATTCAGCTTTGGTTCATCCTGAGAACCAACTATGTGCATTTTTGAACTACTCCGGCGTGGATGCGGTGCGAGTGATTGAAATTCTGTGCCCCAGCGGTGGCAACTTTGGGGAGTACCTGCTAGTATTCCAAACGCTGGCCATATACGTGGACTTGCAGGGACGCAAGTCTCGGGATAGAGAGATTATGTATCCAGCCTTTCCCACGTATATCAGTGAGTTTATTAAGCGATGTTATTAAGTCATATTATATATATATTTACTCTGAACAGCCTTTTGTGATGGCCATTTGCTGGTATTCTCGGACACGCATCTGGATATCTTCAACACACAGACCGCTGAGTGGGTGCAGTCGATTGGTCTTAAGCAATCTCTTCCTTTGAACAATCTGGGTAACGTAGTCTTGTCTTCTGTGAATGACACGCCCCTGATTGTTTACCTGTCCAATATTCACACAAGTAAGTGCTAGGATTTTGATTATTAAAGAGTGTCTCCAATTGAGTATTTCATTTACAGAGGGCCTTCTGCAATATCGTGAGGGAAATCGAAAAGGAATGCCGAACATTAAGCGGAGATTTTCCATTCGAGAGATTAACAAAACTATCAAAAGGTAAGGTTTAGATTGAGGAATTTGACTTACACTCGATTTAACATTCTCAACCACTATATACTGTTCTGTTACAGCGATCGTAGATCAAAGATGATATCGGCACCAACCAATTTTAATCACATCTCTCATATGGGTCCAGGCGATGGGATCCAAAACCAGCGGCTCTTGGATCTACCGACTACTCTCGAAACAGCCGATCAGCAGGCCTGCAGTCCGATCATTCATTCGCTCAGTTCCATACCCCAAACCAGGAAATCTAATTTTCTGGAACAAGGCAAGTGTTACTTGAGTAAATATTTCAACATTTTTAATATCGTAATTTGTGATTTCAGTTGATGGAAACTCGGATGACTACGGCAATGATAACATAATCTCTAGAACGCCCAGTCCCATGGCATCGTCCTTTATGGACGGCTCAAGCAATAACGATTAGAATCAGTCATAAATCTCAACATATTGTAATTAATCGATTTTTTAAAGATAATACTGTTTGTAATAAACATATTTAATTTCTCGAATACGAAATACGAATACATAAATGAAACTGACAAAACCTTTTTCAAATTCCTTGAGTAGTTCTGTTTTTATTTTATTCTTTTTATACTTAATTGCATGATTTGGATACATACATTAAAATCTTTGATTTGTACACAGAAATCTTCAATATAGTTCATATTTATAATTCTTATTCCGCTTAGCCTAGCGTCGTAATTCTACTTCCTTGATTTTTTCTTCTTTTTCAAAACCTTGCTCTTTTTTTTGCTCTTCAGATCCCTGCGCCCTCTGTCGCCACGCAGCGATTCCGTTGACGAATATTTCGTGTTCTTCTTTTGCTTCTTCTCCTTTTGCTTTCTCTGATCAATGCTGTCATCGGAGGCTCCTCCGCCGCCACCCTTTTGTATCGTGTTATCATATTTTACAACTAGACTGCTCGTCGAGCTGCTCTCGACGAATTTCCTAAATGGATTGTCTGGGCGACATGTCTTCACGGCTGCCACTGACGAGACCATTCGACACTCGTTTGGCTTGGAGTTGGTGTTCCTGGGGCCGGACCCCCTTCGGTCCTGGTTATCGCTACTATTGATTTGATCATGTTTGGCGAGTTTAGTGTCGGAACGATCTTTATTATACTGCCGTCTGTCCTTATTATTCTCGGGTGAACGCCGCCGGTGTCTATCATTTGTCGGCGAATGCCGCCTGCCCTGCACTGGCCGGTCCCTATCCCTTTCCCTTGATTTGTTCTCCCTTCGTCGGCTGTCGTGGCGACCAGATCTGCCCTCATCGGAGATCTTTCCTGCCGGCGCTGCCTCATTCCGTCGCCTGGACTTGGACCTGTCTGGCGTTGGACTTCTCAGAACTTTATTGCCCAGTCTTTCCTTCACAGACTTGCTGCTGCTGTTACTGTTGCGCTTCGGCGGCGTGGGTGATCGCTCCTTATCATTCCTGATAGCCACAGAACGGTCCTTGCTGCTGCCCTTGGAGTTAATGATCACTTGAAACTCAACGGGTCTAATGGCGTTTATGGCCTTGGCAAAGATTGCATTCTCCGCCTTGCGGAGGACGTCCGAGGTTATCTCAGAGTGGTCGTCGTCCGGATTAGCAGCAGACTTCTTGGCGGCAGAATCGAACTCTAAGTTTAAATTGGATTCGTCAAGTTCCCACTTGGATACACTGACAGACTCACTGCGTCCTTCTTTTTCGTCCTTCTTGCAGGCGTCAATGTCAATGTAGGCATGACTCTTATCGGAATTAAGGTTTTCGGGAGCGCTACGGGCGGAATCCACTTCGATTTCAAAGGTTGGACCGGCCAAGGGAGAGGTGGACACCATCTTATAGTCTGTCTCGTTGTTCAGCAAAAGGCTGTTATTAATTTCGGAATCGGATCGATTCAGCGAGGAACTCTTCTTCTGCCGCTGCTCCAGCTTTTCCTTCTTGGCGGCTCTCTTATCCTTCTTGCTCTTCTTGCGTTCCGCCTTGTCCTTCTTCTTCTTCTTTCGCTCCTTGGACGACTGCTGGGGGGGACTCTTGGCCTTATTTTCCTTACCCAAAGTCTGCTGTTCCATTTCCACGTCCTCAGTATCTGGCGCCTTCACCTTCGCAGGCAAGTTCTCATCAGCGTGAATTCTTCGTTCTGGCGTTTTCGGAGAATAATCGCGCTCACGCAACTGTGCAGCGGTAGCCATAATTTTTGGGGTTGTGATCTTGACCGGTGGCGTCAGGCTTTTGTAGCTGTTGCCACGTTCATTCGGTCTCGGCTGATCCTTGCTCTGGCTGCGTGACCGATGTCTCTTACGTGGCATCTCATCTTCGTGTCTGACCCTCTCCTCACTTCTCTTGTTGCTCCTGCTTTGGTGCTCCTTTCCGCCGTGCACAGTCTCGGTGCCAGGAGGCACGTGTTTGTTCCTATTGTAGCCATCCTCATCGTTCGTCAATTGTAGAGACTCGAACCCGGGCGGAGGTGGCTCCACTACATCCACTGGCTTCGCCGCAAACGGCGTACTGTATGGTTTCTCCCTATAATCCGGTTTATATGCCTGTTTTGGCGACGACGAGCGGCGGTGCCCAGGCCTGTAAGGAAATATTTAATAGAAGGATTTAGATTGATAGATTATTAGAATAAGGTACAGTAAACCTACCTAATAATGCGACCACCTGGTGACTTGGAGCCATCTAGGGGCTGGCGACTTGAGCGTGGATGCCGCGTATTTCGTTCATAGCTATATTCCCGCTTTCTCTCCCGCGACCGAGGTCTCTTGTCCTTGTGATTATCCCTGGGCGAATCCTTTTCGTACGCCGGCGATTTAAAACGATGCCTCTGCCTGTCCGGTGACCTCGATCTATGATGATGATCAGTGCTCCGAAATCTATCCACCTTCTTCCTCTCCTTTTCCTTCATAATGCGATTGAAGGCCTCCAAAGGATCGTCAATTAGTCTGCAAAGTGTATAATTTATGATTTGGATTCTAATAATAATCAGTTTGTGACCACACTCACCCAGAGCCGACCTTGGCTGCCACACCTTGGTAAATCGATGCTAAATTGGGGGACTGAAATGGCTGTGATGACATGTTCATATTCATGCTTCCGCCTGAGGAGCCGTACGGAGTACGCATTGGGTGCACGGGAGGCTGGTTCTGATACGGCACGTAGCTGCAAATTTGTAAGAAGCTTATTACAATTCAAAGAGCCTAACTGTTTCACTTTTAAGCAATATTTTTTAATGAAAAATATTCCAAATTAAATTAAAATATTCAACAAGGCGTGGGGGCTTCACAGCGCAAAGCTTAAAGTACTCTTAACTAAGCGTTTGTGTGTCTCCTCTGTTTGCAACTTAAGAATATGAGATCGGCGCAGGACCGGCTGCGTAGGTGATGCGTAGTGATCTGGCTGCATCTATGGCTCCATCGGGGTGGGGTTGAAAGTCAAACCTACCTTAGGGGCGGCCTCTGTCCCATGTTGCTGTACCCATTATTGTAGTTTGGAATATGCATTGGCATCATGTGCATGGGCACCGGCGGACCCCGCTGCATTTGCATATATGGCGGCTTATATGCGCTCGATCGGCGAGCATCCTCGGACTCGCTGCCCATCATATGCCCCTGATAGCTGGGCAGCGTTCCAATGGGCGTCGGCAAAAGGCTTCTTTCGCCCTTGACCGGCTCCCGGTCCCGGTCTCGGTCACGTTCCCGCTCTCGCTCTGATCTAGACGATGGACGGTGGTGTCTATGCTCGTAGTCGGATTTCCGATCCGATTCGCGACGGTGCGAAGATGATTCATTAGTCCTATGGGAATATCCCGGCGACGACTGCTATTACAAAGCAAACTAATTAATATAAGCCTTTTTAAAAATAAGGAAAACCTAAATGCCATACCTTTCTTGTTGAGATTGCCGTTGATTCGGAGGCAGCAGCCGCCTGAGGCATTGTTATAGTTATATTGTCTTCATAATCCGAGTCATATTTATCTTTATCTTTTTGTACCACCGCCGCTGACGATGACGACGACGACTCGACAGTTTGAGGCGGCTCTGGAGATTCCGATTTTGGTGCTTTCTTGCCGTTGGTTTCGGTTTCCTCCTTTTGCTCTTCAGTTTTTTCGGGCTTTTCAGGCGCGATTTCCTCCTCCCTTAATGGTGCTTTTTCCTCAACTTCCTTCTTTTCAACAGCTGGCTTTTCTTCATATTTAACTGTGTGGAAAGGTATTTCAGTTATTTTTTTCATGATTTGCCGTTAAACACGGAAACCTTACCAGACTTAACCGCACTTATTTTGTAGCCTGTTTCGTTTTTAAAGGCATTTACCGAATTTCTGAGAAATCGATTGGGAATCAAGGAGCCAGGAGAGCAGTTCTTCTCCTTGCAGTCCGGGCACTCGCTGTCCTCGGATTCAAGAAGCGAAGTGCGCACACCTATAAGCGTAAGATTCATTAAAGAAATTCTCCTCTTTTGATATCACATTCACCATCACTTACAGTCGTCGCAAAAGGAACTTCCGCAGCAGGGTATCATGACGGCATCAACGAAAATGTCACGGCATATGCCGCATATCAGATCCTCGGGTATCTCCTGATTTTGCTCTGCCGGCAACACAAAATTTAAAGTTTCACTTTCTGCTGCATCCTGTTTGTCCCTAAACGATCTCGGTATGCCGGTGTTTCTTTTAACCTCCACTTGATCCTTTCCCAATATAAAAGGACAGTTTTTTATCCAGTGCCCGCTCTTCTTGCATTTGTTACACCGATACGATGCAGGAACTTCTCCAACTTGCGACTGACCCTTGATGCGATGGTACCTACGCACAGTATGGATCCAATATTACCTATTATCTTTGAAGAAGCGAAACACTTACGTCTTTGGGTCATAGTCCACCGTACTTTGCATCATCATTGCCTGGATCTTGTCCTCCTCGCTGCCTTGCATCTTGGACAGATCCATGTTGAAGGCCTCCTGCTTGCTTGTGGCAGCTGCAAAGGCATTGTCAGCTGCTGCCGGTGGCTCCCAGCCCTTCTTGGCGGGATGTGCGATGGGAATTCTCGAAATAATCAGGGTGGTGTTTTGGGTATAAGAACTCCATCATCCTTGTATTCTGAGGTTCAGGAGAATAATATAGATATTAGAACTGATCAATCTTTAATTTTGTGGCAAACCAACCTTCTTTGCTTTGCGCATTTGTGATCTGAAGATCAAAGTCGATTATTTTACCCAGTCGCTTTTGCTGCACAATCTCTCGCTTCAAGTCGGCCACGGAAATGTGCAGTCCGTCGAATGTGATTGTATCAAAGTTGAGTGTACTTTTAAATTTGTAGTGCACCGACATGGTTAAATACAACAAGCTGAATCTGTGATGGAAAGATTAACAAGTTATCTTATGGCGTTCGGTTATCAGAGTCAACACAGCTGAACTAAAGAGATTTCACTCTATAAATTGTTTAATAAATAAACAGCTAGATTATTCGTTTATGTAACGTAGGGTGGAATTTTAGACAGAGCGGACAGCGTTGCTGGAATTGGAAAACCAGCCCTCACATGATTTTTGGGCTCTGCAAATGCTATAATGTAATTTATTTGCATGCGGTGATCTGGGAGCCATACTCCATCATTCATAGATGTAGTTATCTTAAGCAAGCATGAAAGCACCTAAACGCGACATGCCGACCACACTTAAATGTTTTCCTGACGTGAAAGGCCGTATGTATGTTTGCTTAGCCATGAGTTCTACGTGAATAAAGACGCATTGCATATTTACCAAGCGCCGGAATATAGATCACCACGATTTCAACTTTGCTGCCTGTTTCACCGCGAAAATGTGCCAACATACGCATGTACATATGTATGTGTAGCATTAGAAATCGTGCAATTGCCGGAATACGTTGAAAGTCACAATAAAACAAAGGCTAGCAAATATAATCCAAGGCACACTTTTAACATTAAGCAAGGCGTTAAATTTATTTGCAAATTTGGTTAAAAGCATAAAATTGCATGTGCATAAAAATACACACGGACACATACACATGCACGCATCGGGTTTCAGATGAAACGATTATTAGTTCGCGTTTCAAGTCCAAAAGAAATATCTTATTGATTTTTTAACCGAATACACAGCACAGACTCTTCAACACCGGCAAACAAAATAACGCAAATAAAATATAAATTACATACACTTAATCGCATTGACAATTATATATATTTTTTTTTATTTTTTCCTGTTTACTAGAGCTGTCAAAATACCGATGTCACTATCGATATGATTATTGTGACCGGCACTATCGACTGCGCTAAGACTATCGCGATAGCTATCCCAAAGGTTTTTTTACCTTTTGTTATTAGCTTTGGAAGGTTTCTTAAATAAATAATTTGTAAATAGATAACAAAGTTTTATAGGCTTTAATAGAAATAATAATAATTTTGAATTATAAAATATCAATACAAAATCTCTCTGCTTTGGAACGATGGAAATGAACATAACACGTAAACAGCAAATAATCAAATTGTTTCAGATCAGAAAACAATTGTAGGTAAATCGATAAATCAACCAAACGAAAAAACAACTGGATATTTATTCCGGAAATTACAAAATTCAAAAAATTTATTAACTGATCAGCTAAGCCAAACTACAACCTTTTTTTTTATATAATAATCAAAAAATTTCGATTGAATCTTAAAATTTAGACTTAATTTATTTATTTACATTTACAACTTTTGCGACAAAGTTCATATATAATCTAATAAAATCTATTGTTTTTTGTATCACCGCCTTTCGATATTTGCACATGAACTTAATTATAATACAGAATTTCTAATAATAACAATTGAAGTAATGGTTTTTAGGTGCTCGCGCTTATAAAGATGGATCTAACATTTAGCCAACGTAGCCGAAGGGGGGATATGGTGGAGGATAGTAGTTCGGGAAAGCTCCCACGGGCGGCTGGCCGGGGATAGTAGCAGTTATCAATTTCGTAACTGCTGTTGGGACGACGGAGGTGGAGAATATGGTGGTATAAGCCGTTCTTGCACCAAACGTTAGCTTCAAAACCTTGGAACTAGTCTCGGTTACCATCGATTGCTGAACTTCAGTGGATGTTATGAACTGCTGTTGAGGAATGGGCAATAATGGGTTGTAGAATGGATTGATCGAGAATGGGTATTGCGATGAGGGCATGGAAATTGAGGTGATGTCCGTAATGTATTCGGTTTTTTCGACAACGCCAACTGATTTTGAAAGCGTTCTCAAGATGGTCTCTGTTCCCCTAACCAGGGGAACCACATGGGACTCCCATATTGTCTCCTGTTTAATGACGGGACGCGTTGACGTTATAAAGTTGTTCAGTTGAGTTTCCGGCAGGTTTAAGTTTACAGTTTCTGGTATCAATGGAATAGTCAGGTTACTCTTATTCTCGACCTTGTTTTTGGGCTTAATTTTGGCATCGAACTTTCCGGTGTTATCCTCATCACCAAACTCTAGATCTAGGTTTATTTCCGATCCAGCCTCGTCCAAGCTTCCTTCAAAGTCCTTAAAGTTCTTCGATGGACTAAAGTCCTCGCTCAACGGAGATATTGTCTGTGTTACGGTTATAAGGCTGGTGTAATCATAAGTCTGAACCAAAGTAACCTGTATTGTTTCGTTTCTCTTTTCATAAACGATGGGCAGAACCTGCGTCTTCAGTTTGACGTGAGTTATGGAAAAGGATTCAGTTATTGTCTCCAGGCTGGGTGTTTCCGTGTCCTCGCCTAAATAAATTGGTTTTAATGTCGTGATACTACCCGATAGGGTCTGATCATCGACGCTGGAAGTAGCCTCTAAAATATTCTCAGTCAGCGGTCCATCATCCTCGGAGTATTCCTTAGTGTGTTCTTCTTGAATAACTTTTTCAATGGTTGACGTTACGGTTAAAAAGCGAGTTTTCTTAACGACTCCGGCCTGAAATGATTAAGAGTCAGTTCTCGGAGGACAATTTAAGGGAACCAAGTGTTACGAAGAATAAAATTAAATTACCTGAAATATAAACGGGCTCTTAATTGTCGCTATTTCATAGTAGGTATCAATGAATGGTTGTGGTGTCGAAATTTCAACATTTAAGGTTTGTACAAAATATTTCGAATTAGGATCATCGTTATTGTTATTCGCAACAGGGCCATTTTGCGAGCCAGATGCCTCCAAATCCCTACCATTGTTCAGAGCTTGATTAGTAATGATTTCCAATGGAATATCATCGAGGGACGACGGCGCTGTGTCATTTTGAATGGCACTCGGAACATTGGGACTCGCATTCTTCCTAATATTAACTTTGGGCTTTGGTGAGGACTTGTATTGCCATCGACCTGGCCGCCGATTAAGTTTAAATGAGTTTGGGCTTACGACCGATACTGGTTCTTCCTGTACAGTATTTGCTTTCGTCCGAAATGAGGGACGAGAGGTAGTAGTTTCTGTTACAGATGGAGTTATTACCAATTTGGAACTTTGTGTATGCTTGTTCCTCCTAAAATACAGCGAGGGAACGTTTTTTAATATACGTAAAGCCTTTAAAAACACTGATTCGTTCTTTCAAAATAATTTGAAACTAACTTCAAAAATGAATGATTAGGTTGACGCAAAATTACCTCTTTCCCTTGGGACGTGATGACTTCCTGGTGCTTGACCCTCCTCTGCTTTGCTGGCTTTTACGCGGAGGCTTACTGGCCGCCTGAGTTTGCAAATTAGAATCTCTTACAGTTTTACTAGGTTGAATTGAGGCTCCTGCGGGTTTGTTAATACGCGTTTGTCGTGGCTTGTTCTTTTTCTCAGAGCTTGAGTTGGGATGCACTTGGGAGACCTTGGAGAATTTTCCTGTATCCTTAGTGGCCGTCACAATGCTCCGGAACTCGCTCGATCTGGTTTGGTAGCCATGAATGGATTCCTTCTTCGACGGATAGACTCGTTGCCGGTCAGCTTCGTTCTTTGATTTGAAGTTAACGACTCGATAAGTTTCCTCGGCAAACTGCTCCGGTTGGCGGGAGAGTAGATCGTACTCGGGGGTATTCAGTAAGGTTTCGATAGGGGAGTTCGAGAGGCTTATATTGTAGGATTCTATTTGGGACGTTTCCGTTTCCGGAATAACATTCGAGTGCGTTACAATCAGAGGCGTTGGTTGTATGCCGCCCTTTTCTTTTTCTTTTTTAATTAATTTCGGCTTAGTTTCTATAATATTTACTATTTCGTTCGATTTATTGGACCTTAGTTCTAAAAGAAAGACACAAAATACCACAATGTTTACTTCTCTTAATTAGATAGATATTAATTTGGATAACTCACCGAAAGTTGGAGAGCTTTGTGGAGAGAAAACCATAACAGTGTTTCCAATAGTAGTAGTAAAGTCCAAGAATCCATAGACAGTTTGAGTAAGTAACTCATTATCGCAAGTAGCTGAGTTTAAATAATACATATTTTGTGTAGCAATTTAGAGAAATATTTAGAAAGTATAGAAGGTATATAAATATACATATATATGAAACAACTTACCGCTTCTTAGGGCGCAGAGTATTAGCAGGTAGCGTAACATATTTGTTTAGTTGCACAGATCAAAAGCTTTGAAAAATTTTATAAAATCTGAAAATATTTAAAACGAAAATAGACCAAGAGCGAACATAAATCAGTTTTTGAGTATTAAAAATATGCAATAAATGCTACACAATCTCCTTCGGATCTTTACTTTATTATAATGAACAACACTTTTCTCATTTTATTGCCGAGGGTGTAATTAACAGAGCTATAAAATCTAATTGGCTGCTGCGACACTTGCTGTTGCCTTGTTGTGATCACTGATCAGTCTGGGCCAGCAGCATGTGGGCTTTGAAAGTGAGCGTTCGGTGAATTAACTATGTAAGTAGGCCGCTTATGTAAAATGTTGTGTACGCGTACACACTACTGTTAGCTTTGTTTGGCTTTCTGCGGCTCAAATTGTGATTGATCATCAGTTACAACATTTGGTTCGGTCCAATTTGCTGAGCTCAAAGTTTATTCATTAACCGCTATCCGTTGGCATTGAGACAGTAATAACGACATTTGGTAGGGTGCCTTCGGAATGCCAGAGCTCGCTGTTGGATTGCTGGTCTCTTAGATCACTTTGGTAGTTCAAAGATTGTTCAAAGACTGTGCGAAATGCTTGCGATGCCAGAACTGGTCAGATCACTTTTTCCATTGTGCAGTAGTTGAAAAGCATAAAAGCGAGCGCGAATAGTTTTCTCACCCACTGTATGTAACCACTCGACTAATGCACACGCACACCTTCACACTTGCCCACAACGAAGACAATGAAACATTAGGTCATTGAGAAACACACATATATTTACTCGGTGAGAGAAAGGCTTAAAGCCCGGATTGGCAATATAATAAATTCAGTTTCTTTGGGCACAGGGACACGGAGTAAATCACTTGCACTTTAACAAGTTGTTAATAGGAGCTATTCATATTTCTCACGATCGCCACTACAATACGTACATGTTTGTACATTTAAAAATGCATTTTCATAACCAGGTCGTAATTTGACACTGCACTCTGATCGATATCTGGCTTAAAACATATTCCGAGCGAAATCATCAAAACACACACTGCCAGCGGTCGGGACAATTATGAAACTGTGGCGCAGAAATATATCTTTGTATCTTTGAATCTTTTAAGTCCAAGCGCTGGTCCGCTGTCGAGCCACAGGCGAAGCATAAAGTGACTCTGAGCGGAGTTACCATGGGGCCTGGCCAGCCTGCACACATGCGCAGCAGCAGCGGCGCGAAGAGAACGTCAACAGCGTTAGTTGTTGTTGGCCAAAAGCAGTAGGGTTACTCGCGGCGCCTCCAAAACCAGTTTACCAGCTTGCCACTTTTGTTTTTTCCACTCCGATACGCCGTGGGAATATGTAAGCGTGTTTGAATAGCTCTGGCTGCCTGTCAAGCTGGGCTTGGTTTTTTCTGGCGCACACCCTACTAAAAGAGTTTCGAATGTTGACTGAGATGGAAGTTTATAGGAAGGTTAAAGCTGGATTGGTTATATATTACTTATACTTTATTAATTATTTTAAACTTTTAAAGTTTAGGCATAGTATAATAGGAAATCTTAACTGAGTTCCATGTTTATAGGTTAAACATTTAATTTTACTTGAACTAATCAAAACTATGACTATTTAGGCATTATATTATATAAGAGAAAATAGGAAAGCCTTAAAAAGCCTTTCTTAATTATATTTGATTAATATTGCTAAACGTAATTATAGATTAATTATAGCTCACAAACCTTTAGTTTTTAGTTGAACAAAAAAAAACTAAAACTCGTGACATTCCAATCAAAACTGTACCTTTCTTCTCAAAGAAAAGAAGTAAAAAGAATTTATACCTTTCTTCTCCAAAACTAAAAAGAGAAATGTAAAGAATTTATTAGCGCTGAATATTTGGACATGCCAACCAAAATTAAAGACACAAAGCCGTCTATTTTAGACCACGACTTTTGGCATATATTATTTTGGACTAAAGCTACACGCTGTTAAGTTTTTAACAATAACTTAAAGCCACAGTAAAATATTTGGTCCCAATTATAAATGATTTAAAGTTCCGAAAAATACATGATTATGCTTTTAAAATATGTTAAACTAGAGTTGATAAATATTAAAGGCAACTCGTTAACTGGTCTTTCTGAATGCAACAAACCAACTATGCCATATCTCAAAGTTCATCCTAATAATCTCCCCCAACAAAATACATTCATTTTTTCAAGGATTTCGCTTTACAAGAGATTTAATCAGATAATATTTAAATATTTATCACATTTGCGATATGCTAAGCTAAGGTTTCGCAAAAACCAAAGCAAAACAAAGACGTTATGCTCAATAAAAATTTAACAGAAGTCAATTTTTAATAAAGCTCGGGCTTTTTGCTGCCTAAATGGATCGATTCCAACGCGCTTGGCAACAGTCATAGGCCAGTCCACAGCCGAACCCCAGGCCCAACCACATCGGGTAGGTTTGTGGTCGCGTGAAGAATAAGGTAAGAACGCCGCCAATAATGAGACCACTTCCACCCTTCAGGCAAAAGTCCGCCAGGCATTTGTCCTTGGTTAAGGTTTCCTCCGACGGAGCTTCTCGCTTCAAGGGGGCTTTGCCTGGGGTTTCTGCGGCTCGCTAGCCATGTTTAAATCTTTCGTTAAACTTAATAGAATTTCGATTTAATATTACTTAAGACCGGCAAGCTTTACATTTATTTAGAATAAATGACAGCTAAGCTCTGGCCTATATTTTAAGGAATGTAATATTCTACAAAATATATCCAAAATATTTAAAGAGGTCAGGCCAAAGCAAAGGGGATCTTTTTTTAAAAGAAGGACAATATATAAATTATATTCTGATGTTTTGATAAAGCAAATACTCCTTTCCTTTTTAATATTATATATAAATATGTATATATTGCCTGGGCCACCAATGGGTTAACAGCATTCCGATAGGTGACGTAGGCTAAATAAATAAAAACAAGAACCGCCGCAAAAGGAGAGATGGATAAGTGCCATAGTTACAAAATCCTAGCAACAATATTTTTTGTGTATTTTCGCCATGGCAACCAGGAGCCTCGCGTGCCTTGCAAGATTGCGAACAGTGTGTCGCCTAAGTTCAAAACACAGAAAGATGTGAAAGAAACGGACGAGCCATGAGGTGCAAAAGTGACTTCCTAGCTAATTTAGCTATATTTTTTCACCTAGTCAGTAGTTACGGCTTTATATATGTGCAATGTGTGGACGCGCCATTTATACATATACCCGGAAACGGCGTCATTTCCGGTACCTATTTGAAAATGTTTCGAACCCAAAATGTTAAAGCCTATCTGGGCATTCGGTACGCACATGCCAGAAGATTTCAACCTCCGGATATCGAACTAACACCATGGAAGGGGATTTTCAATGCCACCTCGTTCGCCCCGGACTGTTGGCAAAATCCCATGCCCTCCGTGGGCAGAGAGACGGAACAAATCCTGAAAATAATATCCTCCGAAACGAATTCGGATGACAGTGGAAGGAAGTACGAGGAGAATTGCTTGTATCTGAACGTTTTTGTACCTGATGGTGAGTAGAAAAAATCAATTTCATATTTAATTTAGTAGGAAAATTAACTAAACAAAAAGGAAACTTATTTCAGAAATTCAGAAATTGAGCATAACTAAGCCTAAAATATTCACATTTTTGAATCGAAATTTATCTATACTTCTATATTAAAATTTTTCAAAATATCAAAGTTTCTAAAACTCATAACTCGGCTAAAAATGAATTCATTTCAATTCGGAAAGCTGTTCTATGCTAGTTTTTGTAAAGTTAATAAATCTGCTTACTCCATTAAAAATGTTTAAAAATTATACATTTTGCCAATTTTTGACAATTTTAACGATGTAACCCCTTATAAAATTTTGAAAATATTGGTTTTTTTTCTTCCTGAGATAGCTAGATCGACTCGGCTGTTAATGCTGATCAAGAATATATATGATTTATAGGGTCGGAAATTACTTCTTCATATCAATTAAAGATTCTAACTAAAATTATAATAAACAGTGTATTAAAATCAATTTTTTGAGTTCTAAGTTGAGCTTAACTTTCTCTTATTATTAAACCAAATGAAGCATTCAACACTTTCTTTTTCAATTATCAAACTCTATAATTCCCCTTTCAGGATTGCCAGAAAATAATGGATATGCCGTCGTTGTGTGGATCCATTCCGGTGACTTTTCCACTGGCAGCCCCGCGGATGTGAACCCCTTTCAGTTGGTGTTTAAGCAGAAAGTAATTGTTGTGACCTTTTCGTATCGCCTGAACATATTCGGATTTTTTACAACCGACGATGGCGAGGCCCAGGGTAACTATGGTCTTATGGATCAATCGGCAGCCCTGTATTGGGTCAAGAAGAATATAAACCTATTTGGCGGCGATTCCAATCGGATAACGCTGATGGGACACGATGCGGGCGCCACTAGTGTGGCGCTGCATATGACCTCGGGCGAGTGGTCCAAGGGTGGCTTTCACAAGGCCATCATTATGTCTGGGAATCCCATGAACGCGGTGAAAATGCCCTACGAATATGAGGGATCTCTGGACCAGGTTTCTAGCGTGTTTGGCTGCCCCCGGAGACCGACATCGATGTTTATGCAGTGTCTGAAGAGGGTGGACGCAAAGCGGCTTTCAGAGAACTTGCCTTCCGTCAGCTGGGGTCCGGTTGTGGACTTTGGTCTAAGTAACACCTCATACCCGTTCATCGAAAATCAGCCCGAGATCCTGTTCAAAAAGGGAAGCTACCACAAAGTGCCCGTAATCATCGGAGTGACCGACATGGAGGAGGTGCTGACTCTGTTCAAGGATAACCTGGACACGGAAATAAGTGCGGCCGATACGGAGGGCTTCTTCAGCGACATTGCCGTGACCGATATGCACAAACTGGTGAGGAACTATGAGTGGTGTTCCAACTACGAGCTGATCACGGACGCCATCAACTTCATGTACGCCAATGAATCGGACATGGACATGAAGAAGGCCAACAAGCACATAATAAGTGCGCACACCGAAAAGTTCTATATAACTCCAATGCAATCTTTCGCCGATATGGTAAGCAAGGACAGCACCGTCTATAGTTACCTATTTAAGATGCGCCCGAGGTCGGTGCTCCAAGATCTACCCAGCTGGATAAGCGTGCCCAAGTACTTCGATCAGGTGTTCGTCTGGGGAAATCCGTATATGACCAATACGGTCGATTGGAAGTCAGCGGATAAACGAAATTCCGACATAATCATGACCCTGTGGGCGAACTTTGCCAAGACATCCAATCCCACAAAGTCCAACGTGTACATCAAGTGGAATGCCGTGACCCCGAACAATGACTCAGTGCTCCTGATCGATGAGGCCTTTAACACCGACAACTTGCTCAACAATCAGAGGATCAACTTCTGGAAAACGCTGTATCCCAAGATACTGTACTATTCCGCCGACTGCTGCAATTCAACAATGTCGGGAGGCTCGCTGGTGATCGTAACATCCATTCCAATACTATGTACTCTCTCCATAATCGTTAATATATTTTGAATAAAAAAGAGCCCTGCTTACACCCTCTGTCAATAATCTGTCCTACCGTTACATATATAAATACAAATACCTAAAGAAGGAACCAATAAATCGAAGAGATTATAGTTAATCGTTTAATAGTCGTTGTTCGTAACTTATAGGATATAGATCTTGTTATATTACAACCGCCATACATACAATTTTCGAATAAAGTCATTTCGTTTTTAGCAGTTCAAAGCATAAAGTTTCAGTCGGAGCTGAGAACGCTGGTTCGTTGCTTATTTTCGACACATGAACAATACAATTCTCATACTAATCACCACAGAGTCACTCGCCATGTTTCCTAGTTAAATGTCGATGGTTTTGGAGCTATGTTAAACCATTTTTTGTTGAAACACAATACTACGCTTAGTCGTCAGCCTCAAAAATGTGGCCGCCTAAGGACTCGATGCACCAGGTATACACTTTGGAGCTTATTGCATACCCGGGAACAGTCCTTAAACTTCCTTTTTTGGTCGTAATTTTAAGCCATTGTCAGTGTGCCGGCCCCGATTCCATAACCCACGCCCTTGGGTCCATAGAATTTTCCATAGCAGGATCGACAATATATGTTGCCGTCGGGTCCGTCGTTCAAGTTCGTCGAATCCAAATACCTCCGGCACTCCATGCAGTAGAAGCAGAGCTTGTGCCAGACGTTATTCTTGCTCTTCATCTGTTCGGCTGCAAAAACCATAAAACCGCATCGGGGACATCCATTCTCAGACTTTTGACCGTTACGATCAATGGTGCCCCAGCTGAAAGAAATTAAAAATATTAAAAAAGATTATTAAATATTGTTTCGTTTTGTTTATGCTCCAAGCTAATTGAGTAAATATCTTATACGCTTAATCATCATCTTCAGCCAAGTAGATATGGCCACCCTCAGTTTTGGATTCACAGGATTATCTTGTACTAACCAGCTGGGCGTATACTCATAGTTGGTGGACACCAAAGTCGGTGTGTGCCCATAACCGAATCCCTTCGGACCGTAGAGCTTTGCATAGCAGAGCTTGCAATAGATATTGTCATCCGGTCCGTCGCAGGCGAGCACGGAGTCCAGAGGTCTATGGCACCTGGCGCAATTGAAGCACTTTCTGTGCCACATTTTTCCCTTGGAAAGCTGCAATTCGGCGGCAAAGACAGCACCACCACATCGTGGACAGCCTTCGCCATCGGGGGCCTTGATCGATGTGGTATCCGGACATACAAACGGACGCTGGGATCCAATGTCTTCCTCACTGAAAGAGGGGAAACCCCCTTAATGGAATCAAGCAATTGTAGACACTTGACTACCCACGTAATGCCATCGGTTTGTAGAAAGCTGGATCCACAGGCGAATCCGTAACCATGGGGTCCCCACTTCTTGCCGTAGCACGTTTTGCAGTACACCTCATTGTCCGGTCCATCGCAAGCGATAATGGAGTCCAGCGTCTTTGTACAGTCCCGGCACTTGAAGCACTTCCTGTGCCAGGGTCTGCCCTTCGATAGCACCTGTTCCGCAGCAAAAACGACGCCACCACAACGAGGACATCCCTCGCCTATTGGGGCTTGAATTTGCTCCACATTGATGGCAGCTGTCTTCGGGGCCATATCGCTGAAAATGTTCAGTTTCCTTAATGTATGTGTGTTGAAAACTTTTCCCGATCCTACCTTTGCCACTCACAATCCTTGATATCAGACATAAGACCCATGGACGAAATGCCAATGTGTCCATAGCCCCTTGCACCAAACTTTTGAGCATAACAACCTGGAAAACAAATCTTTTAAGATCCCAGGAACACCTACTCTTGATTTGATTTGATGTGAAGGTACCTCTGCAGTAAATGTCCTTGTCGGGACCATCACAGTGTAGCGTTGAGTCCAAGGTCTTGTTGCACTGCACGCACTTGAAGCACCTTCGATGGTAACCCTGTGATAAAGTGCATGTAAGCCCCCGTTTCTTAAATCTATATAATACCCAATAATACCTTTCCCCGCGCCAGCATTTGCTCGGCGGCATAAACATATATGCCACACCTAGGACATCCCAAGCCATCGGGTGCCTTTGGTGGTATTTTCGGCGGAACAAATCTAAAAAGATCACAGATGCTTCCCTCAATTATAGTTCTTTAAATGGACAGTCATTAGGGGATCACACATCTCACCCCGAAGACAAGTGTCTTAGTCACAGAAGACACGAAAACAGAAGAATATGCTTCACAGAGAACATAAGAAAACAGAAAAGGGGGAATTCTACGGATCATGTAGACAGCGACATGAGAAAATAGAAGGAAAGACGACTAGACTATAAATAAAACATGAATAAGCTTACAAATACATTTTATTTTATTAATTTACAGTCTGTATGTAGTGTGTATGTTGTGGGTGGTGTAAACAAAAATACAAAAATTATTTTACATATGTGATAGTGTGTGTTTTTGGGACATACATAACATAACATACATATACATATGTATGCAAAACAATCGTTTATATTTTTGGGAATATTTCCAGCAGTTGAAACTAGATATCCCTGGCGGTGGGAGGTGAGGGATTCCCAAACAAACAATCACATTACGTAAATGGGAAATCGTATTTAATTGGGGTCTTGGATGCAGTGCATCCGAATGGACATTTGAGACATACAAAAACAGAGACAGATTCTAATAGAAAGCAAAACTACACATTTAATTTCAAGGAATTTTACACATTTCATATACAAAAAGACACATTAACCAATTTAGTCCTTACTCTCTGTTCAGATGGGCACCGGAGTCCATCGACAGGCAGCCGGCACCACCACCGAAACCGTATCCCTTGGGACCGTACTTGCGTCCGTGGCAGTTTTTGCAGAACAGCTCCTTCTCGTGCTCCGTGCAGTTTGTCGAGTCCAGAGCCTTGTTGCACATGCCTGTCGGGGTTGGGAGGAGGAATTGGAGGGGTATTTGTGAGTATTATATCCAAGGATGGTCGGTATTTGAGATCACTTACTGCACTTGAAGCAGGTCTTGTGGAATTTGTAGCCTCCGGCAACGCGCTCCTCGGCGGCGTAGACCGACTTTCCGCACGCAGGGCACTTGGGAGTTTCCACGGGAACAAAAGGCATTTTGTGATGTGTGTGTGTGTGCGTGTGTCTGCGGGTGCAAAAAACTCTGATTAGTATCTGTGTGCGATCCGGCGGATGCAGTAAATCCAATGCGGGAATCCCAATCAAATCAGGATTGAGATCGGGAATCTATATGTACATATGTATGTGTATATACCTCGGAGGTACTCTTGTGAAGTAGTTCCTATTCGTCGGAAATGCCGCGGACTAGACTGGAAAGATTCTGTACACAGGTAGTCTATATTTGTGGATGCACACGGCACAACTAAGAAAATACAGTTTGCGTAATAAAAACAGCACTTTCTGAATATATCATTATTTATCATGCAATACACACGGCCCCCTTTTGTGTGTGTATCAATGTATGTACATACTCTCGGCTATATCCACATAGATGTCTCATTTTTAGGATGGTAACAAAAACACCAGCATAGTTATGTTACTTCAATTTCCCCCTATTCTCGGTTCTCAGTTCGAAAATACTGGTTTCTGCAGTGTGTATGTATCTGTATCTGTATCTGTATCTGTGAGATGCATGCAAGCAAGTGGGCGTATGCAAAATAAATAGAAAAAGGAAAAAGCAACACTGCACAAAAAAAAAACATTGTTCTAAGTGGGAACGGGTACCGTTATTTTACTTAAATCCCCGTGCCAGTATGTAATTACATGCACACACGTATCGAACCAATTTTACGCAACAATTAATTTATTAGCTGTCGGCACGCACACCATTGCCCCCGCACAGATGTAAATATGTATGTATATAGGTGTGCATGTATAAAATCTAAAAATATAGGCACACACATTCGAGAGATGTATCAAAGTACCTTCATGGCCTTATTTTAGTCTTAGAAATACGAAAATAACTCATAACTGGCCAACCCCAATCCATAAATAAATACGTTACGCATCTAATAAAATCGATATGATTAATACCAAGTTGATCTGTGTAAGAAATACAGCTCCATTTTTCAAATCTGTATGTACATTTTCATTCGAAAAAGAAACGCTCCAGTTTTCAAACAAAGTATCGAAATATAGCCACAAGTGTTTCATTAGAATCCGCATGAATATGCATATGGAAATGAACAATCTTTTCATCATCGCAGATGCGATGCCCATGTATAAACATATCTATAAATAAACGAGTATCTTGGGTATTTGTTAATTGTAAATCGCTCACTTGCGATTGGCAATGAGCCTAACAATTTATGAAGGCCAGACCTATTGACTCGTTGCCTTTTTTTTAACAATATGGATTGCCGCCCGCATTGTTGATGAATGTCTTTTGGCCCGAAAGTTCGTCGATACCGATACCATTATATATATATCTACAATATATCTAGTTTGGTGACAGTTCAGGGTTAGTTAAGAGCAAATATGGGGATTTTTGTACACTACCATAAACGCGGAAGTATATTTTAATTACCATTCGAAAATCTGCAATTATAAAATAGAAATGCTGCGCAGACACTCACACACACAGTGATTCATTTATATAAATAACCACAAAACGGATAATTATGAGGCAGCAGAACTAAAATGGCTTAGAGATCATTTTCCTTGGGCTAATATCTTCATCTCTAATCATAATGCAACTTCGTAAGGTCACTGACCCGATCTCCCATCGTCGTTGTTTCACCTTCGAAAGCCACTCCGATGGCCCATTTTTGGCATTTTAGCATAACAAAGAAATTAATTTGCAACTCATCAAAACTCGAAACGATGCTGCGACGATAGTCTCACGTGGCTTTTATCAGATATCATTTATTTCGTACAAAATAGTAGGTTGATAAATTAATTAAGATACAAATAATATTATAATTGTACACTTGACTTCATCTTTTATTAAACCATCCAATAGTTAATCGTAATTTATACAACTTACAGTCGCTGCAATACAAATTAGCAAAATAATGTACACAACCACAGTCAGTACACTGTGGCAGCTGCTTACTTAGGTCGAATCGGACTTTAACCGATTGGCAAACTCCACTTGCTGGATCTCCTTCCACTCCTTCTTTGGTTTCATTCGCTTCAATTGTCCATCCCAGACCAGATCAATCAGGCCACCCTGCTTGGCGATGACGCTCTTCACGCGGTTCGCAAAGTCGATCGCCGACTCCCCATCCTGCCGGTACATTGGCGGCAAATACCACACATCGCACACGATGGCCCACGAGGTCATCATCATGTAGAGGTACTGCATCATCGAGTACTTGGCACTGTTCCAGAAGGCGTCGCCGAATCTCGGATCGTATCTGTAAATAAGGATTTAGTTAATTTTACTGCTAAATCCAAACCTATTGAGGTACCTACTTTATGGCCACCGGATAGATAACACCGCCAACTTCGAAACTGCCTTTTTTGAACTGCATAACCGAGGTGTTGTTGATGCAAGTCCCCTCCGGGAAAATGAGGATCGGTGGATTGTTCGGATCTGAAACGTGCTGCTTGAGCCGTTCGGCCACCAAGTGCCGATCCTTGGCCTCGCCACGCTCAAACCAGATGTGGGGCGATGCTCGGGCTAGGGCTCTTTGCAGGACGCCCAAGAAGCCACCATGTCGTTGACCAATCTATAAAATCGATGCAAGTTCTTTAACTGCTCCAACAATAACAACAAACGCGCGAACGTAACACAAAAAGCTACAAATCAAACATAAACAACATGAAACCACCACCACAAAGCAGGCTTAAATTCGGGTTAGTACCTACATACACGTGCACTTAGGGGGGAAAAAGCCAATTTTCGATTCGAGCATCTGTTTTGATTTGTGGGGTCTTCTCAAGATCACTTAGTTTCTGCAGAACCTAACCAATTAATTAATAATTTCCCAAAAATTTGTTATCGAATCTAATCTATTATTAAAAGCTGGAAGTAAATTTCGCGATAAAATTGTATAATATATATATTTGGTATGCTCTACTGTTCACATCCTAATTAAGATCAGTATTAAGGATACTCCAAATAACAACTAGAAAAGGTAAATAGTTTTGTATACCAATAGAGTGCTGTGATTGTGTATAAAAGTATGCTTCGTTCGTTGCATATTTTAAGACACCATTTTAATTGATTTTAAATCCACCGCTGTTCTATGCAACCCCTTACATTTTTAAAATTTTTTGTGATTATATTAATAATACATAAGAAGACTACGCAAATAATATCGGATATTAAAAACAAAGAGTTAAAGAGTGAGTAAATATTTCCATACAAGTGTTAAGTATTTAGGTTCTAAAATTGCCTTACCAGCGAATAAGTAGAATCACACATCAAGACCAGCACATCGATTGGACTGGTATGATTTGCGACACAAATACCAGATGACGGGCGATTTTCCTCATTGTGGTAAGTTATAACCGCGGATATGGCACTGGACAATACGCCAAAACAAATGCCCAGGACCTTATTGACAAGTCTGCGCTTGCAGGGCCCATCCTTCAGATAGCCCACGGCCGCCGTGCAAATAGTTAACCACACTACCTAAGATCGCACAAAAAACAAGAATGGGAACATATTGTGGGTATTCTTCAATTGAGTTTGTATAGTGAAAGAGAGCTGGTCCAAAGAGTTGAAGGATGAAGCTTTGTACGTGTCACTTAATTATTGCACCGCCCTCCTTGTGCAATCATTAAAATATGCTGTAAACAGTGTGACGAGACAATGCTAATATCTCAAGCCTAGAACCAAATTGTTTATCGTCTGGTATTGTTTATCGTGTATCTATGGTGAAAAATCTAAAGGTCAACACTTCGATGATTGGCCTTCAATCGGAAGATTCCCTTTTTGACGAGCCCACCCACCGACCCAAACCATCTAAAACAGCGTAAACTAATCGACAGACGAAATAACTGAAATAGTACAAAGGGCAGGCGTCATAAGGAAACCAAGTAAACTAATAAATTAATTTCATTCACATGGCTTATCTTACCTGATTCCAGGGGGTTTTCTAGACGACTCGTGCACCGCAAGCGTAGAAGTTACCGAAGCGGCCCAAAACTTTAACATCACAGACACACACATTTAGGCGGGGACAATAACAAAAGCCAATATTGCGACACAAACTTAGGACTGCACCTTGTATTAAATTCATGCATGTTTTCTCGAACTTGTTTCAAATCGATTTCCCTGAATGCTGAACAGTTTACATACTTATCAAGTTATAAAGGAAATTTTTATGTTAGCAAGGTTGACCGAAAGTTATCGGGGCGATGCTTATAGGTATGTTAATATACGTCGGGTCTAAACTCCATGTACACAAAGATAATGGCTATCGGCTATGGCATATGCATTAGAAACCTTTTGATAACATCGAACGGTTGGTCGGAATGAGAACTAATAAAATACGTTGATAAATACATACATATATTTCTGCAGTTACCAGGCTAGGCGGAGGCCGCCCTATATAGCTTCTTTCAAGAAAAATATGACAGACAATCAGCAGCAGAAAGATCTAATGTTAAAGCTCAAATATAAAGTGCTTTTAGTTATATAAGTACGACACACAAATAGATGCGATTTCGAAATGTTACATGCATGAATTTTGTAGTCTTCAAATGAAACCAATTTTTAAATGACGATTTTAAGGTAAAATTTCTTTCTCACCAAAGAATAGGTACAATCTGTCGATAATATCGCCACGTCCAAGGGAGAAGTATGATTCGCTACACAGAACCCAGAAACTGTGGGTTTATATTGCTTATTGTGGAACTTTATAAGGGATGACAAGGAACTTGAAATAAGGCGAAACGTGATTTTAAACGATAAGCTCGCTAAAGAAAGCCGTACAAATCGAAAAGGTAACAAAGCCACAATCGAGTTTGAAAAAACTGCAAATAAAACCTAGGAATCAAATAATATTTATTAGCGAATAAAAATAATATCTGGAACGGACAACACAAAATAACATACAACTAAACTGAGTTAAAAGTAAAGCTAGAATTAAAGCAAATCATTAAGAGAAAATGGAAATCCTACAGGTCTTTATATATCTCTTATTGAAAGGTAAGAATTTATTTCGCAAAAACTTTAGTTTTGGATCTCAATATTCAACACAGAAAACAAAAAACAACATAATGCTTACAACTTTTGTTAATAAAGATAATAAATAATAAAAGAACAGAATTTGATCTACATGGCCGATATCTGAACTACTGGTTTGTGTTATTTTAACTCAAAGTAATAGTTAATACAAGCAAAAACAAATAAAACGCGACCGATTCCGTGTCTTATGGGTTCACCTAATCAACCAAACAAAATCCTTGTAAATTTCCAAGAAGCTAACTTTTTGCGATATAGATAACATTCTCTCTTCACGATCCTTTTGAATGTGTATATCGTAGAGGCAGTTTTTGTCTGTTTTGTCGTTTCCTTTTCATTCAAAGAAGTGTAGCATCCCCTATTTCCTTGCATGGCGATAATTGTCCATTTTCAAATGCGAATAAAATATTGATAACCGTATTCCTTGAGGGCAATTATTCGCATGCCAGATTTAAGTCGGGAAAAGTCAAGTGTAGTTGTGGAAAGCCCCTTTAAGTCAAACGAATATACTTACACCAACGAAGCAAACTAATACTCGAAGCGGCATTAGAAAAACGTATCGAATAAAGAAGCCAACCATCCAGATGAGAGTTATTTTCCAGGAAATGAACTCGTGGTGCCTATTGGTGCGGGTAAGCATGTTCCAGCTCTTCAGCTCCTCCGCCTCGAAGCGGGACGTTACATCGTCCTCAATAATGGCCTCTACGCCCGACTTGACATAGTCCAGACATTTCTCAAAATCAAAGTTGATTTCATCCTGCAAGACACAATGTTTCAGTGGATTGATTGCTTCTCATTCTTGGTTATTACTTACCTTCTTGGATGAGACTGGCTTCTCTAGGCCAGGTTCCTGAGGTTGAGGCAGCAGCACTGCATCTCTGGTTATTAATGTAGCTCCGTTTGTGGTAACTTCCTTGGAATCGGCATCGTCCACCAGTTGCACTCCCTGTTTGTCGTCAGTCTTGCAATTTACGGAATATTGTTGATTTTCTTTGGATGCTGTCTCTATACTAACACGACCGTACTGGAATCGAAAACATAGTTGTTGATTAGTTATTGTGTAGGTTGTTGTTGCCGGGATTATCTACAGATAAGAGGTATCATAACCATAATCAGGCGACGTAATGACTGGCGCTTTACGAGCCTGTAAAGTTTTATATACACATGGGGGAACCAATTACACCCCAAATTCCGATTTCGCCAATTATTTAAAAAGAGTTAAAATATTTGAAAGGCGTTGAAAAACAATACTTTGTTCATATATTTGTATATTCGTACATGCGTATGACGCGCCGTGTGCTTGTCTGTTCCATAGCTGACTATATTTATGGACTTTGAAATACCTAACTACTAGCCACTCCGCAACTTGTGAATCGAGCTAGACTAGGAAAACGAAGCGATTGGAACTAGATTTAGTCAATGTTAGCAAGAAAACATTATTTACCTCAAATATCCTTAGGAGCAGGTTTACATACGCTTTGCGCACACCGATGGATTTGTTGATGGCGGAAATAAATATCAGAAATGATAGGAATCCCCCAATGGGAAGCCAAAGTATGTTTAATATCGCGCTGATCATTTTACATTTGATTCATTTGGACTTTAATTATTTGCGAAATGCTTCTGAATAGTGCTGGCAAAACATCGGAACACTACCGATACTATCGATGCTTGGATATAGTTTTCGAAACATCGATTTCTTTTTTTGCTCTATCGATATTGTGTGTGTTAACATTTTACACCCTACACGTGTAGAATCAATATCAATAGTATCGATGTTTAGTTCGTCAATACATCGAGAAAATCTATGGTAAAGAACATCGATTTTTTTCTAAATCTACTTCTGAATTGCATCGTGCCAAGCGCTAAAGATGGAAGCAAATCGATTTTGAATTAATTGCAAATATTTAAAGTAAATAATGATAAGAAACATCTGGTAAAGCGACGCCAGGCAACACTAGCAGCTCGATACCAAAATGTCTGGCAACGACACATTAAGTCTCAAGCTACTAGCGTTTTCAAACTTTCGAATCTTGAGCTAGCCTTGCCTGAGTTTTCGGCCCCGAGCCACTAGCGTTGCCCAACTTTCGATAACTGCGAGACCTATCGAATGAACAAGTGTTGACAAAGCGTGGTGGATGGTGTTCCTCGCGAGTGTTTGTTTTATGTTGGCAGTTCTGTTGAATTATTATTATTACTATTATTTATTGCAACGAAGTTTAATTTTAACACCTTAATGTAATAGTTTCGCCCCCGCAAGATGGAGTGATATGTATATGGCCGAACATATATATACGCCTACGTGCCCGATAAGATAATTCTATGTAGTAACTTTTGTATACACTAAGTGCCTTCTTTTATGTTAACGAAGCGACGAGACGATGTCGACAAGCAATACAAACAACCTGATCGAGAAGGAGATCGACGACGAGGACATGTTGTCGCCGATCAAGCCCAACAACCTGGTGGTGCGCGTCAACCAGGACACGGACGATAATCTGCAGGCGTTGTTCGACAGTGTGCTGAACCCCGGAGATGCCAAGCGCCCCCTCCAGCTCCCCTTCCGCATGCGGAAGCTGCCCAACTCCTTCTTCACGCCCCCGGCCCCATCGCACTCGCGCGCAAACAGCGCTGACTCCACCTACGATGCTGGCTCGCAGTCGAACATCAGCAATATTAGCAGCATCAAGGCGGCACAGCCCGTGGACGGGCAGCCGCCCATATCCGCCATCTCACAGATCCAGCAGCCATCCCCACAACAGAGCCGCCTGGCGATACATCACTTCCGCGCCCGCAGCAGCCCCGCCTCGCTGCAGCAGAACTATAATGTGCGCGCCAGGAGCGAGGCCAATCCAGGAGCAAGCCAGCAGCCAGCTGGGCCCACTTTCCCCGAGAATAGTGCCGCCGAGTTCCCCAGCTCCGGCGCAACGGCTCCCAGCTCCATTGAGCTCGATGCCATGAACTCTTGCATGTCGCAGGACATGCCCATGTCCACGCAGACAGTGCACAAGAAGCAGCGCTCCTACGACGTGGTAAGCCCTATTCAGTTGCAGCGGCAACTGGGCGCCTTGCCACCAGGCTGGGAGCAGGCCAAGACCAACGACGGCCAGATCTACTACTTGAAGTGAGTATTTGTCATTTGTATTAAGTATACAATCGTTTAAAGATTTATATTTTTATGTAGTAATTTTTAGTCTTGTAGTTTTTATGTATATATACTTTAAAAAATATGTATCTAGATACAAACCCAAGGTCAAAACGGGTAAAAAATATATCCAAACTGTATTTTAAGACAAAATCACGCACCGATCTAGTAAAGACACACACAAGGCTTTGAAACATAACTTTTTCTTGGCGAAGCTGTATTACCATAAATATGCATTTTCTGGATACAGACTGACATATAAAAAATATTTTCTTAAAATTGTTTTGTATCACTAAAAATATTCTTGGATTTTTATTTTAAATCAGCGGATACATTTAATCTAACGACTTTCTTTTACTTTCAGTCATACTACAAAATCGACGCAGTGGGAGGATCCCAGAATTCAATTTCGCCAACAACAGCAGAGCTTAATGGCCGAGCGAATAAAGCAAAATGGTAGGCATTTGTTTATATTTCTCATATCCTTAAGAAATATATATATGTGTACAAGTTCCGGCGGCACTTACCCAAACCCTTAACCCACTTAAGTTCGCCCGTCTTGAACTAATCTTGTGCTTTGGGCTATAGGCAGGAATAAAGCAAAGGTTATAACACATTTAACGCATGAACAAGATCAATGGGAATCCATATGCGAAGCCGCAGAAAACCAAGCTACCATTTTCGGGGGAAAGAATTCTCAGTTGCTCAGAGCCCCGTGAAAGCATATACGAGTAGAGATATGTACTTTTGGCTATGGGGAATTGAAGTTTAATTGCAGAAATTAAAGTTTTTAGTGTGTTGCATGATGTTCCCCCTCCGTTACAATCTGCTTTTAACTGCCAGCAACTCTCGTTTTATAGAACTATTTTTTAATTTGTCTTTATTTACTTTGGTTTTGTAATTATGATTATTTTTGTTCGATAGATGTTTTGCAAACAACAAAACAAACTACCACATCGACCATTGCTAACAATATGGGTCCAGGTCCACTGCCGGATGGTTGGGAGCAGGCAGTTACCGAGTCCGGAGATATTTACTTTATAAATCACATTGATCGAACGACTTCATGGAATGATCCCAGAATGCGTAAGTCTCCTCATTCCAAACACACCAACACCAAAAACTAGCGTAAGCAGCGCGAGGCAAACAAGAGACCTTTGGTTTATCTATAGAGAGATATCACCTAGATAACACTTGAACAAGCACACACAGTGGGCGGAGGGGGCATTGGTTCAGATCACGTAATTCCTATGGCATCTCTCTGCTTTCACTCTACTTAGTACTTGATCTTGAGATAATTGAGGCCGGAGAAATCCTAAACATTTGCTAACACATCTCTCCTTTCAATATATCTTTGCAGAATCTGGGCTTAGCGTGCTCGACTGCCCAGATAACTTAGTGTCTTCCCTTCAGGTGAGAATTTTGTTTTTGTCCCAACGCAAATTACATTCAAAACCTGATACGATTTTATTATATAATTTACAGATTGAGGATAATATTTGCAGTAATTTGTTCAATGACGCACAGACCATTGTGAATCCGCCGTCTTCCCATAAACCTGACGATTTGGAATGGTATAAAATTAATTAATTGAAATGTATACAATCTGTATTAGACCTAAAAGTTTTATATTTTGTATTATTCTAAATTAAATATTTTTCAAATTTTATAGTATTTCTTTATACAACATCTTATTGTATTTTATGTTATGTTATGGGTTGGATTTTTAGATAACGTTACAGGTTATAGTGCATCATCCGTGAGGGGCATAAGAAACCAACGCCAAACAAATTAAAAGGCCCACCTTCGGTCTCCAGAGGGAGATTTTGTGGTGGACTAAAGGTGTGGTCAGCACAAACGATGACTCATATCGCATCTTGTTACTTTGATAAGAAACGGTTAAAAGAAAAACAGATTTATTCTTTTAAATCTGTTAAAAAACAAATTAATCAGAAACAGCGCTGGCAGAACAAAGGAAAGCATTGTACTATTTATTCAGTACATTTTTGCTGTTCATGCATAAATAACAATACATTCATTTAATAGGAAAATATAATTAATAATGGGAGCAGTTTGAATAAATTTCTCTGGGTTTTGCATTTAGTAGATTTCCGATTATAATTGGAAATCGTCCAGATGATTTAATAACCACTTTTCCTACTTTGGCACAAGTTAACACCCCTAATTTATTTTCAAACTTTGTATTTCCTGAGCATGATCTTAAATTCTTATTCACTCGATTTCCTTTAGTGAATCACGAAACCAAATGACTCAATATTGAGTTACCAGATATTCTAGACAATGACAACACCTTCATACTTTGTTCGTTATCTATTAAATATTAGTAATTTTATTTTTTAACTATAATAATCTTACAATTTTACAAAATTTCTATAAAAGCGTACAACAACAGTAATTTTTTTTTTGCCGATTCTCTTGCGTCAAATTCATCTCTCGTACGATGGTGGCGAATACTTCGTTAACGTTTATCCGATCCTTAGCTGATGCTTCAATAAATGGACAGTCCCACAGTTGTGCCAAGGCATTACCTTTAAATAGAAAATTTAGAAACGTTAGATTAACGTTTATAAGAATTAAAATAACAGTCAGATCCTCTCTTGTAATTATCTTTTAACATGTGCTTGATCAATGCTTACCTTCTGCGGTGGATACCTCTCTTTGGCAATCTAAATCGAATTTGTTCGCGACTAGTAGGATGGGTGCCGGCTGACTTCCTTTAACACGAGTGATCACATTTTTCATACTAGAAATATCCTGTGAAATACATGCAAAATTATATATATTACCATGAAAAACCGGGTGTAGCTAATGATTTCATACCTGAAATGTTTGATGGTTCGTAAGTGAATACATTACAATAAAACCATGACCATTTTTGATATAGAGATCTCTCATGGATGCGAATTGCTCTGTGCCCGCTGTATCCAAAATTTCCAAAACGCATGGCGAGCTGTCCACCTAGAATACATAAAGAAAATAATTAAAAGTTAAGTTTATATTAAAACGAATACATCACGGGGCAATGAACGACATCAATCAATCAATTATTCGCAGTCCAAGGGTGGGTGTATCTCAATAGTTGTACTTTTCGTTAAACTAAAGCTGCAAACTTAGGGGTTGCACAAGTGCTTCCCCTTATTCGGGGTAGTATTTATAATTGTGGATATGTGCGAATGCGGAAGAAACAGCTCTTTCTTTGTCTTTGACAACATTAGATGTTATGGCCCGCTATTGATGAACATTAAATGCGTTTTGCAACTACAGGCATTACATCTGAATATACATACAATCATATGTATGTACATAGAACTCTGTCTCGAAGACTGCTGTCCGATGAACTGTATGCATGTAAATGTGTACATGCATGTGTCATTCATATCTTTGAAACGAGTTTAGGCGCTTGCAGTCGTGGGTCGCGCGAATTAAAAGGGTAGAATTGAGACAGCTTCAGACCAGATACAAGGGGAAATGTAATATTATGGTTTCCAATTAACTTAGCATGGCCAGCTGACACTAATGAATCATCTTAAAACTGGCTTGGCCATTAATCCTTACACCAACACCAACACGCCTGTGGACAACTGTGCACATTTAGTTGCACAGACGCATGTAAATATGGTCGTATGCGCGATTATTTATGAATTACATACTCTGTGTGGGCTTACAACGTCCTATCTATGTATGTGCATATACATAAATACAAATACTTGGGCACATTTCGCACCTACAAGAACACTATATGTATGTGCATATACACAGACAGTTCATATGTATGTACATATGTACGTGATTACGCTCAATATATACATAAGTATGTGCGTATGTCTGCGTTTCGTTTGTAAATTGATTATGTCTGCCCCTCGATATCCATGCGAACATTAACTTTTACGTACCTCTATTTCCTTGCGGTAGAAGTCCTCGATTGTGGGATCATACTTTTCAATAAAGCATCCCGAAACGAATTGCACCGTGAGAGCCGATTTACCAACTCCCCCAGACCCAAGCACAACAACTTTGAATTCGCGCATTGTTAAATCAGCTTTTTTTGTGATATTCGATGCGATTAAATATGTATATATATAAATATATGTATGTTCTGTACGTGTTTATATTTAACACTATTTGTGTATATGTATTTCAACTTAAAAACAGTTTACAAAGCATATATTATGTGTGGATTGACATTGCGTTTTAATGCACGTAATGCACAAGTTCGTTGACAATCTGCGGTCTACGTCTACTGCTGTTTCATTATGCGGCGGTGGAGTTTGATTTGATTTTCCTTAAACACATATTATATTGTAAAATATAATAATCAAATGATAATTGATAAATGATGACACTGACACTTATGGAAAATGGAACGATGCATATGTGTAAAGGAAATGAAATAATGGTTTTAGAACAAAAATGTTAGGGGCTGTTGCACACGACGGTGCGCAATGGTTTATTTTCGATAGCCTCGTTATCGGATTGTTTAAAATAAGCACTTTTCTGTACAAAAATATATAACAATATAAAATTATAAATATAGTGTAATCTTTTATACCATAATCAATAATTCAATTAAATATGTCAAAATTTTTAATTATCAGCAAAAAACCATGTTAATATTGATGTGATTTTGTTGCCAATACAATGAAAATGTAAAATTCTAAAACCTAGATGATATTTTAGATTTTCTTGACTATTGTATTTAATTTTTGAAAAATAAATTGTATTATTTAAGTTTTATTATGGTTAAATTATCATAAATATATTAAATAATCTTAAATAAAATCCACTATTATTAAAATTACAATTTAAAAACTTTTGTTGTACCAACAAATAATACTTTACGAATCGATAAGCACAATCAGACTTACATGGATTAAATAACAGTTAGGCTACTTATAAACGATAATTATTATATTTCATATAATACTTATTCGATTTAATCCGTTTTTATTTTAAAACTGATATACTGACTAAGTTTAAATGGGAAATTATAGTACTGATACAAATATATATTTAGTATTTTTAATATGGTATATGTATATATTATAGTACTGATATAAATATATAATTATTATTATATATATTTTTTACAGCTGCTCAGGTTAATTTATTTATTATATTAAACAGATAATATATATATTATATGCTACTCCCAAAGTAAACATATTAAATTCCTTTATACCCACTTCCCACACAAGTTTCCCGTGTGAAGCAGTTGCAATTTTTAGTAGATGTAAGACAAAACATCATCCATTATCCGATAGCAGTAGATTGACCGGCTGTGGCTCATTAAATCATAGTCTAATATAGTTAAATTGGCTTCTACGGGACTAAAATTAATAGTTAATGGCAGCTGCATTTTCCATATCTCCTTTGTTTTTTTTAAACATGTTTACGTTTTTATATAATAGATGAAATAATTTCAATTTTGTAAAGTCGATTATTTAAATTTATTATTAAAATTGTAGCTAATAATTAAATTGTTCAGACATAGTATCGTAAAACAATATTATATAAAAATTATCCATTGCTTTATTACAGATCCACAGTCAATTCCAACATTCCAAATCTAAGCGATTTAAAAACATATCGACCGCTGCCCACCACTAACACATCTTTCTTTCCGGTGTGGTTTCTTGAATAGATCGCACGAAATGGTAAGAAATCAAAATAATTCTTTGAAATCATAAAATATTATTGATATGTCACAATACTAAAACACCCATAATTCCTTTTTATATTAGGCTGCCCATAAATCGTTCAGAATAAAGCAGAAGCTGGCTAAGAAGCTTAAGCAGAACCGTTCCGTTCCGCAATGGGTTCGCCTACGAACAGGAAACACAATCCGGTAAGTAGCTTTAATATCGGTTCTAAATGTACAAAATTTCAATTATTTCAAGTAAAATGATTTCTAAAATGATGTCCAATTGGTGAATTTGGGATCAATTTTTAAACAAGTCTTGTGTTTTAACTGCAACTGAGGTTCTGACTTTTTAAAAATCTGCCTATTTTGTCAAAACAAATAATATTGCAGAAATACATATGTATGTATGTAGTTTAAAATAAGTCAATTGTTTGGTGATGAAATTGTTCGCAATATTTAGCTGTGGTTAAAGACTGCTTTTTCAGTACTTTCTCCAAAATATATTGCTATAGATATTTTTAATTGATTTACTGTTTTGCTTATTTTCAGATACAACGCTAAGCGCCGCCACTGGAGGCGTACCAAGTTGAAGCTGTAAGCTGTTGATTCCAGAAGCTCCACAATTTGTTGGAATGCTGAAGATCTTTTTCAAGAATATAAAATAAATTCGTTTACAATTTCGGATTAAAATACCACCTGTTTCACTGTAAGACTGTTTTTAGTGGGAAAATATGTATAGCTCTGTTAAGCCGAGCCGTGTAGTGTAAAAACTTTGGTACATTTAAATGCACTTTCCAGTATTAATCATGCGTTTAAAAACGAGTTATGTCTAGTTGGCCTTTAGAAAGATTTTAAAACGACAATTGCTGTTTTTTTGTAGTCGTTTTGTAGTAGTTAATAGTAGCTTTGACTTGCGGCCCAACATAAAAATCTTGATTTTTCTACTCGATCCAAGTCAATTATCTCGGTATGGCTGCTCGGTATACACCTGCTAAGCACGATTACTATAAACTATTATTTTCCTTACCGTACTTTTCTGTTAAGAAAAACCTGAACTCTCAAAAACAAGTAAGAATTGACAAATTTTAGTTTAGATTTTGAAAATAGTAGTCAACAGTTATTGAATGCTGCAACCTTGTAAACAATATAGTTTTACTTGGACTAGCCTTTATCAGCTGATCCATTTTTTTAGGCATTAAGGACGCTTCATAAGCTAACCTTTTCGTTATCTACTAGAATTTTTGGGGTATCCGGAAAGCACTTGGATTCTTTGACCACGTTAACACAAAATATTCACATTTTGCTTATAAATTTCCACACTTAATACACATTTAAAAGTGAATCGACAACTATCCGAAGAGATTGGGAACTGCAGTAAAATACTATCCGATTGGGTCAATTATTACAGACTGTAACGCGTACAATTTATTAATTCTGGATTAAAAAACTGTTTATTCTGCGGGAACTTCAATGGTGCCCTCGTTAAGTTCGTCAATAACATCATGAGGGTGCTTTCCGTCAACGGTGCAGCCGACGCTCTGAGCGGTTCCCAGGACTTCCTTGCAGGTTCCCTTCAGTTCACGGGCCATGGACCTAGGCCTCATCACTCGCGCGATGGCCAGGATATCGTCGAAGGCGATGTTTCCACTGTGCTTGACTGGAAAATTACAAAACAAACGAAAAAGGTTGTTAGTGAGGTAAAATGCAATCTAGAGCTTGACTTTAGAGCTTGAACTTTCACCCTAAAGCCGAGAAATACTCACTGTTCTTTTGCTTCTTGCGATCACGTGGGGGTTCCTTCAGAGCCTTAATGATCAAGGATGCAGCCGATGGAACCACAGAAATGGCAGCCTGTCTGTTTTGGATGGTCAGGCAGACGGTGATCTTCAGACCCTTCCAGTCGGAGGTGGCCTTGGCGATGTCATCACCAATTTTCTTGGGAGACTGTGGGACAATATGCACAATTAACACAAATGACAGGTAAACAAACACCGATTTCTGCTTACCAAACCGAGAGGACCGATCTTGGGAGCCAGGGACGAAGTGGCGCCGACTTCTCCACCTACGCAACGCAGGTAAACTGTAATAAAACAAATTAATTATTATATGCTGCAATTGGTATTCATTTATTTTTCGTATGTAAATTTGAAATGTAAACTCTTCACATAGACAGACAAAAACATACCCAATTTAACTTCCGTAGGGTCGAATTTAGGAGGCATTGTGGTATCTCGGCTGAAACAGTCGCTGTAATATAAAGATTACATTAATATTCACAGATTTTTTTGAAAACATTTTAGCTCTGTACTGTACCGCAAAAAGACACACAGAAAAAGAAAGAAGAAGCTTATCGATTTCCGGCAAGACTGTATGAAAAATACATATCGGGTGGACCTATCGAAGTAAATAGTATTCAAAATGGAACGCGGAACTGAAACAAACCCAAAGAAATTTATTTAATTTATCAAAATTATAGATATTATGTTATACGTAATTGGTATAATTGATCAATGACTACTAATAATAGTATTAAACCTTTTAAAACAATATTAAAAAAAAGCGAGCCAACCTGTGTGACCGTACACATGAACCGATATCAATGACCTATCGTTTTATTTAATATTGGATGGGCATACTATGCACTCCAGGTGCCGTTTATTCGAACGATTTGAAATATTTGGGTAAAAAATAAATACATATTTACGTTGATATGTTTTATGTTAAAAAGGGGACAGTCCTAACTGTCAATAAAGCACTTAATTAAACGTTAACAGTTACAGAAACCTTTGACCTGCCTCAAGCCTTACCCAATCTCAACCTTCAAAGGCTTTTCCCTCAATTTGCTAGAAAATAACCCCTATATGTTGAAAAAGATTTTCCAAGGGCAGCATCTGCACCCCAACATATTCCCGCCCAGTTATATAGGCGAAGCCTTGTTAATGTATGTCCTGGTAATGTACACATGTGTATGTACCGCTTGCCTTGCCGGAAGAATGCGTACATCACCCCGCCAACATACAACATGCATATTAAACAGCCAAAGTAGATGAACATTTTGAGATTGATGTTGACGTTTAGGTAAAAAATTTTATTGGCAAACGTGTATCTTGTTACTTAGTTATTCAAACATGGATGCTTCGGGTTTTCTGTTATATTTATTACAATCGTTGAACCAGATTTAAGATGTAGAGCCAACTAGCCTATAACAGCATCTTTGAATAAATTTGTTTCAGATGTAAATGCAACAGAAATTTACAGCGACACATTATTTGCTTATTTGTCCAGAGCAGTATTGGTCTTAATCGCGATAACACACTCTTCTCCGCACGCCTTGAGAACGGTGCACTGAAAGTATATAAACAAATGTAAATACATGCATACACAAATGTGAGAAACAGTGCGCCACTTACCAGTAAGTCCTTGCCATTATCAAAATCAGCACGTAATTGGTCGCCCAATTCACCGTCTGGAACCTTCAAGTCCTCGCGCAAATCGCCGCCCTCGTTCATCATGGTAAGGAAGCCATCATCACTTATAGCTATCAACTGAAGGTCTTCCCTTTTAACATGGGGAACGTCCATGTTATGAGTAGATGGGCAAATATCTTCATATCTGCAAGGTTGACACAAGAATTTAGAGGTTTTTAGTAAGCAAGATTTATAAGGATGAGCCAAGGTAGCAGGCGCTCTAATTTTATCTCGTGCTGACATTTAATTCTTGCAGAATTAAAACCTAAATGGTAATAGCTTCGACGTATGATTTTCTGCTTCTTTTCTTTTATAAATTTGTTGATAATTTTAGATTAGATTATTCAAACTGCTTTTGGAAAATGATAAAAGACTGCACCGCCCACCGACGCCTCTCCTTGACGCTTCCTTTGTGTTTCCACCACAGATACTCACTTCTTGTTGGAGAAAATATCGATGCCGACCATGTGAACCTTGGCGTGTCCGTGCTTGCCAGTCTTCGAAGTGGACATCTCGACAATCTTGCATGGTCGCGACTTCAGCATGACAAATCCGTTTTTGCGCAATGCCGAACATTGCATCGGATAAGTCGCCGACGCTCCGGAATCTGCGGTTTCGAAATGATCGTCTAGGTCTGCCATATCTGCCACGAACACAAGAAGTTTGAATTAATTATTTTGCTGATAAATATTTGTTAAGGTATTCAGTCAGAAAATTGCAGGTTCACTTTATATACTGAGGCGTTCTAGGAGTACACATGCGTGCACATACATTCACAAATTCGCACATCTGTATGTAAAACATACGAGTGTATGCAAGCCGAAAATGCATACATATGTATTTACTGGCACATATATGCTTATACATACAGACGTACATATGTATTCAAAATGTCGTATGCCATGCACACCCAAACACTTTAATGTTCAAACATTTAAATTGGCAAAGTCATCTAGACGGGGCACCGAAAAGTTTTGTGTACTGCAGATTTGTATGTATGTAAATACTTTCTTTCACACATATTGAGTGTGTGAATGCGGCCGGAGTTTAATTATACCTAGGCACCAGATTTAATCACTCAATTACTGTACATATGCAATAAAACGGATTTTCAACATTTTGAACACATTCCAAGTAAATTTGCAAATTTTTATACCGCAAAAAATGGCAAATTACTAACCTACTTGCACGTTCAGTGTCTGTTCCAACCGAAGATGTAAAATGAAAGAACCCTGCTATCGAATCAAACCCACGTTTTGTTTCCGGTCAAATATAAAAAACCAGGCATGCATCTTAGCAGTCGGCATTTTCGACTCATCGTCCGTCCATTATTTTAGGAATATTGGAACTGGAACATAGAAGGTAGATTGTCAATTAAATAAGCAGATCCAGATGTTCCCCGTTAAATAATAAAAATATAAATAAAACGCAATTTTTGGAGGTGCTTTATAATGTCTCTGTTATTATAAATAATATAATATATTTTTTTTGTGTGACTTTCAGATTATGTAAATTTATTGTTGATTGACTTTCTTAAAGTACACTTCAATTGGAAGAGACGGAATAAAGTTATCATTTTCTAAATTAATATTTTTTCTTGTGCTGTGCTGTTTCGACTTAACTTTTATTTTTGGCTGTCTTAGCTTTATATTGCCGCTGGAAATTGTCATAATTGCTGATTCCGTGACAAGAGTGGATACGGATTTTTCTTCTTGTATCCCATCGGCGCGAGATTTTGCTATAGTGTGGCTAATTATTTTTGTCGAGTTTCTAACGCTTGGGCTTTCTGCAACGTTTTGTTGTTTTCGACCGTTTACTGAGGTTCGCCGTTTGAATTTGTTGACCAAGTCGATGTCATCTGTTGATGCGTTTTTTAATATTTCTGGGGCAACAGTGGAATTGAAAAGTTTTCGCCTTTCAAAAATTCTTTTCGGTTTCTTATGTTCCATTTTGGCTTTATTTGTATTTGTAGAGTTTCGTAATATCTGGGCAGGAGTTTTTTTAGTTGATGACATAATTCGGACTTTTCTTAGTTTTCGATTGGCATTTCTCCTACTGGTCGCTGGTGTCGGAGTTGTAGTAGAATCGTTTAATGCTGTGTTACTTTCGATAAGAGCTGACGCTGTTACGTTTTGAAAGAACTTTGGCGTTTCCTTTGTGGTGACAAGGTTTTTCAAGTGGAGTTTTAGCAGTTTAAGCTTAGTTTCAATACTTGAGGAAAAGTTTTTCGTAGCCTTTAACGATTTTAATCTATGCTTGTATGACTCTCCTGAAACATTTGGAGTTGAATAATTATTTCTTATAGGTTGAGCTGTTGTCCAAATAGTAGGGGGTTCAAAAACTTTCGCTTCTGTTTTAACTATCGTCGTTGTTGTTGTTGTTGTTGAAGGCGCTGGTGTTGTTGTTGTAGTGGGTATTGTTGGACTGAAGAAACTTGCACTGCTTATGTACTCCGAGCTCATAAATGTGGGTTTTACTGGAAGCCACGCAGCTTCTGTTGTGGTAATTGTTGTTGGTATTACATGTGTTGTGCGCTGATAACGCTCCGTAACAAGCTCTTTGGGCATATCGGTTGTGACAACAGCTGGTTTTGGTCGAAATTCTTTGGTGTCTCTGACTGAAGATTTACCCGACTTCGAACGGGGGAGAATGACATCGTCGAGCGTAAAGAAGGTATGTGCAACATAATTAAAAAACGGAAGATTTGTTGTTGTGGCTGGCAACTCGCTGACTGGCATGCTATGAGCGCTATATTGATCTTTTGCAAAGTCTGGAGGAGAGCTCTTAAAGCAGTCTTCAGAAGATCCAGCTGCTGTGTTCATTATCCGTTCTGGGCACTTTTTGTTCCAACTTTCGCTGGAGTAGCGAGAATGATTCCACTGATTGTTAAGACCAATAAGCCGCTCAACACTAGGCGTTTTAGCGGTTAATGGTACGAATGGGTTTACGTTTAGGGGGGTTATATATTCCACTGGGCGATTTATCGGACCTGTACTAAATACCATAGGCGGATTCGGATGGGTTGCAACGTAATCCATGTTTGTTGCTGTCGTTGTTGATGTACTTTTAAATCCATGGATATTGTTTAAATCTCTAAAGACGTTTCTGAAAATGTCGAATTATAGATTATAAAGAATCAAAATATATGTACAAAAATATACCTTTTCGAATTTGCAAAAGTATCGTGATACTGAACAGGCGCGAGCATTGCATATCGCGGCAACATTTGCATACTGCGCATATAATTTTTTAGTCTCATTTTTCCAACCAATATGGGGGTCCTTGAGTTGTACCAATAAAACTTTCGCAACGAATTTGGGTGTTGTCTATATAAAACTATGGCTGGGTGGTGATCCATAGACCATAGCTGAAAATTAAAGAGGGTTTCAGCAAAACACTTTCGTTTTCCTTGTACGTTTGAGAGTATTAATTACTTACTTGTCGCTTGGGTCTCATATAGGTTGAAGATCCGTTTATATTTGCCAATATATAAAGTAGACCTGTAGCAGAATAATATATGGGTTAACTGCAAGGATCAATGTTATTATTTTTTATACCTATAGACACATAAATGACAATAATTCCGTTTCTCACTTTCCCCAGCATAGTGTAGAAATACTTTTTACTGAAGACAACTGACGACTACTTGCATTAGTTTTTCATCTAAATTATTTGCTACTTGGTTTGCAATAGGTTCATTGGTGTGTTTACCACGTCTTAGGAGTTATAAGTATGAGAAATCATTCACATTAAAAAGAAAATGTTGATCTAGTTAAAAAATAACAACTCGATTTATTGAACATACTTTTATCTTCAACATTCATAAATATTTTTATAGTAAATTAATGATCAACTTGAAAATGTTAATGTAGTTATTTATATTAAGTTTTATATTTTTTCAATATGAATGATTTGGACTGCAGAATATGTTTCAGATGCTGTGGCCAAGATATAGTGATAGCGTGTGTTCTATGGAGCATGAAACTCAACGCTTGGACAGGCCCATCTTCTCTGTTATAATTGTTGCATCTCAGCCACCATACATATAATTGCACACACATATCGTTTAAGTACAAGTTTTGGAATATAAATTTATATACTTGTTTTATGCAGACAGTAAAGACTTTGGAGGTACCCCCATAAATCATATATATAAATGATTATGAATAAAAATTAATTAATTTCCATTTGGAAAGCGTTCCTGTGTTTGTTGTTTGGTGCATACTAAATTTAACTTTTTAAGTAATAATTTTTTTTTAGATTTTTCAGAATTTTAACAATGTAACTCCTAAAAATTTTTTGACAAAACTGGAAAAGTCTGTTTTGCAACCTGCGATGGCCAGAAAGATTCGCCTGTTAATACTGATCAAGAATATATATGATTTATAGGGTCGGAAATGGCTCTTTCACTGATAAAAATTATATTTTCCTCTGCAAGATTCTTGAAATCGAAATTGTTATATATATTATTATTAATAATATTAATATTGATATTAATATTATATATATTATATTATATATTATATATATATATATTATTATTAATAATATTAATATTGATATTAATATTATATATAATAATATATGTATACATATATTATAATATTGTAATGGCAGTGAATAACTTACTCTCGCCCTCTCTTTCTGTATTCCTCTGTAAGCCTCTGCCTCTCGCTCTCTTTCTTACTCACAATAACATTTGGTATGGCTGCCTCCCTCTGTTGCAGCGCTCTAGAGAAGGCGCTTACGCTCTATCTCTCTCTGTTGCAGCTCTAGAGGTAGCTCCTTCCCTCTCGCACTCTTTCTCTGTTCTCTTTGATCGGGAAGTATAAATAGAGGTGCTTCGATCGCCGCGACCTCAGTCTGTCCTAGGGGTACCTAGTGTTTACATCAATAGTGATCGTGATAGTGATTACCCTTCGACCTCAAAAATATGACGTGGCCAATGGAACACCAGGAACTCACCAGGAATATACCTCTACATCGGAAGGAATTAAGCAATGACAAAAGATGACGTGTCCTCTACTGGGGTAAGTCTTTACTATAACAATTATATTATTATTATATTTTATACATTAAGAGATGCTATATTAGTGAGCAGGCCTAGGTCTAGAATAAGATGTGCTAGCCATGAATTTATTTTGTCATTAATTTCCCTATTGCCATGGACCCCATTACTAAATGCTGATCAAGTATATATATATATGATTTAGGGGGTCGAAAATGGTTCCGTATTTTTTGGGACAATCAAAGTTTAAAAATCGCATACTTTGTCAAAAATGTATTAATTTCAATTGTAAGCATGGGTATCTAAATACATAAGGATGACTAATAAAACCGAAATTGTTGCGTGCCTAAATCGGACTTGTGCATATGTATGAAGATATAATTGCGTGCTTAAATATTCATGTAAAGGGTATTGCATTATTGATTAAAGCAAAAGTGAGGAAGATGTCGTTGAATGCAGTCAGTGTTTTTTCGGGACTTATTAATTTTTTTATTAAAAAGAAAAGGTAAAGAAAAGCATAATTTAAATAATCAACCTATACATAAATACTTGCCATTTTTATTTGATTTTAGATTATATTGGATATTTGTGCTCTTTATATCCGGATGGAGTACTGTTACGATATTTACTCTAATAAATAATAGATTTGTAACGGATTCCACAAGCATTGGAGTGGCAACTTCTTACAGCCGTTGGACCAATACTTTTCCCTCGATTGGAATATGTTTGTCTAAAAATCGAATCACTGAGGATTTTACAAACGCTGTCAAAAAACGTTTTCCGGGCGAAAAACCCTCTTACACGTACATAAGAACTTTATATGATTATCTCTTTATAAACCCGAATAACTTGTACTTAAAATGGGAATATTGTAGGAATTTAAATACTACATGTGGTGTTGATATATTGGCCATGAGAAGAGAGGTAATTGCTGCGATCGATCTGATTAACTTTATTTAGTTATATGATTTATTCTATAGTTATTCGCCATGGTATGTACAGATTTCTTCGAGGAAATTTATTTCTCTGAAATATTGCTCCCAGACTGCGAACACATATTCAAGTTTCATGAGCTGGAAGTTGGTTATTGCTTTCTAGCTAACAATTTACTTGACTAGTGAGTAGAAATTAATTTAAACTAAACTGAACTTATAATTAAGAATTCGGTCTAAAGTAAAAATATCTATGATATGCCTCTGCGTTACTCTTCGTTGGAAAAATATCGCACTCTGCGGTTGATATTACGAGCTGGTCTAGTCTATCGTTATGACGTAAGCTTTCAAACATTTAAGTTAAAAGATTAATAATTAGTTACTTCCTATCTAGTTGTATATCAATAGCCCCGAAGATCTCCCTTATTTCAATGCCGTATCCTACACTGTAACCGGAGAGCCCACGGTATGGTTTACAACTTAATCTTGTAAACATCAATTTCCAATACTAAAGATCTTTTGTTTATACATATTTCTTTAAATTAAAGGTACATAGCTTCAATGCTGAGGAGATTTACAATGACGCATATGTAATTTATGAGCCTGTTTCTCAAAGGATGTGCAAATTTCCAACGGAAAGCTCAACACCGGAAATTTCGTACAGGTTAACCTTGCAAATCCTTATTTACTAAAGCAGTAATTTACTTTTTTTCCCAGTTTCAGTATATGTATGTCCAACATTCGAAGCCAAATTGAAATGGAGCTATGCAATTGCACATTATTTAGTCATATTAATCGAAGTATTTCACTTACTTAATTAATACCACTTGTTGTAAACAAAGTTGATTTTATTTTAAGGTTCAAAGAACTATTGCGGTGTTGAAGAAATAGCATGCTTGGATTCAGGTAAACTATTATAACTTTATTTTACAGAACTCTTCTTATGCTTTTGGTTTTAGGAAATCTCGCTGCAAAGGTAAGGAACTATGTAGGATTTAATATGGCGTGCTTACCATCCTGCGTGGAACAACAGATAACCTTTGTTGGGTAAGGGGCGAACATAAATGTCTATTTAAAGGTTCAATATTTCATAAACCATTTTAAAGGTCTCGTGAAAAAACGTACAATATTTCTGAAACATCCAATATTGTTGAAATAGAAATCGCTTCGCCACCAACGTCCAGGTATTACAGATCAATCACTCAAACTAAATTGGATTTGGTAGGTAAGGAGTTATCTTATTTATATTCATATATTATATATTTATATATATTTTACCATTATAGTGGCCATTGGAAGTGTAATAGGACTTTTCTTTGGTGCATCAATTCTTAACCTTTTAGAAATTGTTTCATTGATGTTTAAGCAAATTAAGAAATCGTTTTGTTAGGCTAAAAGACCTATATGCTATTTACTTACCGACGAAGCCTCTCAGATTTGATATTAAAAGCACGCCATGCACATACTTTAAAGGTTTATTGTGTCATCTTACTCCGACAATGTAATAAATGTTATTCGAAAACAACTACTTTTATTGAAAATTGTGCTTGTGTTATTTTTTTAAGATTAGTTATTATTTTCAAATAAATCCAAATGATAGTTCGCTATTTCGTTTTCAATGAAAATATTAACATCTCGTGAATTATCATTTTTACCTTTATGCATAGAGGTGTTTACATTGTGTTTTTTATAACGCAGTCCAACTCTGAAAGTGATTCTTTTAGTGATCTTATTGAACTTATCATGAAATAGCTTACATTCTTATAGAAGGAATATCAGCAGAGCTCCTGTGGTTATCTGAAGATCGTGCTCTTAAGTACCGATGTTTTAAATCAACGCCGCAATGGTCGTCCTACAAAATATTGATAATGGCAATTGGTCAATTTTAGGAAGTAGCTACAAATTCACTTACATCTCTCATATTGTAAGTAATGACCAAATTATTGACAAAGCTCTCGAGAAATTCGGGGTAAGCATCCAGAACGTCTAACAAATCATCCCTGTGCAATTTGTGGATATCGCAATATGTTAATGCTCTCACGGCTCCATTGGCCTTACCAAGCGTTGGATATATACACGGATTCTCTCCGAAAATGTCATTTTTGCCTTTCAAATATTGTTATTATGCAGATAATAAATGTTGTATTTAAGTAACTCACCCAATACGACAATCATGCCGCCTCTCTGAATTTCAATTGAACCTCTTGCTATAAAAAACAAAGAGGTAAGAACATCTCCTCTGTGTACTAATATATCTCCAGGAGGTGCATGTGTGGTTTTAAATTTAAGAGAGAAAGCTCTACGGATTATATAATTAAATAATAATGTAAAGATTATTGAATAAGTTTTATACCGTAAGCAACCAGGACTGGCTTCCGAAAAAGCAGCACATGTTGTCAACAACTTCCGGTTTAAGTGAAGGCATATGTCTGCCTGAAGGCACTCGGGAAATCCCTTAAGTAAAGAGCTCATGTCGATGCCATTTGTGTAAGTCCAAGCATGTTGGAAATATTCCTCCAATCTTTGTCTAAGAGGATTCGGAATCTGAGTGAATAAATTTTAAATATTAATTAAAATATCGTAAATATTGATTACATAGGAAACATTCGTTCGCTACCTGGTGAAATCTTATAAACTCCCGGACGCGTAACATTTGTGTATGATATCTTGCGGTTCCCGAGTAAAGTCTTTGTATTATAGCAGATACATTTCCAAAAATGCTTGCATACATAAGAGCTTAAATGAGAAATTAAAAATATCATATTTATTATCTCAAGTGGATAACTATCAATTTTGCGTACATCCAACGAGCATTACACAAATTGTGAATGCCTTTTCAGCATCCGTGTTTGGAGCCACATTTCCAAATCCCACAGAGGTGAGCGAAGTAAATGTGAAATATAACGCTGTTATATATCGCGACTAAAATGAAACCGTTTAGTGATTACTTTATTTTCATTTCCATGTACTGAAGTACCTTTATTGAGGGTCCACCAGTTTTGTTATCGAAATAGGGCTCTTGAATATCATAAGCCAGGGAGTGAAGCCAGCCGATGTTTTTCGATGCTATTGATTTCTCTGCATTTCCAATGGCATACCTGATAATAAGATTATATGTAAATCCTGAAAAGCAATAACAAAAAACTGCGAAACTTTACCAAATGCATGCCAACCAATGAGCTATTAGTATAAATGTTGCCATCAACAATATAAGAACTGCAGCTCCGTATTCCGAATAACGATCGATCTTTCGAGCCACACGAACCAACCTTAATAACCGGGCCGTTTTTAAAAGTCCGATTAAGGTAGTTGTCTGCAAAATATTATAAAAGTTGAAGGTTTATAGATAATATATTTAAAGAGATTACCTCATCGGTATCACTACCGACTAAAAGCAAATCAAACGGAACAGCTGCCACAAGATCAATGAGAAACCAACCGCTTAAATAATGAACTGCTATCCGGCCTGGATGGGACACCTATGAAAAGTTAAATTAGTTTACTTATCGATAGATATTTCTAAAAAAAAAGGATTTTCAACTTACCACTTCGTCTTGTCCATTTACAAATGTGGTTCGAAAATTTATTAAAATATCAACAATAAACGTTACATCCACTAGAATTAGGAACTTTTAGCTGTTTATAATTTGCATGAGCTTCCTTAAACTCACCTATCAAGTCAATTATCACAATGGGATCAGAGTTTATGTACTTGTTATTCCTTCTCTGGTAATCTTGTTCTCCAAGAAGAAACGCCGCAACATACGGAGTGAATATCGCCGTATACATGACAAGGATTAATATCACCCAATCCCACACAGCTTTAAAGGGTGAATAGTGGAGAAGGGTCCATTTGTGGTAGTAGTTGTTCTGTAACTTCTGATCATGAAGTATATTTCCTCCCAAAGACATTATCTGTAGGAATAAAAAGGCTTAGATTTAATAAACCCAGAAGGAATCGTATATATGTATATGTACCATATCGGCAGGATCCTGCATTTGTGGCTCACTTTTTGATCCGAGGAGAGCCTCCTTATCCAGCATATCATCGTAGTGATCACCCATTGCGTTCTCAGCTGGTTTACCATTTTGATTGTATTTGATGTTCTTAAACATGCATTCGAAGGAGTTGTTGCTATTGGGTTTGTGGCCCAGAAAAATATCGTTATTATTTTTCCGAACTGGATCGTAGGAGCAAACTCGGACTGAGCTCTGATAGTTTTTAATATACAGTTTCTTCTTATCACATTTTACACATTTTTTCGTGGCCTTGGAGTATTTTTTAGCTTGATCGAATTGGTTTTCTCCTTTGCTGACTTTAGCCTTCTTCAAACCATCCCTTTTATTGTTAATCTTAATTAGTAGGGGTGAGAAAAAGCAATCTCCCGCCTTACTATCGCCTGATTTATCCTTAACATTCACTTTTGTTTTCAGCTGAAGGGATTCGTCATCATTATTAGGTCTATTCCGCATAAACTTGTGATAGACCAGAGTGTTATGGTCACCCACATTCTTAGGAAATCTCGACAAACTTTCCTTCTTGTCGTCAAACATGCTGGCGTTTATCAAGATATCTGAAACAAAGACTTGTTTCTTTTCAATTTTATTCAGGTTGCACATGAGGGAGAAGAGTTCCCTTTCGATTTTCGATTTTGGAAGACAATTCCGTTTAAACTCCTTTAAAGGCGGCTTCTTTATTGTATCGTCGATGTTATTATTGGACATGTACAGTTCACATTGCTGCACTATTTTATCCAATTTTCGGATTTCGCTTAGTTCCACACAAGATTTGTGGGACATTTTTAAATCTGAAAATTTTCACAAAGTAAAATATTGCTAGTTAAAGTCACCATTTCGCAACAGGCCGAAAAAATTAGGCAATTATATTTAAATTATAAGAACAGTAAGCTTCAAACCGTTATCAAAGTATAATTGAAAATAACCAAAAATGGAACTTGGCAAATTTCCAATTTATTACCTAATGCACTTTTTATTTACTTCGCAAATCAAAACAGAACAGGTATGTAATACACCATAAAAAATCCAGTCAACTGTTCTAATAATTATAAATTAATTATAATAATATGAAATAATATTCAATATTCATAATAAAATTTATGTGTATTTAAGCTTCACGCCATTCGTTGCTGCTACACAAAGTTAAGCTAAATCAAGGCAAATTTATTATGTGTTTATACTTACATTGAAAATAGAAACATATGTTTCAGTGTATTTTAACCCTTATCTTCGCAAATATTCTGACATGCGCAGTGTGTCACCTGTGAAGCAATCCACTGCGATTTACTAAACATTGTTATTTCACTTGTCGCACTTGGTCACACTTTTTGAAAAAGGTAAACAATTGATTTTTCCTGCAATACATAAACGTTGAAGAAAATGTCTGCTGCCAAAAAGATAGCCGAAGCCGAGGAGTTAGTGCGCCAAGCAGAAAAGAGGTAAAGAACATCCCATTTATTTCAACACAAACATTGATAATTAAAAGTTAAATCAATTATTGCAGTTTGAAACTTTCTTTGTTAAAATGGGTACCAGATTACGATAGTGCTGCGGATGAGTATTCCAAAGCTGGTAAGATACTATATCTATCTACGTCACAATCATATTAATTTATCAGTAATTATAAAAAAAGACATTTAAGCTCTCCATCTTTAACTTGAACAATATTTTAACCAAAAAAAATATTTTGGAAACAATGTGTATACGTACATATTTACATACGTTTGCAAGTGATGTGTTCAAATTATATACAGTGGGCAATAAAAGATTATGAACAAATGAGTGTAGAATAAAATGTGTTTTTACTCTTAGGTGACCTTAAATTTAAGTTTATTAATATTTGTCATACGAATTTTCAAATGTTTCGAAAATACTTCATGATTTTTATGTTTCAGCCACTGCATATCGAATAGCAAAAAGTTTTGACAAAAGCAAAGATTGTCTGTTAAAGGCCATTGACGCATACAAAAACAACAAGTCATGGTTCCATGCTGCAAAATGCTACGAGCAGGTAAATATGACAACGAAAATAAATATTTTTGGTTTACATTGAGAAAACAATTTATTATTAGATCATATTGCTAACTAAAGAGACAGATAAATTACATGAAGCCGAGGAGTATGCCAATAAAGCAGCAAACCTATATCAGCAACATGGTTCACCGGAAGCTGCTGCGTCCGCCCTGGATAAAGCGGCCAAATTGGTGGAACATAAGCATCCCGACATTGCTTTGCGGTTTTACCAACATGCCCTTGAAGTTATAATGGTTTGTAATTGCAGTTTCTATTCCATATCCTTGATATATGTATCATTAATATATTACCTAGATTGAGGATTCCGTCCGCCAAGCCGCTGAATATGCATCGAAAGTCTCAAGAATATTGGTTAAACTTAAGATGTAAGCTTTCTATTTTAAATTTCGAAACATTTAAATAAACTCTCTTGCTGCTTTTAGGTACGAGGAAGCCACAAACGCCCTCAAAAAGGAAATAGCACTAAACCAACAGACCGAATCATATGGACAAATTGGGCGTTTAGTCGTAGCTTTGGTAATGGTACAATTAGCCCGAGGCGATTCCGTGGAAGCCGAAAAGACATTTAGAGAATGGGGTAACTGTTGCGAGCCCGAAGAGGTCTCAACCTTGCAAACCCTTTTGCAAGCTTTTGATGACGAGGATCCAGAATTGGCTGCAAGGATGCTGGCATCTCCATTTATCAGGCATATGGATGTTGAATATGCGATTTTATCCAAGAACATTCCGTTACCTCAAGGTATACAAGTTGAGAAGAAACCCAGCACCAGTGTTGAAAATGTAAGATACCTTTCCAAGCACCAAAAATAAATAACTAACAATATTTTTTTAGGAAAACAATGACGCTGAAGACGAAGGGGGATTGTGTTAATTTTATTAAAGTTTTACGGTCTGCTTATTAGTCAAATATATTTATCGTTAACCTATAAAAAATAATGCTTTTAATATATGAACTGTTAAATAAAAATTTCATCGCAATCGTTGTATTTAACATAAAATAAACTTATTAAACTAAAAATATTATAAACATATTTTACTTTTAGAATATATTAGAGATTTCACCATAATATAAAATAACTAAATCATGTCGTACCCATATAAAATTTATTTTTTTTAAGCTTGGTGATGTAATCAAATCAGTTTTAATTTATAACAAATTAAATTACAAATTATTTTACTTTAGAAAGCTCAAAATTGTGTTTGTGAGATTCATACAAATTTGCAATACAGTTGGTTTTGCTGATCTATTTTGAGGGCTGTGAGTTATAAAATATGCAAATCTTACATTTTTTTAATGTGGATATAAAAAAAATCAACTGTTTGTCAATTTAAAAAATGCTGAATATTTTAGTTACATTTTAAAAAGTTCCGAATTTAACCAAAAAAAATAAAGGCCATTAAATTAAACTACATTAATGCAAAAAGTACAAGGTTTGATAGTCTAAAAATAATTTGTAGCATAAAATATATTATATAAGGCAGGACTTAAAGGTTTTTATAAAAATGTTTTTCAAGTGGTTTCGTAAAAAATGGATAGGTAACAATATCTGAATAAATCATAATTCGTAACGGCATTAAAAAAATAAATGTGTAAATAATATTTAGTACTACTTCGAAATAAATTCGTAAAATCTGTAATTAAATCAGAGTTCGTGTGTTTCACTGCCACCGTTCCAAAAAAGAAACAATCATGGTGAAGTGTCACGAAGCACGATATTTTGCAGTGCAGTGGCGAAATAATCGACCAAATTGATTCGTCCGGTTGTTCGTGAAAGAAGGCGGAAGGCTAAACAGTATTTGTAATATATACTTGGTAATAATTCGAAGATTGTGAAAAAACTACAGGCAAAATGGTACGTATGCTTTGAACTTCTTGTTAGATTTACTAAGTAAAAGAGATAGTTGAAGCGAATTGGTGGCTAATTTGCAGAGATACCGCAAGAGTGCGAATAAGTGTCTTGGATTCGATGAATCATATAAGCATCTCCTTTGAAATCTGTATATATACACATTTAGATAAGTGTATGTATATATACCAATCATACATATAATTCAACTTTTTTTTTTGCGTATATGTACGTTGGCCATATTCGGGCATATAGATGGGTATGAATGTGTGCGTGTACGTATAAACCAAATTAGTCATTGGTAGGAACGGATATTACTCATTTATTGAAGTGTTTTCATACTCATGGCGGACCCCGCTCACTCATAACTGTTAAATTGCAAAAAGTCAGCGCAGAAGAATGATCGAAGTGGCAGCTGGAGAAAAATTGACTGCGGCCTTCTTTGAGCATGGCGATTAAAAATTGAAAAGTTGGAAAGAGAAATGCTCACACATATGTATACATATATTTGATGTATATATTTTTACACCCATGAGTGTGTGTGGGTATACCGCTTTTTTTCGATGGCTATAAATATGTGCAGATGTATGTATCTGCGGGGCAAGGCTTATGTTCTGGCAGACACAAATGTGTGTATGTAAAAATATATTACCATCCAGAAATATGTATTTATCCATACATATATGCATCTGCAGACATACATATTTAAGGTGTGGAGTGTGATCGTTTCCTTGCTGCTTGCCGCCGTCGACTGGCTGCGTGTGTATGCTTGGATTTGCTGCTGTGCGTATGTGTATGTGTGTGACAGACGGTCGGTCGTCGTCTGTATGTATGATTTTGTCGGCATTTTCCGAATATTATTGGGGGGAAAAATCGTGCATTTTCTTCCGTTTAGCCCACACGCGAGTGTGCGTCTGCCAGGCAATAGAGAAAAGTGCATAATCAAAACGGCCTATTGCTTTTCTTCCGCTTCTTTGGCTTGCACTCACCCTTAAACTTGCCGGCACTTGTGAACTTACCCTTGAACTCTTTGTGCGCCGGTTGAGCTGTAAATGGTGCCACGCCCACAGCTCCCCTCCTGTTCCCCTTTAGGTGCGAATACATAAGCAAATATACATATTGTGCGCCGGTTACAAACAAACGGCATGTAACAATAATGGGCAGAAATAGAAAATTATTTACCTTTTTGTTTGTTATTGCCGGCAATGAAAGAAATATAATTTTTGCCAGGCGGAAAAGGGATGGCTATACTGTGACAGCTGAAAGGCAGAGAGTGGGCAGTTATGTCGGCAGTTAGCCCGCACACAACTACATGCTTATGTATGTATGTATGTACGTACATATGCGCCACCGCGCTCAGCATTTTGACGTTAGTGATGTACATTTACCGGCGACAATTTTGCGCGCCTTTGCGAATTTCAAAATATATGATTATGTGTAAATTGGAACTTTTTTCTAAAGTACATATATACTTAATTTGACTTAATATAATGTTACAGGCTTCTGGAGTTACTGTGTCCGATGTCTGCAAGACTACATACGAGGAAATAAAGAAGGACAAAAAACATCGCTATGTCATTTTCTTCATTCGCGATGAGAAGCAAATCGATGTTGAGACTGTGGCCGATCGCAACGCCGAATACGATCAGTTTCTAGAGGACATTCAGAAATGCGGACCTGGCGAATGCCGGTAAGTGTTGAGTGCTCCAAAAACCGTTGCTACACATATTAATTGTCACTGAATTTTAATTTTATTACCCACAGATATGGCTTGTTCGATTTTGAATACATGCACCAATGTCAAGGCACATCTGAGAGTTCAAAGAAGCAAAAGCTGTTCCTTATGTCGTGGTGTCCCGATACTGCCAAGGTATGTGTATATTTTCCTACTTGATAATGGTAGAAAATTAACCGACTTATTGTTTTTGACAGGTCAAGAAGAAGATGTTGTACTCCAGCTCGTTCGATGCTCTGAAGAAGTCGCTGGTTGGCGTGCAAAAGTACATACAAGCCACTGATCTGTCCGAAGCCTCCCGTGAAGCCGTTGAGGAGAAGCTTCGGGCCACTGACCGCCAATAAACACTGTACAAGGAGCAGGAGCACTGTGCATTGCATTTAACAAACAACAACAAGGCATGCATGAAACAGCGATGAAACCAACACACCCAACGTATCCTGTTGAGATCGCCAATTTGTATGAGAATTTTCTACATAATTTGTATTTTCAGTAGAAATAAAGAAAATGAAATATTTAACTTGATTCAAACTCGAATTTAAGTATTGATATAAGATAAAATTTATCATTTTACTGCTTACACTATAAACATATTGAGAAAGACTAATACAAACTGATCACCTAATAGCCATGCTGGATCACTAGCGTTTGAAGGACCTTCCGTATTTGGTGGCCAGTATTTAGGCACGACTTTAGCCCCAGCGAAAAGGCCACCGACAGGATGTCTATTGCGTGTTCCTGCAGCAGCACCGACATCTCGGGCAGGTTATCGATGGCCGTCGCCGCCACCGAGGAATTCTCGTCCCGCAGACACTGTATGTATGCATTTAAGGTGCACAAGTTGATGTCCGAGTTGCCGGGATTGTGTTTCAGATGCCTGATCAGGATGATAAAAGCGATGGACCTGATTTGGGCACTTGGCGAAAATATCAGGTTGAGCAGGCGCTCAAACAACTCGTTAATAAACACAAATCGCTTGGACGTGAGGCACTCCAGCTCCTGCATGGGACCCAGAACCACATCTTCGGTATTCGACAACTTTATGATCTTGATCAGATCAAGGAAGTGCGGGGATATGTCGGTGAAGTTCGATCTGCTGTACGAGCTCAGGGTGAGAACGGATGAAGATCCCCGGCTGCCGCCCATAGGAGTGTCTAGGGGAACCGGCGGGGGGTCCATGGGCTCATCGATCACCACAACGGGCTTGCTGCTGGGTGTTGAAGACTGTTCGTCCAGTTCGTATTCGTTCTTCGCCACCTCCTCGTCGTCCAACTCCGAGGCAGAGCTGGCCTTGTGCTGCAGCAGGGCAACTGCCTGGACCAGGACCTGCAGCTTGCCCAGCGAAGTGTACTTATCAGCCAACTCCATAAGGATTCCCACATACTGCTCGATAAAAAGTAGGGCGCTCGACGGGTTACAGTTGATGTACGCCTGCAGCATTTGGACGAACTTGTTCAGCATCTGGTAGGCTTCCTTCACAGAGCTGTGGTGCTTGAAAAAGTTGAAGTAGCACGACAATGTGTTCTGAATTTCGTGCTTGTACGTGTCTTCGAAGATCGTTGGCTGCAGAAGCTCCAGGGTTCGCAGGATCTGCACGAACCGATGAAAGTGGTGCTCCTCCCGCAGAGCTTTCATGCTCATTTGTGCCCGTCCCTGCATAATCGACGAGAGAACGCTTAGTTGGCGCATGAAGAGTAGCGGATGAGAGGCTGCCAGCTTGCGCAGGAGCAATTCCGTGTCCGTCGACAGGGTCTCGAAGTCCTTCTTGCCCACCAGACTGCCCAGACAGGTGATCAGATTGTTGAAAACCTTGTCAGCCTGGCATCCTTTCAAGTTCTGCAGCTTGTACGATTGTTCGCCAATCTTACTCGGTCTGAGGAACTTGATTCGCGGATACATGATATACATCTGCTGCAGGACCTGCTGCTTCAGATAGTCAGACACTGAACTCTCCTCCACATGCTCCATTACTCTGACCATAAGTTCTTTTCGCTTCTCCGTCAGCTTAAACAGCAAATTCATGCGGGAGCAAAGCTTGAAGTCATAGTTCTTGCTGTCCACCTTGATTTCGGTGAGGCCTTCGTGCAGGATGAAATGTGCAAAGGGTTCCAGCTCTGTGGTCTTAAGGAGGAAGAACGCATCGGGTCGCACGTTCTTTGACATGTACTTCTCACGGCCCTTCCACATTTTCGGATTGGTTGTCAATGCCTCGAAGTAGTTGAGAACGGTGGCATAGTCGTAGTCCGCGTGGAAGTTTCTAAACAAATACTCGGCAATCCTCTCGATGGTATCCCAATTGGTCTGGTGATTGATTAGAGACAGCAGGTAGAAGCGAAACTCGCTGCAGGACTTGGAGAACAGAAAGTGTTCCTTCATCAGCTGAGTGGAAACAATTTCGGGGTCTACCTCCGACAGCCAGTCGATGAAGAGTCCGTTGTAAAAGAGCTGATCGCTCTTTGATTTTGCGATAACTTTGCAGTCCTTGGTGTCATCAAAGCTGTCGATAATACCCCGAACGATACTCTTCCTCGCCATCAGGGCGTTATTCGCCTTGAACTGCTTCACGTAGGTCTCTCGAGAATTGCGCAGCATGAACATCACACTCTGGTGGTATAGCTCCGTTTGCCGCAGCGTCGGGCTGGAGGAGTTCTTAAAGATGTTGAAGTTCTTCTGTAGTGTGTTCTCGAGGATGTGGTAGTTGTCGCTGTGAAGCACGCAGCTGAAGAAGGTTCTCAGCAAGGTGCAGACATTTCGGCTCATTATGATGGGTCTGTTGTCGCATCCTGAAGCTATCACCTCGGTTATTGCCGCCACAAGTTCATTTCGATTGCTGCTCGTGGGAGTCACCACCAGTACATCCAACAACCTCTGGATTAAGGATCGGCCAGCACTTTGCCCAATGGTTAACTGATCTGGTTGTGTAAGTATGGTTTGTGCCACTTCCTGGGTGGCCAAGCGGTCGGTAGAACAATAGCCAGACTCCAATGGATTGTAATCTCCTATTTCCACTGTCTCTTGGATCACCACATTGATCTTGGGCAGATCCGGTACGGTCTGCGAGTGCGAATGAAGATCTAGAGCCTGGACAGTGTAGTGCCCGTTCTTCGCGCCTCGAGCCTGCTGAATCTCAATTAGCTGTGCCAAATACGCCTTGTTCAGGATGGCATTTTTCACTAGATCGAACTGCTCCAGCACTGCGGTATCCAGCATGGCCAACAGTTTGGACATCGAGTTGACCGGGGTGCCAAAGTTCTGAACAAACAGCACGATCTGATCGGGCGTCAGATCGTTTAAAGCTGCCTCAATTAGCCTGTCCACTGACGAACGAATCATCTTGAGCTTCAGCCAGTCGGGCAGCAGCTGCACCTGCTCCTGGGGCATGCTGGGCAGGAAGGCCACGGGCGCCGGTCGTCCCGGCGGGAACCAGTAGTCCAAAATTGGTATCGATTCCGGCATATTGCTGTTTGAGTAGGTGAGTAGTATAATGAACGCGTGAATGATGTTTATGTGCAGGGGCAGCTGGACGCCATCGTCGAATTGGACCATCAACAGATCCGGGTACTCGGTCCACTCGTATGGCTCATGGTACTCCCGCAGCTTGATGATGTAATTGTTGAACATCACGAATAGGCACTTGAGGGTCTGGATGCGGTTCTCGTCGGGAACATAGTCGTAGTCCTCCTGGGAAATGATAATATGCTGGAACATTGTGCTGCGCTCCACGATCAACTGAGCCATGTCGATCACATGGTCCAGCATCTCGTTCACCGGATCGTTTAGAGTGTGAGCCGTTATAAATTGGATGTACGCCATTATAAGCTCTGGACAGTTCTCCACTTGGCAGGCAGCGCGCAGCTGAGGTATGATGAAGGGCTTCACCTCAAAGAAGTGAGGGATCTGCTGGATGGACTTCAACAGCCATTCGTTCTCAAAGTCCCCAGAGTTTTGCTTGAAGATAATCTTTAGTCCCGAGAGAGCAGCCACCCGCGACTGTTTTACCGTAGACGACAGCCTACGGAATATGTAATCCAACAGTTCGCAGACGATGGGATGACTCAGGTTCGCATCAAATATCAAGTTCCGCAAAAAGTTGACCAGCTCAGCATCGCGGCTATTTTCCTCGTTGATGATATGGGCGTTGAAGAGCAAGAACTCGCACAGACACTGCACTGGAAGGTGGCTGAAGTCGCCCTCGCTGTTTTGCACCAGGTCCGATAGCCAGGGCATGGACTGCGTGGTGCCCTGCCTCTGGATTATATCCAGCAGCAAGTCCGGCTTGCGGCAGCGACAGAACAAATGACCCAGCTTGTAAGTCTGATTGAGGAACTTCAGTTGATCTAACACCATCGAGGGCACCTTACGCGGCGTTCCCATGGGATCCATCAGCATCAGCTGGGTAATCAAGATAGCTGTCTCCTCGGTGATCACGGCATGGGGCGATGTTTGAGCGGCCAAATAGGTTTCAAACTGTAGAATATGGTCCCTTTCCACTGTGATTATCTGCAGCTCATCCTTGTTGGCCGCCGAATTGTTAAACTGATTGGTTATGCATATTTCCATTAGCATCTTCATCGTGGGATAGTGGTCCCAGCAAAAGGCGCCGAAGGTCGAGGGATTATGCGCCGATATCATAAGCAGAATCAGCCAAGCCTTCCAGTAGAAGGCAATAATGGCCAGCTTCGGTGGCTCATAGTCCGACGGTAGCCGAATGTTCTCGGGATGATGGTACTCGGACATACTGAACAGGAAGTCAATAATGTCGAATTTGTTGGCCTGCACCGCCGGTATATTGGTAGCCTTCATCCCAGAGACACGCTTAATAACGAGCAACAGGACATCGAAGGTGTTGGCTATCGAGAAGGGAATATCCTTGGTAATGCCAATCAGTATGATGCGCAGAAGGGTCTCCTCGTGAATCGGTGTTTCGGAGATGATCCTCAATATGGCACCACGCTCCGGCTCCGAGGGCCACTGATCGCAGCGCGAATACTGCTCCGGACTGTCCAGGAGCAGCAGTTTGTGCAGCGCCTGGTGATACTCAGCTGCCGCAATCTTAAATATGGTTGGCACCGTTTCGTACATCCAGGATACCGTGTCGAGCTGGATCTGGGACATTTGATTGTAAAGCTTTAGAAGCGCTTGGTTGTTTTTCGTGTCCCGGTTAGTTTTCAGCGACAGACTGGCCTCACGCGCCTGCGGAGTGGCCGACAGAAACATGCACAGGCAAACAATATCTACCGTGGAGTGGAAAATGCGCTCTTTGAACTCGAACTGTTCTATTTGCACGGTCAAATCCTCTCGCTCGCTCAGAAAGGTTTTGCAAAACTTGACCAAATTCACGTCGAATCGCAGCATTCGCACAAGTTCCCGCAAGAAGACACGCAACGTCCGCAAGCAGTCGTCGCGTTGCAGCAGAAACTCCTGGTAGATCTCGGCCAGATTGGCCGCCGATTGATCGGAGGATGTTTGAAACATTGTCGCTGTAGGTAAGAGGTATTATGTGATCAATTTCGAAATCTGAATTTAAGACTTTTGTAGATAAACTCACCCAGCATCCCCATGTTGTTCGGATTCCGCGTGTTGGATAGTTCATTTTGAACTACGAGCTTCATAACTGTGCTCAGGATATCAGGCTGTAGGTATATCATCTCCTTAAGGCAAGACATGTAGTGGTTGATAAGCGGTTTCGTTTTGAGTCTCATCTTGACCAGCACCAACAGCACCTCGTTGTCCTGGGTGTTCCTTCCCTTGATGTTAAAGCAGATGTACGAGAGCAGCTGCTGGGCGAACTTGACCAGCTTACCGTTGTGTATCCACAGCTCCAGGCGGGAGATGCTCAGGCATCGCACCTCCGCGATACCGGCCGTGCTGCAGAGGAACTTAAGGAAGTTCCGCGTGTAGTTATCCTGCTGCTGGCGCTTATTCAGCTGATCACGAATTGCATCGCTTACGTGCTTTTGCACCACCGCATCGCTGAATCTTGACTTGATTGTGCACATCGCGTCTGAAATGGGCTCGGACTCGGCGTTCAAGGGACTGGCGTCCAGGCTCTGCGTCGAATTGTCCCCGGAATCGTCGTCCACAATGACGCTGCTGCTGTCCCTGTGCCCAGGACCGCCACCACCCGAGGGAATGGCCGTTGTGCTCACGTCCCAGCGCAAAAGACTGATGTGGGGAGTCCGCGTTTTAAAAGCAGCACATATATTTTTAACCAACGGAGCGCACAGCTCGTTGTCCGCCCAGTATCTCTCGTTTACAGCGTCGTCTATATACGTGCGCAGCATTATCTCTGGCCACTGGGATACGTCCAAGAAGCCTCGGGCCAGCAGGTTGGCAAACAAAATGTGAAGATTGGTGTTAAAGCGCATCTTCACATTCGCTTCCCGTCGCAGAAAGGATAACAGCGCGCAGGCCACTATATCTGCGCTGAAAATGTTTGGCTGGAGCTTGGCAACGTAGATCAGTGCCAGAGAAGCGATATTATCCACTTTGGAGCGGGAGGAGCTACTTGTTGTCTGTTTTATAACGCCACAGACCAGCCGGCCCACCGTCTCGCTGTCGTTCTGCTCCAGGGCCGAGAATATCGCTTCGATAATGTTGTCCAGTTCGCAGTCTATTGCGAACTGCTCCCAGGACTCGCACTGGCTGCTGCCGGAGGATATATCCGTGGTGCCTGCCGGTTCCTTAAGGCTCACCCGGGCTCGTTTGCTTGAGCTGGCCAGCGAGGAAGTGGCCTCTCGCTTTCTGTCCGATGATATTGACTTGATTGGCATGATCTTGGACTTGGAGTCATCCCGAACGCTTTTGGTGCCAAGGGCGAAGAGTTCTCCGCCCAGAGGCACCTTTTTCTGAGATCTATTCGATCCGCCGCTGCCTTTACCGCGGTCCATTTTATTTTTATTTTGAGGATTACCACGAATCCACCGAAATGTGACCAGATTGCAAAGGCCATTTGGCCCAAGAAAAAACTTTGAATTTGAAACAATATGAAGCGTGAAACGATATATTTTATCTGTAATTTTGAAGCTACCAATTGAGTCTATTAATTTAAAGTTTATTAGAAACAACAGTTAAGTTACAATACTTACAAATTGTATAAAAAAGTTAAATAATTTAATTTTGTTGTTTTACAACTGATATGTTCCTCTTGACTTTTTTTGGCTTTGCCACTAGGGTCACACTAAAAAAAATAATTCTTAAAAAAAACATTTTCATAAACATAAATTTTTAAAACAAAAAGAAAAAAGGAAATCATATGAAAAGTTGCGGCATTAACTCTAAATTAAAAATAGCAAGCCAACATGTTTCTCTCCATCGCTCCGCCTTTAATGGATTTCGAAGACGAGCTGCTTTGGATTAATCAGTCCAACAGCGAGAAACTCGAGATATTGTACGACAAATCGAACTATGTGACACCGAACACCAAGCACCTCATCGAGCAAGCCTTTCTCCAGCCACTCAGCCTCCAGGATCAACACATCCTGTTTGATGATCTGCTGAAGCAGAACACGGACATTACTCGTCAATATGGATTGACCCCGGCCAAAGTAAGTTGTGCCTGCACGGTGTCAAATAGAAATGACTTACTATTCTTAACCTTTTCAGCTACCTCTTCTTGTTGAAAACAATCCTCTGATTTCCATTGAAATTCTATTAAGACTGATGATGACCACCGACATAACCGAGTATTTTAATATATTGGTTAACATGGATATCACACTGCACTCCATGGAAGTTGTCAACCGGTAGGATTTAAACAGAGCTCGCAAAGCCCCACATAACGTATATACTATTATACATATATATATATTTCTTTGCTTTAGACTAACTACGTCGGGTCCATTGCCCACGGAGTTCATTCATTTGTACATTAGCAATTGCATCTCCACATGCGAAACAGTTAAGGATAAGTACATGCAGTCCCGCCTTGTGCGGCTTGTTTGCGTATTTCTTCAGTCATTAATTCGAAATAAGATTGTGAACGTTAAGGTACGAAGTCAAGCCTACCCACTTACTACTAATTAGTAACTAAATTTTATATTCTCTAGGAATTATTCATTGAAATTGAAGCCTTCTGCGTTGGGTTTAGCAAGATAAAGGAAGCTGCTGCTCTTTACCGCCTTATCAAGCACTTGGAAACTGGCGAGAGTGGAGCCCTGTCTTCGAACTCCCTTGCAAAGTAGCTTGACTTGTTACGTTTTAAAACTAGTTGATAATTAGCCAAAATAAAAAGAAATCAATTAACCGCAGGAATGAGAACGCCTTCTGTACATGTAAAAACAAATTCGCATTTAATAACTTAAGTATCTAGGTGTAGAGTTTTGTGTATTTTATGAGTGAGTGTTGTTGCTGGACATCTCGCCTGGGTGAAAGTAAAGCAAAGGCTCGGCCGAGGGCTTGGGGAAACGGCTTAGATAGCGTTCAAGTCTTAGGAATTTAATCGAAATCAGGCGCTTGTCGAACCACCAGCCATTGATCTCGTTGTGTATCATACCGGCGTCCTCTTCTGTGGCGCACCGAATGTAGACCCAGCAGGACTGGGTGTCCAGTTGCACATCACAGATCTTGCAGCGTGGGCCCACCTTCTCGATGATGGACTCCACGATGGACTGCTTCAGGTTAGCCTGATCGACTTCCGAGGCATCAAACATGTGTCTTATCTTTAAGCAGGGCGTTGGTGGATTTGCTATCTTGTTGGAGTTGTCGAATGCGGGGCTCTGCCACTTCTTGACCACACCCAATTCCTTCTTGTCTAGGTTCCTGTTCCAGGCCATGGTGCGTAGCGCCTTGCCGTCCCGATTAACCATACCGAACAGTACGCGGCTATCGTTTTTCTCCAGAGCCTTGAGCGCCTTGTTCCAAGCAGACAGGTGCTTTGAGCGATTCTTAGCTGGCACAAACTTCTCCTGCATCTGGTTTATGATCACCTCGGGACTCTCGTTCTGCGAACTCTGATAAATCAATTCGTTAATTATGTCCTTTGTGAATTGGTCAACTGCCTGCAAGGCTTCCTTCTGTTTAACGCGGTACAGGAAAACAGCAAAGTAGATGACGAGGCATCCCACTGCCACTAGAATAAGCGTACCGATCATCGTGAAGAAACGAGTCATTTTTTTCATGACAACGCACTTGAGTGGCAAATTGGGTTCAGAGAGCTCGAAGTGAGCAGCGTTCTTCGAGGACTGAACCATTTGTATCATCCACTGCGGATTTTCGACAATAAGGTATTTGGTGGCCATCATATTAGTGTGTATAGTTCCCCGGTGGGTCGTTGGGTTGCCGACGACCAGATCCCTTACAAACTCATTAACATCCAAATTGGGTGACAGGCTGGAGTCCTTGCAGTGATGAAGCCTGGCTCTCTCGTTCAGCTGCTTGAAGATCTGGTCACTCAAGTCTAGGGCACTCGTAAGGACATCCTTTTCTATGCAGGTGATTTGCTCTGTGACCAGTTGCAAATCATTGGGATTACATAATGTATATTTCAGCACAGTTTTGTCAATGGGACTGTGTTCAAACCGCTTTCCCACATACAGGACTGTGATTATTGTCAGGAAGATTAAAAAGAGTAAGATAAGCACTTGTGGTATTACATATGGTCGGATGTCCGGGTTCTTAAAGAAGTTTTTGAGGCCCGCCCAGGATAAGCGGGGGAACCTTTCGGTCCTTTGAGGCACTCTCGATGCCTGCGTTGTGAATGGTACTTTCGTGTTGAATTTTCTCTGGATCGTGGTGTCTCGAAAGCTGAGCAGTCTGTTTACAACGCCTCCGTCCGACATCTTCACCTTGGGGCTCGGTTTGCCGTAATTATTCGACGAGTCTATGGAGTACGGCAGGGAGCAGGGCTGCTGCCGGTATTTGCCGTTCATGCCTCCCAGGCTGAGAGACGGCGAGCAGTCTCCGTCGTAATTCGAGGCTACTACCGGCGGCGGTGCGTACATCTTGGAAGCAGACAGATGCAGAGGGCTCGAGTCACACTCTTCGAAGCTGCGACTGAAGGCTGAGGGACTCCTGCTGAGATCAACATCGTTATTGTTGTCTATGCCATTGCCATTGGTATAGCCCGTCGGGCGTTGTGGGTACTGGTAGATGGGAGAGTCTGATTGCTCCTTGGAGTACAGCACGTAATTGTTGCTGCGCTTTCTTAGCTTATCGGCTCTGAGATGCTTTTTCAACTTCTGAATTAGAACCGAACGCGTTGTCTCGGTCACCGGGGTGTTGGGAAAACCGTTCTGAATTAGCTTCCTTTGTAGGTCAATGTCGCTTAAGCTATTCAGGCTTTCGGTAGACATTTTGCCTCGCTCTGTGAACAAATAATAAGAGCTGAATTAAATCGAGACGACTATTGCGGTTCGAAAATGCTTTCAACATACACATTTCTGCACACATGCATACAGAGGAATGTGCATATATAACTGCATAATAAAGCAGATTATCAGAAGTTCTTGAAACTGAGACGAAAATACTGAATTAAGAACAAAATAAGGAAAACACGGAAAACATCAAAGAAACGAAATTAATGTAATCAGGAAATTCTTTGTATAGTAAAACAAACACGAAGAAATGTGAGAAATAAATGCCGTTTACAAAGTGCAAATATACATACACAGTTACACAGATATGAAAATGGTCAACGAATTTGGCATCACTACACTTGGTGGCTGTGCAACAAAGTGATTATTATATAAATATCAAACAAGCTAACAGATTTTGAACAGTCTTAAACAACCATATTTTGATTACAAATTTATACGGCACATACTAAATTATTAAGTCAAGGGTGCGGCGAGAAATATATGAAATAAATGAAACTGAAATGGAACATGATTTTTTACTCACGACATCGGCGATATCGATAGCTACAACTTTTTGGGTACAAATTATTTATCTAAAAAAGGGAATACTATTTATAAAAAGTAAAAAAAAAACATTTTAATGATCATAACTTGTTAGGAATGTTGAAATATTTGTATCATACATTTTAATTTGTATTTTAAAAAAAGGTATTATTAATTGGCTTTTCTTTGCTTAAATGTGGCAGTCAGTGTTCACACATACGTAAAATAAAACCAAAAACTAATTTAATTCAATACCGTACTTAAAAACTTTAAGGCTAGAATATTAAATTTTTTTAATACATAAGCTCATTTTATGTTTTAAAAACAACATGCGTTTTGTGTTTCGTCTCCATCGTTCCGCAAGTAAGTTAAACTCATCGTTTTCCCACCACCTACCTATCGAAGTGGGCTATTTGGAAAGCGATGGCAAAACTATCGGTGGAGGCCAATCAGTTTTCTTAAATTGTAGATACATTTATATGTGTTTGTGCTTTAAGAAATTAAAATATTGTATGCCTTTTGCAAAGGTGCGTATACGGAACTAACTTGTTCGTTTTTAATTGGAAATTATTTCGGTCTTTCGTGCGTTTTCCCACTTCAAACGTGAGAACGAGCAACGAAAAGTGTGTGTGTGTACACACATATTTTGTAAATGCATTAGGACATATAGACAAGTGCATACACATACATACGTACAGGCGTATAAATATACCGAACGCTCGCCGCCGCGCCGAAGAGCTGCGTGAAATAATACTTACGTGGGATCTAATGCATTTCTCTCTCTGGATTGCAGGCTGATGCGAATGCCCGATACAATCTAGCACAGGCATGAATCGTAGGGGTTTGAACGCTGGCAATACGATGACTTCTCAAGCAAACATTGACGACGGCAGCTGGAAGGCGGTTTCCGAGGGCGGATCAATGCTGCCCGCGTCCAACTCGGCGGCCCTCAATCCGGACGGCAGCAGCAACCAGAGCGGATTTCCGCAGGGCGGCCTGCCGTACAATTCAGGCGGCAATCCCTATCCACCTGCCGGCCAGTCTTCGCCCGCCGGCAACCAGTCCATAGTGTTTCAGAACGCTAACCAGCCTGGATCGAATACACCTCAGTATACCTCGTCACCTGCTCCCTCAGGCTCATCGACACCCGGACCTGTTGGTGCGCAGAACATTCCCGGTAACTATCCGCAGTCCTCGACGGCGGGCAACTTCAACGGTCCGGTCGGCGGACCCTTTGGCTCGCCATCCTCGGGCCTGGGTCAGTTCAGTCGGCCAGCCAGTTCCGGCACACCGTTCAACAGCGGTCAGGCCGGCCACTTCTCATCACCCACGGTCTTTGGGGTTGGCGGGCAGTTCAACCCAATGCCGCCGGCGTCTCCGTTCGGCCACGGTGGCAACCACCCGATGATGGGCGGGCCACAGCAAATGGAGCGGATCGACCAGGGCTTCAGGCGGCACAATTCCTACTTCAGTCACACCGAGCATCGGGTCTTCGAGCTGAACAAGCGGCTGCAGCAGCGGAACGAGGAGAGCGACAACTGTTGGTGGGACTCGTTCACCACGGAGTTCTTCGAGGACGACGCACGGCTGACGATCTTGTTCTGTTTGGAAGACGGGCCCAAGCGGTACACAATTGGCCGCACGCTCATCCCGCGCTTCTTTCGCAGCATATATGAAGGCGGCGTGTCCGATCTGTATTTCCAGCTGAAGCACGCTAAGGAGTCGTTCCACAACACGTCCATCACGCTGGACTGCGATCAGTGCACGGTAATCACGCAACATGGCAAGCCCTTCTTCACCAAGGTCTGCGCGGATGCAAGACTGATTCTGGAGTTTATGTATGACGACTACATGCGCATCAAGTCGTGGCACATGACCATCAAGGGACACCGAGAGCTCATTCCAAGATCCGTGATTGGCACCTCCCTGCCACCCGATCCGATGCTGCTAGATCAAATCACGAAGAACATCACAAGAGCCGGGATCACCAACTCGACCCTCAACTATCTTCGACTGTGCGTCATACTCGAGCCGATGCAGGAGCTGATGTCGCGGCACAAGGCGTACGCCTTAAGTCCGCGGGACTGCCTGAAGACGACCCTGTTCCAGAAGTGGCAGCGCATGGTAGCTCCGCCCGGCAAGAAGGACCCGCAACGGCCGCCCAACAAGCGGCGCAAACGAAAGGGCTCCAATTCAGGCGGCGCCGGCAACAACTCGAATACACCGCCCGTAACGAACCAGAAGCGATCCCCCTCCGGCCCAAGTTTTTCCCTTTCCTCCCAGGACGTGATGGTGGTCGGTGAGCCGACGCTAATGGGCGGCGAGTTCGGCGAGGAAGACGAGCGTCTGATCACCCGATTAGAGAACACGCAATATGATGGAACCAATGCCGTAGAGCACGATAATCACACCGGATTTGGTCATGCCGACTCGCCCATCTCTGGATCGAACCCGTGGAGCATTGACCGGGCGGGAGCTATTCCAGCCAGCCCTGGGAACGGGGCGGCGCCGCAGAACAACGCGAATATATCTGACATAGACAAAAAGAGCCCCATTGTATCGCAATAGAACTTAATAAAAACATAATATTTCGCTATATATATTGTCAAATGTATTTTCATACTTGCATGTAAAAATATATTAAAATAAAGCTTTCAAGTTTTAGGAAATGTGTATATAAGACATACATACATTACATACATATTAATACTATATAATTTAGTACTTCTAAGTCGTCTTACTCTATATACTATCTATCTATTATATAATTGTAGCGTACGAATAATACTTCTGTTCTGTCTTGACTGCCTTGCAAAAGTACTTAATGTGTTTTAGTAAACATAACTTTTAAGCACAACGCAAAAACCATTGAAAGCTCTATTTATTTGTACGTTTTTTTAATCAGCAGCAGGTGCTGTGTTTTCAAGACGTTTTTTAGATTTTAGGGCGGGTTTATGTATAAAATATTTACATCTATCTCAAAATCTGTAAACGTTTTCTGAGTTTATGGAAATTCCTGACCAAAAGATAAGTTGTGTGGATTGATAAAGATGTACCTATAGCAGCATCTTCAAGGGGTCCTACGATAAGCCTACGACCCTTGAGAGCAATAGCATCTCTTGAGATGACATAGCTCTCTGAATTTAGCTGGGATTATTATCGCACCTTACCCACATGCATATGTGTAATCATTACTACCCTTTGCGCATGCACGCTTCTACATGGGATACACAGTTTCTGCTCCACATTTCAGTTATACAGTCGCGCGTTCAGAAGAAGGAGTGATGCTATTGCTAAATAAAAACCGAGTGCTTTCTTTGGTCGTTAATTTTATTTTTGTAATCATTCTAATTTCCTCAAATGTCCAAGCCGACGAGCGAAACATAAATAAGCTGTTGAACAACCAGGTCGTAGTCAGCCGCCAAATTATGTGCATTTTGGGTAAAAGCGAATGCGACCAATTGGGACTACAACTGAAAGGTAATTAAAATTTAATTTTCGTCAGAAATATGTCGAAATTTCTGACTTGTATGCAATTGAAATTTGTTTACAATCTGTTTACAGCCGCTCTTCCAGAAGTTATAACCAGAAAATGCAGGAACTGCTCTCCCCAACAGGCTCAGAAGGCGCAAAAGTTAACAACGTTCCTGCAAACCAGATACCCGGACGTTTGGGCTATGCTCCTAAGAAAGTACGATAGCGCCTAATTAGTAATGGCAATTGAATGTTCTTCTCATGCAGCGAATATAATAAATTAGTTTCGACATCATTTGTAGTGTTTCATTTTCCAGCTTCACTTCCATAGCCATTTCCGTCCTCTAAAAATTAGAAAAGCAAAAAATTTAGAAATCAGACGAAGCTCTCCTGCACCAGACACAATCAAAGAAGGCATAGCTCATACATACAATTGTATATTTTATCTGTTCTTTATCTTTATCTTATTATTACATAAAGTCTAAAAGTACGTCTTTAGCGGGGCCCATCATTTGGTGTGACTTTCCACATAAACCGTGGCATTGTCAACTCCTAAAAACTGATGTATGCTCAGTGTAGAGAGCATTTTCATCTGCCCCTGATATAGAACATCGGCTATTATTTTCTCGGCATATATAGCCTGAGTGGCGTCCATGGTTCGCAGCTTGTGGGCGATGACCTTGCCAAAGTTTGAGAAGTGATCGTCCAGCTGGCTGTCGGCACTCTTCAGCGCCAGCGAAAACAGTCGCTCAACATCGATTGTGGATAGGTCTGCCCGGAATTTACCCGGTGGCGGATCATTGTCCTCTGTCACCTGCGAGGACACAGAGGAGGAGCGCTTTCGACTGATGTGGTTCTGCTCCTGATTCTGGGTCTGATTATGATTTTGTCTCGGTTGGGCGACAATGCGTTTGCAGTGCTCGACACTGTCTCCAAGGGGTTTCACCGAATCGGGAAGTGATTTTCTACGCGCCGACAGCACTCTGTTGCTGCTGCTGTTGTTGGCGGGTACAACGATCTCTACCTCCTTGATAGTGGCGCCGCCAGCATGGTTGTTAGCGTTGACTGTCTTAATACTGATGACGGGGTCAGCGGTGGTGGCGGCGGCCTCCTCAAAGATGGCACAGAATTCATTCGCACTGTTATTGGGGGATAGCTTGTTGCTGGAATCCGTCTTCGGTGGCTTCGGCAGGCTCTCTGCGTCGGAGAACTCGTCGCAGTTCTCTGGGAGCGCCAGCTGAGCCGCCGCGCTCTCGGAACAGGCCTGCTGCTCCCGCTTGCACTTCTTGTCCGGGATCTCCTCGTCCTTGAGGAACATTAGCGACTCAAAGTAGCGCCGCTTCGGGCAGTAGGGCTCGTACTTCTCGCCTTTTTTCTTAACCTCGTTGTACTTTCTTAACTGATGACGAAATGCACACCGAAGATTGTTTATCTTTTGCTTTGTTCTTTCGACATTGTACATCTCTCCATGCTTGGTGGCTACTTCTATAAGCTTCATGTACGCCTCCTGCCGTCGGCTCCGATTTCTGAAGTCGGCAGAGTCCGCTTTCCAGAGGCATGGATTGCATTTATATTCCTCAATAAAATCGTCGATAAAATCCATTTTTGTTTACTAAAAGAAAAACACAGTAGGCGAACGGGACTGAAATGTATGTTTGTATGAATGTGTGTGCTATCAATAACTATCACTTCGTAATTGGAACAGTGAAATTCGAACACCAACATGCTCATATGACTGTACTATATCTGGTATTCAGTATTTTTAAACGTAATTAGTCGTTGTAGTATTAATCGTTAATTATTTTATATAATTCTGCTATATATAAAACAAATTCTCCTTCTAGGTAATATTTATGTCTGAACTACAAAAATCCTTTTATTTTACAACAAACCGGTATTTTGTTCGGTAAACGCCTTAATTCTTCCCTCTGGGCACACTGCTGATAACTATTCCCGATAACTACAAATTGTTCATATAAATAAAATAAAGGAGAAAATAAAGCACCTGAAAATGAGCGGAGCTCACAGAGAGGCCATTCAAAAACAAATCCACCAGGACTGGGCGAACAGAGAATACATTGAAGTGATAACTGCCAGCATAAAGCGTATAACTGACTTTCTAAACTCTTTCGGTAAGAAAACACAGCCAAGTACACGGGCCCCCATATTGCATATGTGTGCGTACAATAGTATTTACTCTTGTATTTATGAACATACGAATATTATAAGCTAGCTAACAAAACATTCATTGTCATTGAATTTATTTACACGAATAGTAAATCAACAAACATACAATGCGGTTGTTCGTTTCGGCGAAAAATAAGTGAAGAAGCTGTGTATGAGTGTGTAGATAAATCCGGTATAGACGGTCGGCCCAAAGACACATCTGCTGGGTGTTAGTCTTTATCCGGCTTACTGACTGTTATTTTATTAATAATAATAGTAGTGGCTTATATATTCGTTTAGCATGGCCCTAAAGTTATAAATCTGTCAAAAACAATTATTCAAACTTTACTGAGAAGATTGAAACCCTATAAATGTAGCTATTACATTATAAATAAATAGGTTACTGTGTGAGAAAAATGTAACATAAATTAGAATCTGAAGACAGATGTGTAATATTTCAAACAAAAAGGAACCTAACTTCGGCACGCCGAAATTTATATACCGTTACGGATAGAACTTCGATGACTAGCAATCATTACAATATAATTATATATATTTATGTTAAAAAACAATGATACCTGCTTTGTTTTCATTCACATATACTTGTTATATTAACCGTTTTACATTGACAGATTTGCATTTCTCTATATCTAACAATCGTTTGTATGGCACCTATATGATATAGTCGTCCGAATTTCATTAAATTAAACACAAAATTGTAGAATAATATATAATGGCTATATCTTAACTTTATATGGTCGGAGGTGCCTCCTTCACTGCGTTGCAAACTTCTGACTGATTTTATAATACCCTGCAAGATATAAAAATTTTGAAGGAACATAAAGTTTAAATTGAAAGAATAGCGTCAGCAAGTCCTACTGGTAATAAATTACTATATTATATTTTATTACCTTTCAGACATGTCCTGTCGTTCGCGGTTGGCGGTACTAAACGAAAAACTAACCATCCTGGAACGGCGTATAGACTACTTGGAAGCGTGTGTCGCACAAGGGGAGACATTAACGTAAACGCACTTGCAAGTTAAACCCGTATATTAACCCTAAGCTTTGTACATTTATAAGATAATTAAAAAATACCGATAACATATTTATTAATATTCTTTTGTCCCACGATGTGAGACGGCTCTTGCCGTGACCTGAAATAGGTTCTAGTACACTGTTCGTTCGAAGGACGACGCTTTTTTCATGGTTGAGTTATTCGCCGCTGTCGGCCACAGGTTTCGAGTCATTGCCTCTTTTAAGAATAATATAAGTAATAGTTCCAGAAGCAAGACCAAACACGCGATGTTTACCAACCGACCGTTGCCAACTTTGGATTTGCAATGTTAATGCAAATCGGCGGACTCAAATTCTATATCGAAACCATATATTAAGTCTAGACGTAATCTTGTGACTGCTGCTTTGTTGTTAAGCTTTTAATTGTCTACCGATTTGATCGCTTGATGCGTCATCGATCAAGTGGCCTACAAATTTACATAAGTCTAGACTAAACTGGCTCATTTTGCGGAATTAATTGAACTGATATTAGATATTAGATATATGTAATTGCGAAAACGCTCCTTTGAAAACAGTGTTGTGTACAAAACAAATCTCTTTATTCAGCGCACGATCGGAGGATAAACAATTTGGATGGACATGATATTTAGATAGACCTAATTAACAGTGTGCGTAATAACAATTGGGTTTCGCCATTGCCAAAGCCAACTTAGACCTTGATTCCGGCGGAGTTGGCCTGAGCGCGGTAACGCTTGATGTAGACTTCCTCGGGATCGTACTTGGCCTGGAGCTGCTTCCACTCCTCGGGCTTGTTGTCAATAATGTAGCGGATGACCTTGTCGGTGTTCTGACGCTGCTTCTCGCTGCACTTGCTGCACTCTGTTTTCAGGGCGTCCGGCAGGGACTTCTTAAGCTCGCGGCCCTCGGGAGTGCACTTTCCGGTGTCGATGAGGCACTTGAAGTAGTTGTTGAACAGGCGGTCCGACTTCAGGATCTCGTCCACGTCGATGTTGTCGTACTTGGTGGTGTACTTATCCTCGGCTGCGACCAGGACCAGTCCAAGGACGAAAAGCGCAATAACCATCTTCATTTTGGAGGGGAACCTGCCAAACACAAGCGAAAAATAGGTATTAATATTGCGAAATGGGCACTTTTTCACATTCGCAAATGGAGCGAATCGCGGTCGGGAGGCAACCAGTTTTGGAGCCTAACCTAGAGTCGGGGGTTTTAAATGGACAGTGACAATGGAAATCTTTTCAGATACGGACTGCATTCGCCGAATGAATATGCATAGAAAAGGCCACTTGGTATGCATATCTGGTTCGGAGCCGAAAGATGTCACTGTTTACACACTACAAAACTGGTTGCTCGCGTCTCATTTGCCTAACAAAGCTCCCTCCGATCCGATCAGCACAAACGATATAAATGAATTATAGGTCTTACAATGGAGCTCGACTTGTATTGAGACGGAATGGATGTTTAGCAATGCAGCTGCTGGAACTAACTGAAAAATGTTTCTATGAAGTTTGGCTTTTATACCTGGGCTTCACCTGCGAACTTCAAGTGTAGTACACACCAATACAGCGCCGCCTGCACACACTTTAGACTTTGAAGTGTAAGTCGCTATTTGCTAAAAAGTCAAGCCAGTGATTAGTCAATCGTCGTTATAAATTTATATAATATGTATGCGATAGTTATACGTATGTACTTAATTTGGCATTAACATTAGGGAGCTTGACGTATGTACGTTCGAGCGGCAAGGCTTTGCGGCTATATGTTCGATTTATAGGTTCTGTTTACAGGTAAACCCAATAAAAATTAATCACTTGATCAAATTTAAGTTTCCCATTAACCACTTCCATTAGCAAATTTCCATTTACAACACTTGAGGTGTGGTGTGTGCAAAATGACCCTTCAATAATCGTTAGCTCTTACAGATGATTGCTTTTGATAGTTCTCGGAACAATTAGAGCCAGTTTATTAATGTTTGAATTATTATTAAGTTTTTAAGCAGAAATCAATTAGATTTCATACTAAGCGGAAGCCGACAAAGTCCTGAAGTCATATTTAGTGAGGGAAGTGCTTAAAGGTTAAAGCTCGCCTATTAATTTAAACTTTGAAGGGTCTTTTTTAGTAAGTTTTATTATAGTTACAAATAGTGAAATGTAAAAAGTAACACTTATACATTTTAGAAATCTGTACAAGGAAAGTAGTAGATCTCAAACAATAGTTATTTCGTCTATTTAGGTTTTCCAGATGCAATTCTTTACTCTTTAACTTTAGGCTTAAAAACATTGTGTTTGTGTTGTGTGTCTCAAAATAAATTGTCGGGAGGCGGCGGCAGTATCAGTACTTGGATCATTGCGCTTGGACAAATCACAATTGAAGTTGGGCTGCTGGACGTTTGCGTTGGAATATGGTTTCGATGGTGGAGAAGACGTCGCTGGACTTCTTCGCGGCGTCCACCTTGAAGTGCAGACCTCTCAGGCCGTAGTAGTCGACCAGGGGCCGCGTCTGCTTGTGATATGACTCAAGCCTCTTTTTCAAAGCTTCGGCGTTGTCATCGCTTCGTCGCATCAGCGGTTCTCCGGTAATCTGAGGGGATAGATACACATTGGATTATTGCCACTTTGAAAGCATTCCCTGAGTATACTAACATCATCCGTCATTGGCTTTTTAGGAGGCGCAAATTCCTCGTGATAGGATCGTCCGCTGGACTGATGGATAAGGCGGCCGGTGATTCGCCTCACTAGCAGGCTGTCGTCAATGGCAAACTCAATGACGGCATCCAGATTGGCTTTCCTCTTGTCCAGCAATGTGTCGAGCTGCAAGAAAATGGTAATTGAGCAAAAATGTGAGAAATCTTTAAGTAACTCTCTTACCTTCTCGGCTTGAACAACAGTCCTGGGGAAGCCGTCGAGCAAGAAGCCATTCTTGCACTCGGGCTTGTCCAGGTTGGAATCAATCATGTCCACAACCAGGTCATCGGAGACCAGTTTGCCGGCATCCATAACCTTCTTCAGCTCGGCTCCAAGCTTGGATCCGGATGAAATTTCCGCCCGCAGCATGTCGCCAGTAGATAAGTGGCAGACGCAGAACTTCTCCTTCAGCAGCGGAGCCTGAAAGTGGCATAATTAAAATACATTGATAGCAATTGGGCGACCTTTAATCAATTTATTGCCGCGCGGCGTATCACAACGGTTAGCAATTAGCGACCAGCCGAGATAAGATGCAGTTCTAGCAGAAAGCAGCGAAAGTTCTCGTATGTTGCGTATAGAATTACTCAGCGGAACCTATGTACATGTCGGCAACCGGTGGCCTCATTCTCCGAGACGCGGCAAATTTACTCACTTTCAGGGTCAAGCATTTCTTTAGAGGGCATTCAAGGGACACGACACACATGTAGATACATAATTTTAGAACGTGTAGCGTTACATAAGTCTCCAGCTAACCACTTTGTACCGGCATTAACAAAATCCATCACTCTTACTTATTTACAAACATTCGACCCGCACATTTTGAACACGTTGTATTTATTTATAGACTGCATGTAGCGTCCCATATCACTAAAACACATTATGTAACTTTGAACCCACCTGCGTTCCCTTGCCGGAACCTGGCGGCCCCAAGAGAATGGCGTTGATGCCGACGTTCTCGGGCTCATATCGCTCCACTGGTACAGCTGCATTCGGCGCCATCGTTTATTGTTTATGCTGAACTTTTGCTTAAGTCCTAATTCATAACTAAGCGAGCCAGAAATGAAGGTTAATGAGATAAGATAATATGAAGAAATCCTCACACGAAACACCCTGTTTAATGTTTATATATCGATAGCTATATGTATCGGTATGCACCCACTGCTTGGAACTAGTTCCTTTGGAAGCTAAATGGAAATTAGCGAATTTATAGATATTTTCTAGCCAGGCCGGCAGCACTGCTCATTTTGGCGGACAAAAACAAAATTAAAAATTTAAACAATTTCAACGGTGCCGCTTAACAAAAAAAAAAAATAACCATGGTTTTTTTTTTCCTGTCTTTGCCCGGAAACAACAACAGCAACAAAGAGGCGGCAGAAAAATAACAACAAATGCACAAACGTATTTTTTTGTTGCATTTTTGGAGTTTCTTCCTTGTTTTTTTTTTTTTGCCAATTAGCAATTATTGCTTATTTTTCCAAAATTTAACAACTCATCAACGCATTAAAAAAATAAAAGCTAAAAAAACGCATTTCAATTATTATACTATAACAATTTAATTCATTTATTCTGGAATTCGCGTGTTACAATTGCCATGGTACATTTTAATATTGCCCTCGCAGCGGAAATAAGCGTCGAATATGTCGCTGTAGCCGTGATCCTTCCACCAGGTGCACAGCTGCCGGTTCCAGATGCAGTCTAATCTGTATATCAAGTTGGGGTACTCGTAGCCGAGGAGCGTGAAGAAGTCCTGGTCCCCCAGATGCCCCTTGAAGGAATACTTGGCCACCAGCGCGTGCACCTCCGAATGGGTCAGCTTCTCCAGGTAAGACTTTGAGTTCCTGATGCGGTTCAGCAGCAGCAGGACAACGCCAGAGTTGAGACCAGGATAGCCGTGGCCATGGAGGTGATTATGCTGGCTGCCGCCCATTAATTCGTTGTTCATCGGATAGTACGGGTTACCGAAACTGGTCTTCGGATACCGCACACGGTACCGGTACAGGATATGGCGATAGACGGGAGTAAGTTCCGGGGCCAGCCCATAAAGCTGGTGCGGTAGAAAATGGTCAAACTCGTTGAACAGCAGTCGGACATCTGATCGGAAGACTATATCACAATCCAGCAGAATGGCCCTGTTCAAGCTCCTGTCGGCGATCCTGTGCAGGCCGAGAGACAGGAAAAACAAGGAGTCGCTATAATAGGAGTTGGGTGTTGAGCTAAAGTACGGGGAGAGCTTGGCAGCAATGTCTTGTATTATGCCGGAGCAGACTTTAACATCGTATATGGTATATATCACCGTTCTGCGGAATCTCCGAATCTGCCGCTGCAGGATTTCCAGCACCGAGGCCTGGCTCTCCCTGTCCGTGATAACGTGCAGGTGCAGCTGGGCACTGGTGTGCTTCAGCAAACTGTGTGCAAATAGGTCAAATTTAAGGTTCAAGTGGTAGTTCTCCCGCGTGTAAATGACGAATATGTTGTAGTCCGAGGCTAGTCCGTTGAGCTGCTCGCCCAACTCCAGGTGCGCTGAGGACGAGTAGTTCAGCAGGTAGTGGGTCGGCTTCAAAACGGGCGGCACTGGCGCCGTCGTCTGCTGGACATCTGCTGGAAACCTCGCCTCCTGTTTCTCGTCTTGGGACAGCTTATTGAGCCGGCTGGAGAGGAAGGCCGAGAGGATGTTGCCCCGCACCAGTAGATGCGTATTGGCGAAGACAATAAGCACGCACATACAAATAAATATCAACAAGAGCACTAGCTTCTTCTGCCACCTGCACCGCAGCAGGGTCCATGTCCAACCTTTCGGCTTCTGGCGAACCGAGTTTCGTCGATTGATGATCAGTGTCACATTCTCCTGGTCCTCCATTAGCTGCGATTTACACTTCATTCCGATTCCGTACATGTTTAGGTCCGTGGGAAACGTTTTGTGTTTCTGACTTATTGTTTTAAAGCTGTACTTGGCCATTTCGAAATGCGCGTAACAGTGCATCAACGAACCGATTTTAATTCATAATATTGGGCCCTGTTAGAACACACTAAACGGAAACTCTGAGCGGACGAGCAGGGGCGCACAAAACATTGCGAAGACTGGCTTTAAACTTAATTAAACTAGATCGATAAAGAGGGCAAAAGCACGTAAAAATCAATGACGAATGCTTCTTCTTGCCGCGGTGCCAGTAACAGTGGCGCGCACACATTGTATGAAACACCCTGTTTAACGTTGATATATCGTAAACGAAATAACGATAACGAGTTATATTGGCAGGCACCTACTGCTTGGAACTAGTTCGCACTGCTCACGACAACTAGGAACCAGTTTTCACTGCTTGCTTTCCTGTGAATCTGCTTGGTTTCCTTATCAACTGCATTACCGCCAGCTGGAAAAAGCTAAATGGAGATTAGCGAATTTTTAGCTATTCCGAGCCAAGCCGGCAGCACTGCTCATTGTGGAAAAACAATCATGCGCAAAAGTTGTATTTTTATCAGTATAAGAAAGAGAAAATGTAAAATCTAAGCAGCTCACAATGGACTGTCATCACCGCATTGAGGTCCCTTTGCGGGCTGGAAAGAAAATGAAAAAGCGACGCGAGCTGGACGCCCTGATCGCCACCCAGTCCTCGTCGAAGAGGGCCAACCGGAGGACCACTGGCGGAGCCACACATTCCCAGGACAAGTTGCTCTCTGTTTCGACCGATGACCCTGATGATTACGCATGGGTAATATTGTATTTACAAATGAACATATTTATGTATATATGTGTGGCTCTTTTCAGACAAATGTCGCTGGCTCCAGTCGCCGTAGCCATCGGCAAATTGCCTATTTCCGCATGTGCGGTCCGCTTTTATTAGGAATCATTGGCATTTTAATTGTGGGCATTTTGTACTGGCTCTACTTTGATCTGCGCCAGCAACTCTACGACTACCGCCAGAAGATGGAGGAGGGTGAGCATTATTTGGCTCGTTGTGGAGAAACGCCTTTTATCAATTATATAATCTTTGCAGTGTCTGCGATGAGCAAAAACTTTCCGGACACGCTCCAGAGATGGCACGAGACTTCGTCCTACCTGTTAAAGAATCAAACTGTCGTCGTTAATGAGATCAGTGAGCTGCAGAAAACCATGGAGAGTCTGCGGAACAACTTCAGCAATCTGGAGGCGACGGTGGCGGCCCAAAGGAATCACGGCAAAGATGAGAAGCTGGTGGCCGACTTCGGGGCGAAGATAGAGGCCGTGGCCACTGACATAGAGGCTATAAAGGAGCACTATAACAAGTATATGGAGGTTCAAAAATCCCTTCAAGCGGAAACAGAAGCTCTGAAGGTACGATTGCCCCCTAAAACAACAAAATGCTTTATTAAATCGATTTCAAACACTTTCAGGTTAATCTATCGCAATTGCCAACGCTACAGGCTAATGCTTTGCCTGCCAACTTGTCGGACGATATTACAGCTCTTAATAAAACCACACTGAACTCCCTTAAGCTTTTGGCAAACGACTTGAAGGATGCCAATAATACCCTAAGTCAAACAACGAAAATGCTTAGCGAGGAAATATCTCTGCATAAGGTATTATTGGTATTATTGATGCTTATCAGCACAGATTTATTGCTAATATTATATTTACAGACGAAAATAGACGATTTGCTGGATCGATCGGAAAATATAACATCCCATGTTGCCACAATTAGCAACAGTTGGCCGGAATACAAGCAAAAAGTAACCGGCTTCGACGAGTCGTTAGATAAAATTGAAAAAGAGGTAATTAATCGGACGTTTCCTGCTCTTGGAGACTATCAAGATTAACGAATATTTATTAACCGCAGATAACGTTAGCAAATAGCAAGAATAGTATGCTGGCTGCCTCAATGGATCAGCTAAAGAGCTTTTGCATTCAGAGCATGGCTACAAACACATCTCCCCACGTTGAAGATGGCTCAGCAATAACCAAGGTAGCAGCTTTGTAAAGATAAAATTATCTTTTATTTTTTTCACCTTTGCCTAATTCCAGCTCGCCAACGAGAAATTTATAAAGCCGTCTGCAAATGCCACTGAACAGCTCCAGGAGGCCCTGAAGCAATAAGCCAGCCGTTTTACCCTTTAGTGATTGTCTGTTGTAATACCAAATTTGTTCGATTCCGTATTTAGCCATTAGGACATCAAAGTCACAGCCAACGATTGCTAATTTATATTTATCGTATTTAACACACGAGACAGCTGCAATGTACATACGGTTCGAAGAGCTATTTAACTTAATGACGATTATGATGCACGTGTGATTTCAGTTAAGTTTACCTTTAAAGTCCGTATTTAGGAGAGGCAACATTGTACATAGGAGAGTGTAAGTCAATACTATTATTCACTTTAGATACACGATATATCTATTTTATTTCCATATAATAAAACGAAACTAAAGCTCACCAACTTTATTGCAAAACAAACATTGAATTTAACAAAACCACGCTAGTCAGCATCATCGTACTGGTCGTCAAATTCGTCGTCATCCTCAATATCCTCCATATCCTCTACCACATAATCGGCCTTCTGCTGTTTCCGGAGCAGCCAGGCCCGGTAAGCATCCTCGTCCTCAACGGTCGGATCGTTGGCCTCGATAAAGTCATCGGGCTCGTGCTTGTACTCCTCTTGCACGATCGGAAGGTGCTTGAAGGGAATGTTACGGGCAAAGTATTTGTGGCCCCAGCCCAGGTAAATGGACTCGCAGGTGTTCTCAAAGGTAAAAGTGAAGGCGCCAGGCCAGACGTTTGACTGCATGATCAGCATGCGCTCCTTCTGGTTGGTGTACTTGCTGGTCATCCGGATGAGCCATGGGACCGGAATCTCTGCGCACCTATCATTGGCGCACGATGACAATATACTGGGACCGACTTCGGGCTGATTGAATCCCTCTATCATGCCCTCCTCTTCTCCCTCCTCTTCGCCCTCCTCCTCGTCTTCCTCTTCCGCCTCCTCCTCCATTTCGTCCATGAGCTGCATTTTGAGGTACAGTGCCAGAGCCTTCTCCCTCTCCTTCTGGGCCTTCTCTTCGTCGTACCACACGACACGGCCCTGGTTGAGGATATTCGATCGGACATGCACCCAGGCCACAGGAGTGGCCAGCGAGCCCAGTGGTTCCACCTGGTATTTCTCATTCTTTAACAGCATCACATCGTTATCTGTAAATGGTTTTAGGAAGACAAGGAACTCATGGGTAGAGGAAAACCTTTCCCCATTTATTTGTTGAAAAAAAAGGTCAAGGATTTACCCTCGATCTGCTCCTCTTCGGCCTCGTTGAAGTCCTCATTCTCTTCCTCCTCCTCCTCCTCTTCCTCCCCTTCATCCATATCTTCGCCATCGAATAGCCGCTGCTCCTTTTTGGTCATCCTTCGGTAATAGCCCGCGGGTGCAATATAGGTGCCGGCCGTAATGCGACCAATCATGGTGCGGAGGTAGTGCTTCTCTTTGCCTGGAAAGCAGGGATATGATATCACGTCTGCTTCTAAGTCGCCGGTTAGGAACTTCTTTATCTGCCGGGAAACGACAATCTGCCGGGGCGTCACGATGGGTAGCTCAATCCAATCATCGTACAATGAGTTAACCACGAAATAGGAGTATCTATTGCAGCCGAGGCCGATCATCTCCGGCGGAATGTCATAGAATTCGATTTCCTCGACCAATGGAACGGGCACTGCTTTAGGTTGCATCTTCTCCAGCTCGTCGATCGGAAAATCCTCCCAGCCGTAGATGCCAGGCGTGAGCTCCGGCCCAATGTGCGGTGGTGGGGGTCTCTCCTCTCGGTCATTGCGCATCTTTAATGGCAGCTGCTTCTCCCTCATCTCCTCCTGCATCAAGACCAAGCGGGAAGCCACCTCCTCGCGCGTAAGTGACGCTTCCACAATGTAGTAGGAGGCCTTCAGACCGTTGATGCAGCCCCAGAAACGACACTGCATGATCGAGGGATGGGTCTGCAGACGATTCATGGCGCTCGCCAACTGGAAGATGTCGTCACTGCAGATACTGAAGCCGCACTGGTTCCAGTAAAACTGTAGTTGTTGGACGCGTTCATTGAATGTGATAAAGAGTCGCATCGAATCGTCGATGACGATCCTCAAGTCTTCCTCGTTGGCTTTACCCTCCTCCCCATACATATCCTCGCCGTCCACATCCTCGCCCTCCACCGTATAGGGCAGCTGTGGAAGAAGCCCCACCATTGGGTAGAAATAAGCAACAGATATTGGTGGAGGTATACCTTCATGGACTGGAGAATTTGCTTGGCCACCCGAAACGTGCGCACCTCGTCGAATATCGCGCTTGGCGGGAAGCGTTCCGGCAAATGGAACTTCTGTTCGCGAACATTCCTGCTGAATTCCTCGAAGAAATCAATCACATTCGGCGGACGCTCGTCGATCACACGTTTTATAATGTCACTGATGTGATCGAATCTGTTTCAGTAGGTTAAAGAATATATATAAAACAAAGAATGGTATTATATTTTCAGTCAGAAGCTTATAACGCTGAGAAGGAGTCTTTTCCGGCCCTATAAATTATATATATTCTTGATCAGCATCAAAAGCTGAGTCGATCTAGCCATCTCCGGACAAAATATAATTTTTCAACAATTTTTCAAAATTTGAAAATTTTATAAGGGGTTACATCGTTAAAATTGTCAAAAATGTCGATTTTGTTATATTTTAATCTGAGTATGCAGATTTATTAGGCTAACAAAAACTAACATAATTGACAGCATACAATGCAATGTTTTTGTTTTTGCTATTTTTTACTATGTTTTAAGTTAAAATATTTAAGTTTTGTTTTTTATATTTATAGATTAAAGTTATCCTAATAATATTATAAAAGAAAATTTTTAAAAATTCTTGTATTTGTTAATAAATTTTCAGTTTAAACCCAAAATTGTGAGGGATTTTTTGTTTTGCAAAGAATTACTTGACAAACTGTATATTCTTCATTTTGCATAGGACAGCTTTCGGAAATAAAATTACTGCTCTGTTGGCTTAGTAACGAGTATTTTAAAATTTGATAAGTTTAACAAATTGTCTTATAAAATATAAATAATATCGACTCAAAGAATGGTGTTATAGTTTCAGTCAGAAGCTTTTAACGCTCTGAAGGAGTCAGTTCCGACCCTATAAATCATATTAATTATTGATCGGCATTAACAGCTTAATCGATCTAGCCATTTCCGGTTGACAAATAAATTTTCAAATTTTTTTCAAAATTTGAAAATTTTATAAAGGGGTTACATCATAAAATTGCCAAAAATTGGCAAAAATTTCAATTTTTTTTAAATTTAAAATGAAGTATGCAGATTTATTAGCCTAACAAAAACTTGCATAGGACAGCTTTCCAAATTAAAATTAATGCTCTTTCGGCTTAGTTATGAGTTTTTTAAAGTTTGGTTTGTTGAACAAATTGTTTTATAAAAATATAAATATATCGACTCAAAGAATGGTATAACACTTTCAGTCAGAAGGTTGAAACGCAGTGAAGGAGTCATTTCCGGCCCTATAAACCATATATATTATTGATCAGCATCAACAGCTGAGTCGACTTTGGCATCTCCGGTTGAAAAGTAAATATTCGATTTTTTGTTTAATTTCAAAATGTTATATATATATATTTTTTTGATACTTACAAATTGTCACCACTCAGAGTGCTGTACTGCTGCATTATTGACTTGGCCACGTTCAACTCGTAGCCAATATTTGGGGCTCCGGGGAGCGTTCCCTTTTGGACATTGCATTGCGAGTCAAAGGCTCCTATCGAGATGGTGGAAGTCGAGGACGAGGACGAGGATGTGATTATGTCGGTACAGTGAGGAGAGTTTTCCTCCTCGACGGGCTTCTCGGGCTCTTTTGATTTCTTCGTTTTTGGAACGCATGCCGAAGGAAGAGCAAACTGGGAACTGGATGTGGAGTCCAGTGAGAAATTCCGACAAGAATCTCCGTCCATTGTTAAGTGATCTATTTAACGCTGATAAGTAAAGATGTGTGATGTTCTCAGAAACTGGTGTATTTACAATTGAAAGTATGAACATTTGACAAGATGTTCAAGATACTAAAGTAGCATACTTTGTTAGTTAGTTATAGTTGATTAAAAACTACAAGTCTTTACATTTTATATTGATTATAATTTTTTTTTCAATTTTTACCTGTTAATGCAATCGTTATCGATTGATAAGCCAACCGTTAAGACGGGCCTCTTGTGCTATCGTTATCGATCGACAAGATGGTCGTTACCTTTTGACCAAGTTGCGAGAGTTTCTAGTGTCTGTGTATTTGCGTTGTTTACATTACAACTGATTCTCAGTTTCTTATTTGCGAAAAGAAAGTGCCCAAGAAAGTTGTGATTTGTTTAGCTGCACTGCACTTAGTTCTCTTTTAAATAATATTATTTATAAGAAGGTGAATATAAAACTGTAATGTGCATCCAAGTATCAAATGGAACATATTCTGGGTGTCTATATCAGAAGACATAAATCTTAGATCTTACTACAACTTTCTTTACCATATTTGAGTGTCTAAAAAAGGTAAGACTTTAAACAGTACGTAATGTGATTTACACTGAAGTCTTATTTATGTTATATAGCAAGTCTGGATATATAAAGGAAGAAACCTTGATACCCCAAAAATATGTATTATTTAAACAATGATACAGTGGCTGTTCCCTCCGCCGTAAATTTCGGTCAAAGGGAAACACACTCTTCAACTTTGGAGCTAAAGACTGTATCTATAAATCCGGATGGCGAGTACCAAGTGAATTTCACAATTTGACCCAACTAAAGATATTGTTTCCCTTCACAGACACCTTTACTGTGCAACAGGCAATCAATGCCTTTGGCTTCGGCTGGTTCCACGTCAAATTGTCGCTTCTGGTGGGCCTTTGCTGGATGTCCGACTCAATGGAAATGGCCATCTTGAGCATTCTGGGCCCTGCCCTATTCTGCGAGTGGAATGTCACGAAACTTCAGCAGGCCTCGGTCACAACGATCGTGTTTCTGGGCATGATGCTGAGCTCCAGTTTTTGGACTCAGCTGAGCAACAGATATGGTCGAAAGTCGGTAAGATGTCACACTACCAAGATGCCTATTATATCTAACTTAAATGATTTTCTTAGGCCCTCACCTTGTTTGGAGTATTATTAGTTTTATATAGCATACTAAGTTCAGTGGCGCCCAGTTATGCGTGGCTCTTAACCCTAAGAGGTCTGGTTGGCTTTGCCATCGGCTGTGTTCCACAATCGTGAGTTCATTTTCAGGGAATTTCCCTTCATCTTCTAAAAGAGTTTATTTTAACTTATAAGTGTCACTTTATACGCGGAATTTCTGCCGACGAAGCACAAGGGAAAGTGTGTGGTTCTGATGGATGTAAGTATTTCGTAGAAGACCCGTATCTATGATATAAACAATATACGAAATTGTATTTGCAGTGCTTCTGGGCCTTGGGAGCCTGTTTTGAGGTAGTATTGGCTTTGGTTGTGTATCCGTATTACGGATGGCGTGGGCTTCTGGGACTCTCGGCAACGCCCCTACTGCTTTTCACTTTGTTATCTCCGGTAGGTATAATTGTTAAAATAAAATTAATTGTAATGTAATATATGTTTCATAACTTTCTCAGTGGCTTAGCGAATCGGCACGATATTATTCCTCCAATGGGCATAGTGACAAGGCCATCAGGGTTCTTGAACAGGTGAGAATGGAATGGCAGCCATAAAGGATATTATAATCGTATCCTGATTCTCTCAGATAGCTCACAACAACAAGCGGCACATGCTAATGGGTCGACTGATTGCCGATGAAGAGCCCAGCTCCACGGAGAGCTTCAGGTCCCTGCTCAGTCCGAGTCTTTATAGAACCACGCTTTTGCTCTGGTTTATATGGCTCGCATCGGCCTTCTGCTACTACGGACTCGTGCTGGTCACCACCGAGCTCTTGGTGGCCAGAAATAAGGAGAATAATCCGAATGAGTGCGTCACCTTCATGACCTCCGACTTTATGGATCTGTTGTGGATTACCCTGTCGGAGTTTCCGGGCATATTGATGACCATTAAGGTGATCAAACTCTTTGGCAAAAAGAAAACTATTGTGCTGCAGTATCTGCTTCTGGTGATGTGCACGTTGGTGCTTATGTCGGTTAATAGGTAGTATTACTATGTATTTTTAATCTGGAATTATAGTTATTTTCTTTATTTCAGTCGCTTTTCAACTTCCTTGACTCTCTTCATTGCCCGAGGAACGATTTCGGGGATTTTCCAAGCCATCTATGTGTACACACCGGAAATATATCCCGCTTCCCTGCGATCGGTAGGAGTTTCCGGCTGCTCTGTGCTGGCTCGACTAGGCGCCATGCTGACACCCTTTGTGGCGCAAGTTTTGATGGACACATCCAAGGTGCAGGCTATATCCACATATGCCGTTGTGGGTCTATTGGCATCCATAGCATGCGCTTTCCTTCCCCGAGAAAATGTCGGTTATCATTAGAGGAATAGCCCATAGAAATTATAAGATAATTTATTACATAGCTCACAGTGAATTTCTAAAAACAAACCTAATCAGATTGCCTAGTTTTAGGCTTTGTCTATGAGGCGCTAGTAAAGACAGAGGCACAAACACCGAACTATTCTAGAATTTTATTGTTTGCTGGTGGTTTTGGCCAAGAGTTTTCGAAAAGTAACAAAGCTTAAGAGCCAAAAGCTCTTCTCCTCCACTCGCAAGAGTATTTGAAAGAAGAAGCAGATGGTTCTTAACTCTTTTAGAGTTAGAGAATTATTTAATTAGATTTCCCAGGCTCAGAAACAGTGAACAACCTGCTCTTAATGTAATACTTTGTAGGAAATATCATCGTCGCCTTTGTATTATTCATACGAATGCCGAATTGCGGCGTTATTTATGAGTCGAGTGACAGGAGGAAATGCACTTGCAAATTAATTATAAAAGTCATTATTTTGCAGAATATAAACATGACGTATAAATAATCCTCTCGCATATGTATATGTATATTTATAATACTCAATTAAATATGTATGCAGGCGCAGACTTGGGTGCCGAAATATATATGCACTCCTGTGACAGCTATAAACTTTTAGAACGTTTGTTTGTATGGTGCCTAAGTAGACGAGATTCTATGCACATCGCTATGCACATTCGGTGGCTGCTTCTTCGAGGTGCATGTGCATTATTTTTAAATTGTGAAACGATTTTTTTCCGAGGGGAGCTTTTGTTGTGATCAGCAAATATCGATCAGTCGTACAGTTGTCGGGATGCAGTTAAAATCATTGGTATCCGCCGCACGCAGTAGCCACTCATTTTCACGCCGCGACGCAAGTTTAAATTTAAATCTATTCCACTTTCGAATGGGCCCTCACAGCCACCTCGGAATAGTAATCGTCATCAACGAGTAGATTATGACAAGAGTGCACTCGAGTGCTCCAACGATCGGTATTTGCCTCCAAACCTGTGCAAATAACTCCGAATAAAATTTAAAAATCACCCCCAGTAATAAGTTATGCAATACATTTTCGAATACGTACAATAGTGCGTACGTTCTCCCATGAAGTGAAGCAGTGTGTGAAGTTTAACCCAGTGATAACGAATATCAATCTACGAGTCAGCAACTATGGATAGCGTAAGTTATGCGTGTCCAAGAAAAAAAAAGATAATCAAATCTAGGAACATGTGCCAAAAATTTACTTATTAATACATTTGTGCAGCCGCAATCTCTGTACGAAAATACATACGTCAATATATACAGTGAGTGTCCGTTGGCACATCAAGTTAACAATTCAAATTAATTCTACGATTAAAATATGGAAATATTTGATCATTACATAAATATAATTCAAATATAAAAGTGTCTTCAATGTAATTTTAAGTGATTCGTAAAAGAAATGTTGAAACTTAACAGTTTAATATATTTTTAAATTAAGTTTCAAATAATATATAAAGTGTTGTCACTGAATCCAAAATTAAAAAAGTGTTATAATTATTGTGAATTTAAATAGTAATTATAAGTACAATAATAATTAAAATTTATAATTGTAAAAGAGTTATAGGTCAAAGGGGTATTACCTTTGAGTTAAATGTTTCAAGTACTACCACAACCAACTTAAACCCTTTTAATTCTTCCCAGTAATTCTTCTTAAGCCAAGTGTGAAAAAGTGAAAAAATTAAAAAAATTATACTTTGCATACGTTCCTTGCACCCGTCTTTACTGTGGTCTCGGATCATTGGCCCGAAGTGAAGAACCCTGTCCTGTTCACGGTGCTGATGGGAAGAAATCAGCTGTTTTTGGCCCGCATTAAGCTTTGCGCTCAGTAAAATCGGATGGCGAAAAAATAGATATAGCCGAGAGCCCGCGTGTCTATGTCAACGCAAAATAGACTTTCAGCTAACGAGCTAAATATTGCACACAGGCCACTTTTTGTTTGTGTTCGCCAAGTGTGTGGGTTATGAGAACAAATCGATAAATCTCGTTGCACACTTGATAAATTGCACAAACTTGGGGCAATCGGTTTATCTATATATTCTTTTATGTTGGCGCCCCCCAGAAATGTGGCTCAAAGAAATATATGAAATAAATTCAGCTATATACAAGGTATTGGTTTCATTAACAGGTCGCTGATATTGTATTCGTGAGCCGGGATTATCAGGCTCAAACGATGGCCACGGACGAGATCAGTGTGTCTCGCGGGGATCTTGTCGAGCTTATAAGTTCGAAGGCGTCTGAAAAGTCAAGGTAACTGCAAAGATTGCTAACGATTTTCTGGTAGAAATTAAAGCCAATTATTATTTGAATTAAATAAGATATAGAACCTATCATCTTTCAGATGCTTTGTTAGAATCTTCGATAGCGGGGACTCCCCCAAAGAGGGCTGGGTGCCAATAGAGATCTTAGAATTTAACCCAACAATGAGTAGCTCCAATGGCAAGGAAAACGGTGATGCGGAATTTAAAAAGCAGTGAGTTTATATTTATTTCAATATTGATTAAGGATGTCAGCAAGCTGGTTTAATTTCTGCTTTGAAGAACCATTCTCAGGGAGCTGGTTGAAACGGAGGAGGAATTCTCCAGGGACCTTATGCATGTTGTGGAAAAGTATATCAAGGGCATTGATAAGCCGGTGGTGCCGAGGTCTGTGCGCGACAACAAGGATGTTATATTCTGCAATTTCCTGCAAATCGCCGAGTTTCACAATAAGTATGCAGCCGGAAAGTGGCTTAAACCAATATTTAAATACCAAATATTTCAGTGTGCTTAAGGAAGGGCTAAAGTGCTACAGCAACCAACCGAATATGGTGGCCAAGACCTTCCTGCGATTGGAAAGGGACTTCGACAAGCATGTGGTGTACTGTCAAAACGAACCCCTGGCGCAGGACTATCTAAGCTCCAGTCCAGACGCTAAGAAGTACTTCCAAGTAAGTATTCGAGCCTCGAAATACGACCTAAAGTTCATTAGGAACTCGAGCAGACTGTGTTTTTGCCTTCTTTTTCGCCATTTCCTTTTAATTGTTTGTTGAAATCAGGGAAAATAATAGAGAGAATAATTTAATTGGTAGGGGAGCAAACCGTTGGAATCGTCTTCAAATATTATGCGTGTGCTATGTGCGAGAATATCCGTTTATTTTTAAAGGCAGACGCTTTTCAATTCTAAAGCTTTTTGCAGTTTTCAGTTGCTTCCGAGTAGTGTTCGCGGTCGTGTCGTGCTAATTATTCATATACGTAACCGTTTCGCTTTAGGTACTTGAAGTTATATTGTCATTATCCTGAATTCTAAACCCCCTTTTGGACACTTATGTTGCTTAAGCGCCTTAGCTCTACGATTTTAGCTAGTGAATTTATATAGAATATCTCCAACCTACCTCAATGGGACACTGACACTGGATAACTCCAATAAAAAGCTATTTAAATCAGTGTGAAAAAAATCATTTTCCAAATCAATCTGTGTGGAATTGTGACGTGTGTGACGTTTGCCCGTTATGCAACATTTCCGAAATTTTACTGTGCGAGAATATATATGTACATATGTATATTAAAAGATACGCTGATACTTATACGTTTATAAATATATATAGTATGTGAAAATATTTTCTTCAGCCCACATATTCGACCTCACGTCTAAAAGTGTTTAGATATATGTACACACATATATACTGGCAAAAATATTGTAACATTGACTTTAATGAGTCCACTGCTACTCATTCGCTGTGAAATTGGTTCAACAGTGAATATGAATGTGACTATGAACCCGCAGAGAGCATAGAGAGTGAATAAAAATGTATGAGCATGTTGCGAGTGAATCTATCCAAACATTTGAATACTAATATTCGAATATGTATTTAGAAGGCACATATGTATATGTATGTATGTATGTAGCTTTCCAAAGCAAAGTTCGGCCGCATATACAGACCCACACATATCCGTTTTTGCAACAAGTGATAAATTTTTTAAACATCGTTCCAAAAATAACCCCAAACGCGAGAGAGAGCGACCGAGAAGAAATCGTGTTTTGAATGTATAAGTGAACACAGAATATTCATTAGGGGCTGCCGAAGACTCAAGCGGATGCAGAAAACCACAGAACCAAAATCTGCGACTATCAATAAATAATAATATTATTTCGCTTCCCAATACATTCGAATTTCGAAGACATTCTATTCTAGAGACAGTGTGTGTAACAAGTATTTTGCTTTTGCCTTGCAGGAACTTTCAAAACAGCTGGGAGACGATAAATCTCTTTCAGAACACCTCAAACTTCCCATCCAGCGCATAAACGACTATCAACTTCTGTTCAAGGTTTGCCGACTTTGTGTTTAGTGTTAATCTCTGCCATCTCTCTATAATCACCTTTAGCTAAAAGCTATGTCTAGGCTCTAAGCTAATCACCATCATGCTCAGCTCGCTAAGACTCGCTTGCTAACGTTAATGTTTGTTTTTCGCAGGACTTCATTAAGTACTCGCTAAGCTTGAAAGAGAACGTTAAAGACTTGGACAGGGCCTTAGAGTTAATGCTTAGTGTGCCCAGTAGAGCGTACGACAATAGGTTTCTTTCCAGCATCGAGGGCTGTCGGGGCAACATCTACAAGTTGGGACGCCTGCTCCTCCACGACTGGTGCACCGTCGTCGACAAGGAGGGCAAGGCGCACGATCGCTACTGCTTCCTGTTCAAGTCCCGCATTTTGGTGACCAAGGTCCGGAAGATATCCGACAACAGATCCGTATTTATTTTGCAAAGCATCGTGAAGCTACCGCTGTGCAACATCGAGCACAAGGCCGACGAGAAGCAAATCCAATTGAGTCTGAAAGCGCCAGACGCCGGCTCCATTTTTCCGCTACACATTAAGCCCCACGGCCCAGAGTCCCATTTGAGTTGGTTCAACGAGATCTCCTCCCACATCAACCAAGACGTCACCTTGCAGGAGCATAATGCCGATGACCTGAAGGTCGATTCATCGCAAATCGCATCCGAAAGTGAGCTCATTCTTCATCTCCCCCAACGGGCCGAGGCCCACGATCCGAATCTTAGCGTCCGACCCTCGGACGTGGCCGAGAACTACTTCCTTAGCAAGGAGACCAAGGAGCGTCTGCAGCTGGAACAGCAAGAGCTGCTGAAGCTAGAGCAGGAAGCCATCGAGTTGTACAAAAAGCAGCAATCTTCAAAGCAAACTTCCACCACACGAACTGAATCGGTACAGATCACCAGCACCCAGGTCAAGTCCAGTTCGGAGGTTCGTAGCCAAACACAGGAGTCCAAAGTGACTGCCAAGTCAGAAGAAACAGCAAAGCCACAGGTCAGAGAGGTACCCGTCAAGGTAGTCTCTCCTCCACCACAAGCTCAGCCCGTGACAGTTGCTCCTCCAGCGCCTCAGCCAGTGCCAGTAGCTTCCCAAGCGGTACAGCCAGTGGCAGTTGCTCCTCCAGTGCCTCAGCCAGTTGCTGTTGCTCCTTCTCCTACTGTAAGGGAAACTACTCTTGTAAAGGAAGCAATTCCTGTCAAGGAAGCGAGTCCGGTGAAGCAAGTGGCACCTCCGCCACAGCCTGAGAAAGCTCCTCCTGTCAAGGAAGAGCCAAAAATAGAACCTCCGCCAGCTTTGCATTCCAAAGAAGCTGCAGCTCCCAAACAACCGGCAGAATCCCGACCAGAATCTGTATCCAAGTCCGAAACAACTGTCATCGAGTTCGCATCTAGTCAGGTCACAGAAGAGTTTTTGGCCACCGAAGAGACCCTAGCTGGTAAGCAGGATGAAGAGTTTACGAGAGACACATCGCCATATGCGGCGATCCCCACGATCCAAGTATACCGTCCCGTAGATAGCGATAACCCAGTGGTAACCACCAAGCACAAGCCCATCGAGCTGAAAGACATTGTTGGCTATAATGAATCCCTGCGGGACAGCGATCCTGCGCCCGGTGGGGCATCGGGATCGGGATCGCAGGGTCGGCAGGGATACAGTGCTAACATAACCGACCACGCTTCATTAACCATTTGGAATAACCGACTAGCTAATATCGCTAATGACCGAAATGGGGTTAACCAGCACCTGCAGCAGTCTGGCCCCCCGCCGCCGCCCATTCCGCCCAATTTCACGCGCATGCCCGGCTTCTTCCAGCCGCTTCCCCTAATCGCTTATGAGACCACCATTGAGATCCTAATAGTTAAGGCACGACCACCCTCGCCGCCACCCCCGCCGCCGCCGACCATTAAACGCTTGCTAATCCATAACGAGAGCTTGGAGCAGAAGACGCAGAACTTTTTCGAGGGCATCTACGATGCGTCCACCTCGGACACGTCGCTGCGGAATGCCAAGCAGAAGATTCGCAGCATCAAGACCACGGTGCTGAAGTCAAAGGACTCCACTAATTACGCCCAAGACACTGTACAGAAGGCCAAGGCCCGCGACTTCTTGCACATTTTCACCCCGCCCGTTAAAAAGCGACCCATTTACGAGATTGTTGAGGAGCCCGTTAATATATATGAGATTGAAGGCGAATATACTGAGTCAATTGCTGACGATTTCAGAGAGCGGGAGCCAAGTGCCGATTTTGAAGCCAGGGGCCAAAGCGTCGGTGGTATGGATGATTATTATTCTGGCTACTCACTGACTTCCAAACGTCGCTATGAAAGTAAGTTGCCCCAACAAGTTATGTCGACGTTGGGTTCTGACCATCCCACGTCGGATGGTCCATGTTAAATGTTAGTTAATCTCAATGTCTCTGTGGGATGTGGTTACTGTTCAGTCGTTACTGCCAACGAGCTCGACTCAACTTCAGCGTAAATAAATTAAAAAAGACTCCTTGTAAGCGAAGTGCTTGTCTCTTCTGCCACCTGTATCACGTCTATATCATGTTCACATATATATGTTTATGTTGAGTTTATCGTAAATAACTGTGTTTAGAGTATATAAATTTCAGTGCTTACATACACAATCTTTTCTTTACAATTAACTATCTATCTGTGTGTATTCCTCTGTTTTCCTACATTGAAACCTATTATATTCCAATCCTTGCCATATCCTTGTTCAGATTGTTTCGGCCTGTTTAGAAAGTCTCTCTAGATAGAGATTTTCGAGAGAACCCGTCATTAAAAATACTATTTTTAAGATATCTAAATATAAACCAAACTAACTTTACTTTTACCCTGTTCGAATCCCGCTCGCCCTCCGTGAAGCCTCTAGCAGGACGCGGGACTACGATCGGGGAACCTCCTACGACAGCACCGCCGAGCGATCGCAGTATGGAATAAGCTCTCGACGGGATCGCAGCTCCATTGACAAGGTCGAAGCCCGTTCGTCCCTCTTGGCCACCGGCCGTACAGAGAGCCGTGCCGCAAGCCGCGCCGCCAGTCGTGCCGAAAGCCGTGCGGAAAGCCGTGCCTCCTACTCGGTGGCTGAATCGCGTGCCGGTATCCGGTCTTCGTCTCAACTCCTTGAGGATCGACCCCTGCGTTCCGTAGAGAAGCCCGTGGTTGTAAAGATGCTGAAGAGCGTGCAAGTGGATCGTAAGTATATATATAAGTATGTAGATAAAGAGTGAGTAAGCGGTACTATATTATTGTTTTTAGCTGGAGAGACGGCTCACTTCGAGATCCAATTCAAGGATCAGCCCGGCCTTGTCACCTGGCTGAAGGACAACAAGCCTCTGGAGGACCGTTTGGCTGATCGTATTACCCAGACCGCTGCTCCGATGAATTCATACCGCTTGGACATAAAGAACTGCACGTAGGTGGCTTTCGACTTTACATCCTTACGGAGTTAAAAATATTTGTTTGGATTTTATTTCAGTGAGAGCGATGCAGGAACTTACACCATTCGGGCCCAGTCTGCTTCCGAGACAACAACTGTTTCGGCTCAGCTTGCCGTGGGCCAAGGTGAGCACTCTCAGCTAATCGAGGTTACCTCGTAGACTAAATTTGCTTTACTATTTACTATTCAGCACCAGGACATGACGAGACGAAAACTAACACGGAGCCGGCCTTCCTGGTTAGCCTGAAGGACGCCGAAATGATCGAGAACACTCTCTTCCGTTTCATGATCAAGATTATTGGCGATCCCAAGCCCAGGGTGAAATTGTGGGTTGCAAATAGAGTCTATCTAAGGATAAATATCATCCTTCTCTAATTTCTTGCAGCTACAAAGATGAAAAGGAGATACTTGAGGTCAACGATCGGATTCAAATTATCCGAGACAAGGACTACCTGGGCTTCTATGAGCTGGTCATTGCCGATGTCCAGAAGTCCGACAGTGGAAAATACTCGTGCAAGGCCACCAACAAGTTTGGTGAAGCCAATTGCGAGGCTGTGGCCACAACAGTGGGTAAGTTGATAAATAATTTAAAGAAGAACAAAAAATGTATGTTATTTCATATGCATTGCAGAGGACAAGAATCCGTTTGGGGCACTCAGCGGACAGATTCTTCCGGCCGGTGAGAAGCCAGTCTTCCAATGGAAGCGAAACGGCGAGGAGTTTGATCCGGAGGAACGCTTCAAGGTGCTTTTCGGCGAGGACGAGGACTCTCTGGCTCTGGTCTTCCAGCACGTGAAGCCCGAGGATGCTGGTATCTACACCTGCGTTGCTCAAACCTCCACCGGAAACATCTCGTGCAGTGCCGAGCTCTCGGTTCAGGGCGCCATTCAGACACTGAACCGGGAGCCCGAGAAGCCCACCCTGGTGATCGAGCACCGCGAGGCGAACGCCAGCATCGGCGGCTCGGCTATTCTGGAGCTGCAATGCAAGGGCTTCCCCAAGCCGGCGGTGCAGTGGAAGCACGACGGTGAGGTCATCCAGGTGGACGATAGGCACAAGTTCATGTACGAGGATGAGGAGAGCATGTCGCTGGTCATCAAGAATGTCGACACCGCCGATGCCGGAGAGTACACCATTGAGGCTATAAATGAGCTAGGCCAGGACGAGTCTACCATTAACCTGGTGGTGAAAGGTATTTTTATAATTTACTGAGATAATTTACTTTAATTCTATAAGCACAAAAAGACACTAGCTTTAGGTTGTTTTATAATTTCAAAGTAAATATTTGCAGAGTGAATGTTTCTACAAAATAGTTACTGATGAATGAGCATGGCTCTCTGCAGGAACACCATTTATTGTAAAGAACTACAAGTTCTTTAGTCACTGTTGAATAAATTAAATAATTTGAATATATATCCCTTTTAAAGCTCCTCCGAAGATCAAGAAGATTACGGACATTACTTGCTCGGCCGGGGAGACCATCAAAATGGAAATTGAAGTGGAGGGCTTCCCACAGCCCACGGTCCAGGTAACCAACAATGGCAAGGATGTGACCGCCGAGAGCAACGTAAAGATCTCCTCGACCTCCATTGGCAAGAGCCTCGAGAAGGTCGTTGTGGAGATGAAGGAGATCAAACTGTCGCAGGCGGGCAACTACTCCATCAAGGCCACCAACGATCTCAGTCAGACCTCGGAGTACTGGAGCTGCACGGTCAAGTCAAAGCCAGTGATTGTGAAGCACTTTGAGAGCGAGTACATTCACGGCGAGAAGGAGACCGTGCAGATGACGGTGCGCATCGATGCGTATCCGGAGGCCAAGCTGATCTGGTACCACGACGAGACCGAGATTAAGGTGACCGAGTCGAAGTACACCGTCAGCAGCGATGGCAACGCCTACACTCTCAAGATAACCGGAGCAACGCGGGTGGATGCCGGCAAGTACACCGTTAAAGCCACCAATGAGCATGGATCCGCCACCAGCACCACCGATTTATTGATCAAGTGCACTCCGGAGTTCACGCAGAAGCTGAAGAACATCACGGTAGCCGAGGGCGACTCCAATGTGGAGCTAGTGGTCGGCGTGGATGCCTATCCGCGTCCCCATGCCAAGTGGTACATTGATGGCATCGAAATCGATGAGAAGCGGAATGACTTCCGTCACGTGGAGGAGGGCAACAACTATAAGCTTATCCTTAACAAGGTGGCTACCAATCAGCAAGGAAACTACACTTGCAAGATAATGAATGACTACGGAAAGCTGGAGGATAGCTGTGTGGTTACCGTCAACTGTAAGTGATTCAAGATATTCCCTTAAAATGGCAGTCGGTTTATTTATAATTAAATTAAAGGTAAGCCCAAGGTTAAGCGGGGTCTGAAGAACATCGAAGTTCAGGAGGGCAAGTCTTTCACTCTGGAGGTCGAAGTGTACAGCGAACCGGAAGCTAAAATCAAATGGTAAGCTAAAGGAGCCTCACAAATACTTTAATTGTTAACATTTCTCTGGAACAGGTTCAAGGATGGCCATGAAATCTATGAAGATGCTCGCATTAAGATCTCTCGGGACACTCAGCGCATTGAGAATTACTATCTTACACTGAATCTGGCCAGAACCGAGGATGCGGGCACTTATGAGATGAAGGCAACCAACTTCATTGGCGAGACGACCTCAACCTGCAAGGTTGCTGTGCTAAGTAAGTACATATTTAGCGTCAGGCCTCAGCCTTATAGAGTTGGGTTTGGATAGGATCTCAGAAGCGAGTATGGGCAGGATATCCCACAAATAATTTGTATTCTACTAATTACCACCTACAAGAAACCTTCTTGAGTCTCATTTAATATATAATCTCCCATCTATGATACCAAATTTTGATTCAGCGAGCGACTCGGTGTCTGTGGGACAGACCGTGACAAAAACTATGATTGCGACGACCGAAGAACCTGAAGAAGGGGGTAAACCAAAACCATTTTCAATGCATCAATTAAGCAATATAATAAACATAACTATAAATACTTGGAAAATGCAAGAAAGAATGAGATCGAAACGAAATAATTCTAAATATAAGCCCCATAATGTATAAGTATTAACCATGAACATTTCACAAATTATATTTCATCATGTACATATCAAAAACATATCTCTCACTTTTAATACACATTAACAAAAATTGTACAGAAAAACCTAATCAAAAACTCAATTATTAACCAAGTGTAATGAGCTCGCTCGGGTATTTGGAATGCGAATTGTGTCAATGGAATGGGTCTTGAAATTATTATCATAATATTGCGTAAATTTATAAATCGACTTTAAATTTACGCAGGCAAGTGTCTCAAAATAGCAAGTACGATAATTGGATAAGACATCAAGGGATCTAAGTGATTTCAGCATCTTGTAAAAAGTGAAGTGTTAAGGTTAAGTGCTGCCGAACTGCCGGAACTAACCCCACGAATGATAAATATGCACTCTGTACAGAAATCTAATGGTTAACCTTAAGGACATCTCCTGGCCAGGCAAAGGACACACTAACACCATCTTGTCTTATAGCTATTCCGGAAATCGTGCACGTAGATGTCTTCCAGCAGCACAGCTACGAGAGCGTGCCGCTGAAGTACGAAGTTATAGCCACGGGTATTCCCAAACCCGAAGCTATATGGTATCACGATGGGAAACCTATTACAGCCGACAAACATACGGCCATCAGTGTTGATGGGGTTCGTGTTCTCAAACTATGGTCATACGAATTAAATCTAAAATTTCTAATATCGTGTGTAGGATCATTATAAACTGGAGGTGGAATCTCTGGATCTGGTGGATGCTGGAGAATATAAGGTTGTCATACAGAACAAGTGTGGCGAGAAGTCGCATCAGGGAGATCTCTCTTTGTCGGGTCAGTAAATCTCAAGAAAGTGTGTTATTATATATTATAATCTATTTATTCTTTACCATAGGTATTGCCGAGTATCGCAAGCCCATCCTGACATCTGGTCCTGGACTGAAGGACATCAAGGTCAACAAGGGTGATAAGGTCTCCGAGCCAGTTGTGTTTACCGCCGATCCTGCTCCAGAAATTGTTTTGCTCAAGGACGGCCAGCCCGTTAAGGAGACCAACAACCTGAAGCTGAAGGTGGAGAAGAAGGACATTGAGAATGGCCTGGTTCAGTATACGTGCACTCTAAACATCCTGGAGGCTGACATCAAGGATTCTGGACGCTATGAACTGAAGGTGAAGAATAAGTTTGGAGAGCTGGCCACGAGTGGCTGGATCGATGTGCTGGCCAAGCCAGAGATCTCTGGACTGGATGACCGCAAGTGCCTGCCGGGCGACACCATTTGTTTTGAGGCTCTTGTCCAGGCCAATCCGAAACCCAAGGTATCCTGGACCCGTGGCAACGAGAATTTGTGCAACAACGAGAACTGTGAGGTCATCGCCGACGTCGATGCCGACAAGTACCGCCTGGTCTTCCAGGCCGTCTCTCCCTCCGAGGATGGCAAGTACACAATCACGGCCGTCAACAGCGAGGGAAGGTCCACGGTGGACTTCAATCTGGCTGTGCTTGGTGGGTATATCCCTTACCCAAAGCGAATATTAGTAGTTCTAATCGCAATTTGAATATCCGCAGTGGAGAAGCCCACTTTCATTGTGCAGCCCGAGAGCCAGAGCATCCACGACTTTAGGCCAGTCTCCACCAAGGTTCTGGTTCATGGCGTTCCAATGCCAACTATCGAGTGGCTTAAGGATGACAAGCCTATCAACTACGAGGCGGTCAATAAGCCAGGCAAGGACAAGCTGTACAGCAAGGAGGATACCAAGAAAGGAACCGACCAAATCGAGAGCGTGTTTGATATCAAGACATTCAGGGAAAACGATGTTGGGGCGGTAGGTTTGCGATTGGGTCTTTAAATGAACAGTTTTCAATTGCATCACTTTTCGCCAGTACACATGTGTGGCTACCAATGAAATTGGAGTGACCAAAGCACCCTTCAAGCTGGGACTACTGGCCCTCGCACCCAGCTTTGTGAAGAAGCTGGACAATGCTCTGGACGTGCTGCAGGGTGAGCCCCTTGTCCTGGAATGCTGTGTCGACGGAAGTCCTCTGCCCACTGTTCAGTGGCTGAAGGACGGGGATGAGGTTAAGCCAAGCGAGAGGTGAGTATTTTGGAAAAGTTTACTGCACGTGTAAAACTTATGCTGTATCCTGATTTTCAGTGTAAAATTATCCACAAGCCCCGATGGCCTGGTCAAGCTGGAAATCAACAATTGCCAGCCCAACGATTCGGGCGCTTACAAGCTGATTATTTCTAATCCTCATGGCGAGAAAGTGGCCTTGTGCGCCGTCGCTGTTAAGCGTAAGCCCATTAAATTTGTAAATTTTTTAATTATATCTAAGAAAACCATTTCCATGCAGCCGAGGAGATGCAACCCAAGTTCCTCAAGCCAATCACCGGCCAAACTGTCGTGGTGGGCGAGCCCCTAAAGCTGGAGGCTCAGGTCACCGGCTTCCCAGCCCCAGAGGTCAAGTGGTACAAGGACGGAATGCTGCTGCGTCCAAGTCCGGAAATTAACTTTATCAACAGCCCCAATGGTCAGATCGGTTTGATGTAAGTACGCCTTATTATTTGGAAAATATGGCGAATGTTAAATCTTTCATCTTTCTTCAAATGCAGCATTGATGAGGCTCAGCCTCAGGATGCTGGAGTCTACAAGTGCTTGATTGCCAACAAGGGTGGCGAGATCGAGGGTGTGTCCAAGGTGGAGATTGTGCCCAAGGAGTCGAAGCCGGCATTTGTGGCCGAGCTGCAGGATGCCTCCAGTATCGAAGGCTTCCCCGTCAAAATGGACGTCAAAGTGGTTGGTTTCCCTCAGCCGAAACTGCAATGGTTCCACAATGGGCACGAAATCAAGCCCGACCAGGGCCACATTTCGATTGTGGAGAATCCGGACAAGAGCACGAGCCTGATCATTGAGAAGACTGTTCCTGGTGACTCCGGATTGTACGAAGTTATTGCCCAAAATCCCGAGGGATCGACAGCCTCCAAAGCGAAGCTCTATGTGGCTCCCAAGGCCGATGAAACTGCCGCCGAGGAGGCACCTCAATTTGTGTCTGCCCTGCGTGATGTAAATGCCGACGAGGGCCAGGAGCTGGTGCTGTCCGCTCCATTCATTGCCAACCCGATGCCCGAGGTTATTTGGACCAAGGATGGCGTTACTCTAACTCCCAACGAGCGCCTGCTGATGACTTGCGATGGCAAGCACATTGGACTGACCATTAAGCCGGCTGAGGCTGCAGATTCCGGCAACTACTCCTGCCTCCTGGCCAATCCTCTCGGTGAGGACTCGTCCGCCTGCAACGCTAATGTCCGCAAGGTCTACAAGCCGCCGGTGTTCACACAAAAGATTTCCGACCAGCAACAGGTATTTGGCAACAATGCCAAGATTCCGGTGACTGTCTCCGGAGTTCCATATCCGGAGCTGGTGTGGTACTTCCAGGATAAGCCCATTCCCACCAAGTCTGACAAGTATAGCATCAAGAACGATGGTGATCATCACATGCTGATTGTCAACAACTGCGGGAAAGATGACCAAGGTGTCTACAAGTGCATTGCCAGCAACAGGGAGGGCAAGGACATCACCCAAGGACGCCTCGATATCGTTAATGAGATGTAAGAGAGACCAAAACCCCAAGTCCGCTTGATCCTCTCTTAATCAATTTCTCCTTTACAGTAAAAAGCACTCTCGCTCGGAGCCTCCAGTATTTCTCAAGAAGATCGGCGACTGTGATATCTATGAGGGCATGGTGGCCAAGTTCACGGCTTGCGCCACGGGATATCCGGAACCCGAGGTGGAATGGTTCAAGAACGACCAGAAACTGTTCCCCTCGGACCGCTTCCTCATCGACATCGAGCCCAATGGCCTGCTCAGGCTGACCATTAAAAATGTTACCGAATACGATGTGGGCCGCTATTCCTGCCGCATTTTCAATCCCTACGGCGATGACATCTGCCATGCCGAGCTCTTTTACGATTGTAGGTTCTTTAAAACTATTTTCGATAACTCTTCTAATTTATTTATACGGACGCAGCTCTGGACAGCCAGCAAAAGCCGTTGGAGGACCAGTATACCGACTTCAAGAAATACAAGAAGTCTGGTGCTCCTCCACCGCTCTCGGAGGGTCCAATTATTTCTCGTATGACGGATCGTGGCCTGCTCTTGTCATGGAATCCATCGGTGCCATTGACTCCACGTTATCCCATCACCTACCAAGTTAGTTATCAACCAAGATTCAATATTGGAAGAATAATAAAATGACCAAATTCCAGATCGAAATGATGGATCTGCCCGAGGGCGATTGGCGCACTTTGAGAACTGGAGTACGGAGCTGTGCCTGCGATATCCGCAATCTGGAGCCCTTCAGGGACTACAGATTTAGGGTGCGAGTAGAAAATAAGTTTGGTGTTAGCGATCCCAGTCCCTACACGCAAACTTACAGGTGGGAAGAATGAAATCATGTCCCATATCCATATATAAAATGTATTCTGTATGTTGCAGGCAAAAACTGGTGCCGGATCCACCGAAAACCTACACATACCTGCCACCAGGCACAGATTTCAGGCCAGAGACTTCGCCCTATTTCCCCAAGGACTTTGATATCGAGAGGCCTCCTCATGATGGCCTAGCTCAGGCTCCTCAGTAAATAATTGTAATGTTTTTTCCTTTTCATGTATTCAATATTGGTTTTATCCAACAGATTCCTCTTGCGCGAAAACGACATTAGCTATGGAGTTAAGGAGCACAACACAGAGCTGATGTGGTTCGTCTATGGCTACCCCAAGCCAAAGATGACTTATTACTTTGATGACATGCTCATCGAGTCGGGTGGCAGGTTTGATCAGAGTTACACCCGAAATGGCCAGGCCACGCTCTTCATAAACAAGTGAGTTTTAAACATATCATTTAAAATTATATTTACTGATTTATATTTTTACCTACAGAATGCTGGATCGCGACGTTGGCTGGTATGAAGCTGTGGCCACCAACGAACATGGCGAGGCCAGGCAACGCGTGAGGCTGGAGATTGCTGAGCATCCTCGTTTCCTGAAGCGACCGGATGAGACCTTCATCATGGCCCGCAAGAATGGCAGGATCGAGGCCAAGCTGGTGGGCATTCCGTTGCCGGAAGTGCATTGGTTCAAGGACTGGAAGCCCATTGCCGACTCTTCTCGCATCAAGGTGAGCTTGAAAGCTATATATTAATGCCATATATAAATGTAACCACAAATTAAACCAATCTTCTTTAGATAAGCTCCTATGACCCGGATATTTATGTGCTGTCGATTCACGACTCCATCATCAAAGATGGTGGACTGTACTCCATCAGTGCCAGGAATATTGCTGGCTCCATTAGCACCTCGGTGACTGTGCACATTGAGGAGAACGAGGATCAGTATATCTACAAGACCTACGGCAGACATCCGTATGTGCGCTCCAAGCAACTGCGCTACCAGGACAAATACGACATTGGCGACGAGCTGGGCCGCGGAACCCAGGGAATCACCTATCACGCCGTGGAGCGAGCCACTGGCGACAACTACGCCGCCAAGATTATGTACGGCCGGCCAGAGCTGCGTCCATTCATGCTCAACGAACTGGAGATGATGAACATGTTCAATCACAAGAACTTGATCCGTCCATACGACGCCTACGACACCGATCGCAGCGTGACTCTGATCATGGAGCTGGCTGCCGGTGGCGAGCTGGTGAGGGATAATCTGCTCAGGCGTGACTATTACACGGAGCGCGACATCGCCCACTATATCCGGCAGACACTGTGGGGTCTGGAGCACATGCACGAAATGGGAGTGGGTCACATGGGACTTACGGTGAGAAACTGAAAAGTAATAATGCCTTGGGATCTAATCTAATGCTCATTTCCTATTGTATATTATCACAGATCAAGGATCTTCTGATCTCCGTGGTTGGTGGTGATTACATCAAGGTGTCTGACTTTGGTTTGTCAAGGAAAATCAACAGGCATAACCTTTCCACCTTGGACTATGGCATGCCTGAGTTTGTCTCACCCGAGGTCGTGAACAAGGAGGGCGTCAACTTCTCGCACGATATGTGGACTGTGGGCCTGATCACCTACGTCCTGCTGGGCGGTCACAATCCCTTCCTGGGCATCGATGACAGGGAAACCCTCACAAAGATTCGCGAAGGTCGCTGGGACTTTAAGGACGAGATTTGGACTCACATCTCGGACGATGGTCGTGACTTCATCAGCCGGCTGCTGCTCTACAGTCCCGAGGAACGTATGGATGTTAAGACTGCTCTGAAGCATCCATGGTTCTTCATGCTGGATCGCCAGGTGTACGATCATGACTACCAGATCAACACCGATCGCCTGAGAAACTACTACGACCACTTCAGGGACTGGTATGCCAATGCCTCCTGCAAGAATTACTTCCGCAGGCGCCGCCTCAGCGGTTGCTTCCAGCATCCATCCAAGATGGTCTATCCCCCGGGACACGTTTACACGCCCGAGAACACCCCAGAGCCGCTGCCGGAGCCAAGGAAGCGGGCAAAGCGCGAGGAAGTCGTTTCGAAATACTTGCATCCCGATTACGAGCTGGGTCTGATTCAATCGGAGAGCCAGTAAGTTTTATTTGTGCCAAGAGCCTTTGGAAGGGGTGACCATTGCTTCACATTATCATTTCAGCTACCAATATGGCCCCGATACGTATCTTCTGCAACTGCGAGATGTCAACTTCCCTGTCAGATTGCGTGAGTACATGAAGGTGGCTCATCGACGATCCCCTTCATTTGCCTTGAACGATTCCGTGGATTGGTCTGTGAGTATTCATAGCACAAAATGGAAAGTAAATCAGGGTTAAACATGGAATTTATCTCTCTTCCTGTAGCTGCCCGTGATCCGCGAGAGACGTCGTTTCACCGACATTATGGACGAGGAGATCGATGACGAGCGCACCCGCAGCCGCATCAGCATGTATGCGGCCAACGATTCGTATTCCATCCGTCGCCTGCGCACGGAGCTGGGTCCCCGTCTGGATGAGTACACCGAGGCCGATGCCATGATCGAGACCCAGCGGGAGGGCTACCCACCGTTCTTCCGCGAGAAGCCACAGACGATTGCCATAACCGAGAACCAGCCCAGCCACATCCACTGCTTCGCTGTGGGTGATCCCAAGCCGTGTGTGCAGTGGTTCAAGAACGACATGGTGCTGTCCGAGAGCAAGAGGATAAAGATTTCGGTGGACGAGGATGGCCGTTCCATCCTGCGCTTCGAGCCAGCCCTGCACTTCGATGTGGGAGTGTACAAGGTAGTGGCCAGGAACAAGGTGGGCCAGACTGTGGCCCGCTGCCGCATCGTGGTGGCCACTCTGCCCGATGCCCCCGACTCGCCGGAAATATCCGCCAACAGCGGATCCGAGATTCTACTCCGCTGGAAGCAGCCCCGTGACGATGGCCACTCCACAGTGCTGTGCTACAGCCTGCAGTACAAGTTGAGCAACTGCGATGCCTGGACCACGGTGGCGGACAACATCGACCACGAGTTCTACTTGCTGCATGACCTGCAGCCGAACACCAGCTACCAGTTCCGACTGGCCTCCAAGAACCGCATCGGCTGGAGCGAGATGGGCATACCCGTGTCTGCGTCCACGTCGGGAGCTGATGCCCCCAAGATCCATATCACCAAGGCCATGAAGCATTTACAGCAGCTCACAGAGAACGGGCACGAGGTGGTGCCCGAGGAGGAGCGCGTGCACACCGACTACCATTGTGAGCGCGAGCCGCCAAACTGGGTGACCGACTCCTCTGTCAGCGACAAGTACAGCTTCATCTCGGAGATCGCCCGTGGTGAGTTTAGCACCATTGTCAAGGGCATCCAGAAGTCCACCGACACCGTCGTGGTGGCCAAGATCCTGGAGGTGACCGACGAAAATGAGGACAACGTGGTGGCCGAGTTCGACAACTTCAAGACTCTGCGCCACGAACGCATCCCGGCGCTGTTCAGCGCCTACAAGCCCCTGAACGTGCCCATTGCCATCTTTGTGATGGAGAAGCTCCAGGGTGCCGATGTGCTCACCTACTTCAGCAGCCGGCACGAGTACTCCGAGCAGATGGTGGCCACCGTGATTACCCAGCTGCTGGATGCCCTGCAATATCTACACTGGCGCGGATACTGCCACCTCAACATCCAGCCCGACAACGTAGTGATGGCCTCGGTGCGCTCCATTCAGGTGAAGCTGGTCGATTTCGGATCGGCCAAGAAGGTCAACAAGCTGGGCGTTAAGGTTACGCCATGCGGATCTCTGGACTTCCAGCCGCCCGAGATGATCAACGATGAGCCAATATTCCCGCAGAGTGACATCTGGTCGGTGGGTGCCCTTACCTACTTGCTCCTGTCCGGATGCAGTGCATTCCGCGGTGCCGATGAGTACGAGACCAAGCAGAACATCTCCTTTGTGCGCTACAGATTCGAGAATCTGTTCAAGGAAGTCACTCCCGAGGCCACCAGATTCATTATGCTTCTTTTCAAGCGCCATCCCACGTGAGTAAATTGGTTTAGATTTTTTTTTCCCAATTTACAAAAAGCCTAGGGAGCCTAGTGCTAATAATATTTATGGGGTCACATAATATAATAAAATCTAGTCAGTCACATATGTTTGCAATAATATGGAACAGGGTCAAATTTAGTTTATAACCATAACCATAACATATGTTAACACATTTGATATATGTTTTAGAAAACGACCATACACCGAAGATTGCTTGGAGCACAGGTGGCTCATGTCGTCCGACTACATGGTTAGGAAGCGCGAACGTGCCATCTTCTTGGGCAGCCGTCTAAAGGTAATAAATAAAAAGTCTTTCTCTTAGAAGAGACAACACAATAAAAACATGTTTTCATGACGTGATGATTTCTTTATGTGACCACCACCAGACGTTCTGCGATGAATACCATGACCTAAAGAATGCCACGGCCACATCATCCAAGGTCCTGAACACGGTCGCCGGCGGACCAACACCTACTCAACTACTTCGATCGAACAGCATCCAGGAGGAATTGCTCACAACATTTTAGTCAATTAGTAGCGAAGTGGTAGTGTTAAGCAAACAAATGTTGTTTTTATTTCTTGTATATATGGAATATAAATAATTATACACAACATCTAAAATTCTATATATATCAAATATATATTATCTGGTTAATGAAACGAAATAATCGAATTTGATATACCTATTTTTATTTATATGCCGATGTGGGGATGTAGTTGTTGACATCTCAGCTCTGACACACCCACACCAACTTCCACGCCTCCGCCCGATACGATCAATAAAATGTGAACGACCTTCAGGGACTCTGCCAAGGCTAAAAATAATCACTCTTATTCAGGTGTTTATAAAAAGAAAATGATTGCTGTAAGGCATTTTTCGAGTGGCCAAAGTGAACACTCTGAGCTGTCGGAAACTATCAAGATAGGCAATCAACAAATCCCAAGTAGGCAAGACATTAAGCCAACTTTCCTTATTTTAACGTATATAAAGATGCGGGCTAAATAATGGGAATAATGTGGCGTTAAGTTAATTTAAGATAATAAATAAAGTAAGAGGATAATTCGAGAGGAAAGTTTTTTAATACAGTAGTCTGATGTTGATTAAAATCGACTTTTCTACCATTATATATTTGCAGGATATTATAATAAATTATATACATATTATATATTATATTATTATATTATTCCTTGATCAGCATCAATCGCCGAAATAATAATAATACAATTTTGTAATAGTATTAAATAGCTTTCTCTCCTGCTCTCTCCCTCTCTCTCTGTGTATCTAAAATTTTCGGTATGTGTATCTGTGTATCTGTGTATCTGTATATCTGTGTATCTGTGTATCTCTAGAGATATCTCTTTCCCTATACCTCTTCCAGCATCTCTTTACAGATTTCTCTTTTATTCTCGCGTTCTCGCTCTCACTTTCTCTATTGTTCTCCTTACTCGCAGACTATAAATGCAGGCATCACCCGCCCACTCATCTCATTCTGTCCCCGGCCTCTCCACTGTTAACATCTATAGTGAAAGTGGCAGTGAAAATCATTGCCCTTATCTCCTGACCAATGGAATGCATCTGGATTACCAGGAAGAAGCTCACTTCGATGACAGCCACAAGGAATATAACTTTACACTGGAAGTGTGTACTCTGCACCAGGAAGTCTAAACCATTGCAATTATAAGGTCTAAAAATAGCTATGCACTTATTTTCCAATATATTCCCTAACACTTAATTGTATTTAAACGTGTTACTGAAATTTGTAATAATGATATCAACAAACGTATACTCAAAGTTAACAGCATGACTTCAATATAAATTATTAACGAATATTGATTTCTTACTTTTCTATAGATTTAAGACTGAGCCTGACTTTTTGCAGGGATATATAATTTTATTTATAAGCTTTCCACGCAGTGAAGGTGTTGTTTTCGACCCTATAAACCATATATGTATATTATTGTGAATCAACAGTTGAGTCTGTTTAGTTTTGTGCTGCAGAAAAATATTATAATTTCTTTCTGTACATAAGCCCTTGACTCTTCTATCCTATAATTTTGTCCGCAGCTGTGATTAAAATCAAATTAGAGGTAAACACAGCCACCCACATACATACATATATATACAAGTGTTTTGTTATCAAGCTTAAAATCAGAAATCGATTTAGCAAAATCAACTCTGCGAAAAGCTTGCGTCTACCTAAAGCTGCCCAAAGCTTCCTTATCACTATTGATTAAATTTTCGCCCAAAAGCTTGAACATTAGAGTAAGTGCTGGGGTACAACACCTCAGCCTCAATTAGTGCAATATAAAATACGCTTTTAGTCACAATGTAAAGCAAAACAAAGCGGATCTCAGCACACGAAACAACACCTGCATGCCAGCGTCCATTAGCACTCGAAAAATCAATGAATGACAACAACGCTCGGTCACAAGATTCACTGTCGCCGTCGTCGTCCATCGAATAGCCAAGCGACCACATCCACACAAGGTACACAGCAGATCTACGCACACACAGAGACACACACCCGCCCGCGCGTAGCGTATCGCACATACATATATAAATATGTTTGTTTAATCAGACTGTCGAATAATCTCATTTATCAGGCTTAAAACCTTTCCAGAACTCGAACGTTGCCCCACACCGCACATGCTTGTCCCAGTGTAAACTTCTATGCTCCGGATCAGAGGGTCATCATAAACTGGCAATCAATTAGGTGGCACTCCAACGACCACAATCACCACAATTTTTGGGTCTAGCTACACTTGACCCCCCAACGATGGCCGAGGGTGACTACAAAGAGCATGTGGAGCGGTGAGTCCAATACCGAGAATTACTCATCTTCCGCCTGCCCACTCATAATTGATAAATTTTTGGTAATCTAGAACTGAGCTTCCGGCTCCCATGATTTCCCGCAAGGAAGTCAGCATTTGGGCTATTCTGAAGAACTGCATTGGCAAGGACCTGAGCAAAATCACCATGCCAGTCATGCTCAATGAGCCGCTGAGCTTCCTCCAGCGACTCTGTGAATACATGGAGTACGCCGAACTATTGACCGAGGCAGCGCAGCAGGAATTGCCGGCGGATCGGATGAAATACGTTGCGGGTGAGTGATATTGCAGAGCTTACGTAAATCAAAAATTGTCTGTGGTTATGGATTTACTATGGGCATTTATCGGAGCGGCGATAGTGAACACAATTAGTATTCATTGAGTATTTTTTTGCGCTCTTTCCAGCCTTTGCCGTATCAGCACTAGCCTCGAACTGGGAGCGACTTGGCAAGCCGTTCAATCCGCTTCTTGGAGAAACCTATGAGCTACAGCGGGGCGATTACCGCATCGTTTGTGAGCAGGTTTCCCACCATCCACCAGTATCAGCATTTCATGCCGAGTCCAAGGACTTTAAGTTCCATGGCACCATTAATCCCAAAATCAAGTTCTGGGGCAAGAGCGTTGAGGTTAATCCAAAAGGAACCGTCACCATTGAGTTTCCCAAGTACGTAGATTTTTATAATCCAAGTTATTAAGCCATTGCAAGGGTAAAGAATCATCGAAGTGTTTCTTTGATATGTATTAAATGTTCTTTTAGATGGAATGAAACCTATAGTTGGACCAATGTGAACTGCTGTGTCCACAACATAATCGTGGGCAGACTGTGGATAGAGCAGTATGGAAAAATGGAGATCACAAATCATTCCACCGGTCATGTGGCTAGCCTCACCTTCAAGTCAGCCGGATCTGGAGCCAAGAACTTGCATCGCGTTGAGGGATTCGTTCGAGACTCAAGGTGGGCAATAAACAACTTAATGATATTTTCATCAATAACCGAATCCATATCCCTGTAGTGACACCAATCTATTCTTTCTGTATGGCAAATGGACCGAGTTCATTAAGTGCTGCTCTGCCGATTCCTATAAGCAGTACTTGAAGCAGGGAACCCGGAAGACCGATGACTTCGATCCCAATGGGTCGCCGAATGGAACGCCAAGGAAAATGTTCTCGAAATTAAATAGCTTCAAGCTGAACTCCTTCCGCAGCCTGTCTATCCAAGACGTAAGTGTAAAAGTTTGTTGAGTTACCGCCGCAAATGTATCTCAAAAGACGTTACATTTCAGAACGATAGCTATCCGCCCATGGAGCAGGAGGGCGACATACCAAAGAGTGATTCTGCATATTCAATTGATATTCCGGACTCCACCACCTTGTGGAGCTGTAAGCCCAGACCTTCCAACTGTAACGAGGTACGAAAGAGCGTAAAAGTGTCCGGGATATTCAAATATTTCATATATTTTCTCCTTCCCTCTAAAGTATTACCAGTTTACGCATTTCGCGCTTCAGCTAAACGCTATGGATAATAATATGAAACCACCGCTAACTCTATGCCCTACCGATTCGCGACTGCGACCTGATATATTATACCTAGAAGATGGAAACTTGGATGGTGCGTCCAAGGAGAAGACTCGCCTCGAAGAGAAGCAAAGGCATACACGAAAACAAAGGAAATCCGCCAACAGTGATGACTGGACACCGAAGTAAGAATGCATCGCCATTGTGTTGACTTATCGCTTTTGTGCTAAAAAAAACTCCCAAATTGCAGATGGTTTAAGTACGTTATAAATCCCCATACCAAGACCGAGGACTGGCTGTATAGTGGAGGCTATTGGGACCGCAAATACGAGAACACCGATACGATATTTTAGATACATTTTGTAGAACGCTTATATGCTTACGGTACATAGATATATTTGTATAAAGTTTGCGAGTTGTTTAAACTTAGGAGTCGTTACTAATAACTGGATAATTGTACATAGTACGAAACTGTACTAATGATTGGAAACCATAACACTCTCCATATCTATTCGATACGATGTTTAATAAGGAAGATTGCCAGTCATGACACTAATTGTTTTACCATTACAAAGTTGTGCTTAAGATTGACAAGTCTTGTCAACTTTTTTTTTAGGAAGAAACTAACCTAGAGATTGCCAGCCATAACTATCCATTTCAAGGGAACAGTTTTCTTAGATGATGATGGGTAAGAAACCGATAAAACTCTCCATAACGAAATTACTAAGGGTTGTCCAAGACTTTACTAATGACTGGTAATCATTACTCTCCAGAACTATTCTAAATCAATTGCTCACCACAACTCTCAATTTTCTTCCGTTCGATAAAATACAAAACGTTTCTCCATTAAGATACTTTCATATAGGTTTCCAATTATTACTGCCAATTTCGTTTCTATTTTAGAATGAAACTGCTTAAAAATGATTGTTCGTTTTCTTCCATTCTCATACGATTGCAGGATGTGATTGTAAGTTCTGGTAGAGGAGTTGATCAAATCGCACAAGCATCCCTGGAAACACAGACATTTAGTTGAAAGCTCTTACTTTTGGTAGTATTTATGTATTTGTATACATAGTGATTAATTCGCGGCGATTCCATAAAAAGCAATTAAAATGTTATTCAGTTGTTTGTTGCACTAAAATGTCTTCAATGTTATTCTTTTGTGATTCAGATTGAGACTAAGGTAAGGCAGATAAAACTACAAGGGGGTAACAATAAAATTGATTTATTTTCATCTACATTTTAGCTTTCGTTAATTGTCCTTGTTCACAGATGCTGGTATTTACACATGACGGGATAAGATTTACACATTGTACAATTCTTAAACTTCACTTCAGATTAAGCGTTTTGGGCTTCGTGCTCACGTCGTGCAGGCTAACTACGTTATAAGCAGAGACGCAGGGCTCGAGTTTGTTCTTAAATATATCGTTCTCCGACTTCGAGGAGCATATGGAGTGGCCGATCTCCGTGTGTCGGGGGTCAGGTAGCGAGGTAACCCTTAGTTCGTGGTTGCTGACTGAAGTGTTCAACTGGAACTGCTTCGCATAGAGCGTATCCATTTTATTGTGTTTAGCTGCAAGATAAAGATTCAAGTTAGCAATATTTACTTATGCGATTCAATATTTTCTGTACCGTCGTTCACGCACAACTTGTGTCCGATCCTGTGAGACGCCAGCAGTTTCCCCTCCTCACTGCCCCCAATGGAGCACTCTTCGATGTGCGAGAAGCTCTCCTGCGGCGAAATGGTGGACAGCACCGAAGTGCTGGAGTACAAGTAGCCGGAGAAGTACAGGTCCGGGTTCGCCTCGTGCGCCTTGCAGGGCACAATCCACGAGAAGTTAAACACCGACGGATTCACCTCCTGGGTGAGCCAGGGATCTGTTATCAGCTGATGCATAGTGCACCGATATTTGGGATCCTTGTTCAGCATGGAGGCCAGCAGCCGGTTCAGTGGCTCGGACACCACCTTTGGTATCTGGATTTCGGCCTTCAGCGTTTCCTCCACGTCAATAAAGGGATTCTCGAAGAACATAAGCACGTAGAGGGTGACGCCCAGGGCCCACATTTCCAGCTCAGGTCCCACGTATCTATTCCCGGCAAGCACCTCGGGACTACAGTACTCCGTGGTGCCGTAAAATGTGGAGAAGTACTTGCCCTCCTCCATAAAGGTTGCCGACCCGAAGTCTATCAGTTTTATGTTGAAATTGTGATCAATGATAATGTTTTCGTCCTTGATGTCCCTATGAAGTATCTTCTGCTCGTGCAGGTAGTTAACGGCGTCGGCGACCTGTCGAAAAATATAACTGCCCAACTTCTCCTCCATGAGGGGGCGTCGTTCAATGAACGTCCACAGGTCCATGCCCGAGCCGTGTTTCTCCATCACCAACTGGTAGAAGAGGTCGTTCTCGAATACGTCCAGCACGGATACAATATTCTTATGACTCAAGGTCTGTAGTAGATGAATCTCTATAGGAACTTCCTTACCGTCCCGGTTTTTGACCATGAACTGAGAGCATAGCTTCTCCTTAAGAATGAACTTGGTGATCACCAGCAGCCGGTCCGTGTTCCGGAATGCCATATTCACATACCCGTAGGCTCCGCGTCCGATCTGCCTAATGGAGGTGTAGTGTTTGCTGTACTCCCCCACGTACAGCTCGTCCTCATATTTGCACACCAGCGACAGGGAGTTGGGCCTGCTGGAGTTCTGGGCGGCGGTGGTCTTGATCACTTGACCCAGCGACTGCTCAATCGTGCTGGCCATGCTGTTGAATGTGGACGTGAGGTTCGCGTAGCTGTATTTGTCGCCACCATCCAGACGCGTGCTGGGATTACGGCACACCCAGATGCAGTACACCCGATTGGAGCAGGGCAGGATCTGCAGCAGGACGGAGTAGACCACCTCGATTACCGTTCCATCCGCATGGATGGCCTCACCCACGAAGCTTCCATTGATGGAGCTGAGTAACTTAGTGGCAAGATTGCTGCCCGACGCATCGCCATTTTCGGTGGACTCCGGTGACTTGGGCCTGTCCAGCGGCATCTCGTTGATGTGGGACTGGGATCCCGTCTCAAACTCGTCTGCTGGAAAACTGTTCGAAGCATTCACCGGCGTTAGAATGTCATCGATCGTACAGTCGTCCGGCTGTCGCACGTCGCAGAACATTCCGCTGCTGTTGTGGTCCAGGTTGCAGCTCATGTGGGCGTCACTAACCGAGGAGGGTTCGAGGGTTGGCGGTGCCGACTTATTGGTGGTAGAGTTCTTTTTGCCGGACTGCAGCGAGGAGTCGAGGTTATCCAGGACCAGCGGATCGGTGTCCGGCTCCCAGTCGTTGCTGGTGATCGAGGTGTTCGACACATTAGGGCTCTTCTCCTCCCGCGAGTCCTTGCCGAAATTCGGCAGGAGCGAGGATATATGCATGTTCATAATCTTGTCCTGGCCGTAGCCAAACATCAGCAGTGAGAATGGCTGGTTGCACATCAGGATGTTCCCGATGTCGTCCACCACAATGAGGCCGCTAAGGTTCTGGAACACCCAGACGGTGATGTTCAACGCGGGGCTACTCGAGGCGGGGTATCCGGCTGGAGCACTCTCGTCCAGCGTCAGGAGCAGGCACAGCGGGAACTTCACATTGTCCGTCGTACGTCCGGTGGCCCTCTGCTTTCGCAGGCTCTTCGGAATCGCATCCCTGCTGTCGGGATCGGGCAGCTTGATGAACGGTATCAGCGCAACTATGTTCAGGCCAACCACGCCGTCGGTGGATTCGTAAAAGAATATAGTAGCAGTAGTGGAGTCGGCCGATGTTATCACCCCGAACCGGTCGATACTAATGTGGCAGATATGCCGCTCCACAGGCTCCGCAACAGCTATGTGCCGCCCATCGCTGCTTATCTGACGGATCCAGAGCGAGACCAGGATCTTGCTGCCGGGCTTGGTCTTCATCTCGATAACCTTGCCGCTCAGCAAAACCACGCGGCCCTCGTCGCCCTCTATCTGCATTTCTGCCAGCGACGAGATGTGGCTCTCCGTCTTCCCGTTCAGCAGGTCGAAGAAGCCCTTGTTCCTCAGCTCCTGCGAAGTGTAGCCCAGCAGCTGGCAGGCCTTGTTGTTCACTATGAAAATCTGTCCCGTATTGGCATCAATGGTGAATATCGCCTTGTTCGGATTGATTACTTTCGAGGAGTGCAGATTCGGTGGCGGCATGCTGAACGAGCTGGCCTCCATCAAGTTCAGCATGCTCGTTGAGTCCAGGTGGGCCATGGGGTCATCTGAAATGCGTACGTGTTTGTTTGTTAATAATTCAGCACAGCGCTGGCCTCGTTTCCATTCAACGGAAAGCTATACCGCTAGCAATACCTTTCCGGGGGCCCAGGAAGCTTAAATTCTGTGTGGAACTCACCATTGCTTGACTCCATCACGTCGCCCTGATCCTCCTCCATTTATAAGTCAGAAATTTTTGAAATCCCCGCGGTTCCAACTTGAGGGCAATTGTAATTACATCTGCGGGAACACACCATAAACATTGGAGCTGTGTGTTTATACAAAAATCAATGGTTTGGCGCATGCGTGAGGCGACCTCCTCCGCAGTATATCGAAATCGGAAACAAAATCGTATTTATTTAAGATGTTTGCAACTCAGTAAAATCATGTTGGGCAGTCGAGTCGATTTAGCCATGTCTGCCTGTCCATTTCAACGCAAACAAGTCTCTCAGTTTTAAAGCTGAAAGGAGTCATTTCCGACCCTCTAAGCCATATATAATATTGATCGTATCAACAGCTGAGTCGATCTAGCCATCTGCGGTTGAAACCTAAAATATCGGAATTTTTACAAAATTGTAACATTTTAAAAAGGGTTAATTAATAAAAGGGCATCATTAAAATTTCAGAAAATTGACAAAAAAAATCATTTTTTACATTTTAAATGTGGTATGCAGATTTATTAACCTCATCAAAACTATCACAGGACCGCTTTCCGAATTGAAATTAATGCATTTTTAGCCTAGTTATTGCATTTCTAGACTTTGGTTTGTATAAAAAAATTTATAAAAACAAACGTAAATATGTATGGAAAAATGCAAATTTGGCCGTTTTCTGAACGCCATAAAATGGCCAAAAAGCCTATGATTGCCAAAATTCGTATACCCTCTGATTCGCCCTTAAAACCTTAGTTAATTAGTAACAAAAACAATATCAAAAATTTTTTGATAATTTTAGCCAATTTTTGAAATTTTTAAAAGGGGTCATTAAAATTTCAGAAAATTGGCAAAAAATTTCATTTTTTACCTAGTCTAGTTATTGAATTTTTAGACTTTGGTTTGTATAAAAAAATGTATAAAAACAAACGTAAATATGTATGGAAAAATGCAAATTTGCCCGTTTTCTGAACGCCATAAAATGGCCAAAAAGCCTATGATTGCCAAAATTCGTATACTCTCCGATTCGCCATTAAAATCTTAGTTAATTAGTAACAAAAACAATAACACAATTTTTTTTGATAATTTTTAGCCAATTTTTGCAATTTTTAAAAGGGGTTACATCATTAAAATTTCAGAAAATTGGCAAAAAAAATCATTTTTTACATTTTAAATGTGGTATGCAGATTTATTAACATAATCAAAACTATCACACTGCCGCTTTCCGAATTGAAATTAATGCATTTTTAGCCTAGTTATTGAATTTTTAGACTTTGGTTTGTATAAAAAAATGTATAAAAACAAACGTAAATATGTATGGAAAAATGCAAATTTGCCCGTTTTCTGAACGCCATAAAATGAACAAAAAGCCTATGATTGCCAAAATTCGTATACTCTCCGATTCGCCCTTAAAATCTTAGTTAATAAGTAACAAAAACAATAAACAATAAACAATAAACAAACAAATAAACAAATTAATTCATTTTTAGCCTAGTTATTGAATTTTTAGACTTTGGTTTGTATAAAAAAATGTATAAAAACAAACGTAAATATGTATGGAAAAATGCAAATTTGCCCGTTTTCTGAACGCCATAAAATGACCAAAAAGCCTGTGATTGCCAAAATTCGTATACTCTCCGATTCGCCCTTAAAATCTTAGTTAATTAATAACAAAAACAATAACAAAATTTTTTTGATAATTTTAGCCAATTTTTGCCATTTTTAAAAGGGGTTACATCATTAAAATTTCAGAAAATTGGCAAAAAAAATCATTTTTTACATTTTAAATGTGGTATGCAGATTTATTAACATCATCAAAACTATCACAGGACCGCTTTCCGAATTGAAATTAATTCATTTTTAGCCTAGTTATTGAATTTTTAGACTTTGGTTTGTATAAAAGAATGTATAAAAACAAACGTAAATATGTATGGAAAAATGCAAATTTGCCCGTTTTCTGAACGCCATAAAATGAACAAAAAGCCTATGATTGCCAAAATTCGTATACTCTCCGATTCGCCCTTAAAATCTTAGTTAATAAGTAACTAAAACAATAAACAATAAACAATAAACAAACAAATAAACAAATTAATTCATTTTTAGCGTAGTTATTGAATTTTTAGACTTTGGTTTGTATAAAAAAATGTATAAAAACAAACGTAAATATGTATGGAAAAATGCAAATTTGCCCGTTTTCTGAACGCCATAAAATGACCAAAAAGCCTGTGATTGCCAAAATTCGTATACTCTCCGATTCGCCCTTAAAATCTTAGTTAATTAGTAAAAAAAACAATAACAAAATTTTTTTGATAATTTTAGCCAATTTTTGCAATTTTTAAAAGGGGTTACATCATTAAAATTTCAGAAAATTGGCAAAAAAAAGCATTTTTTACATTTTAAATGTGGTATGCAGACTTATTAACATCATCAAAACTATCACAGGACCGCTTTCCGAATTGAAATGAATTCATTTTTAGCCTAGTTATTGAATTTTTAGACTTTGGTTTGTATAAAAGAATGTATAAAAACAAACGTAAATATGTATGGAAAAATGCAAATTTGCCCGTTTTCTGAACGCCATAAAATGACCAAAAAGCCTGTGATTGCCAAAATTCGTATACTCTCCGATTCGCCCTTAAAATCTTAGTTAATTAGTAAAAAAAACAATAACAAAATTTTTTTGATAATTTTAGCCAATTTTTGCAATTTTTAAAAGGGGTTACATCATTAAAATTTCAGAAAATTGGCAAAAAAAATCATTTTTACATTTTAAATGTGGTATGCAGATTTATTAACATCATCAAAACTATCACAGGACCGCTTTCCGAATTGAAATTAATTCATTTTTAGCCTAGTTATTGAATTTTTAGACTTTGGTTTGTATAAAAGAATGTATAAAAACAAACGTAAATATGTATGGAAAAATGCAAATTTGCCCGTTTTCTGAACGCCATAAAATGACCAAAAAGCCTGTGATTGCCAAAATTCGTATACTCTCCGATTCGCCCTTAAAATCTTAGTTAATTAGTAAAAAAAACAATAACAAAATTTTTTTGATAATTTTAGCCAATTTTTGCAATTTTTAAAAGGGGTTACATCATTAAAATTTCAGAAAATTGGCAAAAAAAATCATTTTTTACATTTTAAATGTGGTATGCAGATTTATTAACATCATCAAAACTATCACAGGACCGCTTTCCGAATTGAAATGAATTCATTTTTAGCCTAGTTATTGAATTTTTAGACTTTGGTTTGTATAAAAGAATGTATAAAAACAAACGTAAATATGTATGGAAAAATGCAAATTTGCCCGTTTTCTGAACGCCATAAAATGACCAAAAAGCCTGTGATTGCCAAAATTCGTATACTCTCCGATTCGCCCTTAAAATCTTAGTTAATTAGTAAAAAAAACAATAACAAAATTTTTTGATAATTTTAGCCAATTTTTGCAATTTTTAAAAGGGGTTACATCATTAAAATTTCAGAAAATTGGCAAAAAAAATCATTTTTTACATTTTAAATGTGGTATGCAGATTTATTAACATCATCAAAACTATCACAGGACCGCTTTCCGAATTGAAATTAATTCATTTTTAGCCTAGTTATTGAATTTTTAGACTTTGGTTTGTATAAAAGAATGTATAAAAACAAACGTAAATATGTATGGAAAAATGCAAATTTGCCCGTTTTCTGAACGCCATAAAATGACCAAAAAGCCTGTGATTGCCAAAATTCGTATACTCTCCGATTCGACCTTAAAATCTTAGTTAATTGGTAACAAAAACAATAACAAAATTTTTTTGATAATCTTAGCCAATTATTGCAATTTTTAAAAGGGGTTACATCATTAAAATTTCAGAAAATTGGCAAAAAAAATCATTTTTTACATGCTAAATGTGGTATGCAGATTTATTAACATCATCAAAACTATCACACTGCCGCTTTCCGAATTGAAATTAATGAATTTTTAGCCTAGTTATTGCATTTTTAGACTTTGGTTTGTATAAAACAATGTATAAAAACAAACGTAAATATGTATGGGAAAATGCAAATTTGCCCGTTTTCTGAACGCCATAAAATGGCCAAAAAGCCTATGATTGCCAAAATTCGTATACTCTCCGATTCGCCCTTAAAATCTTAGTTAATTAGTAACAAAAACAATAACAAAATTTTTTGATAATTTTAGCCAATTTTTGAAATTTTTAAAAGGGGTTACATCATTAAAATTTCAGAAAATTGGCTAAATATTTCATTTTTTACATTTTAAATGTGGTATGCAGATTTATTAACCTCATCAAAACTATCACACTGCCGCTTTCCGAATTGAAATTAATGCATTTTTAGCCTAGTTATTGAATTTTTAGACTTTGGTTTGTATAAAAAAATGTATAAAAACAAACGTAAATATGTATGGAAAAATGCAAATTTGCCCGTTTTCTGAACGCCATAAAATGGCCAAAAAGCCTATGATTGCCAAAATTCGTATACTCTCCGATTCGCCCTTAAAATCTTAGTTAATTAGTAACAAAAACAATAACAAAATTTTTTGATAATTTTAGCCAATATTTGCAATTTTTAAAAGGGGTTACATCATTAAAATTTCAGAAAATTGGCTAAAAATTTCATTTTTTACATTTTAAATGTGGTATGCAGATTTATTAACCCCATCAAAACTATCACACTGCCGCTTTCCGAATTGAAATTAATGCATTTTTAGCCTAGTTATTGCATTTTTAGACTTTGGTTTGTATAAAACAATGTATAAAAACAAACGTAAATATGTATGGAAAAATGCAAATTTGCCCGTTTTCTGAACGCCATAAAATGGCCAAAAAGCCTATGATTGCCAAAATTCGTATACTCTCCGATTCGCCCTTAAAATCTTAGTTAATTAGTAACAAAAACAATAACAAAATTTTTTTGATAATTTTAGCCAATTTTTGAAATTTTTAAAAGGGGTTACATCATTAAAATTTCAGAAAATTGGCAAAATTTTTCATTTTTTACATTTTAAATGTGGTATGCAGATTTATTAACTTGATCAAAACTATCACACTGCCGCTTT